CAAAATCCGACCATAAAGAAGGTGACGGAACGAGGAAATGAGATCAAATTTACCTGAGTAATTATTTAAATTGTGGACAAACGCTTTATAAATAATATTATAAGCGTAAAAGATTATAATATTGCCCCCCGCATGCGAAACCCCATGAAGGAAGGCGTCGTCGAAGGCTCGCGTGTCAATGTTTACTTTTGTAAGGAATTTGGCTACTATTTTTCGCAAATCTAACGTATATGGACATTTTAAGTAATGTTCCACTTTTGGTTTTAAATTATTGCAAAACGGACATGAAAAATTAGTGTAAATTTTTAGTGAGTGTGCCATGGAAGGGGTCAGACCCACGTTGTGCCAGAATTTAAAGACATTGTCTTTTTCCGGGTTTGACACTGGAGTGGTTACTAAGCGAAGCCACTGTGGGTGAGAGGAGAGGACATCGTCCAAATCTTCCCATTTAATTTTATTATGCACACGTAAGCAGTGCAGGTAGTTGGTTGCCTTGGAAACCGCAACCCTTTCTGACTTAGTATACAGCGAATACATGTTCAGCTTAATTTCGGTTGAGTCGGTAACCATGGCAACCGTGTCTATATACTTTTTCCTTTCAGAAAAAGCGTGCCTTTTAACTGCTGCTGGTAATGCCTCGATACATTTTAATTGATTAGGACCGTAGAGATCACCAACCTTCAAAATTCTACAACGAGATGCATAATTATTACTCAAATTCCTAAATAAAAATTGGCTACTTATCATAATTTTATGCAAATAATCCCTGCTACACGCGGTAAGTCCCACGCCAAGCAATTGGGTCGCATTATACATTTCCTTATAAAAAATTGATAGTTTAGCAATTTCGGAATTAATTAATAATTGGACTTCGTTAAAAGATTCAGCGAGAAAATAATTATCCTCACATGAGGATAAAACTTTATTTACCAAAGTGAGACGGAAAGTTGCAATCTGGGCTACGGGGTTACGCACGCCAATACCCCCATTCAATTGCGGTAAGTAAACGTAGGGTCTTGAAACCCATCTTTTCGACCCTGACCATATATAATTTTCGATTTTCTTGGAAATCTCCTCTAAAATTCCCAACGGTGGATCTAGGACTTTGAATATGTACCAAAAAATCGGACAGAGAAAAGTATTCACAATTTTACTACGTGAAAAGTGACTAACTGGGGCGCACTTTTTAGTGTAAAATTCTAACTTCGAATTAAATGTGTCCATTAAATTCGTAAAATTTTGTGCCATAAAATTATTATTTCCGAAATAAGTATTTTTGAGTATTTAATTTTGACGATGAAAATTGTGAATACTTTTCGTACTCCGACTCAACTATTCCGATTTGGCTCCGATGACCAAGGAGGACGTTTGTGTCATCCGCATACGCCGAAATATACTTGGTCGGCTGCCTTCGCCAGGCGCTGGGACCCGAAATTCGCAGCTTTTTATTCAAATTAAATAGTAATGGTTCGATCGCGATGCAATAAAGTGGACTTGCACTGGGATCCCCTTGTTTGAGACCGACTCCGACTTGTATGGGGGCCGTGAGATCACTGCCAACCGACACCACCAAGGTGAAGTCAGTGTGCAGTAACTTCACATATTTAATTAAATTATCAGGATATCCGAAATTTTTTAAAACCCTATAAAGATATTCAAGATTTACACGGTCATAAGCAGCCTCCTGATCATGGCTAAATAAGAACCCGTCAAGTTCACCACTTTGAAATGCATCGCGAATGAAAGTCAAATTGTCAAATATTGACCTCCCCTTCACACCACATGTCTGCCATGGGCCTATGATGGAGGGGAGGGCAATATTTGAACGAGACTTTACACAGCTGGAAATGATTTTATAATCAGTGTTGGTCAGAGAAATAGTACGATAATTTTTAAGAATTTTAGGGTCACCAGCCTTGTAAATTAAGGTGGCAACAGAGCTCCTGCAAGATTTTGGCAAAAGTTCATCATCACACGAAAATGTTGCTAATCCGCTTAAAATTTTACTAAATTGAGCCGAAAATTTCTTGTAGAATTCGAAAGTTAAGCCGTCTAACCCAGGGGCTTTATTATTTGGAGATTTTTCAATGGCATGTAAAATCTCGTCACAAGACAAATCACCTTCAAAACGTTCAGGATTTGTGATTTTTGGCATATCTAACATAAAATTATCAATATTCGATAAGTTTACAGAAGATGGAGCGAATTTTTCCGCAAAAAAAGGCCCCCACCATTTTTAGCTTTTCGCCAGATGACAAGTCATCCAGCGCTTCATCTACAGTGATACCCTCGCGCGTGGTTACCACCTTTCGGTCAGGGAAATCACTGCATACGCCATCCCCACGAATGGCACCCTCTATACTGTCGATAAAATTTGTAAAAATTTCGGAACTTGCTACATTTGGTGTTCGAACCAACTTGTTGTATGTTAAACGAATTAACCTTTTAATATTCATTTTGCAGTACAGGTCTGTTTCCATGGCAACCCGTATTATTTTACACTTTAGTTTTTCATAATTATCCAATGAGAAATCAGACGATAAGAAGTCTTTTAAAATCGACTCGACCGTATAAATAAAGCTCGAATTATTTAATATTGACTTTGGACATGACCATAAGCATTTTTGGTTATTATTGGTGGTTGCCATGGTTACACCAAAAACCATGTGGTCACCTATGAACGGTATAATAGTTTGACTGATTAAATTTGATAACTGCGAAACCTGTAAATAAATCCTGTCCAGCCTTGCCGAAGTACCGTTCATCCTGCTCACAAAGGTAACATCTTTTCCCTGTGGGCACAGATGACGATAACTATCCACAAAACTGCAAGAATTAATGATAGTTGTAAATTTTTTGGCGAAACCCTTTCTACTTTCACAGTTACCAATTCTGTCTCTTTCTGTATCAACTACAAAGTTCCAATCACCAAGTAAGAAGATACCATCGCAGAAGGGGGCGGCAGTGATCTCACTCTTTATTTTGACTAGAAATTGGTCGGACTCATTTTTAAGGAACGGGAAATGAATATTGATTATTAAAAACGATTGGGAGAGAAATTTAAAATGAATTTTGCTCATTTTACCAGGTACAATCACATCATGGCTGATAACCGAGCATTTGTGATTAACATAAAATGACGTACCGCTCCCTAGTGTGGTACAGTCGTTAAAAAACGGGGTATAATTTGATATATTAAATATTCCATGTCGAGTGGGGCATAAATTAGTCTCCTGAAGACAAACCAAGGTAGGACTAAAGGAGTTGACTAGGGTTTTAATGGACTGTTTTTTAATTGGATTGTTAAGTCCTTGACAATTTAAGGTCCAAATACTAATTACCATTTGATATTAAAAAAATGGGTTTTGTAGCTATCTTGATCAGCTACTGGAATTTTATTTAATCGGCAAAAACTTTGCCATTCCATTGACCGATAGTTTTGGTCAAGTTGGGCTTGAATTTTTGGAAAATTGTCTTGTTCCAATTCCAGAAAGCTTTTGACCTGATTCAAAAGGGCACCGTACTTCGTCACCAGAGATGTATTGCTACTGGGGATTGAGCTGTGAACCTCTACCAGCAATGATTTAATATCCTCGGGTGTTTTTGTCCTCGGGTGGTCATGAAAATTTCCTGACCCAGATTGACATACTTACATTTTATATTATTATTTTCTCGGCGGAGAGAACGCAAGAATAGAATGAATCTATCTTTCGTGACAGATTTCATTTCCAAATTCACGTCCTTCCACTTTTCAAAACCCCACTCGCTTATGGTTTGGGGTTTGGGGTCAGAGGTTCGAGATTTGACTTGCGCCCGTGTCCTCCTGCGTGACTGGGAGGAGGATCTTTGAGATGTATCGCTCTCAGAGACCTCCTCATCACCGATATCTTGGAAGTCGATCGTTTTTCGGCGTTTAAAAGAGGGGGTTGAATTCGTTACCTTTTGTGGGTTGGCAAAAATAGGCAAAACTATGGGATCCACATTACCATGTAACGAGTCAACTTGGTTGCTAGGCAATGAGTCACCCGGGTTGCTAGGCAACGGTTGCCCTGTTTTCTCAGGTTTTTTGTAAGTACAATTTGCACTAACGTGACCTTTTCGTGCGCACTTATAGTACTTTTTCGCACCAATTTGTACCCGCAGATTGTACTCTTTGCCATTGGCCTTGACCTTGACCACGTCAGGGACCCTTACCCCTTTCGGGATTGCTAATTCGAGAACTCGGGTAAATGATTTAATGTGGGCAAATTCCTCTCCAGCATTCATCAAACCCTGATGAGAAATGTGCCCCCGTAACTCGCCAAATTTTGAAAAGCATGCGATTAATTCAGCATCGTTTACAAATGGAGGAACCCCCCTAATGATAACCCTGCGAATTGGATTCGCATACGCATAAAGTTTTACACTCGCTGCCCCAAAAGATAATGAGTCAGCACGCATAACTTTATCAAAACTCTCTGAATCTTTTAACCAAACAGCCCAATTTGCGGCCCCCAGATTATCCGCATGTGTGATAAGTTGAGGGTTGACATATTTGGAAAATGCTTTTAATACTTCCACTAGAGTAACTTCTTTTATTCGGCGTAATACGACGCCATGGGCGCTATTCGCCATGAAGTCAACCCCATGTGACCCAACCGCTTTGGCAAAGGACTTACCTTGTGATGTATCAGGGATGCTGACGTCATCATCAGCTGGCTCTTCTGGACCCATAAATGTTTCATCCTCGTCTGAGAGAATGCCCATGATAACTCACCTCCCGAAGGGAGAAGAGGATTTTTAAAAAGCACACTATCACTAACAGAGGTTTTATGACCACTACACCATAAAATTTACACTAATATGATGCGTCTGTCGCTGAAACTTTCGAATTAAAAATAATAATTTCTTTAACCAAAAGTAAACACACCGGGAGCCTCGAGTTTCCGGTGTTTGAATTTGAATTCTATTTGTCAAAATGGACATTTGAAAAAAATATGCCACAAATTTGCAAATTTATTTCATAAAAATCACGACTTTATTATACATTCTACTCATTCAATCAGCTCAGATTACAGTGTATGTATGTATGTATGCGTATACAAAGTATTGGTCAAATTAGACAAGACTTTAAATAAAGCAAAAATAGTGATTTTTTAATTTTACCTTAAATTCAATCTTTTCAGTTTAATTGTGTATTTAGTTTTTAATCACTTTTATACAGCGTCATATTCATCACGGGATTAGTATCTAATTAATCCACACAGAAAATCGTAGAATTCTAACGTTACAAAATTTTGTAATGTATTGAGGAAATTCACGCAGGCCTTGGTAAATTTCGTAACTTGTAAACTGTAAACTTACAAAATTTTACTCATATTTCTGGAAAATCAAATTTTATAAAGTTACTAAGGACTGCGTGCATTGCCTTATTAGTTCATGATATACATAATTTTTACTTTGTAAATTAATCAATGAGGTAATTCAAGCAGGCCTTGGTAACTTTGTAAAATCCGTAAATTCCGTAAGCTTACAAACTTACAAAAAAATTACTCAAATTTCTAAGGGAAATTAGTTCACAAATTTTTCTAACCTTTCTCAGAACAGAACTCTTTATTTTGTACAAGTTTGCAAAGTTATGTAATACAAAATACACGTGTTTTACCAATGAATGCGTGAATTGCCTCATTCACCATAATTCTAGTACCACGCTTGGTAATAAATTTTTACTTTATTTTACACAAATAGAAATTCTGAAGTCCCCATGAAAATCGACCCGTCGAAAATTGACACATTTTTCTATAGATTCATCAGATAAAATTTGGACGGTTTTACTGCCCAAAATTTTCTACATGAGGTAAATGTGCAAGATTTTTTGTTTGCCGAAATTTTCTTATGATTCTGTACTCAGAAAAATGCGCTGAATTTTCTATCGTGAAATATTTTCATGCGGGACAAATCTCAAAATGGAAACCATGCACACTCAAAAAGCCAGGAGAAGAGTTCTATATATGAATTTGGAAACAAAGAACACACGATTTTTAATATCAGAGGTAAAAATTTGGTCAATATTTCCCAGAAATATCTATTCATTCCCCAATTTGTTTTACCGCACCAATTACTCATACGTCAAATATAACTTAATTACTTGCAAACCTCGCAAAAAGCACCAAACATAAAAATTTGAGACGCGGATCAAAATTCCATCCCATGCTTTCACTCGGAACATAGTCACACCTTAATTAACATTAATTTGGATCTGACACAGCAATCGTGTACTAAATATTTGATATGACACGTATGTATTCTCTCCATCAAGAAATCCCCAAAGACAAATAAGTTCGGCAACATATTTCCCTTACAAGCAATTTATTACTGGTCCTCCACCATCAAGTTAATTATTCGGATTGCTTTCACTTATTTTTAGCACGTGTTTTCCCCGAAACGTAGACAAGGCTTCTAAATAAGGGATGCTTTCACTTCGAGGAATTTTTTCCCATTACTTTTTTTTCGTTAAAAATTCCCCGAATTATTTCAAAAATAAGAAAAATTAACGTCAAAACTTATTAGGCGTCAAAAAAGATTCCTTAAAACCACAATTTATAAGATTTTTTGACCTTCAATAATCTTTGAGCTAATTTTATTTTTTAAATGTGTAATGATGCATTTTTGGGTGAATTTTTTACCAAAAAATCAAAAAGAAAACGTTTTTGATCTTCAACAACTTTTGAACGGGCATCGTTAATTTTTCTATTTTCGAAATAATCCAAATTTTTGGGTGAATTTTTAACAAAGCAACTCAAATTTTCCAAAGTGAAAGCACGTCTTGTTTAGAAAGCTGTACATTTCGGTCAAAGTTTTGCAATATCCAACTCCTTAAATTATTTCTTAATTTACGATATATTTAATAATTAATTGGAAGTAATAAGGTCAAAAATTGATTGATTTTTGTAGTGTGGAAGATTGAGACAGTTTATTTATGCGCATTTGTGATGACTTGAAAAATATGTAAAAAACTTAGAAAGATTTTTTTAACACGTGCATAATAATTTCTTGGTCGTAAATATGTAATACGGGTTGGGTAGTAACAATAGGTCGTATACTTTGTTGAGCATGCGGTCGACTTGGTTATTTGTTTGAGGTGAAAGTTCTCGTCATTTTTGTGTTACTTATTATCAGATTATGTTTTTTTTAAATATTTAGTAAGAGGAATTAAGTTGTGCGGTTAAAGGTGTCATCACTTGGGGGGTGAAGTGTCATGTTACCCCTGGGAGAGGGGACAGGGGGCAGGTAAATTGCTTGAGACACTTGAATAGTATACTTATCATGAGGTTTTGTGGTTTTCGTGCGTGATTATTGTGCTGAAAGTGGTTATCCAGATGAAAGGATAAGTGGTTGGAGGGTAAATTGTCCTATTACCCTGGGGGAAGAGTGGGCAAAATGCCCCCTCTTCGTACTTATTTCTTAAGAATTCTGAGACACTTGAGTAGTTGAATTTGTGGTTTTCGTGCGTGATCGTAGTGGTGAAAGTGGTTATCGAGATAGGAGGATAAGGGGTGACATTCCTTTGGAGGGTAAATTGTTATGTTCCCCTTGGGGGAGATGGGGGAGAGGGGGCAAATTGAGACGGAAATATCCCCTTGTGCAAATTCTGAGACATTAGGATTTAGATGATCTGTGGTTTTCGTGCGTGATTGTTGTAGTGAAAATGGCTATCGAGATGAGATGAAAGGCTGGACGTTGAAAATCTTAGAGGATGGCACAGGAAGTAGTGAGCCCGTGACAGTCGGTCGGCATTTTGGACGAGGCAGGGAGAAAGTTTCGTGGGAAAAAGGGTTTCTTGCCACTTTCTCCCTCTTTCTCTGGGGAGACTGGCTGCTTCTCTTCGTCTCAGCTTTCTGGCTGGTTGTCCTCTTGGGCGAGAGTATTGCGACGGGAAGAGGACGCTGTGGGAGAAGGTAAGAGATTTTTGAAAATTTCAGCGCGTCTTAGAAACACGTAATAAGGCGCGACGAGTTAAAAAATAGAATAATACACGAATTTTTACATAAAAATAAAATTTAAAGCTTTATGGAACTTTAAAGAGTATATAATGATTTTTACTACAAAATTGAAAATTCCGAAATATGTAAATACAGCTCAAACCGGTCATGATCACTTCACACTAGCTCATCGAATTTTTCAAATGACCTCACATCATAAATGGAGAGGTGAAAAACAATGGTTTTGAGAAAAGATTTTTTAAATCCGGCAAAATTTGAAAATTTAGGATTGTTGTGAAAAATTGAGAAAATTATTCAAATGAAATATTATGTAAAAAATGAGTCTAAATTAATTAATTAACTAAAGTAATTATAACTTGTGGCGTGAAAAGGATGGGAAAACAATTGACAGCTAGATTTGTTACCTGTGGGGACGAGGGACCCTCTCGGCGTGGCGGAGGATGAGGATTTTCTGGACGTAGGGGCCACCGTGATTGCGCTCTTTTGACTGCTCCGCCGTCGGTATGGCTTATCCTCCAAACGGAGCGAGTAAGAGTGCGGTTGCTCTTCAAGGATCCCGTCGTCTACAAAAAAACGTGTAAATTGAATTTTTCTGCATGAGATACGGATTTCAGGAGACGTGACCACGCAGGGTTTCGTTTCTCCTGTTCAGGACATTAGGGGAGTGACTCACTCAACACGTGGCGAAGAGTGAACAGTCATGTTTTCCCATTTCTAAAATATTTCTAGCGGTTGTAAAAACTCAAAAAATGTGGAAAGGCTGTTTTTACCGTGGGAAAAAATGGGAAGAAATTTGTAATTCAGTGCAATAAGAAGGGCTGATCCAAAACGTTGCAAAAATACCATAAAACCACACTACTTCCTGTATTTCGACTGGTGGTAAAAAATGGGAAGTCACACTTTTGCCAAATTTTCACATTTCTTATTTCTCAACTATTTAGATTAGTTAGTAGAAACTGGAAAATCAAACTTTTTCCAAATTTTTTGCCCTCGTGGCCAGGGTTCGGAAAAACCCAGGGTTTTAATCAAAAAGTAACGACCCAGGGGTTTTAATGGGTTTTAATGGGTTTTTTGGGTTTTAATGGGTTTAATGGGTTTTATTAGGTTTTACATAAGTAATACATTGAACAACAATTTTCACTACTATTGCAATCCAATTTCAATTAATATGCAAATCCTACTTGTCCATGTTAGAATTTGTATCCGTTTCGAAATAGTCCTGTTTAACTGATCATAGTTTAATACTTTATGAGAATATATATTACCTTTTTCTCGAATACTTCCTCTCATCATAATGAAATCCAAGTTGTTTAAAAGTTTTTAAAATTTAATATTTCAATGCGATCTTAACGTGTATTATCAATTCTGGAAAAAATCGAGTACTTATGAACAATGAAAGTACGTATGTATTGAGAATATAATAAGTGCTTTTTACAGACACACTTCTTTTGCTCATAATAAAGTACTTCGCTGTCCATAAGTACTCGAATTTTCCAGAGGTGATAATTAAGATCACCTTGAAACATTTTAAAAAACTTTATAAATTAAAAAAATACTACAGTATTTTGTTTAATTTATTCGCTGAGATGAGAGGAAGTATTCGGGAAAAAAGTATTAATTATGACAGCAAAATGTAAATTAAATGTAATTAAATTATGTATGCTGAGCATACTATGCTCAGTTAAACATACCTCGTTCCGAAATTATTATTTTTAAATATTTTTGTCACTTGAAACTTGTAATGGCACTCGCTGATTTATTCCTGGTTTTTAAAACTTACAATATTAATCGAATAAACTGCTTAGCTGCCATGAAACAACTTCGTCTAATGTACGACAGCTGTTTTCAGATTTTAGAATATAGTTTTAAGCTGAAACACATTTAAAACCCATTAAAACCCGAATAAAACCCATTAAAACCCAAATAAAACCCATTTAACATGGTAAAACCCAATGGGTTTTATTCGTTAACAACCCATTAAAACCCATTAAAACCCAAAAAACCCAACCCAATAAAACCCTGGGTCGGAATACCCTGCTCGTGGCCTCGTGCTTAAATTTAATCTTTACCAGACACATGCAACCCTGCTTAAATTAGCCACTTTCTCCATCCCACTATTCGTTCAAAAAACAGATACAGAAAAATCTGAGAGGTTATTTGACAGAGTTTATTCGCATGTTACAAAAAATTGATTTAAGAAAATTTAAGTGCTTTGTCTCCATTTTTTGAACGAACAGGAAACCCCACCCGACAAACCCACAACAACACGTACCTGATAAATATAGAATAATCTTTCCCAACAGAGCATCCACTCCCCCTTCCGGATTATAATTCCTAACCGCCACCTCCAAATACTTATCCTTCAAGTCTTCCCCCGTCACATTTGGGTAAACCATGGTCTGATTCCAGGTCGGGGTGAGGGTCACATTCGCCACGTGCCTCGTCCTCCGCTGGTTCTCTAAAACCCGCTCCGGCAACAGGAAAACGGTCACGTAGGGATTTTCCGCCACTACGATTTCACCCCCCTCCTCCCCCGGTCCCCCGGCCCCACTGACCCTCCGCTGCTTCGGGAGACGCGCCTTAATCACTGTCACGTATAAAATGTTCGCCTTCGGGTCGTGGCAAATTTGCAGCTGGATTTGTCCGTACGCGCCCTTTTTACCGCGATGGCGGGAACTACTTCCGTGCGGTTTTTCTCCGGGAGAAGATATCCCCATACTTTTAACGCTGATATTCTCTGATCCTTTTCGACCCCTGTAGATGTCACGGGTCGAGAGGTAGCGGTCATCTTCTTGGTCCATATCCCCTGTGGGGGGCTGGTGCATGTGGTGATGGTCATTCAACGATGGTGGTAGCGAAGCGGTGGACCTTTTTCGCAAATCGGTTTCACAAGGGATGACTAAATGTTGGGGAAAGCGGGACGTCGAGGCACCATCGGGACCTTCGTGGACGGGACCGGTCGAGGTGGAAGTGGGTGTTTCGGTCGAGCTAGCGGATGGCGAGCGAACCAAGCGACGCGGGAGAGATGGCTCGATTAGACGGGCGGGTGGCGCACCTAGCATGCAAATAATTGTACATTAGAAAATGTATTTCTTTCAAGGCTTCGTTTTTACTAGGACAGGTGTGAAGAAAAAGAGGTTTTTTACCGTGAGAAAAAATACTCGGTTATTGGATATGGGTTCATTTAAAATGTGGCGAAGGGATATCGAAAAAAAAACATTTTCCCATTTCTCCCACGAATTTTAAAGCTACTAAAAATGAGAAAAAGGCACCTTCTCCCATTTCCTACTTATTTGAGCCGTGGTAAAAAATGAGAAAAACATTTTTTCCCCTCCCAGTAATTTTAAAGGTGACTAAAAATGGGAAAAATGCTATTTTTTCAATTTTTTTCATAAAGTTAAATTTTCTCCTCCCCCTATTCACTCACCAGTTGAATGGCGTGAATAATCCTCCCCTTGAATAATCCCACCCTCATCGTGTCGATAAGGGCCTCTTCCCACGGATGAGCGTCGTATAGCATCCTCCTCCCCCATTTTTCCCGGATGTAGGAGGACGCGCGATTCTAGTTCTGCTTTCTCCTCCTCGGTCAATGGAGGTCGCCCTTTCCCCGTGAAGATGTCATAGTCGCTGTAGTAAAAACAATTTGCAAAAAATTCGCACATTTTAGTTTACGTATAGAATATCGTTGCAACATGAAAAAAGCAATGTGGGTGTTCACGTCATTCCAACCCAGCTTTACGGTATTCGCCAAATCGGTATTTTATTTTAAACCCAAACTCATAAAATGAGAGGAGAAATGAAAATTGACTTGACGACGAGTTTGAGGAAAATAGCCTTTGTAAATCGATTCCCTTTAACTTCACATATTTCGTAAGAAAAAAATAAAGCAATCTGATTGGTTGTCGCATGGCAAAGTTTGAAGATTTGTTGCATTTAAGATTTTTACGAACTTGACGTGAATACCCCCACTATTTCATTGTACACCTTTATATTAACTAAAACGGAAAATTCTATTAATTTGCAAATTCAACGTTACGTCCAAATTTGAGACAGTGGCTAATTAACAGTCGAAAATAATTTTAGCAGTTAATTAAAGTCGTATTTGACCAGTTTTAGATGATTTATTCACCAATAAAAAATTAAATGTCTCAAAATTACTACAAAATCGTACATTCTTGTATGAAAACTGCCGGGGCATCCCTCAATATCATTGATACACACAAAATATACCCAAATCATGCAAGACGAAAATCGTCCATGAAAAAATACTATTTCATTGTAAACCTCAATAACCGCAATTTCAATCAGACCCACTTTCACCAGGGAAAGTCATGAATGATTCAGTACTTCTAATGGCATTCTTCTGCTTCCCTTTTACACTACTCATTTCCTAGTCCGCCTGTCTTTGCGGGGGAGAATGTCGTGGTTTTCTTCACAGATATTATATTTATACTCGAGCGGGGGATCCTTCAGAAAAAATGGGACAAATTTTTACCCTCTTGGGAGACGAGGGTAACATTAAAAAAGTAGTGAAATTCGTGGGAAGTATAAAGTTCATGCCATTATTTTTCTGCACGGCCCCTCCCTTCTCATGGTCAACTTTCACTTTCTTCCTTCCTACGTCGTTGTCTTCGTCAGTTTCACACAAAATCTGTTCCAAAAATTTTCGCTCACCTTCTAATCACAAGTTCAACGACCTCATCTTCTCCTCCACCACCCTGAATCTCACTTTCTCCTCCTCTTCCTCCTCCCCCCATGATGGCGGCGGCCTCTTCAAACGTCTTATTTTCCAAGGATTCCCCATTCCACTCAAGGACGACGTCACCTTCGCGAATCTCCTCGCCTCCAAGTCTCGTGGGGAAAACCTTGTCGCGAAACACTTTCGCCACGTAGGCGACGAGTCGTCCCGTCGCGTCGGGTGTTTCCTTGCCTCCAACGATTTTCAACCCGACCCCGTTGCTTTGGAGGGACGTGTCATGCGGGTTTCTCCTCAGCAGGTGGCGCCTCACTGGGAATAGGTATTTATTCGTGTCACGCTGACAAGAAGGTGAAGGTGACGACTGGAAAATTAGCATGTAGCCAAAATTACGGCTTGAAGAAGAGATAGAAGAAGAAGAAGAGGGAGAAGAAATAGGAGAAAAATTAAGGAGGAGGGACGAAATGCGGACGTAAATTGAGAGCAGGGAAGACAGACAGGGATAGAGAGAAAGTAGGAGAAAGCAGAATTAAATGCGGGGCAAATCATAAATTTGCAGTCTGGCTGAAATTTTTTTATAGGTCCCGTGAATTCGACAAGTTGCCTTTTCGACTAGTTCTCCATTCGATGAGTGATTTCGACGAGTCACCCGTATCCCGGCCCCGTTAGTTTAGTCTTCACCATTTTCAGTGGGAGAAATTATTAGAAAAGTAAGTAAAATTGGCGAGAAAGCTGAAAACGAAATTAATGGGAAAGTTTGTTGACAAAATGAAATAAGTGGCAAAATTTGGTGAGAATATGGTCCAAATTAATGGCAAAATTGCGAAGTTGGAAACATAGCTGGAATTTCTTATGGAATAAACTACGCCCATTTTAGCCACCTCTTCTTGCCACATATTTTGCAACATTGTACACAAATTACGTATAAGAATAGGTCAGAGAAAAGAAAACCAAGCAGGACACACTTACACACACTTAAATACTTTCTCTCATATTTTTATCCTCTAACTTACTCGTCTCTCCAATTGCTCCACTTTTGGCGTCGGGGTCGCCGTGGCGGATCTCGGTGGTCCACCCCCCGGTCGTGAGGGGGGTGGTGGAAGCACGTTACTTTCTCCGATATCATCTTCCTCCTCCGGTTTTTCCACGACAATTCGTGATTTCACCGGTTTTGGCGATACTGCTTTCTCCACGGGCAAAACAGGTTCTTTTAAATCCCGTCTCGATCGTCCATTTCCTTTTACTTGACGTAGCGTCAGACCTTGACCTTGACCACCTTGTCCTTGACTTTGACCTTGACCTTGACCTCGACCCCGTCCATTTTGCTGTCTCGCCACCGTCGGAACTTCTGAGTGACGGCGACGTTGCGGTTGTTGTTGTTGTTGTTGTTGCTGCTGCTGCTCATCCCTTTCTCTGTACCACGCTTCCACCTCGGAGGACGCGTAGCACGACGACTCCTCCTCGCCGCCCCCCACGGTCATCGTGCTCACGTGGGACGTAGGTCGAACCCTGACCCCGCAGGAGGACGCTCTCCTCCGCGTCACGGTGGGGAGAAGTCTGGCCGGAAATTTACGCAGGGGAAGAAGTTCCTGCGGGTACTGAACGTGCAGCGATTCTCTCCGAGGGCCTGGGGAAGGAAAGCTTTATACAAAATGGCCATCCCCTCATTTTTATGAAATGCTAGAAAATTGTGATGCAGGATTAAACAATGTTTCAAACTGGACTGGACTGGACTTTTTTTCAGGGGATTCATGACAAAATCACTACCGTTTTTCGGTGAAAACTCTTTTTTATTTTATTGGATTGTGAAAATCAGAAGGGGGCAGAAGAAATGTAACAAAAATAAAAATCAATACACAGTTTACAAGATTTTGTTGCAGGCGATGCGATGCGATGCGAGTAAAGATGTGCAAGTACAACGTCATTCATGCCCGAGCCAAGTCATGATAAGTGCGAAGAAGGAAAACATCAAGGGAAAGAAATATGGGGGCGGATGGGATGAAACGCTTTACAGGTCATTTTTCCACGTGGGTAGACTTCCCGCGCCCAAGTTTTCAAAATTTAGGACCAAATTTACCCCAAATTTTCCCACGTTTTCCCAAATTTTACGTAGATTTTTTTGTAATAAAATGTCGCATTTTCATTTCTCGGGAACATTCTTGGTGTTTCTCTTCCTTCAGACACATAAATCGACATCATCATAACCATCATTAGACCGGCATCCGACGTACTTCAGCGCTTTTTTGTCAATCGTCCTGAAAAAAGAGAGAGAGATAGCGAGAGAGAAAGAGAAAGCAGGTGAAAGTATATCAAAAATACGCATATTTTCCGCATTCGCATCCCAACCCCGTTCCAAAATTCCATTCCAATCATAGATTTCATTTACAGGCACAGTTTCGTTCTGATAAACTGGCTAAGAAGAAGAACAACAAGAAGAAGAAGAGAAGAAGGAGACAAGAGTGGTGGGTGGGTGGGGCATGCAGACGTTGGTGGGTGGTGGTCACACGGGGGTGGGGCAAGCCGCGAGGTAAAAGCACATGATTTTAGGAATTTTGCGCGCGAAATTTGTTATCCCAGCATTTTTTTTATTTATCCCAGCAAAATAAAACATTAAACTAGACTAAATCTCTAATGGCGGGGTTATTTAAAAATTCCCGCCGCCGCTAAATACTTAATAATTTGCCCAGGGAAAAAATTATAAGTCCAGCCAGAAAAAGGGATGCTATTTTATTCATGTTTCATTTTTCTAATCTAGATGAAAAATAAATAAAGAATTTCCGACATGGTTTCCATGGAGACTTGAATAATATTATTATTATTGTATTTTTTTACTCGTCTTCTAATCCTTACAAACTATGACAACTTCTTAAATTACAATTATTTATGTATGTATGTAGTAGGTTGATAATAATGATTAAGTTATTTGCTTGTTTGTTAGTTAGTTATTATTGTTATCGTAATTAATTATTAGTCGTATTTTTTAATCGTAATAGTCGTTAGTTAGTAATTAGTCCAACATTGTATTTATTTATGTATCTCATCAGACCCAGTAAAATCCTTACAATTTAGGTTTTTTAACATGTGTAACGTAACGGAGAGGAAAATGATGAAGTAACTTTCTCTTTTTGTCGTAGTCGAGGTAATGAGATTTTAGTATTATTTTTTATTGTTTGAATGAACATATTGCATAACATTTGCACAAATTTTTGCCATTTTTAACACGAAATTGTGCAAATATTATTTAAACTCCCGATATCTTTTGCATAAAGTGACCACATGCTTGCCTCCTCAGTCGTCTTAAAGGTTAAGAAATTTTGATTCTTTTTTTGAAAAGTCGGTTCTAAACTGAAATTTATTATCCCGGGGAATATATAATTGCTCCACGTGCTTTGAGGGCACGTGGTTTCGCCACGTGGTTTCTAACATCTCAACCGGAGATAATAAATAAACTCGATTCTAGACATGTGCTTTTTGTTTATTTATTATCCCGGAAAATTACTCCACCTTTCTCCACGTGCTTTTCTCACGTGCTTTCACCCGAGATAATAAATCTTCTTACTCTTTGCCGCTTGTTGTCTGTCTAGCTGCGCGTTTTAAAAACGTGATTTTCCCAGGATTTTACAAATCCCGCCACCCTAAATATCTACCTATCTAGCATCTAAATTTAGTATTACGTAACACGCCGAGCGGACGTATCGTCCAAGGTATTGAATTGCTTTCTCCTCTTTTACTTCTGACTCTGAAGCTTAAAGCCAAGCATTTTATCGTCTCATTTTCCTCTTACTTATTTAATCACTATCTTCTCTTCCTAATTTGTAGCTCTTTTTGCACACATAGAAAGCAGCTGGAGACGTATATAGTTTTCACTCATGTGACGTCACAGTACAACAATTTTTTAGATTTCTCAATACAAAAACATTTCCAGGAAACCACACCAAAGCAACAATTTCATCATTTTTCTACTAATAGCCCTCTCTTTTGCCTGCCTGCCAGGGGGGAAGGGGTTAAAAGGGGGGAGGTAAAGGGATGAGCACGTGGTTTTACGGCGTCGTCCCGCCTTTTATAGCACGCTTCATATTTAAAATTTTGACCAATTTCTTTTTTTGGCAATTATGTATGTATTTTCCCCTAAATTTTCCTCTCTAATTATTTTCGACTCTTTTTCCTTATTACCGAAGAGTCTTGACAGAGATATGATTGATTGATTAATAGTCAACAGATTTGTCTCCCTTTTTACGAAACAATTCATATTTTTTGATAAAAAAATCTTAAAAAACTAATTTATCAAAGTAAACCTAACTCCTTATTACTTGAAAGAATGTCATTTCGTCATTTATTTTTTCCCAGGGGGGAATTTCACCCGTATTAAGTATCAATTAATTAATTAATTAATTACATAATTAATTTCTACACAAAATTATTATCAAGCTTAAGGGGGTATTTTTTCCAACCCCGCTCCTAAATCGTTTGTGTGGGTGTGTGGGGCGTAGTGTAAGAGATGTAAATATGTATACGTTACGTCATCATGTTAAAATAATTAAGATAAGCAAAACCTATAATTTAAGGCACAAAAGATTGTGGTATATCGTGGCGCAGTGATGATAAGTATGTATAATTAATTATTATCAGTACTAAAGACTAGATGCATACATGTTTATTCTTCCACCAACCAATGTCTAGTTACGTAATTAGTTAAATATTACACAGGGTACGTACGTGCGTCGTGCAGAAGGGAGAGTTTTTAACGACACCTGCATGTCTATACCAACCACCCGAGTCAAATAATTTGGAGAGGCGGCGAGAAAGATGGGATTTTTGATCTTTCTGGGAACATAATTGGTAACAAAATTGTTGCTAATTTACGTATATGGCTGATACACAGAGTAGTTAAAGAAAAATCAGTTCAAGACGATAAAAATGTTACTTTTGTTCTACTTTCTCGAAAATCTTTCTTGTTGAAGGTAACGTACGGCATTATCTAAACGTTGTGAGTGATCTTCCTCACAGATTTTGGGCAAATTAGGGTCAATTGATTACAAATTTAATCACTATAAATTTCCTGTTGGGCAGCTTTGGCAGAGATATTTGCATCCGAATAGGTGAAGCGCAGCTTAAAGTTGACAGACTTTATACTTCCTAAATTCGCTGCTCGCTTTCTCCTCTTCGAATGCAAATATCAAATCTACGCATTTGGGAGATCGAGTCTTTCACAAATTTCATAATAATTAAATTTGTGTTCGATTTACATAAATTTCTCCAAAATCTGTAAGCATACGATGTAAGACCTCCATTCTTTCAGAGCAAAAGTAACATTTCTTAATAACAATAAATTCATAGTAAAACAATAGCGACACCCATTTCTTAAAAACTGTTGAAAGGTGTCCATAAAACCATCTTTTTATCCACACTAACTAAAATAACGACTCATCCAGAGACGGACAGACGAGAGCATGAGGAGGAGAGTGACAGAGAACACACACACACAGAAAGAGAGAGAGAGAGCATTCATATTATTCTACATACGTATTTTTGTTAAAAGAGAAAGTCTGGCTGGTTATGTTTGAATGATATGCAGCATCATGATTTCCTGATATATATATTTCCAAGATATGCATTATTAATAAAATTCACAATTTTTTGTGGGGAGCACCTCACCTCAAATTTTTTCGAGTGTCTCGAACACCCTTTTTTTTCTTCGTGTATTATATGCTGGGAGAACGTCTAGCAAGGTGGGTGTGGTTTGGTTTGGTTTGGATTTTATGCGGGCACACAATCATTGGAGAGAGACACATTTAGATAGAGAGAAAGTAAGATAAAAAAGAGAATTACACAGAGAAAGTTCAGACAGCAACACGTATTATTTAGTATACACGACAGTGATGCAAATATCCATTCAGTAAGAGAGAGAGAGAGAGAAAGTAGTGAAAGTGAAAGTTGTGTTGAATAGTCTTCATTTAAAAAAACAAGCAATCACACCAAGAACGAAAAAATTCAAAATTTCTCAATATTTCTGGGGGGAGAAAAAAATTTCTGAAATAAAAATCTGAATATTTCCTCAAAAACTGGGCAAGAGAAAGGAAAGAATTCCCTATTTTTTTATATAATCCTTGCCGAAAATTTCCTAACTGATAAATTGGGCAACACAAAAAAAAAGAAAATTCCTATGGATTCACATGCTCCTATAGATTTCCTCATCTCTAACTTAATGTCAGAGGACCGTGCGGTACGCGCCGCTCAGCCCGGCCGCGGATGCCACGCTATACTTGCCTTTCATAATTGGATGACCTCTGCTCCCCCCGTCTGCTCGTCCGATCGGGGCAGAACCCAAATCCTCCAGCAGCCTTCTCGACCGAGTCGGCATGTCGGGTAAGATCGGCATTGCTGCCGGTGTCACGCCCCCCAACTCGCTCCCCATACTCTCACTGTCCGTCGCCATGGGGGACATGAACCCCCCCACGTCCCGCCTTTCCCCATAATACAACAACCCGCCCTCCTCCCCTGAACGAAACGTGGACGCGATCCGTTCTATACTTCGGTCCTCTTCGGACGCACAGGGCGACACGATGGTGACCTGGCCCCCGTGCCCGTGGTGGATCCGGCCCCCGCCCGGAAGGGAGGAGGAGTACGAGAGAAACCTCCGGTACTGCTGTTGCGGTGAGGAAGCGGCGTCATACTGGTACTGATCCCGGATTAGTTGATCGACCGACTTGAGCACGGAGTGTCGCTCGTCCCCGCCCATCAAGTGGCGGGATGAAGTGGTATAATCCCCCGAGGAGGATGCGCTTCTTTCCTGCATTTGTTGCCGTCTCCTCGCAATTTCCGCTTTGATCCGGACTTTCTTCTCTTCCCGGGAGAGGAGGTCTTCTTCTTCTTCTTCGTCTTCTTCCGACACGTAGGGCGAGGGATGCCAGGAGCGGGATTTTCTGTGGCGCCGGACTTGATGGCGGCGGTGGCCTGGCACGCCGGATGACGACCCGCCCAATCTTCCGCCCGGTTCGCCGTCACTGTTTCGGCGGGATAAATAGCGGGAGGAGGAGGACGACACGTAGGACGCGGTGGGATCGTGGTCGAGGAGATGGTGGTGGTGCGTACCGATGGAATTGATGGCTGTTTCACGGAGCACGCCCCCCGCCGAGGCCCACGAGGAGGCCAGATACGATTGGGAATGGTCCCAGTCGAAGGAGTGGAGTGGTTTCGTGGCGGAGCTGGAGGATGACCGGTGGGGCGTGTGGGTGTGGTGGTGGTGATGGTGGAGCAGGGCGTCATCTTCGAGGGATTCGTATTCGTAGGATTTATACGGAGGCCGGGTCAATAAGCTGGCCGATATCTGGAAGAGAAAGGAAAAGAGAAAGTGGTATAGTTTTTATGGTGTGAGTAACTAACAATGGAGGTCGACCAGGGGATGCGGTCAGATTTTGGGGAAATTAGTGGAAGTTAATGATAAATTTAATTAGAATGAAGTTTGAGAAAGACACGATCTACAAATGGGCACGTTTGCCGCAGATATTTGCATCCAAAGAGGAAAAGTGTGCCGTAAAGTCGAAAAATTTACACTTTCTAAATTTACTGGGTGCTTTCTCTCTCTTCGGATGTAAATTTCTATTTGAAAATCTATATCTAGTTGCACAGTAAATTTAGAAAGTGCAAAATTTGTTGACTTTTCGGATGCAAATATCTGCGCTAAACGTGTCCATTAGGAGATCATGTCTTTCCCAAATTTCACACTAATAAAATTTACGATTAATTGACACTAATTTCTTTTCAAAATCGGAGCGCATACGCTGGGAGACCTCCATTGTAAGTGAGAAAGGTGGGTAGTGGTGGTAGTGGTAAAGGGGGGTCGGGGGCGGGGGGCGTGCAAGGGTTAGTGAGAGAGAGAGAGAAACGTAAAAAAGAGAGAGAGAAAGTCGACAAAATAAAGAGAAAAAAATAAACAAAAAAGTAAATAAAAGTACAAAAAATAGAACAAAATCCAAAAAAGAGAAAGTAAAAAGAGAGAAAAAAGGGCACAGACAGACACAAATATACAAACACGGGAGGAGAGAGATTTATTTATTCGCTCATTTGCATAATCATACTCGATCAAAATCCTGAACCTCGCTGTCCCCGTCTTCTTGAATGGGCGAAAATTGTAGCAGGGAAACTTTAGGATCGGACATTTGACGCCGGTGGCTCTTCAGCTTCCGACTTAGAAGTGGACTTGCCCCTGCTGATCTCGATATTCCCACCGAAAGGTCCGTTCTGCATCACCAACCCATCAATTTTTTTTACAATTTTTTTCACAATTTCCTATAACTGATAAATCCCCCATTTAAAACAAAACCCTTCCTCCCTTCCACCCCCTCACACCCCGACTAAATCCTGCCCTTCCTCATCCTCCTCCTCCTCCCCTTCAACAACACAAGTATAGTAAGTTTGGAAGATCTGTGCGTGCTGTGAGTAAGTGTGTGCCTGTGCCACTTATCATTTCTTTTTTAAAAAAACCCGCCCCCATGCACCCCATATAAATACTTAGTTTAGTAGGAGTAGAAAATTTCGAGCTTGTTTTATACATTAATTTTATCGTTATTTATTAAGAGAGATGCAAATTAATAATGAATAACAGCTTCAAAATTTGGAATACCTCGACCTCAAGCCTTGCTCTGCTCGGGAGGTGACGGCATCCAGCCGCGCGCCGAGTTCGCGGTCCCGCTCGCGGAGCTGTTCCAACCTCCGCCGCTCTTCGGAGAGGAGTTGGCGCCTTTCTTCTTGGAGCTGTTCGCGCAGGGAGCGGATGTAGGAGGGGAGCTGGTTTGAGGAGGAGGACGTTAGGCTGTCCAGGCCCCCGCCGGTGAGGGAGGAGAGCTCCTGCTCCAGGGCGGACGACGAGGCGGGCCCTTTGTTCAGAAGGTGTCTCAAGTCGGGCGGGAGGCAGGCCGCGAGTTCCGCGAGGTTGGCGTTCCAACTGTCTTGGGAGGTTTTGTGGGAGGGGAACAACCCCGCGAGGACGGAGGTTGTCTGGGTGGAGAGGGTGTCGCCGTAGGACCGCATGCCGGGGAAGGTGGATGCCGTGGAGAATAAGGAGTGTGACATGGGCATGGGATAAGCCACGTCGGGTTTCGTGCCCATGGAGGAAACGACACTGGAGGCTGGGGGAGAAAAGAGAGAGTTAGAAAAATTTTGTTAATTTGGGGGAAAGTTTATGGAGGAAAGGAAAGAAATTTTAGGGATTTGGGGAAAACAGGGACAAAATTTGGGGAGAGATTTTGTTAATTTAAGTTTGTGAAAAAGGGCGATAAAATTTGAGGGAAAAGTTTGATTTTTTTAATTTAAGGGGAAAATTTATGACAAAAGGAAGGAAAACATTTGAGGAGAAAGTATGATTGTTTTTAATATAAGGAGAAAATTTGTGAATAAATGAGTTCGAAAATTTGAGTCGGAAACAGGAGGGATTTTTTTTATTTGGCGGAGAAATTTTTTAGTGGTGTGTGCGTACCTTGCAAGAGGCCGAGAGCAGAGCCGGGTCGTGGCACGGGGTCGGACACATTCATAGAAATTTTCCTAAGGTTGCTTTCACTCGCGGAAGGTCGTGAGAGAGAAAGCGGGGAGAAAGGGTACTGACGAAGCATCCCGTCTGCTGACTGCATCCGCAATGGAGACACCGACCTAAAAGAGAAACCAAAAGTTAATTTGATTCACTTCGCATGCAGAATCCGATCATTTTCAAAACTAAATTCTACATTTTCCCGATTTTTTATGCATTTTATTTACTTAAAACACTTCCATTTTCTTTCAAAATAATTTTAAACTTAATTTTGTACAAATATAATCACGAATAGGTTACAACAAAAATATCCCACAATTACTAAATAAAAAAGAAATTTTGTCCAAATTTGAAATACAATCACATAAAATTTAAAGTACAACAAAAAATTTACGAAAATATATTTCACAATTAATTCTTACTTTAATTTAAAAACAAGAAAAGTTCAACTCCAGCTTCATAACAATTTGTATTATAAACCGATTTTCTGATAGAAACTAAGTTTTTTTTTCCAAAACCGAATCTTACACATCAAAATATACAATTAATTCTCACCTGAACTGTTCCTGTGACCTGTGTCTCTCCCTCTTTTTGGTCGAAGGCAAGGGCGCGGCTTCCTCGGGCGGCAGGCAAGGTAACTTTCTCCTCATGCGCAGTGACTTTTGTGAATCTGTCTCGCTCATCGTGTCCGAAGAGTCGCCCGCTCCGGGAGGATCGCGACCACTCCGCGGCGTCCCCACCGGCGTCCCTGAAGTGACAAAAAGAATATTATCAGGGGCGGATATATATTTACGAGAAATATGTATTTAATATTATTTGAAAAAAACGCCAAAAATTTCGAAAAGAACCATCAAATATAAATTCTCGCAAAATTTGTATTTTTTAATTTTAGTTTGAATGTTTTGTGGTCCAATTTCATCGAGAAAAAAAATTCTTCTCGCATCTTTCAAGCAAGAAAAATACAAAATATGTACGCATTTTTCGAAAAAAATATGTAAAAGATTGAAAACCTAGATATATGTTACAATGTGTAAAAATATGTTGAAATTTTTGTGATCGATACAAGTTATGGAAAACACCCATAAAGTTTGAGCGTCATCAAATGCAAAGCTTGAAAATAAATAAATATCCGTCCTCCGCTAATTATGCAAATCTCAGACTCACATCCACCATATCCACCTTGTGATGAAGCTCCTAGTTGACTACCGGCCTGCTGGAGGCCAAGAATCGTTTGACCCCCGGAACCAATGAAGGTGCCGAGACTGGTCACCACGGCGGGGGTCAAGGTCATCCCGGCCGGCAGGCTTTGCCCGATGAGGACGGTGGGTTGTTGTTGCTGTTGCTGAAGAGATGAGCCGTCACGCCGCTGAATGTCGCTCGAACTCCCGCGCGATCTCTTCTTCATGTGCTGCTGTTGGTGCTGCATGGCCATTTGCTGTTGGTACATGTGTGCTTGGGCGGGGCTCAGGGCGCCTGAAAATAAAGTACAAAATAATATAGGCTCATAAAAAAATTGTAAATTATAGATTTTCAAGATGACAGAAAAAAAACTCTTGAAAATGGCAAAAAAATCCGTAAAAATTCGAAATTATTCATTAAATAAAAATTTTGTTTTGTTAAAAAAATTAAATAAAAAATTCGGAACAACATTTACATAAATGCTACAAAAAAGTCATTAAATACGAAAAACCACGAAATAAACATATTTATATATAAATATTGCGAAACTAAAAATATGCAATTAAATAAAGAAATCACGAATTCTAAAAATTCTAAACAAGCTATGAGAAAGTACGCAGCTAAAAAATAGTGAAAGTGCAAGAATAAATCTGAGAAACGAAAGCAAAAAAATAATTCCGAAAAAATCTTGAAAATAAAATTTCCACAGAAACTCGCAAATTATCAATATTTTACCAATAACTCCCATCCCCACGGTCCCCTGTTGACCTTGCTGTTGCTGGGTTAAAATTTGATACGATGGTTGCGGCGAGGTTACGAACTGCTGCGTCCCGAACTGTTGGAGCCCCGTGGACTGGGACACGGTGGGAAGGCCGGCCTGCGTGGAGGCGGACGACAAGTAGGACAACTGCTGATTCTGGCGTTGGTAGGAGGAGTCGTGAATGGGGGCGAAGGCGGAGTGTTGGTGGGAAATCGAGGATGGCGGCGCACCCGACGTGTTCACTTGCGAGTAGGGATCATACGGTGAAAGTTGCTGTTGCTGCTGCTGAGTGGTCAACCCACTGCCGCCAGTCGCCAGGGGAAAGGCCAGAGTTTTCTCGTCCGACGTAGGCGACGGGCGTGGCGAAGTGCTTCCCAAACCTGGAGGTTAATAAATGTTATAAAATTTTATCCTTATTCTTAACACAAAATTTTGTACATGAAAAAGTGCAAAATTTTAAATGAAGTTATTTAAAATTATACCAAAATTTGTATTACATATTTTGAAAGTTTGCATTTTATCCGCTAATTTTTAGTTAAAAATTTTTTAATTGAAAAATACAAAATTGTAAATGAAATTATTTAAAATTCTGCAAATTTGTACTGTCTCTCGCACCCTGCATAATTTGGAAGCATGTATTTCATCCGCTAATTTTAGTGCAAAATTTGCAAATGAAAAATGCGAAATTTTAAATGAAATTATTTAAAATTCTACAAATTTGACCTGCCTCTCGCACCCTTAATCAATCAATACTCCCAAATTACGTACAGTACGCTCTTTCATCTCCTTATACGCATACCTAACGCCCTACTAAAATCCGCCAAAAGTCCACTAATCGATCCCGCCCCTTTCGCTCCCGCCGCTCCAGGCGCCGCCGCAGGATGCAGCCCACTTCCCGCCGCACCCGTCCCCATCAACTGTTGCTGCTGCTGGTTCAAAATCTGTTGCTGTTGATACTGGCTGACTTCACTTTGCGTGGAATGTGGCGGGACGGGCGAGGACTGCGGTTGGTTTTGGTTTGCCGCCGTCATTCTCCCGGTTAACGGGTCATACACGTTTTGACCTTGCTGCACCTGCTGGGCCAAGTGTTGGTCGGCCTGTTGGAGCCAGGTCTGCTGCTGGGCGAGCTGTTGGGCTTGGGCTTGCTGGGCTTGGAGCTGTTGGAGCTGCGAGGCTTGCAAGCCCGCGGCAGGTGGCGGTACTGGTACGGGTTGTTGTGCCGTTGAAAATGCGGGTTGTGGCGCGGCGAAACTTCCCGCCCCCTGAAGTGGCGGGAATTGTTGCTGTTGTGCGGGTGGAATGGGGGACGTTGAAGTGGGCGGGAACGCGCTCCCGCCTAATTGTTGCTGTTGATATGGTTGCATTAGGCTGTCTGTCATCATCGGACCACCACCACCAGTTGGACCCATAAGTGAAGGTGGCGCTGGTTGTTGTTGTCCCCACTCGTTCGTTGTCGTCGGTGCTGTCGTCGGCATCCCCCCGATACCCGTCCCCGTATGGTCCGGCATCATTTGTCCCAACTGCGGAAAATACATAATTTGGAGTGAAAGTCGTTACAAAAAGGGAGGAAAATTTATATTAGAGAGTTGCGAGAGAGTAATTTCTTGCGAGTGTAATTTTGATTCTAAATCAATCTCCAAAATAATTCAGAGTGAAAGTCATTCAAAAATGGTACAGTTTCATCATAGACAAAACATTTATTGTAATTCTGATTGTAAATAAATTATCGGTGATTCATCTACAATCTAGCAATAATTCAGCGTGAAAGTCATCGTAAAAGCTGCGCAATTTCATATAAGAAAATATGTTTTTTGTGATTGTGATTGCAATTTTGACTAAATAAATTTCAATCTACAATCACACTCACAAAAAATCACCCCTCCTCAATCTCCCCATTACCCCCCGTACCTGCTGCTGCTGCTGCTGCGACTGCTGTATTGAGCTTTGTCTCATAGGGTCAATCATTTGCCCGCCATCTGTCGTTCCCCCAAACATATTTTGTTGGCCTTGACCTTGACCTGACTGACCTTGCTGGGCGTGCAAGGCTTGTTGTAACTGTTGTAGTTCGGAAGGCTGCTGCTGCTGTTGTTGCTGGTGCTGCTGTTGGTGTTGAAGGTGATGCAGCTGGTGGTACGGGTCCGACGGATTTTGCACCATCTGCTGCGGCATGTGCGCATTAACGTTGGAATGGGCCAGCGTCGTGGCGGAGGAGAGGGCATTGTCTTGCAGGTGAGTATTCGTTACATTATTATTAGTTGCATATTGATTGAGGCCGCCTTGTTGGTGGGGTTGGTGGGGGTGGACGTGGGCGTGGTGGGGGTCCACCTGCTTCTGCTGCTGCTGGGTCGGCAACGTCCCGTCCATCGAAGAAGAAGGCAGTCTGTTATCCAGCGAACGTTGGGGACGAAGTTGGGAGCGGGGTTGGTGTAAAACGTCCCCCTGAATCCCTCGCCGAGATCCACGTGGCGTCAAATCACCGCCAGGCATTGTGGGTTGAAATCCGCCTTTAAAATGGGACAAAATTCGGTAAATTATGTATTTTTACGCTACTCAAACTCTTGGAGTACTAGATTTTCCTCTCAGTGTTTCGGGTGAAAGTAACCACTTGCAAGAAATAAGGGGAAGAAAGTGGTTTCTTGCAGGTAAATATTTTGAAATGCAAGAAATGCAAGGCGCAAGAAAATCATCCTTCCCGCCGCACGGTGCGTGGCTAGTTGGCGCATATTTATTGCACTTTCTCCCAATTTCTTGCACCTTGCATTTCTTGCATGTAGCATTTCTTCCATTTTTTAATGCAAGAAATGTAGCAAACTGCTACGAAACACTGCTTTCACCAACTTTTATTTTACCACGCCCCCACAGCAAGAACTATTTTGGTCCTAAATCAGGAGTGGTTAGTGAGTGTGATATAGGAGCAAGTCATGTGCGACTGCCTGACGCTGAGTAGGTGACAGCGTGGACGTGTTCATTAGTCACGTGGGTGAAAGTAAGAGTTACGCGACATTTTAATATATCACTTTCTCCCACACACACAATTACACACACACACTCGTCAAAGGTCTTTTTGAGAAATGAGGGGATAATCAGTAATGACAGGATTTTCAGGGAGAGGACGGAATTTCCAAGCAGATAAGCAAAAGTGAAAGCAAAAAGTGAAAGCAAAAATCCTTCACAATTAATTAAAATATTTACGATACAAAAAAATTAGCAGTTTTTTTTCATGGACAGAAGAAGATGAAGAATCTCGGGTGTCTGACGGGGGAGGTCCTGAAATTGCACCATATACATAAATTAGGTATGAAATGGATGATTAAAAAATTAAATTTATCCGCGAAGAAAATTTTCTCCCGCCCCAAAAAAATACGAAACGGGGAAAGTATACGAATACACATCAAATTTTGAGCAGGACGTATTTTACCGGGGTAAAAAAACTAGCTAAACACACACACGATGTGCGGGGCTAAGAAATGTACACAGTTTTACATATGCATACATATGCACCACCACCACAACCAGAGTTTTTCCACCCGAGAAACGAACAAAAATGCTAATTTTTTTTTTCAACATCGTTCAATCAGCAACAATTTAAGCCAAACACAGATACATAAATGTCACACATATATTTTTTTTGCGGGAGGGGGCAAGAGGAGAAAGTTATCCGCGAACAAAAGCTAAGCCACAGAAGAAGAAGGAAAAAGAGAAAGTAGAAAAAAGTTAATTAATTAATGGCCTCTTCGTTGTCGTCATCATTTGAACGTTGCCGCAGTGGAAGTGAAAATCCTGGTTGGTTTTCCACACTTTATGGACGCTCCTTTAAAGTAACGGACAAAATTAAGTCGTACAAAAAAATCGCGGTGTTACACATGCAATTTACAAAATTAGGAGAAAGTTATACCGTTCCTAGGAAATTTTTTAACAAAGTTTAGTCGAACAGGGGACAATCATAACTAATTGTTTTTCCTTAAGATACAAAACGGGGGAAATAAACCTTTTTATATATTATTAGTCAAGAAAAAACGTGGCGAAAGTATTACGTCACGAATTTATCCAGACGTAAAAATGACATAATTCATGCACCGTACAGGAAAAGGATCACATTTTGTGTTCTTCAAATTCTGGACATGTCTTTTAATTTCCTCGCCTAATCTACACTCGCCCACGCCACGAGAGAGAAAGTGATCCCCATCGCGACTGAGCTCCAATTACACCCACCGTTTCTGCAAGCCATGCCAATCTCCGTGTACAAAGGTACACGGGCAAGCAGCCAAGATTGACAGACAGACAGACAGACCTGCTTTCACTTGGGTCAAGGCGAGTCCTTTCCAACTACAGGAAGGAGAAAGTGAGTGAAAGCAACGATAGGACATGTCAACCGTATGTGTGTGTGTGTGTGTCCGGGTGTAATGGGTAGATTAATTTACATAAGCCAGTGGAAGGCTTTTAAAAATGGCGGCTAGTTACGTAGGTTTGGATATTGCACTCTAAGAAATTTTATCACAGACTGGTGACTACATTGTTAGAAAAATGTGGTAAATTCAGCTAGAATACTCCATACTCGTATTGATTTGGTAATAAATTCCTAGAAAATTGACAGTAGTTTGTTTCAGAGTGGTAAATTTGTCATTAGTACAAACTTACAAAATGGTAATGCCCGTTATTACCAGGACCGGTAGAGACATATGTGCTCTGGTTAGTTATGATTTGACACCAGTTTTCTAAGAGTGTATATGTGACTCTACCGGATGGTGATCATACGCCACCGTTAGGAAATAATCCACCACTAGCTCGGTAACGAAGAAGCACACCACCACCAACACGTCAAAATCTACAAAATCCTGTAGACTCACGTCTATCACCGGAATTCTTAGAGTGTACAAACGACCTGAAATGATCACAATGCGTACATATTTTACAAAGATGTGCTTTCTCTCCTAGAAAATAAATCCGGTTACTTTTCCAAATTACGCAGTACTTTCCCGCTAAATATTAAGTGGTTGTACGGCTTACTCCTTACGTATTTATTAGTACCGGGAGAGAACAAGTAAATGAGGCGGGACGACGACCATACCATTCCAACAAGGAGAAAGTAGTCGTAGTCGAGACAAAAATTAATGGCATATAAAAAGAAATAGTAAGAAATACGAGAGAAGAAATAGAGAGAGAGAGAAAGAGAAAGTAGTAAAAAAGAGAAAGTTCATGCTACGCCATCACCGTCACCATCACCGCTCCTGATTTTTCCCGCTTTCACTCTTCTTGCTTTCACTTTTGTTTTTGGTCGGCTGGAAAAACTCTGGAGAAAGTGGATCGTCACATTTTCCATCCACCACCACTCCGACCATCCACCACCACCAAACTAAACTCTGACTATTTTATTTTATTTTTTAACTCTACAAATTATTTTGGGAGATTTTTTTTTATTTTCCAAAAAGTCAAATCTTCTTTATAAATCGGGCAAAATTTCGAAATTTTTTTTCAGGACCAAAAAACATCCAAAAATACTTAATTTCTTTACATACCTTGCTGATGCTTCAAACTAGTCACGAGATCTCCCCCCGTCGGACTTCCGCCTTCATCTTCTTCCTCCGGAATTGTATATACTTCACCTGGACTGTGATCATAGTACAGATCTCCGCCACCACTGCCACCACCACCACCACTCCCGCTTCCACTAGGTCCGGCACCCCCCTTCCTCCCGCCATCATGATCCCCTCCTCCTCCCCTATCGCTATCATCACTCTCCACCGATTCCTCCTCACTGGAAGACTTGTAATCGTCCAAGTCATGTTCCCTTAGGACGATAGCTTTCCTCGGTCCGGGCGGCGATTCTGGCGACTGTACGTCTCCCGACAACGGCGGGGATTTCGAAATAAAACCCCGCCCCCTATTATCCCCCCTCCTCGCGACATTATTCCTATTCGAATGCATCGAATTGGGCGAAGGACTCTCCGTAAAGGGCGAACCTCTCGGCGAGGGCGACGGCGAAGGGGACCTTGACCGAAAAATGGGTTGAAATCTATCCTCCATCGAATCGCTTTGGCTTTGGCGTTGCCGCCGTTTTAACGTCGAATCTACAGCGGACTGAAGGCGGGATAATTCTTCCATGAGAGCGGTCGTCTTCTCGTCGGGAACGGGTGGCTGTGGTGGCGGCGGTGGTGGTGGGGCGGGTGTGGGTTCTTCATGCCCCCCCTCGATCGGGGTCTCTCTCAACTGTTGCATCGTGTAGTAGTCGTAGTACCCGTTTTGCGGGGGGGAAAGCACCGAGGCGGTCGAGCTTCGGCGCGAGTCCGGGAGAAAGTCCACACTCGGGGCGCGACTGGGAACTGCTTTAGCGTTAGTGGAAGAAGAAGAAGAAGAAATAAGAAAAGAAGAAGGCTTTGCTTGGCTAGAAGAAGAAGAAGAGGCGGGCGTGCTGGTTAGCATGCTTGGGGTGGAGTGGTACTGGGGGGGAGGAGGGTGTGAGGAGGAGGAGGACGAGGAAGGGTACGAACTAAAGGCCACGTCTACGTGGGGAGGGCTAATTTCATCGTCAAGACCACCACCGTGGTGCGTCTTCTCGGGGGAAAATATGTCCTCGAAGGAGGGCCGGCGACGGTGTTGTTGTTTCGCGGAGGTGGAGGTTGAGGTGGGAGGAGGATGGGGGGAAGGGTGGGGTTGAGGCTGGTGGGTGTTATCCCACCCACCGACGAGAACTTTCTCCTTATTATGAGAGGAAATTCCTTCAAGGGTGGTGGATTTTTGGTAGGGGTCAAACTCACGCTCGTGCTGGAGGTGTTGTTGCTGCTGCATCGTGCCACCGCTGCCGCGTCGGTTGGGGTCAATTGCGTCCATCTGGGGAAATGGGAGGATTTTATTTTTTTAAAGAAATTTCACCTTATTTCGGGACAATTTCAATGGAAAAAGTTGGTGATTACAAAAGTTGTCAAATTAAGTGTGGAAAGTTTATAGTTTTTTAATCGAGAAAGTTGATGGTTTTAAAGCGAAATAGTACTAAATATTTACCCCTTGCTGTCCTGGTTGCTGCTGCTGTGCTTGCTGCTGTTGGTATGAGAGCGGAGGTCTCATGCCTTGAGCCGGGTGTTGGCCAGCGGGGGCGGCAGTGGGTGTGGCAAAGTGACCCATCTGCTGCTGCTGCTGCTGTCTTTGTCTCCGATTGTTTATACAGTTTCCACAGGTCCATTCAGGCCTCTGCCAGACAAAAAATCATCATAACGCATAAGTTCCATGTAAGAAAGTCTGCATCTAAAATGCCACTTAACCAGAGCTAGCATTGGTAAAAAAGCTCAAATTTACCACCATTCAAATATGCCAGATATGGGAGAAAGTGTCTTTTTACTAAATCCCTTTGCCACGTTTTGCATAATTATCAACATCCACTTTCTCAAATAAAAAAGACACCTTTTCCCACTAGTCATTGAGAACAAATGGTTTGAAAAAAATGAAACTCTGCCCTCGCCCATCCAACTAACATTTTCTCCTTCACCTCGTCATCCTCCCCACAAAAAGCCGCCCGACCCTCCAGATATCTGATGTTTGCCTCTTTTATTATACACGAAATCTATCCTTCGACTTTCTCCACTCGACCAGAACGAAGGACGATGGTAATGCTACGCTTTCCACGCCGTTTGGCCTGGTGGGAGGAGAGGGCATGACGTGTGGCGAGTGAACGTTTACTTTACACACGGAAAGTGAGTGAGTGAAAGTAAGTATCGACTCGTCCACTCGTCCAGTCGTCGTCGTGCTAAGAGAAAGGAAAGGGATCAATATCTACTATCTTTCTCTCTGCCCATTTAAATCGACCTAAATGTTCACATTCCTTCCTTCCTTCCTCATTCCGGCCTTTCACGATTTCTCCCATTTTTTTACCTCTCTCCCTCTCGCTTTCTCTCTCTCTTCAAGGGAAAGTCTCAATTGGAGCGGAAAACGGCAAGTTTTTTTCTTCCTTTCAAAATGAAACGTGACATGAAGAGAGATAGTTTTTTTTGTTTGTTTAATCTCCCATAAACTTTTATGGGAAAAGTGAGACTAATTAATTACAGAGTTAATCAATTAATGGAGATTGGTAAAATGCAGGAAATTAGCTTTTTTAAACAACGAAACGTGCTATGAGGAGAGATAATGGTTATTTTATTCGTTTAATGTCACACATGGGAAAAGTGAGACTAATTAATTACACGGTTAATTAATTAATTAACGTTGCTAAATTGAAGAAAGTTAGCTTTCTATTCGAAACGTAACGTGATAATAAATATATACGATTTATGAAGAGAGATTCGTTCAATGTGAGACAAAATTTTGTGGGGAAAGTGATATTAAAATTAGTAAAATAAATTTTCAAAAAAAAATTCAAAAAATTTTCAAAAAAATCGATCATGTCTTTTCTGACGTACCTTAGATTCAGGATGTGGAGACATTCCACCGCACCGAGAGCATACAATGAGCCGACAATCGGCACACTCTTGTCCAGGCATGCCGTCCATCTTCCCACTCACCTAAAAAACATGTCCAAAAATTTTATCAAAAATTCGACACAGAAATAAATCGTAATCTTATTAAATGATTTTACTCCATAAAATATATGCAAGTTTCCAATTAAAACTATGGTCTCATTTTTCCCCAAAAATTTACTAAAAAAATTTGTAAAAGTCGAAATTATTAAGATCATTATTATTATTGTCACTTACATCTCTTTGTCGACATAGGGGGCACATTTTGACTCCTCCACTGGGGTCGAGGGGGCCGGGTTGTTGTTGCTGTTGTACTTGAGCTTCAGGTCTGTAAAAAGAAAGCAAATGATTTGTATCTAAAATCAATAAATTATTATGCAAAGTCATGAAAAAAGTGTGGGTGGATATTTTGTCACATAATATGTCCCGAGTAAAAATTGTGTGTGATTTTATGCCAAATTTGGCTCGGTTTCCTCCAGAAAAGCTTTATGCAGAGCGATTTGGGGAGAAAACTTGGCAGAATTATGTACATAGAGTTTTGAAGAATGAAGCGGATACAAATTTTCAGGAGGATTATGTAAAAAAAAATATGCAGAATATAATATGCATCCAGCTATTGTGGATTACTGCATAACTCTAAACAGTGATTTCTACTCGAGATATGTATCTTATCGAATGATGCAAATATGAGAATCATTTTTTTGTGTAGGTGAAATAAAAAATATGAGGCAAAATGAGACAATTCTCGATAATCATAAGTTTCCATGGTAAAGTTGTTGAGGCACAAAATCCATGCAAAAAAGTGTGCATGGGAATTTTACGATAAACTATCATGTCATGCAAATCTGTTTTTCTACGCGAACTTTAATACGAGGCAAAATGAGACAGCGGACGATAATTATGAGTTTCCATGGTACATTAGGTACATTTTCTGCAAAGAATTGAATCAAATTTCTACATAAAATCGGATGAAATTTCGGGCCAAATTTCTGCAGGAAAACTTCCGTTCGATTTTTACTCGGGCACCCCTCCTCGTGCCCATAATAATAGGATACGATTTTCTCCCTTCGTGCAAAATCTATGATTTGCCACGACTCTGGTTGGCTGCCTACCAGTTATTGTCATTCGTTATTCATTCTAAGTAAAAAAAAATCTGCCTTGACAAAAGGATTCCTCGTTTTCTGCTTACATAATTTAATTGGCTGGAAGCCTCTCTACATACTTGCCAAGAAAAAAAAACATGGAAATTCTCCTCTTATCTCGGCTCATGGATCGTGACCCTATCTTCACTTGCATAACTGTGAAGATTCTTATTCACAAATTTTAAGCTCTCAAATTTCGTGTCCTGTTTTTGGAAACTTTCAAAGTTTCCAAATGTGGACTTTCTGCCTCGACAGAAAGTTTCGACAAGCTTCTACTTTCTGTCTCAAAGTCCCAGGATTATTTCAACTTCCGAATGTTTGCAAATTTTAGTTGTGTGCAAATTTTACTACGTACTTAATTACGTATATCTTAGGGTTAAAAATATCCAGGAAACAGGGACACAATTGTTCATTGTAATTTTCTAAATTTTGGAACAGTTTCAACTTTTATAAATGAAAATACGTCTCAAATCTGAGAGATCTCATTGAAATTGTTTGTAAAATTTTGCAAACATTTCGAAATTTACAGCGTTCTAATGAACGAATTCTCCATTTTTTTCGAATAAATGAATTTATCGCCTCCCTAATGATAACCTTTGCGTGGAATAAACTAGTTTAAACAAGATCCCAGCTTTCTCCCATGTTAAAAAACCTTCTACACGGTCCCTCGTGCATATTTATGATTTGTTTGCCCAGGAGTTGCTCAAAGTTTCATTTTTCTCCACCCAAAGAGTACGCGATACGACCATCAAGACGGCAATTAAACCGACTGCAAAATTTATTTATCCGACTCTCTCGCTCCCACGTGGTTTCCAAGAAGAACGAAACTCACCACCCAAACCCAATGTTTGTTCCATGGAAAATAAATGTGTGGACAACAGCAACAAAATTAATTCCCATCGGATCACAACTAACTATTGGTCAAATTTTACTCGCAAAATTTCCCCCTTTTATTAAACCTTGGTACATACTTGCATATTCGTTTTTTACCGAAATTTCCGAGACTTGACGGGTTAATCATACTGTGAATAGAATATTGGTGAAAATTTTACCACCATAAATTAGGAAATTTTACTTTTTTGTAAAAAAAACCCACAAAATTCGTCACTTTTTGATACATTTTATTTCTTCTTTTTAAGAAAGGGGCCATCCATAAATTACGCAAGAGGGGGGTCTCAAGCTCCAATGATATTCTGCTGATGTTACACATGTTAAAGGGGGGAGGAGGGTCTAAAAAATCGCCCTTTTTGCATTACGTAATTTATGGACGGCCCCAAACCCTATAAATAAAAACCAGCCTAACAGGTTGCCATGTTGGGCACGTGGGGAGGAATGCCGTGTGTGAGTGGAAGGAGGAGGCCGTGGGAGGAGGAGTCAATTAGAGGAGGTCGAGAGGAAAAGTGGACTCCACTTTCACTTTCATCTCTCTCCAATACAACGACCGGCAGTAAAGTTGTTGTTGTTGTTCAAGCATTAAACCGGAGAACGACGAGGACGACGACAAGATTCAATTGTCCACTTGAGAGAACAAATTATCCGGTAATGAGTTTTCCTCCCCAATTTACCTCCTCACATTTGGACCAGGGTTTCAAAAATAGATTCCAAATTCCTCCTACTTTCACCCGTAACTTGGTACAGCCTTCTCTCCCTTTTTGACATTTACTAAAGGAAACCAGAAAATGAAATTCGTCCGTGCAGAAATATACGATTTAGGTATTTGCCCGAGGAAAAATAGAAATGAAATTCGTCACGGGTCAAAATTTAAATGTCGGGAAACTTAGGAATATTGGCCATGTTTTCCCTAGTGAACATTTTAACGGCTCCGAAGCAGAAATTTAGCCCGATTTTCTACAGAAACGAAGCAGAATTATGCACATACGGTTCTGTAGAATGAAATCAACAGAAATTTTGGACCGGATTATGTAAAAAAAAAAAAAATGCAGAATATAATATGCATCGAGATTTTCTCGATTAGTGCATAATTCGACACGATGATTTCGCTACGTGTCGAAATTAAGGTGTCGTGACCGTGTCGTCCTACTTACCGCATCATTCTCTGCTGCTGTTGCTGCTGCTGCTGCTGTAAGTGTGGGGCAGGCTGAGGAGGTAGGCCGGTGGTGTTGGCGGTGGCTGCTGGGCCGTGTTCGAGTTGTTGTTGAGCTTTCGCCATGACATTTTCAATCATGGCTCTCTCCTCGGCACTCAAGTGACTCAGGTCAACATCTGGCACGGGAGCCGCCCCGCCCGGAGGTGCTTGCGAGACCGCCACTCCTGCAAAATCAGAGAGAAAGCAATTACTGTGAGAGATCAAAATAGAACCAAATCCCAGAAATGTGTCTCCTCCGACAAACTTTGTGCATTTGCAGGACTCTAAGTAATGGCTTTGACCATCTGAACCAGAACTACAATCGAGGTCTATCTCTGTATGGGCATAAATAGATTGTGATTAAACTAGTGTCTTCCGAAGACAAAGCTTAATTAGTGTGGAATTTGGGGAAGACGCGATCTCAAAATGGGAATGTTTGATGAGATATTTGCATTCGAAGAGGAGAAAGGCGTAGCAAATTTGGAATTTTTAAAACTTGTCAACTTTAGGACGCGTTATCTCTTCTTCGGATGCAAATATTTCTGCCAAACGGGCATTATATCTATTGCAAATTTAACACGAATTAAATTTGTGACACATTGACACAAATTTGCTAAAAATTGGAGAGCATGCGCTGCAAGATCTTCATTGTTAGAACGACTGGACCCCGAATTGTAGATTTTCCTCATTTGTTAAAGAGAATTTCATTTTTTATCAGAAGCGATTTTGAGAGTACAAAACCCTCTCAATTTTCCCCCGGCTTAATTTTGACAATAGAAAATCTCATTAAGTTTGAAAAACAAATGCAAGTTTTTCAATAAATTTTTACTTCAAAATTTCAAACTTTGCAAGCTTACTTTAAACACAAGATTTGTATCCGTGTCCCAAAATATTTAAAACTAAATTCGTTCCAAGATTTCGTAGACAATTTTAAATCCATTCTTTTCACAATAAATCCCGTAGGCGAGAATGAAGCCCGGAAAATAATCCCTGATTTAGATTTGTACCACTTTTTTGTACTTTATTTATGTTGGTCGGCGGCCAAAATGTTGTTTTCTTGTTTTTTATGATACAATTTGTAGAAAAATCAATTAGATTTTATTCCAAAAGTAAAAATTTTCCAAATCTAACCCCACCCGATTTGCATGCTTGCATATCCCTCAAACTATTTAAATCTTAGTTCGTAGACAATTTTAAAGCCATTCTTCTCACAATAAATCCTGAAAAATCCATTAATTTTCACTTCAAAATTTCAAACCTCCAAATTTAACCGCACCCTTCACACCCGATTATCTCGTAAAATATTTAAAACGCAGTTTGAACCTTGTCATATTCTGTAGACAATTTTAAATCCATTCTTTTCACGATAAATCCCGTACGCGAGGAGGAAACCCGGAAAATAATCCCTGATTTAGATTTGTATCACTTTTTTCTACTTTTTTTATGTGGGGCAGCCAAAATGTTGTTTTCTTGTTTTTTATGATACAATTTTTACGACTGATTTCTCCGCTAAATCCGCCTCATCCATTCTTCACCATTACTGACTTGTGTGGCTGGCTGGCTGGCTGGCTGCACCTACGTGTCTGGCAGCGAAGGAGAGAGCTTTCTTCCCGATTATTATTTAATGCAAGGAAAGTGTTTTCCCGGAAAGTGCGGGTCATGCGGGAAGGGTGTCGACGAAGGTGGACAAAATTTTAATCGCACAGGGTTTTTCTATGAAAACACATTTTTCAGTGGGAAAAGGTAGGTTTTACTGTGAGAAAAATGGTAAAAAGTGGGTTTTAGTGTGAGAAAATCAGAAAAACTGCGTCTTGATAAGAGCAGTTTGTACAAAACGTAACGAATGGATATCGAATGGAATCTGTTTTAATAGTGGTAAAAATTGGGAAAAGACAATCTTCTCATTTTTCCCGTTTTGTTTGAATCCTGGTAAAAATAGAAACAACAGTTTTTCATATTTCTCACACTTTCATATGCTTGACTGGGAGTAAAAAATGGTAAAACACGCTTGTCTCATATTTCCCATTTAGTTTAAATCGTGGTAAAGAAATAGAAACCACAGTTTTCCCCATTTCTCACACCTACTTATTCTTGAGTAGTAGTAAAAACTTGAAAAACACTTTTTCCCACATAAATTCACTTTACACTCCAGCCTTTCTGCACGGCCCGGATCACTCAAAGTTTGACACATGGAAGACCCATCTCAGATTGTGTCTCTGTCTGAGGAGGAGAAATCAAGCTTGTCAAGTTTGCAATATGACGAGAGAGAGAGAGAGAAGTTTATTATTCTGCTTGGTGAAAGTGGAGCTTGTGCTTCGTGGAAGAGAGAAAGTCCTATTTTAGGCTTCTTTCTCTCTCTCGCCAAGAAATGTGGTAAGAGAGAGAGAGCTGCAAAGTTGGCCTGCTCACGGATCACGCTCCATCAGAGGAGCACAGGGTTTCACAATATTTGGCAACATTTTCCCACTAGTTTTCTACCAATGTCGTTTCAAGATTAATCCAAAAATTGTGTACAGGCCAGTTTTATTGTAAGTTCATCCCAAAATCAGCGAATGTAAAAATTGTGTCCAGCCAATAGAGGTCGCAATTTCACAACTATAATTAAAATTGGACAGCAAAATCAATTTAAACCGGACAAAATGCGTCCCTTGTGAAATACAATCCAACTTAAATAAAAAATAATAATCGGGGAATTCATTACGAGATCGCAAAAAATATGGCTTCAAAATTCATTTGGGAACTTTCAAAATTATGTTACTATGGGAACTCGGAATGAATACCCCCAACCATTTTTCACCTATTTGAAGTGACATATAATCCATTTTATATAAAAAAATATTGCAATTTTTAAATTTTGTTCCATAATTATGTTCCCAACTCTTAACGAATACCTCGCCCAGACAAAATTCCCTCTACGAAATTCCGGCACCCTGCTCTCCCCAAGCTTGCAACTTTCCTTTCTCTCTCGTCAAAACAGTGGAAAATGGTTTAAGTGCACGTCAAATTTGAATCATTCGTCGATAATTGCAGCAAAAGCGTTGAGTTCATGGTACATAAGTGGTCCCACTTTCTCCATTTATCCGCAGCCCCTTGTGTAACGTGACACAATGCTCACTCAGCCCAACCAAACCGAGTAAGTAAACTACTCAACAATAACTTTTTGACTTTAACAAGTTTTGAAAGTTGATCAAATTTTGGAGAGAGAACATAAAAGCTTTGTGTTGTTTCGCTTTCACTTTCCCACTCCGCCTCGTCCTCGTTCTCGTCGACGGCGTGGTGGTCGTGGTCGTGGTCGTGGTGGAGAGAGAGAGGGAACATGGTCCAATAAGTAATAAGAACAATTTCACAATTTCAGACTCGCTCGGTGATGATGATGATACATTGTGAAATCTAGAAACATCTCGTACCTCGTGTCACAGGGTGCCAAATAAACACGGGCTTTCTCTTCGTAATTGATCAGATATGAGAGAGGATGAATAAGGGAGGAAAATTTATAACTTTTTTAGGGGCAGAAAATTCAAAAATATAATTTGTTTGTGCCTTGATTTTTAGCATATTTTGCTTTAATAGCTAATTTCACCAGGGGCCATGGAACTATTATCTTTTTAAAGATTTAATCGCTCTTTAATCTAAATATAATTGGAATGTAAAAACCATTGTAATACTTACATTTAAAAAAAGAAGGTTCCAAAATTGGCATTTGTAAGAACAACTAGTTTAAAATTATATTTGTAAAAGTATGACTTCAAAATAGGCATAAACTGCTACAAAATTGGTAAAAAATTCGCGAAGAAACCACTATAAAATTGCCTTTTGTCAAAAAAATGCTACAAAATTAGTAAAAAATTTGTAGCAAAACGAACACAAAACTATTATTGAAAAATACCCCTAAATTCGGGTTAAAATTTGCAAAAAAAACGACTGTAGAATTATCCTTTTATATAAAAATACGGCTTTAAAATTGGAATTTGTTAAAAAACTAGTCCAAACATGCTAAAAAATTTGTAAAAACAAAAATTAGCGGGATAAAAAACTCAGTGCAAACACCATTTACGAAACCACAGCCTATATATTCCGAACCCTGTCCACCTTTCGCAACTTCTGCTCCTCCTTTTGTAAACTTTCTTGTCGTCCAAATTCCCCAGATCCCACGCACTCCCTTTATCCCAAAAGTGGGAAATAGTCCATGTATGCACATCCACACATAGTTTCACTCTCAAACCACCGCCACCACCACGAAACCAATGTGAAAGTACAAAGGACCCAATTTCCAAAAGTGGTTCCTGTCCCGACAATACCACTACCACGACGACAATTAAATTTTCCCCGGGAACATTTGTTTGATGATTTCTCAGCAAACAAGAAAACCACCACGACAACCGTTCCCTTTATTCCTGAGATGAAAGTGAGAATCACTATTCGCTCAAGCATGACACCTCCCTATTTATGATTTCCTTCCTTCCATTCTTCTCAAATTTGCGAAATTTGTTTACACAGGCAACACAAGAAAATGAGTATAGGATCGATCCGTTGTATGAAAATTAAAATTAGACAGAAAATTTCTATGGGATTCTAAAATATTTGGATGCCTATTTACATAAAAGTACGTATGCAGAAAAACCCGAGGTATGAAAATTGGTTCATTTTTTGCAGAAAATTTCTACGAAATTCATCCCGCATAAAAATATTCTCTTCATTTCAAAAGAAAAGTACGCACCCGCAGTGTGAAAATCGGCCCATTTTTTTATAGATTTGGGCAGAAAATTTCTACGTAATTTATTCCGCGCAAAAATATACTGCGTGATTACATAGACCAACAAATTCCGCAAAATTATGCAGAAAAATATGCAAATTTTCTCAAATTATCCTACAACTTACCACCAACAGGTCTCTGCTGCTGCTGAAATTGGGACGGATGTTGTCCTCCCATTTGCCCCTGCGGAGGAGGTCCCCCTCTCGGCCCACCCATTCTCATCGGTCCCCCCATACCAGGCCTTGGACTACCACCCCCCAACTGCGGCGACATTCCCCTCTGCTGCTGCTGTTGTTGTTGCTGCTGCTGCTGCTGCTGTTGCCCCGGTGGGTTCATAATCTGCTGCCCTGGCGGCGGTTGTGGCCCATTAAACCTGTGCGGTTGTCCCCCCACACCACCCATCGGACGGGCCGGTCCCCCGAAGGAGGGCGGCCCCGCCCTCGCCCCTGGAGAGGGTCGCGGTCCCGAAAATGTGGGCGGATGACCACCAGGAAACCCTGGTCGTGGCGAACCCGGCGCGGTCGGGCGGGGAAAACCACCCATCCCGCCGGGACCTCCGGTTCCACCCCCCATTCCGCCCGCATTCGGTGGTCGCATCATCCCACCACCAGCACCCATCCCGCCGGGAGGCATTCCACCACCAGGCCCTTGTCCCTGTCCTTGCTGTCCCTGCTGTCCCTGGCCCTGCTGCCCCTCCTCCTCCGTCCCCATAATCGTATTGAGCATCTTGCTCGCAAAGCTGAAGCTGAACATGGTGCCGTCTAAGGAATCGTTTCACACACTTTTATTGCAAAAATCACTCCGCTAAAGTAGAGACACGTGTGGATATTATCACTCTTCAGGTTCGCTTTCACTCTTCTAATTCACGTTCATTTTGTGTGTGAGTGTGTGTGTATGTAAATAAATGCTTATACATAAACCCGGGTTAAAACGTCACGTGGGTGTGGGAGGGGTAATAATTTTTCTTATCTTTCTAGCACGACAAGTTCTCCGCGACGACGAGGTTCGGGTTCTCCTTCCCTCTCGCCGTTCCATATTTTTTACAAATTATTAATTTTTTTCTACTTTATGTTACAACCCGGCAAAGCGGAGGAGCAGGAGAAGAAATGTCCTTCATAATTTTCTCCTTGAAGGTGGAAACTTTCGAAATTTGGGTTTGTTTTCACTTTAATTTTACGACGACGACGAGGATGAGGAAGGCACGACGGGGGAGTTTTGTCAGAAGGAACACATCCTCTCGAGTCCATGGCTCGGCCACACTGTGTGGCCACCCCAACTGCCTGGCGCAAGACGGCGGCGGCCACCACCTTCGAAAACGTAGTGGGATCTCTGGCTGGTTTGGAGGGGGTGCGTGCAGGTGGGACGCGTAAGGAGAGAAAGTGTGGAAGGAGGGGAGAAAGTGGGGAAGAATTCGGGCTGGATGAGCCCCCTCCCCGTAGAAACCGATTATTCGCCTCAACCCGAGAATGAACATTGTGTGCAGGGTGCAGATCGATATGGGTGATGTCGGGTTACTTTCTCTTTTTTCGGGTGGGAGAGTGAGGAGACTGGCGCATAATGTTACACTGCATAACTACTGCAATGGTATAAGAGAGGGGCTGTGCGGGTGGGTATCGCTTACGCAAAAAAATTCACCCTGTAACGTATGTAAGTGGCTTCCGAGGAAAATAAGGATATACTTTCACTTGATGGGATGGATAAAAATATGCGGTGAGAAGGCTAATCTTGTCTCGTGTGGTTGCTCTAATTCGCATAATTTTTTAAGATTCGCACGTTTTCTTAAAGATTCGCACGTTCTCTTAATTTCATTGGTGATTATGTAAATAGGGGCTGTGCAGGTATATCTCTCTCTTTTACAGAAAAATGCACCCTGTAATGTTGCCCCCGTAGAAATATCGGCGAACTTTCACCTATTCTAATGTTATGCTGCTCAAATCCAATCCGGTTAGTCTCGTGTGGTTTCTCTCATTCACACAATTTTCTATTTGAGATTCGTACTTTCTCTTCTTCTTCTCATAATTTCATTCTTATGCAAATAAACTTTTCCCGCTAATAAGTAGTAACTATGCGAGGGAAACTTGTTGATAAGTTTGCTCCTTTGAGGAAAAGGTAACAATATAAGAGAATGAGAGAAGAGCTGTGTATAAGAAAAATCCACCCTGCAGATTTATAACCGAATTATAAGCATACTTTCACTTGAAGAGATCTAATAATACGTATGCTGCTCGAATCTACTAATCCGGGTGTACTTTCTCTCACTCACAGAATTTTCGCAAGATTCGCACTTTCTCATAATTTCATTCGTAACTATGTAAATAAGGGAAATCCAGGCCTCTCTCTCTCTCTTGCACAAAAATCCAACCAGCTCGCCTCTTAAATAAGTATACTTTCAGTTGAAGAGAGATCAAATAATGTGCTGCTACTTGAATCCACTAATCCGGGTGTACTTTGTCTCATACTCAGATAATTTTCTAAGATTTGCACTTTCTCATAATTGATATGTTATGTACTTCGTATTATCATTGCAAACACATCAGAAAAGCTGCCTACATAGGAGTCGAACATTCAAATTCTTAACAAAACCTTAAGAAAAAGTTGTATACCTAATCCAAAAATAAAGAACTTCTATAAAAGTCAAAATAAATTTAAAATAATTTCATAATTTTTCTCATAATTTCATTCTTAAGTTTGCAAATATCCAGGTCTCTTTCTCTCTCTGGCCCAAAATCCAACCTGCACGACCCCCCTGTCTCCTCCGAAATAAGCATACTTTCACTTGAAGAGAGTTCTACTAATGTGCTACTCAAATCTACAAATCCAACTTTCTCTCATTCACCCAATTTTCTCTAAGATTCGCACTTTCTCTTCTTCTTCTCCTCATAATTTCATTCTTATGCAAACAAACTTTTCGCCGCTAAAATAACTCTAAGCGAGGGAAACTTGTTGATAAGTTTATTCCTTCCATTGAGAGAAAGGTAACGACCACTTAAAATGCTTAAGTACTTGAAAATGATGAATGTAAGTGGGTGACAAAAGCCACGTGGTTTAAAACCCGGTCGATATGTGTGCCCTCAATTTAATGGAATCCGTACTTGAGATCGAGGGCTCATCTTTGAATCGTCGTGGGATTAATTATTCGAGTGACGCTTTTTTGACGTGGGACCAATAATTGAATTCGTCTCCTTTCTCCATCTACTTTCTCCTGAAAAGTAATTAAACTGGAGAGACGACACGACATGACGCGACGTGACACGATTTCTCATTTCGTTTTCAACCCAGGGCCACACAAACAGAAGGAGATAAGGAATAAGACGAACATCATGAGTGGTCTGCTATGTCTCGAGGGAGGGGCTCATTCATAAATTGTGGACTTTCAGAAATATTGGGATCATTTCCTGGGTACAAATATGTGGCCTGAGTTTCTGTACAAAAACTGTAGGCAGAGCGACTTGTGCCCGGTTTTCTACAGAAATTTTATCCGATTTTCTGCACAAGGGTTTGTGAGGAGCGATTTGTGCCCGATTTTCTCCAGAAATCTTTTACATATGTAGAGCGATTTTTTCAGAAAACTGAATTATGCACATACCGTTCTGCAGAACGAGACGCATATAAATTTCTGGAGGATTACATACCAAAAACTATGCAAAATACGATATGCATCTTCGCTTTTCTAGATTAATACAGAATTCGACACGGTGAGCTTTTCTAATCATGCTTCCTACAAAAGTAGTGTGTGGATGGCCTATCGCATAATTCAGCCAGCCGGGATCTCATCTTTCTCAGGTCTTGGCAGGTTTGCAAAAAACGTGGAGAAAGTGAGCCAGAGAAAGCAAGCAAACCGACCGAAACTGCCCGACAGACTTTGTGTCTTCCTCTACACACTTAAAAATCTGGTAGAATCACATACACACTCCGTACTGTCAATAGTTTGGTAATAACCTTCTACCGATTTGGTAGTAGTTTATCCCCACGTGGTAAATTCTGCATGGCCACCACACCACCAAACTCTTATGCCCATTATTACCGTGCCGGTAGAGCCATTCTCCGGGTAATACCGGTTTAATCCCCGTTTTCTAAGAGTGTCCCATAAACTACGCTACTACCACCTTTCCCTCCCCACTTTCACCACCCGTGCAATGCAGGCTCCCCATATTATTCAAACATCTGCTTAAACTAAAAGAGCAACAGGAGGACGGTTTTTTTCGTTAATTCCGAAATCATCAGAATCAAATGGTCCGGACTTCTTGCTTCAGGAGGGAGCGATTTCTTCCGCCATTATGAAGGCATTTGTGGACCATGGCAGCGTAAACTTTGTCCAGACTTTGGTCACCACGGCGGAAAGTGTGGCGGCGACGACGACGACGACGCCGAAAAAAAATCATGTCGACGTGACGGACCCGAGTCTAATTGTGTACAATCAGCAGCAGGGGGCGAGTAACAGTAATAAGGAGACGGTCGTCGTTTTCCTCTCCATTTCCGTCATTTGTATAACTTTCTACTTTTCCTACCAATTTTGGAAGAGGAATAGGCGTAGAAGGTGCTCCATTTCGAAGTAAGTTTCCAATTTTTTGCAAGTTCGTGCATAAATGTGTTGTCGGTTTCCAAAAGTATATGTTACTCGAGATATTTTGGTTAGAAATCTCCTCTAAAATGAGGATTATTTCGAAAAGAAAATCAGTGTTTCTTGCGGGTTTGCCACATTTCTTGCAGTGCAAAGCAAGAACCGCAAGAAATGTGAGATGCAAGAAAGGGTAAAAAGTGCTAGAAATACGCTCCATCCAGCCAAGCACCGTATGAAATATAGCGGCGGGCGTGGTTTCTTGCGCCTTGTATTTCTTGCAGGTCAAAATACCCGTAAGAAACCACTTTCTTCCCGTTATTTCTTTGCAAGTGGTTACTTACACCCGAAACACTGATCCAAATTTCCTCTGTACCTCTACCCGTTCTAAAATTAGTGAATATCAAAGTCTGATTGAGAAAGTTTAAGTAGTAAATTTTGGAATATCGGAAACTTTCAGCTTTTCATTTTTTTTAATAATCTCAATTTTTGGCTGGTTTATTTCCTAAAAAATCTATTTCCATCATAAAACATGTGTACAATTATATGAATCCAATGCGTGTAATTTGGAACAAGTTGACTATTTTCTTTGTGACGACTGTGTGACAAGCTGGTGGATTTCCAGGTTGGAGGATTATCGCTACTCGAGATTAAGTCAGAACGAGATTGACGTAGACAGCATTCAGTTCAACCATCCGCTCCACGAGGGAGGTGGCAGTGGGGCCGGTGGAGGGAGTGGAGGGCACCACGTGGGGGACCATGTCGACGAAGAGGAGGAGGAGGACGAAGCCGACTTTCGTCAGGACGAGTGCCCCTTCGAAGATGAGTTTGACAGTTTCGAGGACAGGAAGCCATTCACTGATGTGAGTTACTTAGATTTGCATAAATTTGTGGATTTTGAGACATGTCACGTAGCGAAATGGACAGGATTCTGGCTCATTTTTGTCCATAATTACTTTTCATGGTGATTTTGGAACATATCACCTGGTGAAGGGACATTTTAATGAGTATTTTCGTCCGCTGTGACATTGTGACGCTTATTTCACCCAGTTTCGTCCAAAATTACTGGATTTTATGTTTATTACGAAAGCGGATTTTTTTTCGCCACGAAATCTATTTCACACTGATTTTAGGACGCGTTTTGAAAGACTTTTATATTTTTCTAGCCGACACCGGCCACTTTACATATTGAGACGGACAACAGTTTTCTAGCGAGGCATGCTGATTACCGGACTGCCTCCTCCTCCATCCTTATCGACGACTTATCCGATGAGGTAATACAGATAACCAAATTCATACCCCACCCCAAATAACATTACCCTCACCCTAAAAAAAACATGCCCTTTTGCCCAAATTTGTGCCCTAATTTCCAAGCTTTACAAATTTAGGCATTGCATACCAGTAACTAATAGAACGTGCCTTTTAATTCCTTCCCACGCCAGCAGGACCTCCTCCAGTGATTCGTCTCCGTCTAACAAGAAGAAAACCTTAACCCATCCACAACTTTGGACAAAACAATCTGAAAAAAACAATTGGATTGCACGAAATAAAATCAAAACCAAAAAATACGTTTTCGAAATAAATACAAAAATTGGTGTCTTCCCCCAAAAAAGCTGTCTCCCTGACTGGATACATAAATAAAATACGTTAACGGTCCTGCCGAAAGGATGTGATTTTCTCATCTTTTTCATCTCACGTTTTTTGGCACGTCCGCCCTTAAGTCGAACAAACATCGGCCTGACAGGTCACATCCTTTCCGCACGGCCCTTAACGTAGGACTCGATGACTCATCGCTAAAAGAGTCAAAATCAACACATTTTAAATCGTTTCTCGCCTCTGGGAATTTATTTTAAAATTCTGGACGACAAATTTGTAGAGCAGGGAGTTGACAATTTTTTGAAAATATACATTCTAGATTTTCACCTTTTGAAGGAGGAGATCTGACGTTTAAGAAGCCTCCAGAAAAATTGGAATTCGTCGTAACTGGCTTAAAACCTCAGCCCCATTCCATTAATCAACTCACAAATTCGTCATCCAGAATTTTAAAATAAATTCCCAGAAACGAGAAGTGATTAAAAATATTCTGATTTTGACTCTTCTGGTGATGAGGCATCGCCTCCTACGTTAACACAATCTTACCACGACTTATCTTCATGTTGATACATAAATACATAAATATTTAGAGAAATAAAAAAAATATATAATAATTTCATGTCTTATTTTCTTTTTTATTATATTTCCTTCTTCTTCTTATACCAATTTAAATATTTATTACGCCACCCAGAAAAAATTGCGGGGCAGCGTAATTAATTAATTCAATATTCATATCGTAATAATTAAGTAAATTATAATTAACTTTTTACAAATAGTAGCTAGAAAATATCATCAATTTATGTATCACGCACGCAGTCTCTATAAAAAAAAGTCTAGAGGCGGATTTATTTATTTATGGATAAGCCGTCCATCATTAAAAGTCAGGAGATACATTATTATTATTTAATTAGTCGTCGTAAAATTAATTGAGTAATTAGTTACTTATAATTAAATGTATACTCGTAAACAACAATTATTTATGAGCGAGGAGACGATATCAAAATTGGATCACTATTTATCTCAACGTCAGGATTATTTTCTTAAAAATGGTCAAGTGCACGAGTCAAAGGAATTATTAGTCTCTTAATTTATGTATTAGTTTAATAGTTAATTATTAGGGTTCATCAAGCTTCGTCAATCTTGTCCGTGTCGGCACATCATTATTCGTCTTCTTTTCCTTTAATGAAGGACTAAACTGCCCTCTTTCGCCCAGAGGTCGAGGGTCGACTCAAACTGCAGGAGCTGATCCGACTGGGGGCCCCACCTGGAAAAATAGTTAGTGTTACAAAGTGTTTCAAAATAAATTTAGCTAAATTTTAGCACAATTAAGGGGGAGAAATTAGTCATCTAAAATTGGTCATCTCACCTGGCGAAATGTTGGATGATATGGACCGGGTATTCGATGGGTGTCGCGAGAAGGTGCAGACTTCTCAGCACGGTCTGTACCAGGACGTCGACCTCTTTTATGTATAACCGATTCAAGTACGCAACTCTCTCGTCGTCCGGCAGGCTCGTCTGAATAATGGACTCGCCTCGATGAAACGCCGCCATGAGGAGGGAAATCCCCAACTGGACAGTTAAAAAAATAATTAGTTAAATTACCACTCAGAATGGAGGTCTCCCACCGTATGCTTTCCGATTTTCAGCAAATTATTGTCAATCGATAACAAATTTAATAAGTATGCAATTTGAAAAGGACACGAAAGGAAAAGCTGGAAAGTGTAAAACTTGTCGACCTTAAGGCCGCTAAACGTGCGTATTGGGAGATTGTGTAATTTGCAAATTTCATATTAATTAAATTTGTACTCGATCGAGTCGAAATCTGAGAGCATACACGGTAGGAGACCTCCATTGTAAGACTAGGAATTAACTGTGAAGATGGTCACCTTGCTGGTTATCATGCACTCGTACACAGCTGTGGGGACGATCCCGTTAAACGCGAAGATGAGGTCTTTCATGTCGGCGGAAATGATGCAATGTCGCAGGAAAGGGTAGGTCCGGTCGATATCGGAATTTTTAGAGGCTCCCCAATCCGGAAAGTTTGTAATCATGTGGGACAAAAGTTGGAAGCGGAACTCTGGATCGAGTAGAGGCATCAGGCGGCTGATTAGCATCTGTGGGAGAAATTTAGTTAGACACCAGGTTTTACGTTGCAGTGGCCGATAAGCCTTTTTACGATACTTTTCCAATTTGCGAAATAATGCTCGTGAGATTTTTTGGTTTGGAATCGAGGTGAAAAATACTTTATTTCGAAAATAAAGGTAACTGCTGGTTCAAAAATTAACGAGCGGCAACGTTTACAAATTCCCAACTTTTCAATAACTTTTAACGGGCATAGTTGGCCTTAGTTTTAAATAATCCTCATTCTTGTATTTATTTTTAACCAAAAAATCTCAACAGAGAACCAAAAGCGCGTGCTAAAATGCTTATTATCTACGGCTCGTTCAAAACGTCTTAATGTTACCTTGCCCTTGTGGACAGACAAAATTTCGGCGAGTTTATTCTGCGGGAGTAAAACTGTTTTAACTTTCCGCTCATTCTCGTTCCGTTGTTGCAACGTGTACGCGTCGGCATTCATGAGCAAAGTTTTCCTAATGTCGCCCTCCTGGATTTTCAGCAAACATTCGTACAACTGCAAAAATAAAATTAATTGACATAAATAAAAATTTCACGAAAATCTATTTACTGAATATACACTTCAAAGAACTACTCCATTTAACAAAACTTACCTTTTCAATTTCTAAAAGTAGATATCGATACGCCTTCATCCCACCGCGATTACTTTGACCCGCATCTACAACCCGAATAACCGTATCGATCGCCTTCTTTGGGGCTAACGCACTTACGGCCTGTATAATTTTACATGTTAAGGTAGCTTACTTCCATACATTTGCGATATTACTTTTAAGGAAAACTTACCTGTAACTTTCCTAACGAATTTTCAAAATGTGCCGGTTGATAATTATTTCTACCCGAGGAGTCGTCAGACTTATTTGGAAATAGTTTTATGAGGCAGTCTCGCTGTCTTTTCGGATCAGAGGTTCCACGTCGTACACGGTACATCTGAAACAAATGAGAATTGTTATGTATCGATCGCGTTTCATTCAAAAAATTTACAATGCTAAAAAATAAGGAGATTTCCAAAAATATGATTTCATAAAGCTATAAAACAGTCGTGTTATCTTATTTTGTCGGATTATCCGCAATTTCTATGGCTACTGAAGAGTTTTTGTGAAATAATTTTGCGAATTCAAAATACACCTGGTTAGTTTCGGTAAATTTGGAAGAAAAATCTCATACTTTTCCAGCAAAAATTTATCTAAATCTCAAAAACTTGGCAAGTTATGCTCGTTTTGCGTGCAATTTGATTTACCAAATTGCACTAAATTTGTCTATTAAAATCAAACCAAGCATATACATAACATTTCTCACCAACGAGTAATAATCCGTCGTGTACGGGTGGTCATTTTGCAATTGGACTATCGAAATATTTCTAAGTCTTTGTTTATCCTTCTCATTCATCAACCCAGAGTAGGGATCATCCGAACGGAAGTGGCGCATAAAGTGAGGCGGCATTTGGTGCTGTTGGTGGGGTGGCCCCATTCCAGGGAAATTACCCTGCCGGCCTGGATGATGCATGTTAGATGGCGGTGGTGGAAATGGGAGCATCATATGTGGCGGCATCCTACTCCTCATTTGTGGACTCATCTGTTGCATCATTCGCATGTGTTGTTGCTGTTGATGAAGAGCAAATTGTACTTGTTGGTGGTGGTGATGCATTTGTGCAGGGTTCATCATCATCCTATTTCTTGGGGAAAATGGGTGCGGTCCTGGTCCAGCCATGTGCGGAGGTGGAGTGGCATGCTGCTTCCTTTGCTGTTGCTGCTGTAGGATCATTAATTGATTCACATTCAATCCTGGGGGAGGTCGGGGACTACCCTTTTGCGACGAAGAAGAGGAAGGACTTCCCCCGTGTCGCAGACCATTATTATCCGTCGTCATTCCAGGCGGTATGGAGTGATACTGCTGCTGCTGCTGCTTTAGCGGGGAGGAAGGTACAGGTTGCAGGGGTGATGGGGAGGAAGAATCGTCCATTAGTTGACGTTCCAACTCTTCCGCCGTCATGATGAGGGGATGGTGATGATTTGTAGATTTTGTAGTGGCACCAGTACTAGGAGGAGGAGGAGGTGGAAGAGTGTCACCTCCACTCCCCTCGAGAAGCTCACGCTCTATTTCCTCTACAGTTTTAAAAACCTGGGAGAGAAAGAGGGGAATAAATTTTTGAAATTTTTTCTCATGAGGGGAACAAATTATTGGAAATAAGTACGTACCGGTTTTGCGGGTGGTTGTGATTTGGGCGACCGTGTAGATAAGTCGTTCAGCTTGCTTTGAGGAGGTGTTGGATGGGAGAATTGGTCAGTAAAGTGAAGTGGAGGTCCTGCACGATTAAATTTATGATAGTAAAAAATTATTATGCATGAATCTACAGTGAATAAACGTACGGTGGTCTGCGGCAACTCTAACATTGACAGCGTTATGGTGATGATTTGAAGGAGCAGGTACGTGATCCGTGTCGGGCGTAGAGGTCGTCGGGTGCATGGACCAGACTGACGATCCCAACAAAGAAGAATTCCCACCAATCCATTGATGATGCTTGTTCGCGACCTGGAGACACAAATAAATAAATATTTTACTTCGTTTTGTGCAAGAAATTTTTTTTCATAAAACTGACCATTGCTTTATGTAAGTACTGAATGATCAATTTACATAACTACTGAATGATCAATTTACATAACTACTGAATGGTTAATTTACATAACAGTTGAATAGTTAATTTGCATAACTACAGACTCTTATTACTAACTACAAATCGACTCACCTGTGGCGGAAGGAAGTACGTATTTAAACTGCCACCCCCACCCCCACCTAATCTTCGCAACTTGGATTTCATAGCTTCTGCCTCATCGTCATCGTCGAAATCATCCATGAGTCGAGATATGCTTTCCGCGAGGGCATTTTCGTTGTCGAAATCGTCCTCAAAAGTCTTACTATTTCCTCCCAAGCCTTTCTCTTCGAAACTGTGGTGGTCCTCATGATGACCGCCGAATTCAACCTGGTTTTCATGCTAGTAAATAAATAAAATGAACAGTTAAAGTTAACCATTTTTTAATCCGGATTAAATTAAGTACCTCAGACGATACCAATTTTGATGCTCCGTTCGGTTTGATCTTTTCAAAATCGTCCAGCATCAATTGAGCCTCGTCCCAGTTGAATTCTAGAATGGGATGAGCATTAAGAAGGAACCAATTAATGGACCAATTCAAGTATAGGAAAATGAACAAATTTACAAGTACATTAATTAAGGGATTAGTATCAACACCTAACTAATTAGCAATTAATGATCCAATTTACACGTAAAGTTACATAATTACATAACTAAACATATCGCTTTTATACATACCTGTGCCGCTATCGTCCCCAAAGGTTTCATCGTTGAGGGCGTCATACTCATCTTCTGGGGGAACCCAGTCGCCCGTCTCGTCCATCTTGACACCCCCCACACAAATCCCCTCACAATTTGCACACACAAACAAAAAACTAGTTTCTAAAGACCGACTGTAAAAGTATAAACCAATCTGACGAAATTAGTATATTTATCAAATTTGGATTGCACTTTGGACTACGATTCTTCTCCTACTGCTTCTTAATGCTTACTTCTTTTTCTCCTTCAGTGCGAAAATTGGTGCAAAAACGAAACAAATTAATTTTGCGAGCAGAAGCGAGACATGCCTCTTTTTTGGGTGATGGTGAAGGATGAAACGATTTTTTAACAAACGAAGAAGAGACTGAGCATTTTGTTGGTTTTTTCGTCTCCGTTTTGCTCACTGGTTTTCGCTCAAGTCAGACTTCGAGCTCCGTGTTCCGGCCAGTCTCACTTTATTCGGGGACCACTTTTCATCGTCTCAACGTTTTTTTTTACCGTGGATTTCCCACTTCTTGACTCATCTGAATGTTAATCAGTTATCGAATTTAAGGAGAAAGCAGTTCATAAAATGAGGAACTTTGGGGGGTCAAATTGACCACTTTTTTTGTGAGTGGAAAGAATGTATGGAAATTTTTGGTAAATATTTCTTTATTTTCTCGTAATTTTTCTCATTACAAGTGAATATCGACTTTATCAAGGGGAGGAGTCACGTCACACGTTTTGTTTTGCAAAATTGTTGCATGAAAATAAAACCAGGTATCGAATTCAAAGAGAAAGCAGTAGGCAGATAAAATGAGAGAAAGTTTGGGTCAAATTGACCATTTTTCACTTTGTGAGTGGAAAAAATTTTTGCTGAATTTTATTTTTGTTGCCATCTCTTTTCTCGTTACAGGTGAACATTGACCTTATCAGGGGAAGGGTCAGGTCATACGTTTTTTCTTGCAGAATTTTTGCATGAAAATTTGCAACTTTTTCCATGGGGCGAGAAGATTCGTCAGATTGATGATGATGATGCTGCTTCTGCTGGTGAATAAGTATCGATCGGCGCGTTGAGCAGATGTGGATTCGCAATTCAGCTCGTCTCGTCAGCAACAAGAAAGAAAAGAAATATTATTGTTCTTTGTGATTCTTCTTTCTGGTCAAATTAATTAATTAATTGCTTAATTAACTTGTTGACTACGGTTCTTCAGTCATGGCGATGGTGGAAGAAAACGTGTTTCTCTTCGTTCCCAATTTGATTGGTAAGAAAAGAAATGATATTTAACTTTTGAGTCACAAGTTGTGACCTCACCTTTTGACCTTTTTTACTTATCTTACAGGCTACGCCCGCGTCGGATTGACCTTACTTTCCATGTATTTCATGCAATCCAGCCCTGGTCCGGCGATCTGGTGTTATCTCATCGGTTCCCTCTTGGACGCTGTGGATGGACATGCGGCTCGATTTTTTAATCAGAGTAATTAATTAATAATAATTTACTAATATGACAAAAAAATTAATTGTCGACATGTATGCAGGCACCAAATTTGGCGCAATGCTTGACCAGTTGACCGATCGCTGTGGAACTGCCGTACTGATGATGATGCTCGCCGTGTTTTATCCATCATACGCGTTCTTCTTTCAAATCAGCATGGCCACCGACATTTCGATGCATTGGTTGCACCTTCATACGTACGTTTGAAGAGAAATTAAATTACGTAAATTTGGGGGGTTTGTTTTCACATTTTTTGTCGTGATAATGTACAGGTCGCTCCTCCAGGGGAAGGGGAGTCATAAAACGATGTCAACCGAAGAGCCATATCTGCTCCAGATTTACTACACGTCGAAACCAGTCCTCTTCACGATGTGTGCAGGCAACGAGCTCTTCTACATTACAATGTACCTCGTCAACTTCTACGATTCGTGTAAGTAATTTATTTAATTAGGAAAGACAAGGAAAAGGTGGTATATTTTCAGGAGGAAAGTAGTCATGCAATTCAACTTTTACAAAATTTTACACATTTTTAAGGAAAATTAGCTGCCAAATTGTTGTAAACTAACTCAGATCGTCGTTTTATTTTGTAAAAGTTTGTAAAATTATTTTACAAAATGCAAGTTACGTAAATTGCCTCAACGTAAATTTATAAAATCTAAACAAAATAATAATCAAGCTAAGTTTCTATTTTTTCTGTCTGTATTTTTTAGTTTTCTGGAAATTCTTGGCATTCATTTGCTTCCCAATTGCGGTGGCTAAATGGCTCATGGCTATTTTGCAAGGGGTCACCGCTGCTAAAAATCTCGCCGCGTTGGACGCCGCAGAACGTGAAGCAGAAATCAAGATTAAATAAAGGTGCTATGCTCCGGAACTATGTATCGAATTCGAAATATTTACCAGAAACTACTCAGATTCCTGTTGCAAATAATGTAATGTCAAACATTTCAGGATTTTCTTTCACCTTTGTTAACAACATTCTTAAATAATATCAGTTAAAAAACCGTGCATGTATTACTACGATTATTAATATTCTTAATTACGTTATACTTTTGTTAGTCAGTCATGTTCACCATTTTGTTGCTGCATTCCTTATCAATTAGTTAATTGCCTAATTAACTAGTGTAAAACATTCTTTTAAACAGCTACATAATAGTTCGCTTCGTCTATTTTGTTGATGTATTCCTTATATAATTAGTTAATTATCTAACTGCATTATTAACTAGTGTACGTAAAACATGCTTTTAAATGAATAATAGTTTTCTGTTTCATTTATTTTATTTTTCTTGTTAATTAAGTACGTTAATTAATTTAATGATCTCTTCTTTCTCATCGTTAAGTACTTACTTTTTGTAACAAAACACTGCAGTTTTAATTAATTAATATACATAACTGCTTATCTTACCATGTATGTATAAAAATGCTTGTACCCACTGTACCGAGATAAGTGTGGTATTATATATTATCTATCCATTCACTAGTTGACCTGATGTCTAAATGTGTACGCAAAGCCAAAAAATTACAAAATCGTCTCATTTATGTATCTATGTAGTAACTAAACTAAATAATGCATGCTCTCACTTCAATCTTTGTAAACCGTGTAAAAAACGAGGTCGCAAAATCTTATGGAACTTTGCAAAAAAAATAGTTCCCAGTCTGCGATTAAGTCACACCGAATGATTTACACAGTTTACAAAGAACTGAACTGGTGCTGGTCATGCCGTGAATTCAGAAAATGTGTGATTAGCAAACATATGTGCAATTAGTTTTAAGTAAATACGATACATAATAATTATATGCAAATTATTGCGTACATATGTAGTTACTACCCTGCCAATTATAGTGAGTGATACATACATATATCCATTAATTTCCTGGGATTGGATATCGATCGATAAATGCTGAACTGAACGATAAGTCATTTCCTCTCCAATTTTGTTGTCCTGCTCCTGCATTTAACTAAATATATTATGAATTAAACAAACAATTTAAATAATAATGCCATGACTGACGTGTGATTGATTTATTTAGCACGAGTTTCCTCCTCCTCATAGCTGGATTTTGGTGGAATTGTTGTAATTATCGCTTATCAGGGAACATTACATTGCATTGCAAAATTGAAATTGACCCTTGTCCGACAATGTCGTGATTTCGTTTTGTTTGCAGTCTGAGGAAATTTGTGGTAGTGATGTGAAAGCGACAAGGACTTACCGACCAGACATTCACACATGTAAAGTAAAATACCCGACCGATAAGCTGATTGCCGTGTGTAGTTGAGGGCCGTGCATCGATAAGTGCGAACATTCATTCAATTTAATGTATGCAATTTTCTGCACAGTGGTGACATTCGCAAATATGCGAATTGTGTCCCATTCTTCGGGCTGAATGTCATGATCATAAATTTCAAGGCAGTAAAATTTTCGATCTTAATTTTCAAAATGTTAACAAAAAATATTTAACATACAAAATTTCCATGCTTCATGAAACTATTTTTTTCAAACTCGTTACATCATGATAAAAATACAGTCTCGCTTTAAAAATGCCAATAATCTCAGTTTCATTTTCATTATACAGAGTTTAATCCCATTAAAATCTATATTTCATAAAATTTTGCTATTTTTATTTGCACATCTATTTGGCTCGTTTACGTAAAAAATATGCAAAAACGTACTCCTTCTTACTTGTAATTATTTATGTAACACATGAAAAACTCGCATCTATCTCTTCATCGATTTGGACTCGATTGATTGATAATAATGGAAATATCTGCGCTGATTTAATTACATGTCACTCATTCAGTCAGGCAGGCAGGCAGTTGTGTGACGGGAGAGTCGAAATGGTACTGTCCCTGTCGTTAAAATGGACGAAATTCCACATTGCACACACACATTTGTACAGATATATGGTGACCTTTATCCCACATTTTTATGAATTTTTTAACACTGACAACAATGGTCGAAACCAGAGACGACCAGAATGGGGAAGTTTACATATAGAAAAGTACAAAAAATCGGTATACCATATACCTCTTCATAAATAAAATATCGTCCTAAAACAACATTAACCTAGGCCATGTATTATATAAATATTGCCAATTTTTTGCACACTGTTTCCTTCTATAAAACGATAGCCAGTTTACCCGTCCTGAGACGTTCTACTTTATGTACAAATACATATGCAAAATCAGGGGTTGATATGTACCTCTGAAAAAATTCAAAAATTCAACAAGTTTCCGATCACACGAAACCCTGTCCAGATTTTTTTTTACTCATTTTTTTTACACTCTACAGAGTTACAGCCACATCTGCCCCTACAACAAGAAGTGGAAGAATGCGAAAATACATATTTATCTCATTCTTCCTCATTTCTGCAAAGTAATAATTTGTCTGAAAACTTGACTAATAACACAGAACACACACATACATAACCTGTCCTCCTCCTCCTCCTCATGTCCTGATCAACATATTTACTTATTTGCAGATATTTACAGCAAACGTATACTTTGCTCCCCTTGATCTTGGTTCGCACAAATTGGCACATACATATCTATCATGTCAATATCATGCAATTTATCCTCTCCTCCTCAGTTTACATGAAAACGATGTATGAAAAAACCCAACATCACGTCACTTTGTGTTGTTCTTTGTTATAATTACATACATTCTACGCAACAGTTTGCAAGTCTATAGATTGTAAATTTTGTCATGTGCATCGCTTACAACTTGGGAAATATCGAGTCAATCATCACGATGTCAAAGTCTTTTCCGCTTTTTTCATAAAGATAACAACCCCTGTCTGATTGACACATTTGTCAATTAAAGCAAATCACGACGGCATCATCACCTTTCATAATGTGCGAAACACTTGAGCACCTTCCACAAACTGGTCAGTCAGAGGTATCGGCACGCCGTGTGAAGAGTTCTTGTCTCAAATCATCCATCGCGATCGGACACGTTTTCTAGTCAGAGAAGAAGAACCATGATCGTCCTGGTCCCTGCATGAGTCTGAGTCTCAATTTCCAGTGTCAGTCAAGAGGACGATTTTTTTGTGGGGAGAAAATTGTTGTGCGAACGAGTTTGTAGTGTAAAAAGTTTGGAGAGACAGAAAAAATGCCGGATTTCGGATATACAGATTGTAAGATGGACGTGTATATGTAGAAAGTTGGGGGCTGTGTGGGGCGAAGGGGAATGGATGGGGATGAATTGATGGCCACTTTTCTGGGGAAATTTTTGCGGGGATGAATTTCTGGGACACATTCATTAGGAATCCCCTTTAGTAATTTCTATTTACGGGAATGCGTAGAAATCAGTGTCGAATTCTGCAGTAATTGACAAAGGCTCGATGCATATTGTATTCTGCAATTTTTTGTACATAATCCTGCCCGAAATTTCTATTGGTTCTATTCTGTAGAACCGTGTGTGTACAATTCGGTACATGATTTTCTGCACAAACCGCTCTGCATACAGTTTTTATGCAGAAAATCGGGCCAAATTTCTATGACCCCTTCAAATAGGGTTCACATCCTTCAAATCCTATTATTCATTAAAGAGTCGCGTTATTTTAACACTGGTGTTTTTGTTGGGTATCAATATCGCCTTAGTTTTGTTCCAATTGGAATGACCTGCACGGCCCCAGTTTTATAAATTCAACATCAAATAGATGACCAATTGATGAAGATTTTACGTGTCATTTTTTAAAATCTCAGATGGCGTCGTTCTCGGGACGTTAGGCGTGTCCGTCTTGATCGGGGTGTATTATGGCTTCTTCGCCAAGCAGAAAACGAACGAGGATCTCCTCCTTGGTGGAAAGTCGATGGGCATCGCGCCCATCGCGGCGAGTATGTTGGTCACATACTTGAGCGCCGTCACGGTCCTGGGTGAGCCAAAATTTCCAACAAAATTCCATTTTTCATGAGCAAAAAAAGTAAAGACGAAAGTTCTTAAATTTTTCGAAAAGTTTACAATTTGTTAATCTGCCTGATAACCTCTCGCATTTTTCTGTTTCTATTTTTTAACGAACAGTGGCGAAATTGAGATTTGAGATTAAATTGAGACTTAAATTGAGATTGTTCTTGGATTCAGGTTATCCTGCGGAGGTTTACGGGTACGGGATCATGATCTTCACGAACACATTGGTCTTCGTCTGTTTCGTCCCCCTCTCCGTCTATTTTTTCATGACGGTCTTCTACCACATGCAGTTGACCAGCGTGTACGAGGTGAGTACACAAAAAACAAGTCTTTTCTCCATACCAGAGATTTTTCATAAAAGTCAGAAAAATATTTGCATGAGTTAAAAAGTGGAGAGACAATCAGTTCTGAAATCAAACTGAGGATGAGAGTGATTTCCAATCAAAATTAGTGTTTTTACTACGTATAAAACTACATACTCGCGTCAAAGTATTACCTGAACGTATTACCTGAAGTATTACCTGAAAGTAAAACCTCATTTCGCTAATAATTTGCGACACAATGTTGTAAAATTAAAACATGGCCAGGTTTACTGGGTAAATTTGTGAACAATAATCTCACAGCTTCCCTGGAAAAAGTTATGCCAAGTGAGAAATCTCACATAAGTTTCACAAAAACTTTGAGACAACGCAGGCCTTGGTAACTTTGCTAAATCCGTAAACTGTGTAAACTTGCAGACTTTTACAAGATTTTGCTCATATTTCCAAAGAAAATTAGTTTATAAATTTACGTAAATTTACTTTTTTTATTTCATAAGATATGTAATATTATTTTACCAAACGCACCGAGTTTACACGTTACCAATGACTGGTTATGTATATATCCTTAATTTGAGAGATTTATTACCAAAAAACTAATCATCTCATCGCAAAAACTATCTCAAAACTATCTAAAACTTGACAAATCATGCTCAATTTGCAAATAAAGATTATTGCAAATTTTCCATTTAAATTGAAATAAATCCATTTTTCTTCCAGTATCTCGAGTACCGTTTCCACTCCAAGTTTGTGCGAATGTTCGCCTCGTTCATCTTCATCCTGCAGATGACGGTGTTCATGGGGGTTTGCCTCTTCGCCCCCTCCATCGCCCTCTCCTCCTTCATGGGCCTCGAACTCTGGCACTCAGTCATTGGCCTCGGCCTCTGCGCCACTATTTACACGTCCATGGGCGGTCTCAAGGCTGTCGGTCAGTTCACTCACGACAAAAATTTCTACGACAAAAATCACGCTATTTTTTTGCAGTATGGACCGATGTTTTCCAACTCTTTATGATGCTCGGTGGCATGTTCGCCATCATAATTAAGGGTATGTCAGCCCCAGAATTATGGAAATTTGACTATTTTTTTAATTAAAAAAATAAAAACAGGCTTCATCGCATCCGGTGGGATCATGCAAGCTTTCGAGAAAGCAGGAGAACACGGGAGACTCGAGTTCTTCAAGTATGAAAATTATTTCAGGGTCAATCTTTACTTCTTCTGCCCCAAATTGAACGTGTAAAATAATTACTGCTGTAGCTTCACCGTGGACCCTTTCATGCGCCACAACACGCTCAACTTCTTCCTGGGGACGGGCTTCAGCATTTTCACCATGTTCGGCACCCATCAACCCCAAGTCCAACGTTATTGCAGTTTACCTTCTCTCAAACATGCCATCGGGTAAGTGCCATTTCTTTAATCAGAGGTCGACGCTGGCTAATTTTGTGGCGGCGAGGGTGCCAATTTTGCATGGTAATTTTTCGGCTGCATCGACAGTGTGGCGCGGCGTCCTAACATTGAAGGAATAGGAAATCATATTTATCGGCGGAATGTAAAATGCTACAGCGTCGACTTGTGTCTTTAAGAATCTGGCACAATTTTTTGCCAATGTTTCGCCATTTTATTTGCCAAATATTTACTTCATGATTTATTATTTCGTTAGTGCGACCGCATTTTCCATCCCACTCAACATTTTCACCATTGGGCTCTGTCTCTTGTCTGGGATCGTGATCTTCTCGACGTACGCGGGCTGCGACCCTAAAGCGTTGGGAATCATTACTCGCGTCGACGCCATTGTCCCCTACTTCGTCAAACATGAACTTGGCTATATTCCCGGCATGATGGGGCTGTTCACGTCCTGCGTTTTCAGCGCGTCACTCAGGTGAGCCCCACAATTTTAAAGCAAGCGTTCCAGAGAAGTGTAGCTCAGTTTTAGTTTGCAATCCTAATTTACAAAATCGCGATTCATGGCGTCGAAAGAGTGAAATTTTTAAATTCAATTTTTTTTTCGCAGTACGTTATCGTCCGGACTAAACTCGCTGGCTGCCGTGACGTGGGAAGATTTTCTTAAAGAGATTAAATGGTTTAGAGACCTTAAACCGAACGTCCAAGCGCATCTTATCCGACTCTTGGGTACCATTTTATTTGTATTGTGTGCAAATTATTGCTAATTTTCAAACTCTAATCTTATTTCTAATTTGCGCATGCAGCCATTATGTACGGGCTGTTGAGTATAGTTCTCGCCTTCGCCGCGAAAGGGATGGGCTCCATTTTATCCGCAACGATTACTGCGTTGGGCGCGTTGAGTGGTCCGCTCGGCGCCGTTTTCGCCATGGGAATTCTCATGCCGTTCATCAATAAGATTGTATGTAAATAAAGACGTTAAGACAATTCACGCAGTCCTTGTTAACTTTGTGAAATCCGTAATCTTACAAACTTTACAAGATTCTACAAATTATGAGAAGGAAAATTAGCTCCCAAATTTTTGTAAACTTGCTCAGATCAAGGACGTCTTTTTATTTTGTAAAAGTTTATAAAATTATTTGACAAAACGCACGGATTTAAAAAGTTACCAAGGACTGCTTGAATTGCCTTATCATTTTTCAGATCAATATTCACAGGATTTTAATTTGTTTTTTGTTATGATTCAATTTTAAGGGAGCCACGTGTGGGATTTTGACCGGATTTCTCACCATGATTTGGATCACGGTCAATTCCTTCATCCTGGACAAGTCACATATTCACTTGCCCTTCAGCTCGGCCGAGTGCCCCGTCGACACGTTGGAACTCTACAACGCCACTTCCTCCATCCATGCCATGGATGGCTCCGTGTAAGCTATTAAATTAACTCGAAATTTTGATTTTTTGGGGGAAAAGTTGATCATAAAAAACTGTATTTTGCATCCAGCGAGTGGCCCGAAAAGCTGTACACCTTGTCGTACATTTTGTACCCGTTTGCCGGCGGTATGATCACCATCATCGTTGCGAGCATTGTCAGCGTCATCACCGGAGGTTCGTGTCAAATTTTACTTCATTATTATTACCCTAACTTTTACACAATAGGCTTTCCCGAAGAATCATACAATCAATTTTTAATCTTTACGCTTATTTTGCACAACAAAAACTTGAGTTTTCCGATTATAGATTTTTAAAATCCTAAAAAAACAGCGAAAAATCTATTTTAAAAAATTTTTAGGAAACAAATAACTTTCCGTAAAAGTTGTCCCCTCATATTCGTCTATGTAAACTTAAGTAAATTACGATACAAGTTGAACTCATCTAACAAAGGAGATCTCCATCCGCATCCTCTCCGATTTTGAGCAAACTAGGGTCAATCGATCACAAAATTTAATTCATATGGCATTTCCAAACGATAGATATTTGCATCCGGAGAAGAGAAAAAACGCACAGGAAATTTCGAAAGTGTAAAATTTTTCAACTTTACTGTGCGTTTTCTTCTCTTGGGATGCAAATATCTTTTCGCATTGGGAGATCGCGTCTTTCTCAAATTTCATACTAATCAAATCTCCCATCGATTTACACTAATTTGCTCAAAATCTGAAAGACCACCTTTCCAAGCAATTTTTTTCTTTCCAGGTATCGCTCAAGCTAAACGTGTCGAGGACAAATATCTGCATCCGTTGATCCGACCCCGTGACAAGTTGACCCTCCTCGCCAACAACAACAACAACAACGACGACGTCAAGGAAATGAAGTACATGAGCAAAGACAGTTTAGGCCAGTACACCCGCGTCCCGTCCGAACCCCTGTCGCCACCCCCGAATTACACCGCCTCCAAGGAAACCCAAACGCCGGGCTATTATTACTACGCCCACGACACGGAGTCAGTCACACCCCCGCCGCCGTACATCAATTTGACCACGACGAGTGGGACTGACAACCACGTGGCGTCACCACGTCCCATCCTGTACAAGCTTCCATCCTTCCCCACAACGACCACGGTACCCGGTCCCACGCTCGCACAAATCCAGACTGCCCAATTTTCCGACCATGCGTGATTTATGGTAGTCAAATTAAATTATTTTAAGTATTTTATGAACGCCAAACTCTGTAAATTAAATGTTTTGATATAATTAAATTGTGCGATAAGAAATTAGTTAATGATAAAAACGCGTTTTGTGCCAAAATTTCGAATAGAAGATTTTATAAGTAACTAATTTTACGACCACGGTATCCGCCGGTCCCCAGACCGCCCCTTTCTCTGACCATGCGCGATTGATGGCAGTCATTAAATTATTTTAACTATTTTATGTACGCCAAACTCTGTAAATTAAATGTTTTGATATAAATAATTAAATTGCTAATTGTGCGAGAAATTAATAAATAAAAAACGCTTTTTGAATCAAAATTTAAATATACAATTTTGGAATTTATAACTCTTTTTGGGAAACCGATTTAGGATAAAATTTGATAATCATTTTTGTAAAAGTGGGAACATCGAAATGCATTTTGTGCCAAAATTTAGTAGAGTTTTGGAATTTTGCAAATGATTTTTTTCAACCTTCCGTAAAAGGTCAATTTTGACAACATTTGACAATTACTTAAAAAATCGGAACATCAAAATTGATGAAAATCAACTACAAATTTATCGAGATGGCCAAGATCTGAAATTAAATGGCTAGAAATTTATTGATTGTACATATTCCAGTAAATGTGATGGGAAATTTGAGACTAAATGTTCCAGTAATTAAATATGTATGTATGAGTTTGCATACAATTTTAAAAACATATTTTTAACCTGTAATTTACAGAAATGTTGATTTTATGAGAAACTGTGTATGCAAATTCTAAATTACTTCTCCACGAAAAAGAGCGTTATGAAAAAGTATAAAATTTTGACACAACTCCGTCTTCAATAGAGAATTGCAAAGATTTGCAATTTGGCCGTTTACACTATTTTTAGGAACAACACTGGCCAATTTTCTTATTATTTTACAAATTATGCAAAGCATAAATAAATGCATGCATACAAAATAATAATTTTGTATGGACTCTTGAACTCCTTGGAGGGGAATCATGTAGCCAAATGTGATGCTAACTCTGAAAGTTAAAGGGAGATTCAATGGATTGCGAAATCCCATTCAATCGGGTCAATGGATGAAAATTGACCGACCTTTTGCTTGCATAACACAAATAAATAGTGATCCCTATGCCTGTCTACATCTTCATCCTTCTCTCTCCTCATCCGTGACATTGGTGACGCCGGTGTGATCATGTTCTCGTAAATAAGCCGGCATCCTTGACCACATGGTCTTCTTCTCCCATTAAATCCACTGACATTGATATATTTTGCTGTGTTTTGCTTATAATTAAATCTGCTAAAAGATTTAAGATTATTCCTGGCTTCTCCGTATCCACTGGAGGATAGCTTATCTAGCTCCATACTTGGCAGAGGGCGGATATGTATTTAGGAAAAATTGATGAAGTGCGTTTTTAAAATTTACAAAAAAATGGCAAAATATGCATGAAATATGTATGCGAAAAAATATTAAAACAAGAATTTGCATTTCTGAATATAATCCTCTGAAATTTTGCGATTGAATTTCTATGAGCAAAAAAATTTGGTTGTCACGTCTTTCAATATTTGAAAAATGTATATATATTTTTGAAAAAATATGTAAAAGATTTACGTGTCTTTTAAACAGCAGAAATCTTTATGTCTGAAAACCTAGAAATATGTAAAATATTTAGAAATTTTTGTGATCTACAAGAGTTAACAAAGTTCAACCGTCAATCCTCATCACATGAAAAAATTGCAAATAAATACATAGCCGCCCTCTGCCACTTACTTACCTACTGGTTAATTGTGTGTAAACTTATCTCCTTTGCTTTACTTCTGGGAATCGTGGTATTTATTACTTTGAAAAAATTGGCACATTAAAACCCATGTCTGGGAGAATGCATGTTATCTTCACTGGAGATGCTACATACATACTCACATACCTATAAGTCTGCCAGGTTTTATGCGTCCGACCGAACTGATGCTATATAAATACCTATCTCGCCACAATATTTTGACCAGTCTTGTGAAATCAGTTCCTCGTTCCTCCCAAAAAGAGGAGACAAGTCCTTGGACCTAATTTATTCCTCTTCTTCTTCGTCTTCCCAACTTGTCTCAATCTCTGAGCAAGCTTCGGACTGCTCGGATCGGGACACGCTGCACGCATCGCAAAAATTTGCACATATTTTTGCACACCTCCGATGGAACTCAGAAGATATCATGCCGTGGTGGGTGACACCTAGTTATATTTTAAATTTGTATATTTTTGAAAACTGGTCCAAATTAATGGTTAGGTGATCGTGGTGGTCGTGGCGACAACGCTGTGGAGTCCCGCGTTTGGAGCGACGAGTAGTGTTGCGTCGTGGTCGTGGAGGGAGTCGTCGTCGTCGTCCTCCTCGGGGGGAAAGGCTGTCCCCGCGAAACCCGAGTACCGACCAGTTGGTATCAACCTGACGACGGCGAACAGCCAGCAATTCTCGTATGACAATGAGAAACAGCAATTCCAACCGACGGCCACTTTCGCCCAGCCGATCACCACTACAACTTCTACGCTCAACTGTGGGGTTAGTTTAGCATGGTGATCATGGGTCGCGGAAGCAGTAGGGACATTAGCATTGTGGGAGGGAGGGGTTTATATAACATGGGGGTGATGGGGACATCGAATAACAATTGGGACAATGTACCTCTGTCCTCACACTTCCGCGGTAACTGGTGGGAGGGATATGTAACTGATTACTTTTTCATGTGATGTAGACCTGTAGTCCAGGATGGCGACGGGAAGTCAGCGTCATGGCGGGATATTGCGGTCAGTGCGTGAAATGCGGACCGGGCGAGTGTGCCAGTCAAGTCGGAGTGGTCGGAGCCTTGATGACCGCGGTGAGATAAACTATTTTTTATGGTAATGAGGTAGTTCTAATAACTTCGTGTAAATTTACAGGAAACATACGGTGGCTCTTATCGGTGCCCATACCCGACCCAATGTCCCGTACAATGTCCCAACCCACAAATCTGCGTCCCACCCCAACCACCACCAACGCAACCCGGAGTCATCACAGTTCCCGGAAACTGTCCCCCCTGCCAATGCCCCCGTCCCGCCCCGATCCAATGTCCACCACCTCCCCCAATCCGGTGCCCTCCTCCTCCCCCCGTTCAATGTCCTCCTCCACCCGCACTGCGATGCCCACCACCTCCCCCGATCCAATGCCCTGCACCACCACCCATCCAATGCCCCGCGCCTCCTCCCATCGACTGCGCACAACATCCCATCATCCAATGTCCACCTCCGCCTCCAGTCCAATGTCCCCCACCACCACCGATACACTGCCCGGCACCACCTCCATTCACCTGTCCGGCACCTCCCCCTCTCCAGTGCCCACCTCCACCACCGGTTCACTGTCCTGCTCCTCCTCCTCTTCACTGCCCCCCACCGCCTCCCCTGCAATGCCCGCCACCTCCTCCGATCCATTGTCCGCCTCCTGTCCCGATCAAATTCCCGTCCCTGCCACCACTCCAGTGTCCCCCACCACCACCGCTGCAATGTCCACCACCTCCCCCACTGCAATGTCCTCCCCCACCCGCCATCCAGTGCCCGGCACCACCTCCGATTTACTGCCCGGCTCCACCCCCGCTCCAATGCCCGGCTCCGCCTCCACTTCAATGTCCTGCGCCACAACCGTGCGACCAAATTCAAATTCCTCCAACGTATCCGACATACGTTACACCGCCACGTCCCACGGTGGTATGTCCGATTGGGGTTTGTCCCACACCGCAGCAACCGTGTCCTTATCCGGGACCGTTGTGTCCACCAACTAACGGTGTAGTGTGCGGTGGAGTTTGGCCGTGTCCCCCAGGTTACAGCAATGGTGGTACGGTCGGTGGTTATCAGACTGGTACGGTTGGAGGTTATCAGAGTGGTACTGTGGGTTATCAGAGGGACCAAGCCGACAATACTAATGGAACGAGTACGACGACGAATAGCACTAGTGGTGATGGATCTAAACCAACCGCCGCGATTGAGCCGGAAGGACGCGTCATAGAAATCCAGGAAGGTCACGGGGTCACTTTCACGTGTAAAATTGGGGGCGAACCACCCCTCGAGTTCCACTGGGAAAAGAGGTCGAGTAACGGGACGGGTCGTCGACTAGAGACGGATGCGAAGGGACGCTTAGTCATTAAACCGGTCGGCAAAGGGGACGAGGCCGAGTATATTTGCATCGTGTCGAATCGTGTAGGAAGAACGATGACCGCCACGAAACTTGTCGTCGTCGCGTCGCCAGAGAAAAAAGAAGACGACAAGAAATCTGCTTAGAAGAAGGTGTCGAAAGTCGAAGTAATCATGAGCATCACTGCCAAATCAAACACCTCAACCTTATCGTGTTCCTCTCCGGGTAGCCAATTTTAGTGCATGTTGTATCTAAATATCATATTATTTACATAAAATAAAGCTGATGTATGGCCGTCATTTAATAAAATTTTTTGAAAAGTATTCCCCTTTGTACATGCATAATTTCCACGTGTCCAGCGAGGCATGCTCAACATGACGCCAATTTTGGAGTGAAATGTTGCAGAAATTGAATGCAGACACGCATCTGAAGGAGAAAGCGGGTCCAACCATTTATCTAAATGCACTGTTTCCATATTGTTCGCCTGGTCGATTAGCATATCGTGTCATCACCCACGGAATGGATTAAATGCTTGGGATGGGCCACCAACCAACCATTATCTGCCTGGTGCTGGTGCATCCATTATTATGCAAAAGTGTGGAATTCCACACAATACAGTGATCATCATCATCATGGTCGTTTCGTGCACGATTGGCAAGCTTTTCCATACATATTTCGCTACCACTCACTCAAGGAAGATGAGCTCAGTTAGTCAGAGACAGACAAATAAACAAAGGATTCCGCAAACTGGTTCCATACATGCATTCCAATATATGTGCTCCTCAGCCATATATATCGTATACGATTAGTAGTTAGTGTGTCATGTCATAGGAGCAGCAGAATAAAAAACGGAGGAGTATGTATGTAAGCTACGATACGAATTGGGTGATGTTGTTGATATGATGTCATCTTATTATATGCACAGCTAACTGGCCAGCAGAACACAAATACACCGCACCATTAGCATCATTCATTAACTACTATTATTATTATTTGTCATCCCCACACCCACGGACGGAGGTCACTTTGAAAATCGAATCGAAAAAGGCTTGTATTTTTCATAAAAATCTCGACTTTATGCAAATTGGGATCCTTTGTTATTATTACCAGTGGTGGTGGTGACCTCCATTTCGTGCTATACCATTACATTATATTACCGTATAACCACAGTCCTCTCTGATTATCAGAGTGTGTTAGAGAGCATACTCAACCTTTTTTTACGTTACTCATCCGCAGAGTCATCTCTCTCCATCTCAAAAGCGGCTTAAATTTCTTAAAAAAATACAAATCTTTTTGCCGAATTTGTGACCATCAGGATGACGACGATAAAATAAAATGACGAAATTCATCACGTAGTTCGCCCAAGTGATTATTATTATTTTGCTCCAGCTCAACCCAGCTAAGTTTGACTTAAAACCCACTTGTTGTGGATTGGATTGGATGACATAGTAAACAAGCAAACTTTTAGTTAGTCTTACTACTCGTCGTTTGTTCTACCTGCTACCCGGTTTTTTCTTATTCGATGGCCAATAACAACCCGGGTGGCGGTGGCGGAGGTGAAGGTGCCGGTGGTCCTGCCGGTGTAGACTCCGAATTCGAAGAGCTCGACTTCCCCGAGGACGATGGGGCCGAAACTGAGCGAGATTCCGTTCGTGAGTTAATTAACAATTAAATTTAATTGCTCAACAACAATCAATTAAGTAATGAGCCGCCGGAAACGTGGAGTAGAGTCATTGTCATTTCGTTTGTTTCTTGTTCTCATTGTTGTCTAGTCGTCACGCCGCAAAACCGCTGGAAGAAACTTGCCAAAGGTGAGGAAACCAGTTTGCAGAACGCTTCGGTTTTTAGTTTAGTTAATTAATTCGGTGTGGGTGGTTTGGTTGATGGTGGTCGTTTTGTTGTGGGGGGTGCTTAGTTGTGGTAGTGGTGGTGGGTGTTGTTTTTCCCGCAAATGTGTGCTTTAGTTAATTAATTAGTGAAACTAATTAATTATGTACGTATCTAATAATAATTTGTTCTTGTAGAGGGGCTCGTCATCCCATACGCTTCGGTGCACGAGGAGCCGAGAAGTTTCAAAACGCCGCAGCGCAAATGTTTCATCCCTGGAAGACCGGTCGAGGTCAAAATTATCGACGTCGAGCGAACCGCTTCCACACATTTTCTTAACGCTAACCTTTACGTTATTCAACTTAAACATGGCGATCACGTTTGGACGATTAAACGTCGTTATAAACACTTTCAACATCTCCACCAACAGTTGATGCTGTACAGGTTGGGCACAGGAATAAATAGTAATTCGCAGCATAATTATTATTAGTATATTAAGTAATGATTAGTCATTTTTTTGCGACAGGGTCACTCTTTCTGTCCCCTTCCCGTCGAGGACGCATCGCGAGAGGAGAACGACGTATAAATCTTCCCTGGAACGGGATGAGGGTGGAAGATCGAAAGGTTTGCCGAGGTCAGTCAGCTAGTTTTTATTTACACGATAAATAGCTATACTAATCTCTTTATTGAATTTGTTTGATTCGCCAGGTTTCCGAAACGACCAGAAGCCCTTGTCGCGGTGGATCATTTGCAAGAGAGGAGGGAGGCGCTGGAAGAATATTTACAAAATTTGATGCAAATCCGAGCATTTAGAAATCATCATGAGACCGTGAGTCGGATACTTGTGATTTCTCTATAAATAATACGACGATCGCGATGCATGCATCATTTAATATTCAATATACAATTGACGAGAAACGAGTTTATATTGAGTCACCATTAATTAATAATTGACGAAACCTGAACCATGCATTTGTGTGTTTTTATTTCGCAGCTCGAGTTCCTTGAAGTGAGCCATCTCTCGTTTGTTCACGGCCTTGGGATGAAGGGGAAGGAGGCCCTTGTCCTAAAAAGGACGGGAACAACACAAAATCAACGGTGCGCTTGGTGCTGCAGCTGCCCCTGCTTCGGGTATGGCCCCACTAATTCATTCTTCATACATGTCAAATACTTATCACTCATAATTCTTATCCATAGGTTTGCAAAACTGTGCGGCGTGTGGTGCGGTCAGTGGCAGAGACGCTGGCTCATCGCAAAGGACACATTTGTCGCTTACGTACGACCCAAAGACGGTCGACTCCATTGCGTCATGCTCTTCGACAACGATTTTGAAGTGGCCTCCGCCATGTACGATGTCGAGCACGGGATCGTCATCTCCAACCTCTCGAGACGACTGGTCGTCAAATGTTGGACGAAACGAAAGGCGAAAGAGTGGCTGGAACATTTACGCAAATTAATGTCCACAGAAGGTATTTGTCAGACACAATTAGTTAACGTAGGACTCAATGACTAATCGCCAAAATCAGTACAATTTAATCATTTCCTTCCTTCCAGTGGCGCGAGGTTTCATTGGGGAGAATCGTTTCCTTTCTTTCGCCCCGATTCGGTCTAGTTGCGATGCCTCCTGGTTTGTCGATGGTTCGAGCTACATGTCCACCGTAGCAGACGCGATGGAGGCGGCGCACGACGAGATTTACATTTCCGATTGGTGGCTCAGCCCCGAGATTTATATGAAGCGACCCATCGTCGAGGGAGAGCGGTGGCGACTCGACAAAATCCTTCAACGAAAAGCGGTACTTATTTACTAACAGAATCATGAATCAATAAACAATTAATTCATATCAATATCTAAATTTTCAGAAACAAGGGGTCAAAGTATTCGTCCTGCTGTATAAAGAGGTCAGCATGGCGCTTGGGATCAATAGCTATTACAGCAAGCAAACTCTTGTCCACGCGGCGTCAGAAAACATTAAGGTATTATTTTACTTTACGTAATGTTTACTAAATTTATCCTAAATCCCTCACTGTATTAATAAGTTTTCTTCCTTACACGCCAAAAATGTGCGAATTTGTTGCTAATTATTTTTACCAAATTTATTCAAATATTACCGTAAATAATTCAGAACAAAATCATCTAAGCTTTCCCATTTTATTTATACATCAGCTTGGCAAAATAGTTCAATTCTCTGCTTTAGTTACTAATTTAAGTGTCAATATTAATTTTTGAAATAATTTCTCGTAGCTAGAAAACCTCCCAATTTCCTTAATAGTTCAAAAAACTGAGACTAAATTAATATTTTCTCCAGGTTCTACGTCACCCGGACCACGCATCTGCTGGAATCTTACTCTGGGCGCATCACGAAAAGTTGGTCATTGTTGACCAAACGTACGCCTTCGTGGGAGGGATTGACATTTGTTACGGGCGCTGGGACGACCACCGCCACCGTCTCACCGACCTTGGCTCCGTCTCGAATCAAACGCATCAGGGAATGCGACTTAAAATCACGTCCAGCCAACCGGCCGGCCTCGCCAACGCGTCTCTCATGCAACTGGCCAAGGCCACCAACATGGTCACGATCGGAACTCTGGTCGATCGTCTCTCTCCCGCCCCCACGCCCGGAATCCTCGAGCAGATGGAGCAGTTACCAGCGATAGATGATGAGGTCGACCACGTCGAAGCAATTAATGGAAATGTACAGTCGGATGGGTCAGTTAATTTAATTAATAATTTTAATTCTGCGATTCGATTGGGTTTCTTATATGACCAACGAGTCAAATTGCATCAAATTTGCACATAAGGTCAGCACATCTCGCAAATTGAGGGCAACTTGCAAAGGTTTGTGATATTCGTTTCTAACAGCGAACGCACGTCTAGCTTCGCATATCTCACAAATTTAGCATAGCAACATTACTTGCAAAGTTTTGTGAAATTTGCTGGACAACCATGGAATTTTTGTTCAGCACATGCGAGTTTATCCAGCAAATGGGCATGTTTTTATTTCGCAAAATTATTTCATAAACTCATCCTCATCATTACAAGCGAGAGAAATTCATGGCAACAACGTGATGGTTTTAGAATTAGATTTACGAGCTTTGCGAAATCATATTTTCCATCCCATTACGGCGCAAATTTTTAGACCTTCGCAAGTTTCCTAAATAAGTTGGGATAAGACAATATAAAAAACGTGGAACTTTTGTTACACAAATTTACCCAGCAACTACTGCTGGACATGTTTCTATTTCGCATAATTATATCACATCACAAAACAGTCCTCTCCATCGGGATCCATATAAATTTCAGATAATTCCTTAAAATTGAATCAAAATACGACTGATCTTTCATAAAGCGAAATCATAAATGTTTTTCGAATCTGGTAATTTTTGAGCTTGGCAAATTTGCTAAAAAAACTTTCGATACTTCCATTATCCAATAATTTTTAATTTCTTGTTGTAACAGCATTCTAATTTATCTATCCCAATTATACAGAACGGCCGAAATAAACGTCAACTTTACCAGTGACAAGACACCAGAAATTAGGCTGAACGGTGCTGGAGAGGCTGGGTATCCTCTGGGAGAGTCGGAGAGCGTGGAGTCCATGTCGAAAATGATGGTGGACGAGGATGGGACACCACTTAAAGGGGAAACACCTCCTACCGGACGACGGGCCCAACTCCTCCGAAAAATGACCACAGCAACGAAAGGGTTAAAAAGCGAGGGGAAAGAGTGGATCCATCGAATTCGAAGGAAAGGCTCGGCTGGTGGGAGCTCCTCATCGTCAGAATCTGACGCCGAGGATGGCGCAACGGCGAAAGAGGGGAAGACGAGACGATTTAGAATGACGAGGAAGAAGAAGCCGAGCAAAGAGGCCGGCGACGAGGCGGACGGGGCACAAGCCTCCTCAGAAGCTAACAGCCCCCAGCAACAGAGTGAAAAGAAGAAGGTGGAGGCAAAGTGAGTAGAAAAATTCGTATTTAGTGGTCAAGTGATTTATTAATTTATTTGTCGTACTAATGCTCAGGAGTAAAAAGAAGAAGGCCGTGAACCAGTATGCCAACACGACCATGTTTTCTGACTCGATGGGTTTGCAAGGCTCCTCAAAACTCTGGATTGGCAAGGACTACACAAACTTCATTGTCAAAGACTTTGCAGATTTGGATTCGCCATTTACAGGTGAGTAATGTACAGCTTATTCTCAGTCTTGTTGTCCGTATATGATCAACAATTAAGCGTAGCTTTGTGGCAACATGTACTTGTTATCTCGCGACATTTTCGCACGTGATTGATCGAAAGTCGTATTTCTTTTAATTATGCAAATTGTACACCATTTGAAGAATAAGTGGTTACTAGCGTTTCGTTGTTGCAGACCTCGTTGACCGCTCGACCACACCGCGGATGCCTTGGCACGACATTGCTCTCTATGTACAAGGCAGTGCTGCGAGGGACGTGGCCAGACACTTTATTCAGCGCTGGAATGCCGCTAAGGTGAGATAACTTAACTACAAAATTTGTAGTACACATAGTAGATTTCTGTCTTTTATGAGGTTAAATATTCCAGGGTTTATCATGATTAGTACGATCTAAGCAGTATTTATGTAGAATTTATTTTTACGTGGGTTCGTTTATGATGAATAACTACGAGTATTTTGCAGCAAGAAAAGGCGAGAATGAACGAGTCCTACCCCTGCTTGATACCCAGATCGTACGACTTTAAGAACGACAATGTCCCCCCCATCTTCCCCCATCGCGTCAAAATGAGCAGAACGACGTGTCAGGTGTGTATTACATTCTATTCTTAAACTCTGTAGTCTGAGCTGTACATATTTGTTTTGTGTACGTACATAGGTCCTCCGGTCCGTGTCGCAGTGGAGCGCGGGCGTGCAGATTGTAGAAGACAGCATTCAACAGGCCTACATCGACGCTATCCAGAAGGCTCAGCACTACGTTTACATCGAAAACCAATTCTTCATCACGCTCGCCCAGGCAAACGCCAACGTACAAAACAGGATTGGGGAAGCACTACTCGGCCGAATTCTACAAGCCCATCGGTATGTTTTGTACATTAACTTCACCGCTGCGGCAGCGGCTTACGTTAGACAAACTTACAATGAGTTATAAAATAGTGCTCTAGAATTTTTTTAAAAAAACATGGCCAAAGACTGGGTTTGTTTCAAAAATTAAATGAACTCGGTAGATCTCTTCCCGTGCATAAGTTATTGAAGGTCAAACTTTTATAAAATTGAGATTTAGAGGACTTCAATCTTCAATAAGTTATGAACGGGCAGATGTATTCAGGTAATTAATTTTATTTCTGAAATAACCCAAGTTTTTAGGTCAATTTTTAACTAAAAAATTTCGACCGATATATTTGCCATGTTTTTAACATAAGCCATCGCTGCGGTAGGGTGTCAAATTGACCCCGTCAGATTGCCCCCATAATTACATATTAAACCAACTCAATTTTTAGCTGAAATATTTGACTTGAACTTGAATACGAAATAAAATTAATTTAGTGTGTAAATACAACAACTAGTACATATATGGCGCGGGGTCAATTTGACATGGAATCACCGCTGCTACCACCGCTATTTGCGTCATCATCATCACTAAATGTATGTATTTGTGTACAGGGAGAAGAAACCATTCCGCGTCTTTGTCGTGATTCCACTCCTGCCTGGATTTGAGGGGGAGGTGGGGACCAGTCGTGGCGTTGCCATTCACGCCATCGTCCACTGGAACTACTCATCCATCTGTCGGTAAGTCGTGTACTTGATATTTCTCTGGTGTCATTGTGGGGTGAATCGATGTTTGTATGGATATGTATTTCGAAAAGTATTGGACGACGCCACCCCAATATTATTATCACGAATTATGTCCACCTATTAAAAATTAGGAAATTTTAAGCCTAAAATTTAACCATACATTTTATTACCCACTAATTTCAGGGGTCCTGACTCTCTCTTTGAGCGACTCAAACGTGAAGGCGTTGAAACACCCGATGAATACATTACCTTTCACGGACTTCGAACATGGTCTGAGCTACACGGCGATTTGGTCACGGAGCTGATCTACGTCCACTCCAAGCTCCTCATCGTAGACGATAACCTCGTCATTTGCGGCTCTGCAAACATCAATGATCGCAGCATGTTGGGAAAACGGGACTCTGAAGTCGCCCTCATCGTGCAAGATGAAGAGTTCGTCCAATCCGTGATGAACGGGGTGGAATACAAAGCGGGCAAGTTCGGGCTCACGCTTCGCCTCCAACTCTTCCGTGAACACCTCGGCCTCCTCGATAAGCCAGAAGTCGACATCCGCGACGCCGTCAGTGAAAAGTTCTACCGCAACTTGTGGCAAGACACGGCCAAGTTGAACACGGAGATATATGACGAGGTTAAAAATAGTAGTAAAAATAATACTGTAAAAATAATAAATCGTGGTGGTGGTGGCTTATCATGGTAGATTGGATAACTCAAGTAAATACCGATTCTTTACATGAACCTTATTTACCCAGGTATTTCACGTCATGCCGACCGATCTGTGCGAGACGTTTGCCCAGCTCCAAACCTACCAGACGACGCACAACATGACTGTAACGGACGCTACACGGGCCAGAACTTTGCTAAAGGATACACGAGTAAGTACATATTTACACACATAAACTCCAATGTTAACATAAAACCCGTCCCTATTTTCATGCTATATGTTTTTTTATTTATTTACAGGGCTACTTGGTCCAACTGCCACTCAAGTTTCTCTGTCAGGAGAACCTTCTTCCCCCCTCCGCCACGAGGGAGGCCCTCATGCCGACGCAACTCTGGACCTGAGCGCCTCCATATCCACGACCACGACCCATCAGCATTACATTACTTATCAAGTCTTTCAGTAAATAAGGACTGCTTCTTCTCTTCTTCTCTACACCGTCACCACCGTCGCCAACTACTTTTTTGCCAGTGCCAACTTAACCAAGTGAGCAGCCAGGCTTCTTCTTCGAGCTACCGTAATCTTCCAATCCTTCCAATCATGAACCATACATAAATATATATGAAGTCATACATACAAGTATTTCTATCAGAGATGAGCAGACAGAGTGCAATATTATTAGTTAATAGGCTAGGACGTATTTTTACCTGAAAAACATCGTGTTCAGTGGACTTTAACCCACTTTTCTAAATGCATGAGAACAAGTTTTGGTTCGTGATGATGACGATAATTATCAAGATATTGGTGCGATGATAATGCTATACTTTTTAACTCTGGGGAAGGAGGGATTATATTTAAATTTAAGTAGGGACGCCTTATTAGAGCCCTGGGAAGGACGAAGTCTGCAGTTCATTAGTTTTTTTAAATAGCATTTCCAAGTATAACAATAAGGTGTTTTAAAATATAGTATAAAAAATCTACCTGAGTTTGACCTGTGTATTTAGACCTGCAGGAAGTGAAAAGAAACGCATTTTTTCCATGTTTAACCACCAGCCATCAATGTTTGCCTGGATTTTATAATTTCTGCCACAATTATTCTCAAAATTGTATGCTTTATAAAACATGCTGTATGAAATTTGTAGAAATTTTAAACAGAAATCAAATCCTGGAAAAAATGATTGGATATCATATAGAAAAAAAGATAAGTTTAAGTAGACCAAGAATTTTTAACAACTCGGTTTTGTTGGAACATGCCAATTTTGGCTGGACGACCTAAATGGCAGGCCTTTGCTCCTCAGGGATGCTTTATTATTCAGAGATTTTTGGCGAAAGTGAGTCAAAATTATGGCTACACTGCTTCCTCAGTGGTCCTCTGGACAGGATATTACATACTTATTATTAAAAAACTGCGCCTCATATTAACCGGTGTTGTGATTAAGTGAAATAATAACCAAAGTGCTTTAACAAACATACAGCGACTTAAAAATTAGCCAAGTAAGAAATAAAATGGATGTGCTTTCGGCCAACCAACCAGGAACCAAGTACCTTATCCGAGAAGCTCCGGCGGCGAAAAAATCTACAGGTGTGCGCAACCTCTCCTTACTAACTTTATATGTAAATAGGTTACGATGTACTTATGTCTGGCATCAATTTAATTGAATTGTTAATCTTCCTCGTTTTTCCGGTGACTTTTAATAATAATCGAAATTGTTGCTCTCTTCCACGGCGTTGCACCACTTCATTTTCCATCAAGATAACACACACATAAGCTAATCCTAAGTGATAATGGACCTCCCCTCGTATTTAGATAGCTCATGAGTTAGTGGTGGTGGTGGTGGAGCAGCTCCACCGCTCTCGCCGCTACATATTCTGTTATTTGAGTGTGTAGTATTACATGAATAGTAGGACTACGTGTGCAAATTATTATTTGCCTGGTAGCAAAGTAAAGTATTATTATTATGACGCTACCAAATATTTGTCGAAATACGGCACCGACATACGTATTAGATCCAACTTTGCATCTAAATGGGGCTAGAATTTGAGCAGGAAAGGTGTAAAATTGCATGGAAAATCATGTTATGTGACCACAAATATTGGAAGAGATGGGTGCAGGCATACATAGTTTACTGGATAATATGCACGAGGCGACAGCTGCTTGGCGCCCCTGACCTCTAACTTCGCCAATGTTGCCATTCTGCCAAAACCTTGGTCATTTTCCTCCTGTTTCACCTCAACCTGCCTCCGTCGTCATCGTCTCTGTCGTCGTTTGCCGGCGTTGTCGTCGCTCTTCCTCATTCTGCACTCATAGATAATTCAAAATTCCATCTTTTTTTATTATCACCGCCTCGAAAGAATGAGGCGGACACATAAAATATTCATGGATACATATTTTCTGGAAAATTTGTCATTGTTGGTGCAGATCTGCTCCAAGGATCCCATTGGCTGGGGGTTGTTGACGCTCAACTGCCTCAATCTCTATTTATCATCGAAATGCAAAAGCCGTGATTTGAGGGTGACGTATCGACTTGAATAGAAAAATTTCGTAATGGGATTTGCAGGGATAATTCAGGCTGGATGGGTTAGAACAAGGCGTACACAGCAACGCTCTATCACTGCACCGACACAATCTGCATGCACACGACCGCAACCCGCGCACAATGGGATTACCACAACAATTGGGGCAGCAGAAGGCGGAGGACAAAGAGGGAGCTATATATTTATCGGGCTGATGGCGGATAAAAGGCTGCGGTTACACCCCACAGCTCCCACTACTCGTCTCTCCCATCATGGCCTCGCTGCTGCTCAACCACCTCCTCTGCATATTAGCCCTCTCCACAGCTGGACTCCTGGCGCAGGAGGATGGACTCCCCCCACCCGTCAAACCCGAGCCAAGACAAGCATCCTGCAATTTTGCTTACGGTTTCACCTCCGTAGGACAGCAGGCCCTCCTCCAGTCGCCCGGATGGCCCAATAACTACCCAGCGTCGTCCGCCTGTAGATACTCGCTCACTTCTCCGGCAGGTATGGAATGTCTCGTTTTTTTAACCACCCCCACTAGGGACGTCCAAATATACAACTTTCACAGTTCTTGCCAAGTTTTGCTAAATTTACCAAATTTGACGCATAGACCTACGCATTTAACCGTTTGTCCTTGCTAACATGTAAACCCACGTAGATTCCGTAAATTATACACTTTTACAAAAGTGTACTCATAGTTCGAAGGAAAATATCCTCAAAATTTTTTATTTCAAAATGTTCCCATAAACTTGCTCAGATCAAGGCCACTCTCTTTTTATTTTGCAAAAGTTTGTTAAATTATTCTACAAAATTTATGCATTTTACAAAGTTACCAAGGACGGTGTGAACTGCCTCAATGCGAGTTTTGTTTATACCCAAATTTGCCAAGTGACTACTTTGCATGATATTTCCCTAAATTATTTCTTGAACTCATCCATTCATAATAAAAGATTCTCCTGAGGAAACCAGCCACTAATTTTTTAATCTATCTCGTCAGGGACGCTCATCTCCCTCCAGTGCACCGAGTTCAACGTGGAGTCCTCCTCTGGCTGCACCTACGACGTGTTTTACTTCTCCCCCAGTGGAGACTCTGCCTTCCGCGATGCCCTCCGAACCTGCGGCAGGGGGACGTTCTCCCGCAACTCCACCACCAACGCGCTCACCGTGGGCTTCGACTCCGACGCGGGCAACCCCTACTCTTCCTACCCCTACAGATTCCAGTGCACTCTGACCGTCATCCAAGGCACCTCCTCCTCCGCCGTCGTCGTCGCACCCACAACGGCAGCTCCACCCCCACCACCACCAGCCCCAACCACTGCTGCTCCTCCACTCCCACCCACTAACTCCACCTGCGAGTGTGGCGTGAGAAACGAGGCGACACGAATTGTCGGAGGATCCGTCGCCTTAGTGAACGAGTTTCCGTGGAGGTGCAATCTCTACAGTGAGTTACATAAATAATTATACAAATCAGTGTTTTGGGTGCAAGTAAAGCAACCACTTGCAAGTAGCCCGCAAGAAACGAAACACTGACAACGGAGGTCGCGCAGCGTATGCTCTCCGATTTTGAGCAAACTAGTGTCAATCGGGAACAAATTTAGTTTGTATGCAATTTTCAAAATACATGATCTCCTAAAGCGCACGTTTGGCAAAGATATTTGCATCCTAAGAGGAGAAAACGCACAGGGAATTTGCGAAGTGTCGACGTTTAGGCGCTTTTTCTCCTCTTTGGATGCAACTATCTCTGCGAAGCCTGCGCATTGGGAGATCGTGTATTTTGAAAATGTTATACTAATTAAACCATGTAACCAATTGACACTAGTTTAATAAAAATCTAAAAGCGTACGTTGGGAGACCCCCGTTGTGAGTAAATAATATGCAAATGAATCCTACTAACTAAGTACTTGACAGGTCCCACCATGGGCGTCTTTTGTGGAGCGACCATCATTTCCAACTCTTACGTCGTGACGGCCGCCCATTGTACCGCAGCTGTTCCGGCGGGAACCGTGTACTACGTGGACTGTGGGGATCATGACATTACCTCCAATACGGAGTCGACCAACGTAGTGATCCAAGTGGCGCAAGTCATGCAACACGCGCAGTACAACAAGGAAACGCAGGACAATGACATTTCCGTCCTTCGTCTGCAAACCCCGCTCACCTTTTCCCGCAACATACAGCCAATCTGCCTCCCCTTCAATCAGGTGGGTCAGTCTGTGGATGGTCTCACCGTCACGGCGTCCGGCTGGGGAAGTGAGTAGCCAATTAAATAATTTACACGTGGACAGATTAAGTCACGAAATTTATGAATTGCAGCCGTCTCGTCGGGTGGGAGCCAGTCCGTCGTTTTGAAGAAGGTCGATCTGCCCGTGCTGGGAACTACGCAGTGTCAAAAGTACTACGGAACATCCGTTACGGACAATATGATTTGTACTTGTGAGTTTATATGTATATGCAAATTTACGCTGCGACGTATGTTATAGGCAAGACTTAACATGGTTTAGATTTTTGTCGAGGGACATGTTACCGAATATACATGTTAAACGCTTATCTAACATAAGCGCCGGAAATTGTGTAAGAATAACTACAAATCCTTCTCATTTCTTTAGATTCTCCAGGATCTGACACATGTCAAGGCGATTCTGGCGGCAGTGTCGACTACAAACAACCCGCCAATGGACGCTACTGCCTTTTGGGAGTCGTGAGTTGGGGGGTCGGCTGCGCTGGGGTCAATCAACCCGGAGTCTATGCCAAAACGACCAATTACCTCGGATGGATTGCCGCCCAGACCAGTATTTAAACTTCCAAATTTCCTTACATAATTTCATTCTAGATAACCTCTAACCCCTTTTTTTCTCTAAATTCAGCTGGGACGACATTCTGCAGACCTTAAACTCCACCACCACCACCACCACCTTCTCTCTTCTTAACATGCAAAATTATTCAAATTCTTACCTCATCAAACAATAAAGTCATGCCAATTGATTGTGTAATGTTTAAAATGCAAAAAAATCAACAACTCATTTCCATTTCATTCGTTCTCCTTCTCTCATCTCCTTTATTTTCCTTTGTAATATAATAATACCTAATAATTCAATATGATGATGGAGAGATGACAATACATTTTTAGGGAACGACGGCGACGACGCACATTTTAACAATAATAATAATTTAAATCTTTATATAGTAATTAATTATTCATCCAGAAAGCGGTTGTGTTGTGATGATGAGGACGATGATAAGTAGAAAGTAGACAGAGATAGAGGAGAGAAATAATGGGAAATACTTGATAAATATAGTGGATACACACCCCCTCATTCCTCCACATTTCAGTAGTTCAGTAGCAGCAGCAGTATCTAGTTTAACAGGACAATATAACAAGACAATTAAGCAACAATTAATTAATTACTTAATGAACCAGCTGCTAGTTAATTACTAGTTTAAACTTTGATAATAATAATAATAATCTCTCTGCTACAAATAGGGTAGAGTTTTACAAACACGTGGTCAACAAGGAGGTAACCACGCCACGTGCTTAACGCCTCCTCTTTGCACCACTCGCATCTCTCATAAACGGCTAAATAGACAATTATTTTGGCAACTTTTTCCAGCAAAAATGTAACAATTAAGTAATAATATGTATGTAAATATGTACAAGACTAACCTCTACCATGCACCAACCACCCCAATTACTTAATTAGCTAACTAACTAACTAACTACTTAAATACTTACGTAGTATTTATTTTAGTACATATGAATAACAACTACCTTTTTAGTATAATTTAATTTAATACCCTCAAAATTCAAGTCTACAAGTGACGACGGTGACGACTATTTAAAATTGAAAAACGCCTCTGCCTCCTCAAACATGCAGTCATGCACGGTCCCTCTGTAACAGATACTACCACAACAATGGAGAACATTATTTATGTATCATTCCTACATCTCTTCCTGCTACTTTTACTTTCTAAATGACATGAATGACCAAAATACGTTGTCAAAATACACTATTTTGAGCTCCGTTCTTCCCAGGGTTTGGATTTCCAGGGGTGTTACACCCACAAAAGGACGAAAATCTAAGTCGAAAAGACAGCCATCTTACGAAAATGCGGATTTTGTCAAGAAACTACCTTTTTATCGCTATCAAAACACTTTATTTTTAGAAAATCGTGAAAACAAAGTGTTTCTCCAGGGATAAAATATTAAGTTCTTCACAAAACCTGTATTTTTGACCGACTTGTAGCTTCTCGTCTATTGGTGGGTGTAACAGCCCTGGAAATCCAAACCCTGGGAGATCAAAGTACTCCACATATTTTCACAAAGCATTTTGCCCATCCATTCAGAAAATGAGTAGATTGTGGTAGTTGAATGAATCCGAATTTCAGAACTCTTCCCTATTTATTAGTCTTATTACTTCTTTGGTTACTTGTGTATGGTTATGGTTACTGTGTGTCACAGGTATTATGTAAATAGGTATCAAGTCGTCGTAGTAATACAGATGATACAAATACTGAGTCGTATAACTGCGTGGACACAGAACTACTACGAAATACTATTTATGGTAAATTATGTAGCACTTAATTAATCTTCCATGCAGAAAACTCGCCTCGCCCTCGTGTTAAATAAATGCCTATAAAATATAGCCTCTCTCTCTCTCTAGTAATAACCTAACGACTATTATTATTCAAATCTAGGTAAATATGGCCGACTTATTACGACAACAAGAACATTGAAACGTCAAACACAAACCACGCACAGGTCGGGAAGCATATCCCGTCAAGAAGAATGCAGGGGTGCTGCTGCCCCACCATGTGCGTGAGTTTCGGACGTTGTCTAACTTTATATATGCATCCGGGTCAAAAGTGACGATCGCTTTAGTTGCTGATCAACTATTACGATAAGCACCAAGTATTTACTAGATTAGTTAGAGTTTACATATGCATAAATATGTAAATAGGTACATAACTAGTATATTAATTAATTAATACGACACCAAGAACAAGAAGGTAACCAACAAAGAAACGACACAACCAGAACCAGACCGGGTATTTTAGTATGATGAGCGCTTATCAACCTTCACTATCACTTCTGTGTGTGTGTACTTACAGCAAGGACAAGAGAATCAACAAATACATATTGCGAGGAGGAGGAGACCAAAAATCAGTCAGGTCGGGCATCATCAGAAAACAGTACTAATTAATAATGTCCTTCTCTCTCGACCTAATGAGCAATTATGTCAATCCCACCCACGCAGCCAGACAGATTTATAAAAATGTGGATGCAAACAGGTCCAACTCTTACAAAATTCTAAACTCTACGAGTTGCCAATTGGAGGAGGAGAAGTAGGAAATCGCCGTCCGAAGTAAAACACGGTCCAGAAACAAGCAGTCTTGTACTTGTTGGGAGGAGGGTCGTTCGTTCGTTCGTTAATCATCATCACAACTGACTCTTGCATAAATATGTAAATACATACCCAAAATGTGTATCCTAATGACTCGGCTAAACTACTAAATTCTTTTATACTAAGTAAGGGTAGGTAAACTCCAGTACATCGGTTTTAATTCATACATGTAATGAATACTCGTTACAAATAGTTAGCAAGGAGGAAATTTATAGCTTCAAATTTTCAAACTCTTACATAAATTCTTAATCTCAACTTCAAATAACGAATCGACATGTGTTCCCAGTTTTTCGTTTTCTACAGAACTATCAAAATGTGTGTATAAAATTAGAAAACAAAGAACAAACTGTAGAGAAAAGTATATAAAACTAAATTAATGGTGGCTGTGGTGGTAAAAAAAACTCTGAATGACCCACTCGACCTGACACCACGTGACCACCAAAAACGCTCAAAAAGAAGACAAAGTGTGCCCCAAGAAAGTATAAATACAAAAAAAATCTACCCTACACGGCTGCTCAACCCCCTTTTTGAACTTAATTGATTGATACGTACGCCTCTCGCTCTCGTGTTACGGTGGGATTTCAAAAATCTGAACAATTAATTAATTAATAATTACTACAACTAACTACGCTGACGTTCTGTATGTAACATTTAAGACTTCGCCTGCGGCAAATACCGCTTCAACGACTTTTCAATGTTCATCCGATGGCCGAGTTTTTTGACGCCGAGGTCGAGCAGGGTGGCGTTGTCCATGCGGAGAAGCTTCTTGCCGTCGATCCCTCGCTGGGAGAAGATCCCCTTGTACTCCTGCATGAAGAGGGAGTCCAACCAGTCGCACGCGTCGCACACCGTCCACTCAACCAAAGTCTTGTTGCGAAACTCACGACGGACTCGGGACGACGCGGCGGCGGCGGATTGTTGCTGAGATTGCTGTTGTTGTTGAGCTTGCAGTTGCATTTGTGCAGAAGCGGCGGCTGCAGCAGCGGCTTGTTGTTGTTGTTGCTGCTGCTGTGAAAAATACATTTTGTAAATTTTGTCAGGCTGATTTATTTAGAAGACAAAACTTACCTGGAGCATGACTTGGTGTGCGTGAGGAACTTCGTAATGGTCAGAACCGGCCTGTTTTTTAGGAATGGTGCCCACTATTCGAGGTCCACTACTGCTCTCGTACAAATCTGAAATTTTTTAATAGGACAAGTTAATCATTTTGTACACCAGTGCTTTTAATTTTTCAGAAATTTAATTTTGGCTTCAAACTCGTCAAAATTTGGTCATTTTTCGATGGGAATTACAACTCCTAATATTTGTCAACTTTCTCCAATTTAGAAAGAAACCAGATTGGCAATTAGTTGAAAAATATTAGTAACAGTTCCAAATTTTGTTACTGTATCAACTATTTAACTTATCGAACCTGGAGTGTATCGATGTACGGGGTGCAACTTGGCCGAGTTGCTGTTGGTCGTGGGCGTCGTAGCGGAGGGCGTTTGTTGGTAGTAGTAGCATTTTGGATGGTGGCCGTAGGAAGGAGGGGCAGTTTGAGGGACGGGTGGTGTTCCAGAGATCTGACCCGCGTTGGATTTTGGGGTTAGTGTCTGGTAGTGACCGTACGCCCCTTGTCCTCCTCCCGCCGTGCTGGTCGTCGTCCCATACGTCGCCTGGGCTGAGCGGGCTTGCAGCGTTCCGTACGTGGCTTGTTGTTGAGCCTGCTGCTGCTGCTGTTGAGACTGCATGAGGTGTTGGTGATGTTGCGCGGCGGCTGCGGCGTGTTGTTGCTGAAGCTGATGGAGTTGTTGTTGCTGTTGGTCTGTGGAAATAAAATAAGAAATTGCATTTTTTTATCCAACAAGGAGCAGAGCTGATATCGACTTAATTTTATTTTCAAAATAATCCCAATTTTTGAGAAGAATCATAATGAAAAATATGTATGCTCACATTGCTGACGCGTCATTGTAGGGTATCCGCTATACATGGAGGAGGTACTCGAGTGGGCGTGACTGATGGAACGGTACATGGGAGACTGGCGATTAAACTGGTTCTGCTGTTGAAGCTGTTGTTGGTGTTGGTGTTGTTCGGCGGTGAACATGTGTCCCTGATTGAATCTCGTGGCCGCCTCGTGCGTGTCCCTTGCGTCCGAAAACTCGGGCGGTGGGGCTAAAATCGGAGTTTGATTGCGCAGACCAAACTCTGGCGGGGGTGGCACCACGCTCGGGAAATCTTGCTGTTGACGAAAAGAAACAGCGTTAATTAGATTGATTAATTAATTACCTAATTATCAGAGGGCGGTATGTATTTATTAAAAATTGCTGAAATATGGTTTTAATATTTACAAAAAAAACGAAAATTTTTTACAAATATAAAAAAAATAAAAATAAACACATATCCGCCCTCTGCTCATTATGCAAATCAGACATACCTTAAGCGCTGCGACGTGCATCTGGATAAGTTTCAAACTTTCCTCTATGCTCTTCTCGGCCTGTCTCGTGCCCTGCATTTGTCCCTGCATTTGAAGCTGTTGCAGTTGACGGGCCGCGATCTGTTGTTGTTGGAGGTGGTATTGGTGCTGGAGTTGTTGTGGTTGCTCGGTCCCACCGCCGCCGCCACCAGCCGCCTGGGATAGCATGGAACGTGACCTTTGCGGTTGCAGCGTGTGGTACATCTAGAAACACATGTACATATTTTAGTAACAAATTAGGACAAGTCAATTGCTTAACGAGAAGGTTTAATCCATTACCTGATTGGAAACAGGCCCTGTGCCCACGAGGACGGTGACGGTCTTCTTTCCTACCGGAGTCTCCCTCCCACTTTCACTCTCGCTCTCAATCTCCATCGGTGGTGGCAGTTTGACCAGACTGACCGCATTCTTCGTAAGATTAGGAGGTTGCCTTGACACGGCACCACCACCACCCCCTCCTCCAGTCCCCGTTCCTCGCGTGATCGTCCCATAATTCGAGTCTCCCAGTCGCCCATAGAGCTGTTGATGTTGTTGCTGCATCTGCTCAAAATTGTGCGTGATTCCCAATTGAGCACTCGCCGAGAGCGGCTTCTTTTGCTGCTGCTCCTGCTGCGCCGTCAAATTTGAAATCTTCTCCTCCGTCGCCGTCGTCTTGAGAACCTTGCTCGCCGCCGAGATAACAGTTTGGACAGAGTCGGACGTCGTCGATGTCGAAGAAGGACCACCATTCTCGTCCTTCAAAATCCACGTTTTGTCACTTGAGTCTTCCGACACTGAATCCGAGTCGGGCTGGTTGACGGGCAGGTTGGTCACGTAGTTTCCTCCGCTTTCACCCTCACCACCACCACCTTCTTCGCCTCCCAAGTCGTTAGGAAATGATTTCGAAATTTTCAGACTCGTTTTCACTTTGGCGATGTCATCCACCGACATGGAATGAGCCATGGGACTATCCGGCGGAGTCAGGTCAGCAGCATCGGGGTGCGTTTGAAAGGTCACCGTCTTTTCCGACTTGCGTCCCAGGCGAGGTGACTGCTTCACCTCGATGCGGATTTTATCCGGAGTTTGTGAGTTTTGCAGGCTTGAGCTGGATTTCAGTACGGGTTTTACTGGCCGAAGTTTCTCTTTGGCTTCTTGCAGAGACTTTTGAGGGTCGAATCCTTGTCCGCCGTTCTGATTCGTGGCCCCCGCCGCAGCAGTGTTCGTGTTTCTCTTAAAACTATTCACATTTCCACCACCGTCGTCCCCATTGCAGACGTTGTTATTCCTGTTGTGGGGTTCGGCATAGTCTACTTTTTTATTTGTACTAGCATCCTTCGAGGGGGGCAGACTCTGAGAGCGGATTTTCTTTAATGTTCCCCCACCACCGGATGAATTGTTGTTGTTCCCATTCGGAGAAGTGGCGTCGCCGCTGTCCCGATACCCAATCGGGCGCAAGTCGTCCGGAGAGGCGTACAGTTTCGCGGAGTCGGTAGGTTTAAAGGAGGACATTACACCGGGACCAGGCTGTCCTTTCGAGAGCGTTCCACCACCCCCAATACCACCACCACTGTTCTGACCAGGACCTGAATGACCGTGTTCTAACGTGCCGTAAATGTCTTGCTTGTTCTTGGACACGTCCACCTTAATTACTTGGCCGGGTGGGACGAGGTTTATGATGGTTTGCTGCTCAGCCGGACTGATTGTGCAACCTGGCAAGGGACAAAATTATTCAATTAGAAAAACCTTATCGGAATTTTTACAGAATTGTAATTCATGGGTACGATTTCTGGGTATAATTTCTGGTCAAAATGTGCAAACGGGTTAATCAAAAAACTGTATTCCCCTAAAAAAAGTTCCAACAATTTGGAGGACCTTCTGTTTTAGTGGAAAACCGAAATTGGGACTTCCTTTTTTCAAATTTAAAGGACCTTATTTTTTAGTGAAAAAATCTGAAAAATTTCAATGACCTTCTTTTACTCAGGAGAAACCCCCAAACAAAAATTCCGTTTGCCCAAAAAAAAAAACAGAAATCGCCCCCACATTTTTGTAACATCGGGATATCCGATTAAAAATGTTAGTACTTTTAATACCGGTGGAAGCTCTTCTCGGCAGCGTTTTGCTCTGCACGGGTCGGATCAGTTTGGTCGTCCGATACTCGCCATCCGTGAGGACAGGAGTTTTCCCCTTCGTGGTGCTATTTACCACCTTATTCGTCTCCTCCCCTCCCCCGTTCTCCGATTCGGTGGAAGATTGTCCATCGTCATCCGACGTGGAGCCATCCGTCTCTGCACCACCACCACCATCACCACTTTCCGTCCTGCTCGCTGCTAGCTCCGACTCGGTGGGAGGTTCGGGAAGCTTGTCGTTGTAGTTAAGGTTGGAAGAGGGGAAAAAGTTCCGGTCGAGGGTCCACGAGTGACGTGGATTGCTATTCGAGTTGCGGAGGACGAGTTTATTGAGATTTTCTTGTGAGAGGGACTTCACTTGGTCTTTGTCCGTCGGCTTCTTCTGAGCGAGACCTTTAAGGTCGGGGGTCGAGTGGAAGTCTTTGTGCAGCGTGGAAGCCGCCTCTTTCCCTTTTAGGGCAGACTGCGAACAGAACAAAAATTAGATAAGTCTCTCGAGTAGAAATTCGCATAGTTTTCTGTACAAATCGCTCTGCATAGTTTTTCTGCGGAAAATTGGTCTAAATTTATTGACAAATCGGGCCAAATTTCTACACCAAAGCCTTTCAATTTTTACTCGGGACAAGATCAATGGATTTCCTGATCTCACCTTGGACCGCTTCATTTCCGCCACGGAGGCATAGATTTTGTGCGGAGGACCATTCCACGTTCCACACTTGTTTCCGGTTGTGGAGTCTGCGAATATTTCTTGCATCTCGGCAGCCGTGATGCGACTGGACGTTGGGCGAGCTCTGATTGAAGCCGTTTTTGTTTGAGCACCTCCTCCGTTGGATAAAAGGGTTCCGTTCCCCGTTGTAGCACCAGGTGGGAGGGGTGGCTTTCCTGCCACGGAGTCCGCTGAAGTAGAAATCACCCCACCATTCTCCACTCCTGAGGGTGAAGCGGCGTCTGGACGGAAAAACATGAACATTTCACTCCTCCTTGTTTTTACTTATCCCACATGGCCATACTGGTAGACAGGCCTTTAACACGTGTTTTCAGTTTATGAAATATATCCCTCTAAACATTTTCTAGTAATGAATTAATCCAAAAAGCAGGATTATTTCAAAAATAAAATTCACTTTGCCAGTTCAAAAGTTATTTACTTGATCGAGATGGCATTTTCAGGTGAACGTTAAGAGACTTTGATATCTTTTGAAAGGGTAGAGTTAATTTTATTTTTTGAAAAATCCCAATTTTAGATTGATTCTGAACCAAAATTTTCGAACGATATATTTCCCAACCCGAAGACACATTTCTTGTCCGAATTCTTACCCAAGTCCGCAAGCGCAGCCACCATAGATTTGGCACGGGCCCGACCCACACTCAAACTCGTGGTGGGGTCTCTTCTCGGCGGGGAGGGGACCGTCGTTGGTCCGGTGGATCCTGCTGAAAATGAACAACAAACCCACATGAGCTACTCTAATCTTCCTTCATATTCCTATGCATTTACTCACCGGAATGCTTTCTGGGCAGGGTGGCGAAATGGTTTTGTGCCGCTTTATGACCCCCCACCTCAGCCCCACCGTCATGTGTGAGTGAGGCCGCGGGAGATCCAGGTTTCAACTTTGACCCGTCCTCCTCCCCTTGAGCTGCGGAGAGGCGAGAAAGTCCCACGACGGTCAGGGAGACGAGCTCACCACTTTTTCGAATCATGTCCACCACCACCTCGTGCGACAGCTGGGAAACGTCCATCCCGTTTATCTACGCATCACACAAGGTCAATATATGTATATACGTTGTAAAGTGGTTGCATTTGTATAATCGTAGACAAGTGCTTTTACTTTGCCAAACATGTCCCTAGAAATTTTGAGGTTAAAAACCCACCAAAAAATTTGGATTATTTCAAAACTAAAATTAACTCGGTGGCGATAATGCCACTTTAAAAGTTACAGAGAGTCAAAGCAGACTCCCAAACTTCAAATACCATCTCATCTCAATCAAACTTTGACCTTCAACAGCTTCTAAACTGGCAGAGTTACCGTAGGACTCGATGGCTCATGCTCATCACCAAAATTGTTAAAACAACACACTTTTAATCATTTCTCGGCTCTGGGAATGTACTTAAAAATTATGGACGACAAATCTGCAGCTAGTAAGTCGTTGCCAATTTTTTGAAAATATACATTCCATATTTTGACCATTTTTTAAGGAGATTTCAAGTTTAAGAAGCCTTCAGAAAATTGGATTTCATTAATCAACTCACCGACAACAAATTTGTTGTGCAGACTTGTAAAATAAATTCTGAAATGATTAAAAATGTTCTGATTTTGACGATTACGCATCGAGTTCAACGCTAATTTCGTTTTTTTTGTGGATTTTTAACCAAAAAATCTCGTCCGACATAGTTCATGTCAAACTCTTGTTCACGATGATCGTCACGTTAATTCTTCTACTCACGGCGAGGATAAAGTCGCCCTTCCTGAGTCCAGCTCTATCGGCGACGCCTCCTTCATCCACGTCGTCCAAGTACTGGAGAGCTGGGAAGCGTTCCGACGGGGTCAATTCCATCAAGGGAGAGTCCGCCTTGGCTCCGCGGAGGATGAAACCGAAGCCCTTCTGCCCCCGGTGCAAGATCACAGTGTGCGGCTCGCCCCATCTACAAACAAAGGAGGAGGCTTGGTCACAAACAGCCGGCCCCCCCAGCATCACTTGGCTGCTGAAATCAAGGGATAACATAACAATTCAGCCAGCCACTAAAAACTAATAAACTAATTACCAGACGACGGATATGTATTTACCAAAAATCCCGGAAGCATATATCTAATATTTACGAAAGAAAAAATCAAACTATTTACGAAAAAAAACAGAATTTTCGCAACATTTTTTAAAATTAAATGCTCTGGATTTTTGTTAATCCAATTTCTTTGAGCAAAAATATTTTTAAATTTTTGTGATCTGAATGCGAACACACGCACAAAGTTTGACCGTGGGTCCGTGATCAAGTGAAAAATTTGAAAATGAATACATATCCGCCCTCTGCTAATAACTACGAACTAAAAAATACGACAGCGACCGCGGGAAGAGGAGGAGGTTGGAGGAGAAAACTGGGCACATGCAACGCCCAACAAAAGTATCAACTCACACTTTCTTGATGCGAGAGAGGTGTTGAGCATTTGGTGTTGCCGCCGTGGCAGCGACTCCTTTCCCCCCCTTTTTACCACTCGAGTGGGTGTGGTTGGCCGAGGGAGGGGCGAGGTGGTGGTTGTTGTGCTTCTCGTAACTTTTCATCCTGATTTCTTGAACACACTGGGCCGGAAAGAGGCCGATTCGACCACGGAGTGAGCCCTCCAGAACGGTACCACCCTCTGCTGAGCCAATCACTGCAAATCACAAGAATCCACAGTTAACAAATCAGTATTTTGAGCTCTGTTCTTCCCAAGGCTTGGATTTCCGGGGAGCATTACAGCCACAAAAAGACGAGAATCTACATGGAAAATCCAGCAGTCGAATCAAAACAGGGGTTTTCTTATTATTTTCAATGTATTTTCCCACCGATAAAAAGTTCACTTCTTCACAAACCATGCATACATTTTCCTCCGACTTGGATATTATAGATTTTATCCTTTTTGTGGCTATACTAACCCTGGAAACCCAGAGAAATACTGGATTTCTCTCCTCTGCAAACGACCAAATATTCAATTATGTAAATGAAATTATCACACCTTCGATAATGTCACCCTCCGCCAGTTTAAGGTGAAGGTTTGACTGAGGGGCGAAGTTCTCCACGCAGACGACCATCGTCCCGGGCAGGATGAGCGTCGCATCCGTGGGTGTGGCAGGCTCATAGCTGGACGCACTCCCTCCACTATTACACGTCCCCACTCCCGACGAATCTGACGTTATGTCCGAATGATCCAAGCTCTTTTCTGAGAAAACAAAAACAAAAAACCCAAATTAAAATCTGCCCACACACTTCATCACTTTAATTATTTGTTATACAAATGTTATCATCACAGCACCCCAAACCTGCCACCCAGAGAAAGTAAAGTTACAGAAGGAGGAGAAAACAGATAACTTCATATCAACAAAGTAGTGTCAAAGCAGGTAAATACATCAATATTCCCATGCAAAACAAATGTCATCACTCAATTTCTCCATAATTATTTATCATCATCACAGCTCCCAAAACCTATCACCACTCCAGAGAAAGCCAAGTTACGGAGGAGAAAGATAACTTCATATCAACAAAGCAATGTTAAAGCAGGCAAATAAATATTTCCATCCATAAAAATCCAACTACTCGATTCTTCCCAGGAATTCCATTTCATTCCTCGCCGCATTCCAGTCCAGTTCATTCTTGTCCTCCTGGAAAAATTCGTTCCATTGACAGCCATGTACCAACACATACCTCACACGCAGCCAGCCAGACAAGCAATTTCTGGTCTCCCAGCAACAAAAAAATCTAATGACACATGAAATTTGCATGTAAATAAAGCCCAGGCTGCACCCATCTTCCACGTTACGTTATGTAACTGTCCATTAGGCTTCATTTTTCTTCTTCTTCAGGTTCATCAAACCTCAGCCACGTAAAAATGAGGAGGAGGATGATTGAATTTCATGAATTTTAAACAGGGTGCGTCCCGTAGGTATTTATAGGCAAGCATCTCCACCGTCTCGCTCCTCTCTCTCCACGTCGGCTTCTTTGATCATCATCTCATCCCTTTCTTCTCCTCGTCACAATCCATCCATCCATTTTTTCCGGCACAGCAAGCCATCCATCCATCCATTGATTGCTAAATAAATTCGATTCCGCGTGTCGTGTCCAGCCGTATTCACATCCAAAGCAGTGTTTCCTTTCTTACCGGCTTGCTACATTTCTTCCACTGCAAAGCAAGCCATGCAAGAAATATACCCATACGAAGTTTCTCGCGCCTTGCATTACTTGAAGGTCAAAATAGCTGCAAGAAACCACTATTATTTCTTGCAAGTGGTTACTTCCACCCGAAACACTGATCCAAATTCAATCAAGCCACATAAAAATAAATAGCAAAGCAAAGCAATTATATCCTAAAAGTTAGTCGCCGATCGGCAGTTTTTCAAAATTTCAGAAAAATCAAGCCACATTAAAATAAATAGCCAAGCAAGCAAAACAATAATTTAATCCCAAAAGTTATTAACCCGTAGTCGCTGATCCGCAGTGTTCCGAAATTTCTGAAAAATCCGACGCCGCCGAGTGTGAGATTGACGAGTAGGACGAATCCGAGCAGGAACCTGACCGAGTGTGTCGTCCTCCGTGTGACGATGAGCACGAAGAAGGGCAGGAAGACGACGAGGGGGAAAAATGGGGCAGCGAACGGAGTGACGGACAGGGTGAAGGGGGTCGATGGTGCGGCGCAAAGACACGCGACAACGACCGCGTCGACAACGAAGTCATCGACATGTTGAGGCGAGGGTCGGAAAAGGCGCGGGAAATGACACACCTACGACGCGGGTTGTACGATGGCAGGTCTCGATAAGGCACTAAACGATGGCAATTACGTACGGGAGAAAAAAAGAACAAAAGAAAAACATAAATAAATAAACTTTAAAAAAATAATTCCAATTAAAATCGTGGCCATAAATTTTGGTTGCCTAAATAATAATTGGTTGCATGCACATGGATCGTACACAGCGGAGGAGGGTGAAGACGACACAATATTCATGCCACTACTTTTACGGTTTACCAAGTATCCACTAAAACGAATTGCAACCACCCAATACTCACGACGGCACGATATTTAAAGTCTCACAATGGAGGTAGCCCAGTGTATGCTCTCCGATTTGGGCGAATCGATCACAATATGAGATTTGCAAGAGACACGATTTCCCAATGTGCAAGTCTGGCTGAGAACTTTGAATCTGAAGAGGAGAAAACACGTCTTAAAGTCGACAAATTTTTTACACGTTCAAAACAAATTTCGCATTTTCTCCTCTTCTGATGCAAATATCTCTACCAAACGTGTGCATTCGGAAATCGTGTCTTTTACAAATTCCATACTAACTAAACTTGCCATCCATAGAGACTAGTTCGCTCAAAATCGGATCATATACGCTGGGAGACCTCCACTGTGAAGCATGAAACTTGTATTTAACAAGACACGAACAAACATTTAATAAATCCCGATTCTGCCTGGACTGGACTTTGGTCACGACTTGCGATAAATAAATAATGACTTATGTGTGACAATAAATAGTCGTCGTGGTTGTCATTCTTGGTGAGAATGACACTTTCCACGTCAATGTCAACCCGTCCAGCCGAGTTGTATGTAAATAAGTAAAGAGATTCATCTCATAAATTCCTTCCCCCTTCTTCCAACTGCATCTCGAGGAAGGGAGGAATGCGTGCACATAACAATACTCGACTCGACTGGACATACACCAACCAGCCACCTGCACTAACAACAATACAGCAACAATAGTGCCACGGAATTTCTTCCTCCTTCGTTCGTGGGTGGATTGGACGAGTAGAAAAACCTGTTGCCTCTACAATATTTTGCATAACAATCGTCCCCATAAATCACCTAAAATATTATCCCCCTCATAACCCGAGTACAAATCACTGCATCGAATTCTGCAGTAATCGACAAAGCTCGATGCATATCGCATTCTGCGTAATTTTTGTTACGTAATCCTGCCCAAAATTTCTATCCGTTTTATTCTGCAGAACCGCATGTGTATAGTTTTCTGCCCAAATCGCTCTGAATACCGTATTTCTGCACAAATCGGCCAAAATTTCTGCACGAAACCCGTTCAAATTTGTATTCTACAAGCTCCTCCTACTTTTACTTACCGACATCTTGGCTCCGGTGGGTCTGGATGATTTCCGCGAGTTCCATATTCCCCGCGATGACGGCCATTTGGTAGGGGGTTTGATTCGCAAAGTTGAGCGCGTCCTTATCCGCGCCGCGAAAGAGGAGCAGACGCGCGGAGGATTCCTGATTATTGACGGCGCAAACGTGGAGGGGTGTGTTTCCCGAGGCGTTGCGCGCATTCATGTCGGCCCCGTAGTAGAGGAGGTGCTCCAAGTGTTGGACAAGCCCGGTCCGACATGCCTAAGGAGGACAATGACCAAAAATCGTCTCAATTTTTTTGGGAGGAATGTCATTTCACAGTTCTTCATTCATTTAATTACTGCTAAATGAGTTCCGTTACATAAATAGTTGGTTGGTTGGCAGGTTGGCTCGTCTGATGAGATCAGCTCCCGTGACACCCAGTCACGAAATATGCAAAGATAAAGACAGACCAAGCAGTGTTTCGTTTCGCCGTGCATTTCTTGCAGGTCAAAATATTTAGCTGCAAGAAACCACTTTCTTGCCGTTGTTTCTTGCAAGTGATTACTTGCACCCGAAACACTGAGACCAAGATCGCTCCTGTCTCATTCCGTGGTCAGACAGAATCACCACCACTAAACGCACATTACTAATTTAATTCCTACAATTCCCAGGTTTTTGCCGTCGTCACAACGACCCAGAAAATCACACCCACTTTCGTAGTTAATACTACAATTCCCACTCCCAGTTTTGTGTCGTCATCAGAACATAATTACCCATCCGTCTGCCCAGCCACACCCCCACTTTCGTACTTAAGTCTCAAAAAATCATCGCATAAATATGCACTTGTAATTAATCATGCTTACTTCAACTAAATACTAGTTTACTAATTGTCGTCTAATTGTCGCAATGAAGTCCGGAGTTTACATAATAATTGGTTCTACGTTTTTTTCCATCCTTGTTGGACATCCACTTGTCCAGTTCCCCTCACTCAGCACGAAATGGGGAGGGAGATCGTGGGGGAGGCAGGATGTTCATGTTTAACTATTCTTTAATAGAGCTCAATTGGTCAACAACCCATCCACAATAAATCCAGACACGTCCACACACACGATCCCAAAACCAAGTATGTAACCGGATCGACCAATTGCCCCCCAAATTGTGAATCCCTATGCAAAACTCTATCCATCCACTAATCAAATCCTCCTATTTACGTAACATTACATTTCCTCTCCTCATGGACACAACGTGACGTTTTCCTGGACACGTTCACTCACATCATCCTCCAGCAGAAGCAGCAGCAAGCCATACAATTTTTGGGAGGTGGGCGGAAGGAAACAAAAGTTGGCAAAATTAGAGTCAAATCCTCGTTCCGCAAATTAACAAATCTCTCTCAATTATGTACATGTACATATTTTTGCAAACACATCGCGAATTTAGAGCATCTATACACTGGTCACTTCGTTGCTAATTTGTTTTTCCCGTGGGTGGAACAATGGAGAGTGGAATAATCCCAAATTAAGGCCGGTCACGACATGGTGTCGAATTCACAAAGATCAGAATCAGAAACAAACCCAAAAAGTAAAACTTTCTTGATAACGAGATTAATCAATATCTCACACTTCACAGCCATGCCATTAGCCAACTAATGAACCAATCAACACACAAAAATACATATCGTGTGGGCAGTGGACCGCGTCACGTCCTCCTCGTCGTGAACCATGACCACCTCTTTCTGTCCGTCCGTCCGTCCGTCTACCTTATGATCATGATGACCATAACCATCATCAAATCAGGGACTTCATGACGATCAACTCACCACCGTGTCGACTCTCAGGTCGACAGTTCCTCAACTCAAAAAAATGTCGCCATTCATTTATTCTCCTTCTTGTCATCATGCATGCAATCTGCCGTGTGAATCTGCTCACACACAACTTGGCACATTTTTAGCCACTGCTTTTTTTATACAAGTTCCGATTGTGGGTCAAGAATGAGGATGTGTGTAGCAAACGGTGGACAGAATTTCAATGTGAATGCGAGAATCATCATCATCGCACATGTCACCTTCACCAGAAAATAGAGACAAAAGAAGAGGAGGATGAGCTACTGACTGCCGGCTATAAATATGGCAAACTGTCACCTTCCGCATAATAACTAATTCGCGTGTCATCCTTCTTTCAATGAAGACGACGTCGACGTCGACGGGATAAAGGCGACGATTTGATAAAGACGACGCCATGCAAGGAGTGTGTGTATAAAGGGATGAATAAAATCCGGATCCACCCACCCAAACAAAACCCCACAATGTGAAATATCATCATTTAACTAACGACAGGTTAATAAAATAAGCAACAACCGTCAATAATCTCACTCCCATTCCAGGTGGTGTGGCATGACGGTTAGTCAGTCAACAAATCGTACATACTCGCAATACATATGTCGCAATTTTCTACATGCAATTCTACCCTCTGCTCCTTCTGCAATTACGTTACGTTGCCCAACATGTGGCCGGTCAGCGAAGTAAGTAAAAAAGATGCCAAGTCAAGATCGCCACACTACGCTTCCAAAAAACTGTAGGGATCAAGACTGCACTCGCTTAAATGGAGATGATCAATTGCTTAATCAGTCGTTGGATCACTTTATTCCCTTGCACAACGACCACGACGACGACGACGACCAGGATTGTTACAGTGCGCTCAGTCACTCACTCACATGCTGAAATATTTGACAAAATCTATCCATACAACACACCATCTATTTTACGGCATGATTTATTATTTAGCTGACTAAGCACACATAGGATTCCTCTCTCTCTCTCTATCATTACTTGTGCTCTTGATGCTATGATTATTATTACAAAATCTGTGGTGCATTCTCCTCCTAGTCGACTAGTCTATCACCACATGGGCATAATTCCCCCATCCCAACTAAAGTAGTAACTGAGACACATTAAATTATCTATAACACACAAAAACTGAATGATGCATTGCTCTCGTCAGCGTCCGCGGACAGGGGGACAATGTCCCCACGGATGCTTGATGTCCCCATCATCTGCCCATGTAATATAAACCCCTATCATACAATTCCAATGTTCCCACATGTCCCCACCGCATCCGCGGCCACTGGCTCTCTCGTTGTAATAATGATCCCATTCTCGGCATGAATTCATCTCTCTCTAATAATAATGGGATAATATTTAGTTAGTTATTGGGTTGGCAAATATTAAATATTTACCCAAATTTAACAATCAGGTTGCACTTACTCACTAGCTCCACAGTCGATTTGAATAAATGTGCATGCAGGCAGGCAGGCAGGTGGATTATTTGGACGGGTAGCTTCATATCGTATTTACATTTCTAGGATGGATCGAACTACTACTCGATATTATTAATTTGCTCGACTTGTCGCGAATAAAGATCTCTCGCACATATTTCAATTCAAGTGTCACACAGGGTCATACATACATACATGCAAATGGAGACATGTAAATGAATTAGTATTCATGCAGATGATGAACAAGTACATATGCATGACAGACCTGAATAAAATTGGCTAACCAACCAACCCACCAAACCACAGATTGTTACGTACGTACGTAAGTAACAATAATGCTGCTCACGCACTCAACTCAACTCGCATTTCATTTCAACCACGACTTATTATCTCTCGTCTCATCTCAACAACTGGGTTTCTTCTCCAAATAAAGACAACACGGGCGAACTGAGACTGCGACTGACCTGATGGACCTCGTGCCACCCTTGCAAGTCTTGTGCGCCAATGAAGGCGTGGTCATGTAGGAGGAGTTGCGTCATGGCGGGGTCCGCTTGCAGGGAGACGGACAAGTAGAGAGGGGTCAATCCCTTTGAGTCCTTATAGTTCGGAGACCCACCCAGGTCCAGCATGGTCTTGACGGCTTCATAACTTTTCGCCTCCACGGCCCTGTGCATCCCGGTGCAGCCCTCTTTCGTCCGGTAGTCGAGAAGGGCGCCCCCATTCACCAACGCCATGAGCAACTTGGTCGGCTTCTTCATCAGGGCAGCCATCGTGAGCGGGGTTTCTGGTAAAAAAAAAAGATTCGTTAAGTCAAGTGCGTACACAGAGCGCTCCTTATTTAGCAGGACCATTGGCGTCATTCTAATTACAAAATTATAAATTGACCCTTCTTGCTGTAGAAGATGAACTTCGGAATGGAGGTCTCCCATCGTATGTGATCCTATTTTGAGCAAACTAGCCTCAATCGATGGCAAATTTAATTAGTATGAACTTTGGGAAAGACATGATCTCCCCATGGGCACGTTTCTCAGAGATATTTGCATCCGTAGAGGAGAAAACGTGTCCTAAAGTTGGGAGCTCGTGTCTTTCGCAAATCTGATATTAATTAAACTTGTGGTCGATTGAGACTAGTTTGCTCAAAATCGGAGAGTATACGCTGGGAGACCTCCACTCTTAGTGATCTGGGTGCCATAATCTACTGCTCCTCTCCTGCTGATTACCATAGGGCGGATATGTATGTACTTAAATTCCTCAAAATATGTATGTAATATGTGCTTAAAAAACACGAAAATATGCACATAAAAAATATTTTTCAATTGCAATTTTCTACTGTATTTATATTTAATTGTCCAGACCTTTTAAATTGTTAGCACCCTTATTAACGAAGTATTAAATATTTCATTTTAATCTTCAGCTAATGACCCATAAAGCGACATTAGTTATATTTAGAGGTTTTCAGGGGTAATTTTTTGACTTGAAAAATGGGGCAAACTGGATTTGCTAATCGTTCACATGAATTGAACACCACTATCATTACTTTAACTACTCAATAAAGAGAAATATTTTCACATAAAAAACCTTGAAATGTATTAAAATATGTATTTTTGGAAAAAGGCTCGATTATGTAGAAAAATATGTGCATGTACGAAAAAAAACCTCAAAATATGTATGAAAATATGTATATGTACCAAAACCCTAAAATATGGAAAATATGGAAAACCATGTTTGAATTTTTGAGATCACGCTTCGATGGGATGTCAGTATACAAAGTTTTAGTACGATCTGATTTGATATGAAAAAGTTAGAAATACATACATATCCGCCCTCTGCTGATTACTGTATCTCACGAAACGGTGTGGTTAGTGGACAGTGGTTTGATCGTAGTTTGGCTACTTACTTGGTATCCAAGACGCATACATATTTAACAAGAAGAATGCTAAATAAATTACAGTTTGAGAACAAATTTGCATATCTCTTATTTGGGGTCTCGTTCATTTGCCTGTTTCCATTTTTGGTCGTGGTCGAGTTGATTGTCCAGCCAAAAATCAACCTTCGCTCACACATACACAGATTTAACTGCTCCAAGCGCAATTCCTGCATTTCCTACCAGTCGATTTCCTCTCTCTCTACCTGACGACCAACACCCAAAAAGTCACTAACTCACTAACTAGCTCGCTATTAAATCATCTTCCTGACCCAGGAAGATGATATATGTAATAATTACACTAATAATTAACCATTCTAAACGAATATAAAGAAGTAGCGTCAAAGCAATTGAAATTTCCTTTAAAATGACACCGCATATGAAAATTATGTAGTTTTTGACCTTTGACCTCGTCCTCATGGGTTCTTCGGAGATCAAAAATATTAAATATGAATTAGTCTGAATGTGTTAAGCCGTTCTGGAGATATTCTGCCCACAGACAGACAGATGGTCACACGGACGGACAAAACGATGACATAAATCAACGCACGCTACTTAATAATTACAATACTAAACTCACCCCCAGTTTCAGGACAGTGGAAGTTTGGGTCGAGCCCTTTGGCGCACATTTTCGTAATCTTGTCGCAGTGGGCGGAGGAGACGTAGTCCAGAAATCGGCGTAGGTTCGACTTGGTGTGGATCTGCTTTAACTGTTTCTCTTCCAGGTTCAACCCCTTGTACAGACGCCGCTTGTAGCGCAACTGCAATTAAATAAGTATAAATTATGTCTCAATTCTAATAATTCGTCCTCCCACTCTCACTTCATGAGCAGTGTTTCGCGTGCGAGTAACCACTTGCAAGAAATAACGGCAAGAACGCGGTTTCTTGCAGCTAAATATTTTGACCTGCAAGAAATGCAAGGCGCAAGAAACTAGGCCTATAAATAGTTCAAACGGCGCGTGGCTGGATGGGGCATATTTCGTGCACCTCGCGTTTCTTGCCCTTTGCACTCCAAGAAATGTAGTAAACCCGAAATCCACGAAACACTGTCCACAATTAAGTCGTGTCATCATAAATGTCACGTCTCACATCATTATTAGAATATCTGGTGCAGCAAATGTCGTAAAAAATGATCAGGTCAGGTTACAAGTACTAAAATTACGACGCTAATCTAGATACACCCACATCTTGTTAACTAATAATTAATCTGCAGGCCAGAGATGGGTAGTGCAGGACATAAGTGCGTCGTAAAAGACGTACAAACTGGTCGTCCAACCCACGGAAAGGAGTAAAAATGTGGTGGATAATGGGTCGTTATTCGTTTTGTGACTTTATTCTGGGTCATTGTAACGTGTCTCACTCACCTCGAGGTAGCCGACGGGGCCGGAAAACGGGTAGTCGGAAAGGGGCCGCTCCTCATCCAGAAATTTACCCGCTTTTCCATTGCACGGCGGTGCGAAGAGGCCGTAGTTGAAACTCTCTTTCAGCTCCTGCAAATTAAAAAAACAGCATTTTTAACATCCTCGTTATCATTATCGCCATCCTTTCATCTTATTCAGAAGTGGGCAAAATACATGAAAAAGACGAGAATCTGCAGCAGTCAAACGAAAATACATGCATCTTTTCAACTTTGGCTCACCAAAATCGTCAAAATCAATACATTTTCAATCAACTTTGGGAATTTATTTTAAATTGGCAACTCTCCGCTCTACAAATTTGTCGTCCAGCATTTTAAAATAAATTCCCAGAGTCGAGAAATAATTAAAGATGTGCTGATTTTGACGATGAATTCTACGTTAACAAATTAACTTTTTATCGATCTCAAAATTTCTTTAAGTAGCTTCAGCTACTTTATGTGAAGACTTTGTCTGTCTGTCCGTCTGTCAGCAGGATAACGGGAGAACGGATAAAGATAATTGAAATCGGTTTTCGCCATCATACATAAGACCCCAGGGGGAGGATCCTATCAACTTTTGGGTGCAACCGGACCACACCCCCTGGCGCCAGGGGGTGTGGTCGGGGCAAAATGAGATTTTTAGTGCAATCGAATCTATGGATGAACTAGAGTGAAATTTTGTGTATCCCTGATGTGCCACACCCCCTGGGCGCCAGGGGGTGTGGTCGGGGCAAAATGAGATTTTTACAAAAATTGAATATATATATGAAATAGAGTCAAATTAAGTGTTCCCGAGTTGTACCACACCCCCTGGGCGCCAGGGGGTGTTGTCGGGGCAAAATGAGATCTTCAGTGAAATTAAAAAAATGGATGAAATACACTGAAATTAAGTGTTCCCCCGCTATCATAGGGGTGGAGTGAATCTGAAGCTACTTCCGTATACGCGTTTGCGACGGTTTATTTTTTAAAAACAATGTAAATATTTCCTCAAGGAAAATAAACATTAAATTTCTTCCCCAAAAAACATACATTTTCGTATGCATCCCTAAAATCCATCCCCCTTGGAAGAATATTCTCAATCCACAGTATTTTGCCCACCTCTCCCCAATTCTAATTAATTAGTGACAGCAACCCCAATTCTTATTTCTTCTTGATGGCTCAATCCCAACTAATTCGCTTCATTAAACATGGCCATTTGCGGGAGGAGGATAGCAGAACGAGCATGACAGAAGGAAACAATGACACAACCGCCATGATTGGCACATCGTGAAGGGAGAGGACATTTCAAATATGCAAAAGCCAGCCAAATAATATCTAACAAGGCAGCAGCAGCAGCAAGAGTGGCTCATCCTCATAACTAATTGCTACTGTGTAGGGCGATGCGGTCAAACTAAAACAACAAGCCAGCCGTGGTACGAGCCGTAAAATAAAAGTAACGGCAAAAGTGTACCCAAGATCATGAGATTTCTACTCTACTCCAGTTTTTTACAAATCTCGGGATTGACATCAAAGCAGCCCTAGTCGTCGCCCGTAGTAAAAAGTGAGTCAGCAAGACAAACCTCTCCACTCGTGAGAAGAGGACCAAATTTGCACATAAATCATTCCCCCAGAGCAAATCCGTGTCTCCCATTTCGCACGCGAAACGCAAACAAAAAACGGAGAGGAAGCGAATAAAGGAAGCAAGATGACCAGAGGGGGACATGCAAAATATATTTTATTTACATATCTATGTACTACCACTCGTCATTTCATTACCCAAAAACCACACAGGTCTTGTCACCAGTGGCCGCGGAAGCGTGTCCACAATGTCCCCCACGGTTATTCGATGGCCCCGTCATCTCCCCATCTTATACCCCTGCCTCCCCTATCCCACAATGTTAATGCCCCCACCGCCTCCGCGGCCACTCCTTTTCGCCCAAATCAACCAAAACCAAGACTAATTCAGACTTGTGTGTGCAAAAATTCAGACTTTTGTGTGCAAATCTCCACAGATTTGCTGCTACCACTCGACCACCACAACTCAACCTCTTTGTACTTCCAAGATGAAGATGAGCCCACCACAAAAACCATTCACTTTTTTATGCATTACATTACTCAAACAAACTGTACTTCACACACACACATAAGAAGAAGAAGAACACACACTGTACGCACATGAGAGCACACCAATAATAATGATAACGTTATGATGATTATGATGATCATCTTCTGCTCCTCTCTCTGTGCGAAAAAGTATTACATAAAATGTACCAAATTTCCTTCTTCCCAGCACACAATACATAATTTAACCTGGGTGGAAAATTGCTCATCTTTCCTGCACTCCTCGTCCTCGTCAATAAGTAATCAATTCATTTTTTTCTCTCTCCGCGAGGAGAAGAATGTGGTCGATTAAATGTCCCGTGACGAAGAGAGGAACGTGTGTGTGTAAAATAAAAGTTTGCATTGTTTCACATTGTCTCATTTTTCTATAAACACACATCTCAGTCATTGACTCTTTTCTCTTTGTATTGATTTCTTCTCTCCCTTCTTCTTCTTCTTCTTCCTCCTCCAAGAAAGAATGCATGCAGTGAAATGGATGGACACAAATTTTCATACAAACGGATACAGCAGCAGGAGAAAGACGAAACGTTCCCTTTTTTAGCCAACCTTTGTTTAATTGTTGTAAGCTGCCGGTAGAATGTGTGAATCTTAGAAGAGAGGTTTCCCAGCGTATGCGATCAGATTTTGAGGAAATTAGTGTCAATCGAGCACAAATTTATGTTCAATTGACACTAATTTTAAGATATTTTCTCCTCTTCGGATGCAACTATCTCTGCCAAATGTGCCCATTTGGAGATCATCTATTTTCCAAATTTCGTACTACTTAAATTTGCCATCGATTAAGACTATTTCGCTCAAAATCAGAGCGCATACGCTGAGAGACCTCCATTGTTAATCGTACGTACACATATTCCTCAATAATATGACAGGTATTAGCAGAGGGAGAGGTTATAGTTCCCCCCAGGTATCTAACTGATTATCCACGTTATTTTAGTATCGATCTCCCTCTTTGTCTAACTATGCAGTCAGAAGCATACATATTTACATGCCGTATGGTTTCGCTAACTCTCCCTACAGAAGAATGGAAATTGATAATCCAACAGCAGCCTTAAAGCATCACTAAATAGCAACCATCAGGATTACACCACTGCCTTTAATACGCCATCATCATGACGAGCAACCTTCCTTCCTCTACCATGAGAATCCATACTACATACATAATTCAGAGCCAGAGGAATAATTCAGTGACAACTTGTACGAAAAGAAATCATCATCGAGAATAAATAAATCAAGGCTGCACATTATTTTGTAATGATAACTAATCCTCCCTCCCATCTTCTTCTCGTCCAAAGATGACGACGACGACCAACCAAAGTCTATTAATGAGCAGAACAAGAAATGAGGATAATCACCACTACCATTCAGACGAATAGCCAGCCAGCCATCCATCCAAGGCACAAAAATCTTGTGCATTTTCATATTTATTTTTACCGTAACAATCTTCTTGGTCGTCGTCGCCGTCTTCTTCTTCTTCTCGGTAGCCGCATGCAATTCTAATCCAAATCTATATCAGCCTCTATTTACCAGTGTGTAATGGTATATGAATGAATGTGTGGCACTAGAGTAGCACCACCAGCACACACACACACCGTTACCAAAATTTGTAACGAGTCCCATAAAAAAATCTACATATGTACGACGTGACAGAATTCCTCATCTACTAAAAATATGTACATACGCAACCCATGCAACCATATTCCCAGAAGGTGAAGAGACAATTAGTACACCGAGAGAAATTTATTAGACGACGGGCGACCATTTTTTCAACCTCAAATGAGACGATTTTTCCAACAAATTTTTATATTCACCACATATCCACACCTTTGACTTGCTAGGCTGCCATGCTTGATTGCTCATGTGTACATGCATGCGAAAAGCAACAATTTGCATTTTTTTTAACAAAAGTAATAATCATTTGTGGCAGAGGAGAGAGAAACATAACTTTGCATGCCGGGGCTGTTTTATGAATTTGCATAATACATAACTTTTACAAAATATGTGCGACCTGGGCAAAATTAAAGTAAAAAAAACACCTACCCCAAACCATTCTGTGACCTGGAGTGTGCACATAGTCCAAAAACCGTGGGGTCAAACAAAGTCCAAAAGATAAGAGACCCACAAGAAGAAGAAGAAGAAACCCAAAACCAAAAGATTTGCATAAAAAATCATAAATAAAGTCATAAAATAATTAGTCCGCTTAATTAACAAATACTTAAAAAGAGGCAGAATTACAATTATAAGCAATATGGTCCATAAAAAGGGTAATTAAATATACAAATGGTTAAAAATTAACCAATAAGGTTGACAAAAAAGGTCGCATTTATCTACTTTTTGGTCAACATGTATGTTTCGGGATACTTAATTAAAAAATCAAATTAATGCAGTCATCACGTGACATCAGTTCAACCAAATATTTCTTTTCTTTAATACCTGCAGGCAGGCAGGCAGGCAGGGTGACGAAACTCTAAAGTGGTGGTGAAACATGGAGTCGTTTCAACAATTAACATGCCTACCTACGCCATCCGCACACCTTATCGAGCCATAATGCCAATTACTTACTTACACGTGCTGCATACTTCTCTCTCTAGCTACTAAAAACAGGAGGGAATCGTAATGCAGACGTTTTCATTAAGTACTTAACTACGAATCGTAAAACAAATGGGGAATTAAATCTTTCATAGCGACAAAAAGTTAAGAGAGAGAGGCGTTTATTTGTTCTTGGGGAAGTATGCATCACTTCACGTCGAGGTGACCGTCGACTCCATTGTTTCCTTGCTTTTTTGATACCCATGCACCAACCCGTGCCACTAATTAAGAAGTTAAAATTAACCTGTGTAACCAATAAGGGATTAACTAACTCCATATGTAAATAGCTACTTAACTACATGGTAACAATTAATCTTGCAAATTTCACCCGATTGCAAAATAGTAATAATAACGATTTTTGCCACGTCTTAAAATTTGCATGAATTTCTTCCTCCACGACGAGAATACATAAGAATCTACGTCACCTTCTTCCTTCTCTTTGTCAAAGGAATGCATAATATCTTCTGCGACGGCCACACGGGTGTCATTAAAATTAAAAGTTTTTTTTCCACACATAAAAATTTCTCGCTTTCACTCCAAATCTTTTGACAAAAAGAACCTCAAAGAAATCTGGTCAAGAAATATATTTAAATCAAACCACAGGAAACAAACAGATTTTACTTTGGTCAGTGTGACCACAACTACGCTTATCATCATTATTATGACACCCAAGCCACACTATACACCGACACATGGACCACAAATAAATAATTTATCAGAGAGAGGATATGTATTCATTTGCAACGTTTTCACTTGATCATATCACAACCGAGGGTCAAACTTTGTGCGTGTGTTCCCTAATTCGTATAGGACACAAAAATTTTAAAACATTTTTTGATATTTCTGGGTTTTTAGACATCTAAATATTTCAGAAATGGGGAAATCTTGTATATATTTGTTTTAATATTTAAACGATGTGAGAGACGAATTTTTTTTTTCTCAGAGAAATTTGACCACAAAAAATTTAGAGGATTACATTCAAAAATACAAATTTTGTGAAAATTCCTACTTTTTTCGCCCATTTTTTTCTCTTAAATATTAACTCCATATTTCCGCTCTTTTCCTCAAATTCATATCCACCCTCTGCAAATACATAAATAATAATGTGTCCCTATTTTTTGTTTCTCCTACTGATCAGTCGGTCGAGATGATGCGCTAAATATCCATGTCATTCTCTGCCTTAACTGCACATTTCCCCTCTATCTGCCCCAAGCCCAAGGAGGATTTAATCTGCCCAAGGAGACGAACATAGTAATGAGCCTATCTCATCTCGTAGATAAATAAATAAATATAAACAAAACCCCATCCACCATTATTATTATTATTACTCGCTACGTACACACAATGAGCTCGCACTCCTCAGTAATGATAACAATAGTATTATAATTGATGATCATGATCGTCGTCGTCGTGGTTGGTTATGGTTGTTTGTTACGTAGACAACAAAGTTATGAAATGAATTCCACACATCCCTTTTTAAATTCAAATTTAAACGGCATATGTGTGCAGATTGATTGTTGCTTCGCTAAACACACACCACATCACACACAATGGGGGCCTTCTCGACCAAACCAACTAACCAACCACCAAAATATGTAGTGACCAACAATTCAATGCGGACCAACCACCACGAAAGATCATCATTATTATTATCAGAGGGCGGATATGCATTTATTATTTGGGGGTGACCGATAGTCAAACTTTGTCCGTGTATGTATTGCCTAACTTTTATAGAGTACAAAAATTTCAAAATATTTTTACGTATTGTCACATACTTCTAGGTTTTCAGACGTATAAATATTTCCGCTATTGCTTCAAAAATGAGGAAATCTTTACCATATTTTCCAAACAATACGGATATATTTTTTGAATATTTTAACGATACGAGACGAAATTTTTTTCCTATGAGAAATTTGACCACAAAAAGAATCCAGATAATTAGTCAAAAATACTAATTTTATGAAAATCCGTATTTTTACTCTTTTCATAAATATTTTGACGTTTTTTCATCAATACATAACCGCCCCCTGATCATACTAAACAAAACGAGGGCCAATTTAATTTCCCTTGCATAAATTTTTCCATTATTTATTGAAAAATAGGAGGAATAATAACAATAGAGCACAGATTTACTATTAAAAGGTCACTTTACCTTGGGGAGTGACGCGAGACACTGTTGTTTAACATCCCAGACGAGGTCGTGCCTATAGAACTGGAGGCACTTGTGGATGTTGAGGTCGGGAACGTGGATTCTGATGAGGACGGCAGAACCGCCCTGACCATCGAGGCCCTCTCCTCCCCCGGAAGGACCTCCATCGTCATCCGCCTCCGCGGGGTGGTTGGATCGCATCCTGATTTCTCACCCTCCTCCCGTCCACGACATAATAGTTAGTGGTCACCACGGGTAAAAAACTGACTCGTCCTCGTCCACCTCCTCCTTATCAAGAAGATATCAGATTAACACACTTAATCTAACTGCTTATCCAACCAGCCAGCCAGCCACCCCCACAAGAACGATACCACCACGGATAACTAACTATGTAAATAAGAGCGTGTCGTGTCGATATTTTTCTATTATTGTGACATCGTCCTCCTCATCCTCAGCCAGAGGTTGTTGTCTCTCTCTCGAGTGGGAGGCAGTCCGTCCGTCGTTCGTGGTGGTGGATTTGATCAATGAGTCCTCTCGCTCTCTCTCTCCAACCAACCAGCCGAAGAACGAACAAGAAGTCCCGATTCTACCCGGAGGAATTTGTGACAAAACCCACTCACTTCTTCTTCCTCCTGGACAAGAACCGAAACGGAGGGGGCACCCACAATCAGCATCCCCCTCACCGAATCAAATTAATAGACCCACACCCCCTCTTTTTTCCCACCCCGTGAAAAAGTGTGGGGAGGTCACGTCACCCGGAAAAAAATTCACGGTATACTTGAAGGTATACCAGCAAGGAAGGAATGAACTCGACTCGGGTACTCATTTTCGCTCCTACCCGGGCATCCAGCAAAAGCTACGGAGGAGGGAAGGATGGAAGGAGCAGAGAGAAGGGGGGGGGGACGTTATTTATTTGTGCGTGCAAAATTTCCCCCTCATCCTGCTGGACTCTCTCTTCTTTCTTTGCTACCCGGGTGGTTCGTTGGCTGGCTGGCTAAATTCGGACTCATCCTCTCTCCAAGAAATAGTGGGGGTTGAGTTACTTACCTCTTTCTTTTTTGGAAGCTCTGCACGATACACTATTTCCCAAAGTTCACTTCACTCAAATAAATGCAATTTGCCGGCAAAAAAAAATCCGTCCTGATCCCAATCTTTTCTTTTCAGGTAGAAGACGAATGGAATCTCATCTTGTTTGATTTTTTTCTTATTTATTGACGACGAGGATGGGACGGTCGACGGGAAGTAAAAGTGGTTGGATTGGATTTATCGGATCTTCTCTCAAAAACCCGGTGTCCCGTTAGTCGGCCAAACACCAAACTCACCTCACTCACTCACTCACTTTTTATTAGCAGCAGGAGGAGGAAAAAAACTTGTAGCAAGAAATCACTCTCCCTTCGAGAGCGACGAAACACAGTTACACCCACCAAGAAGGAGGAAAACCGGACGGGAAATAAATAAGTTTTCCCTCATAAAACGATTGTGCATGCGTGCGCGGTGAGAAGACGACGAGCGTGATCCATCCACATCGAGCGACACGTTGAGACTAAAACTCACCCAGCTAACTAACCACGGTAATAAACAAGTTGCTTGGTGGTGGTGGTAGTGACGATCGAGTATGACCAAGATGAGATTATTTTCATATGGTGAATACGCCATCTAGCACTTTGCTTATCTTGGATGCATTTCTTGTGATGATAAGTAAAATAGTTGTGTTATAAAATTTATGAGTAATGAATCGTAGTTGATTAATGAGTTTAATAATTTTTGTGGTGATGGTAGGAGTATGACCAAGATGAGACTATTTTTTCAATATAAATACGTCATCTATCACTTTGCTGTGCTTGGATGCATTTTTTTAGCTGATAAGTAAAATGCATGATGCAATTTATGATCAATGAAGAATTGCAGTTAATTATTTTAGTGGTGGTGATAATCGTGAAGTTTGACCAAGATGAGACTATTTTTCGTCATAAATAAGCACGCCATCTGTTACACTTATCTTTGGTTCATATCTTTATTAGCTGGTGACTAAAATATTGACTTGATAAAATTTATGATACCAGTTAGTGATCTTAATGAATTAATTAGTTTGATAAGTTTCTTCCTCTCCATCCAGTGAAAAAAAGTGTGAGGACAAAATGTGACCCAGAAAAATGACATTTTTGCTTATCTTGGGTCCATTTCTTTAGATGATAAGTAAAATAAAAATTTATGACCATCAACTAACTAAATGACTTAATTTAATTAATGAGCTTAAGGGCCTGGGGGAAGTTGCTTAGAAATCACGTCAACTTTGACGATAAAATTCAGCAATGCACAAGAGGGCAGATTTTTTAAATTATGTTTAATGCGTTAATCATATCTTTAGATTTTACTTGAGTTTTTTTTGACGATCTGCCCTCTTGTGCAGTGGAGATATTTGGTCGTAAAGTGAGGACAAATTGGCTTAGAATTGCCAAATTAATGGCAGGAATTGCATTTTGAGTATCCATGGAACAAAAGAAACAACTTTTTTCAAAAACTTGAGGGACTTGAGGGAAACTTTTTCAAAAGCAGTGACAAAACCAAAGCTTTTGAACGTGAGTGTCCCATAGAAACGGTGTCAATTAATTGTGGTCGTAACCTAACAGAGCGATAATAATCTTGGGGCCCTGGCAATTATTGTTGCTAACATAAAATCAAGTAAATCTTCCCCCGGGCCCTTAACAATTTTCTTCTTCCATCCAGTTGCGAGAACAACCCAGAAAAATGAGACCATATCGCCCTTCATACAACTACAAATTCCTCTACATACATTTTGAGACTGAGCAAGATGAGACGAGAAAATTGAGACATTCTCATCTCACCCCTGAACCAACTAAGGATAATGCAGGCAGATGCACCATTCTCCATAATTTCGCACACATTCACACACATTTTTACACAATAACGTAATAAATGATACACATAAAATCTCAAACTTTCAATCCCTCCAGATTTTATTTTGATCATCATCGTACAAAAAAGTTGGTTTTATTTATACCACATTTTCAAATATGCAAATATTACACAAAATTTTGTACACATGCGAATTATACAAAAACCAAACCGCGTCCTTCCCCTCCTCCGGTTTCTTTTACTTCTCTCCTCCAAAACGTCGCCGTCTCATCGCCATCTCGGTGCCAAACTGGCGACACGTATCGAGCCCACTTCTCCCAATACCTCCGAGAGGACGCGGGCTACCGGCTGCTCTGCAAAAGAGAGATCAGTTCTTATCCAAACATGATAAGTCTCACTGTTCCCCCCACCAAACCCCCACTCACCTACACACACTTCCCCGACGTGCAAAAGTCCCCCAACCTGCAGTGCGACTGGAGCGAGCAGTCGCGCGACCACCCGCGACGAGGGTGCGGCTCCCCTACAGCAATCGAAACAATAAAAACCACCAATAACACCACCAGCAAGATGACAACGTGTTGTTGTGGGGCCGCCATGTCGAACACAAATGAGACCCACACCACGTAAGACGAATGACTTATAAAGATGCCCCACAATTTTAAACAGGAAGGAAGTAAAAATCCATTAAAAAAGTAGACGAGCCACTTTTCCTCGTAAATAAATAAATAGATCTATTTCTTAATTACGAGTAAACACTTGTCTCGTTATTTATTGCGTGGTTGGTGTTCTTCTCAAATAACATGATACATTGCTGATCATCAGGCGCCGTGGGGACATTTGAGGACATTTCCATTGTCGGATAGAGGAGGGCGGGGTTCATATAGCATGGCGACATTGGATAACCGTGAGGACGTTGTCCTCACGCTTCCGCGGCCACTGTTAATGATCGTAATTTGACACCTACTCCTCCTCACCCTCGCAAACCAACAAGTGGACACAATAACAGAGCCGAATCAACAATAAAGAAGCTGTTCTTTTGGGAAAACAAAGCCCTCGAGAGGCTCTCCACTTTTCGTCTTGTTTGTCGCCATCACCACCGCCGCCGCCACCACCGCCACGACAGAGACGATAATCCCAGGACAAGGTAAATAAGAGAGCTTTCAACCCGTCCTCTAATCCTGAACAATATTTTGGCTGGTAATGAGATCAAGTGGGGCTGATGAACGTGCCCTCACATATCTTTCCCAGAACCAGTGAGATAATAATAAAATGACGAGTTATGATTGTGACGATTGACGACCAAGTGCGTCTTTCTTCTGTTCAACCCACCCGAGTTCCTGCTCCCTCATAATTCAGTCCTGGACGGCCTGACGGAATAAGACTCAAGGTCAGGTGTTCAAGTGGGGACTGGTACAACCGGCAAAATTATATTATGGATTTCTCACTCAAGACTTTAGCAAATAGGAGGAAATCTCGATCTGGCAGTATGTACGTCAATAGGTGAGAGATGAAGACGTATCCTGTTAAAAATCTGGTATATACTCCGTACTGGTATTGATTTGGTAGTAACCTCCGATTGGTAGTAGTTTGTTTCTTAGTGGGAGATTTTTCACTTCCACAATATTACCAAACGGTAATCCACGTTAGTACCGTACCGATAGAGTCATGTACTCAGGTAGGTAATGATTTAATACCAGTTTTCCAAGAGTGTATACGTACATACTTATACCAACGGCGTCTCACTTTGCCTCATCTCTCTCTCTCTCTTTCTCTCTCTCTCTCTCTTTTCTTTCTCTCTCTTCATTTTAGACAATAACCCAACCACAACTCACATCGCACCCAATTTGTGACCAATAAAAGTGACAAGTCCAAATTTCACGTAGGCGGAGGAGGAGGAGGAATAGCGTCTCTCCATCTGATGACCCTGAGAGTCGCCACTTTATCGACACACTCTATTCAATTGAGAGAAAAGCCGCATGCATGCCTGACTAGCCTGCCTGAGTGAAAGTACTTTCACCAGGTGGAAAAGTCATCCAGTTGATGATGGGTGATTTGCATGGCTCGCTCCACCACCACCATCATCGCAGCTCTAATGCATCCGCCGTGGTCGTCGTCCTGGTGAAAGTATTTCTGAAATCGGGGTTAGCAACGGGTGGCCGTGGCGGGTGATTATGTTCCCACAATAATAAAACTTATCCTACTTACATCATGTTTCGAAAATTAAGCTATGGAAATAGCTGCACACTTTCCCATGATTTAGAGCGAGTTATGCGCTTCTGAGGCTCAATTGCCTGCCAAGGGTGTCTCATTATGCTCTACATTATTCAAGAAGGGGTCATCATTAGGCTAAAAATGAGGGTCATCTCTCCTCTTTCTTCTGGTTTTTGTCACCCATCCCGCCACTTGGACGTGCGTATCTACACCGCTTCGGGTTTCACTGGGGAGTAAGGCAATCTGCGGGTTACGGGGGGATGGCGTCATTCGTACGACAGAGGACATGGCGTCCTCTGAATATACTTACTTACATTCAACTCGAAATAGACTGAACAACACGGCTCTCATTTCACCCACAATTATTGAGACGCAATTAGAGAGAGGGTAATAAAGACGGGTATTTTTGTAGAGGTGACAGGGCTCGCGCGTGGAGTGGTCATCTCAAGTATGATGATGACCAAGTTGTTGAGATTTCATCATCTCCCAGATTTCGAGGACTTTCTCCATCGCGACGACAATGGGAGGAGGAGAGGTCAAAATGAGGCGCAGACACAAATTTCTCTATCTGACTTGATTTCACCATCCATTTTAAGGAAGAAACCCGTTTAATTCAGTTATTTAACGTACGTGCGTAGGTGAATAGTGAGCCTTGAATGTCACTTTGTCCCAATTTGACTGAATTTGTCTCGTAAAACTGATCTTCCTTGGCGATACAAGTATTTGCGACGCAGTGACCTTTTCCTGTGCTCCTTTTTTATTGCACAACCATGTTAGGTAACACATGTCGAAATTTGATAAGTATCTATCTACTTATGCATATATGAGTTTACGTATGTATCTCTAAAAGGTGGCAAATTGCATTCCTCCAAAATCCAATTTCTGTTCAATACAACTCAAACCTGCGTCAATGAAGTAGTGGGGTGACGAAGTGGGTCATCTGCTCAATGCATACACAACACATGTACACGACTCGGTTGGGAAGAGGGGGCATTATTCGAATTATGATAAGTTCACAGTGTTTCGGGTGCAAGTAACCATTTGCAAGAAATAACGGGAACAAAGTGGTTTCTTGCAGGTAAATATTTTGACCCGCAAGAAATACAAGGCGCAAAAAAACTACGCTCCATCGCCATACTTCATACGAGGGGTGGTTATAATGACGCATATTTCTTGCACTTTCTTGCACCTCGCTTTTCTTGTATGTCTTGCTGTGCATTAAAAAAATGTAGCAAACCCGCAAGCAACGAAACCCTACAGGTCCATCCCACCTTCTGGAAACTGTTACTCGTCCTCCTCATTCATGGCGAAGCTGTGGCCATGTGGTCAGCCTAAAAGTAGTCCTTCCTCTCCTTCTTCCGGAGGATTGGCAGAGGTGACGACGGAAAAAAACGCGGCGATCTGGTCAACATCATCCTCACACCTTTTATTTTCCTCCCAGCGAGAAAAACAACCCCATCGCCACCACCACGACGACGAACTTGGCTGGGCAGGTCTCCCCCTCCGCCCGTGAATGTACACGTATTTTTCTATGTACTTGCTTACATCTCTGGGCTCAACCCACGCTAATATTCGTCCTGGGTTTTTGTACCTCGCCCGAACCCCGACAAGCTCACTGATACTTTTCCCATCGCCCAAAGTGGACATCTTTCTCAGACTCGCTCTCTTCAACTCGTCTCATCTCAAACACTTTCTCCACGTCTCAATTTCCCCGACTTCTCCGCTGCAAAGCTACAGGTGAGCAATGACACAGTTTCCTTACTTTCTTCCTCAATGGACGTCTCTCTCAGCGTATGCCCTTCGATTTTGGCCAAATTAGTGTCACTCGATCAGAAATTTAATTAGCATAAAATTTGCAAAAGACACGATCTCACAATGGGCAGAAATATTTGCATCCGAAGAGGAGAAAACGTTCCTTAAAGTCGACAAATTTTACATTTTCAAAATTTACGACACGTTTTCTTCTCTTCGGATGCAAATAACTCTGCGAAACGTTCCCAGTGGAAGATCGCGTCTTTCTCAAGTTTCATATTACTCAAATTTCCCATCGATTGACACTAATTTGATAAAAATTGGAGAGCAAACACATCCATTCTTAGTCGACGAAGATTCCATTGGGGGCAATCTGCACCACCACAACCACCCACGCACATTCCTTCCAGTATCCCAGGTGGTTCATCCCTAAATAAATTACGCCCTGGATTTCCAGCCAGGATTTCCAAAAAAATAGGATTCGACTCAATCTATGTATCCATAAAAGAGAGCTCTCAATTTCCAATCTTTGTGTGCCTTCGTGGGGAAGAGATTGTCTGGTGAGGGGTCTTGAAGAGGATTTTGTATTATTTTCAGGATGGTGAGTCCTCGCTGGTTGGGCGTGTCGCACTGGACCTGCAGCGTCCTCATCGTCTTCTTGTCCGACACGCTGTCCGAGGCGCGTACCTACCTCCACCTACAGACCAACCAGGTCGAGGACATGCGATATGACGACTCGGTGAGACCAATTCCCACACAATTAATCCATCATATCCAACTTTAAAATGGCATGCATTTCATACCAATGGCCGCGGAAGCCGTGGGGACATCGGGGGGCATTAACCGTGTAGGCTAGGGGGTAGGAGTTTATATGTATAACATGGGTAGAGGGCGGATATGTATTAACGAAAAATCGCTGAAATTTGTATTTAATATTCACGAAAAGAATGCCAACATATTTACAAAAAAATAAAATTTTCGCAATATTTATTTTTGACTAGAATGCTCCGGATGTAGTCGAATTACTTTGACCAAAAATTCCATCTCACACGGTTGACATATTTACAAAATATATAAATATTTTTGAAAACGTGTGTAAACTATTTCCATATTTCTCAAATAACAGCGGAAATATATATTTTGAAAACCTAAAAGTACATATGCACCAATATTTAGAAATATTTTGAAAATGCGAGTTAAAGAACACACGCACAAAGATGACCATCAGTTGTCCGTCATTAAATGAAAAAGTTGAAAATGCATACATATCTGATCATGAACTCATCGAGTAACGCCCCTCCGTCCCCACACTTCCGCGGTCCCTGTTTAACATACTATTCATAATCAAGAGTACATATTCTGTCTGAAAAATGAGCCACTTTCACCTGGCTGCTTTCACCGTCCGTATTACGTACGTACGTATATATTATTGGCCTCATTTATTATTCATGGCTTCTTCCTCCTCAATCTTGTCAAATGTAAAGAAAACAAAGGATGGGAGAGCAGGTAGCGAGGAGCGAGCGCGTCTATATATTTGATTGTTTGATGCACCGCTTTCCCCCATCAATCCGAATCTCGAGTGATCTTCTTCTGGCTGCGTGGGCGGCCGCGTCTCACACACTCTCGGAATACATAGCATCACCCAAAAAAAGTTGGGGTCGATTCCTCCCATTCCGTCGAAAGGGAAAGTAAATTAAATAGAAAGTTCCCTCATTTTCTTATCTGTCGACTTTCCAAGAACACAATTTCTTCCTCTTACTTATTTATTGGCTTCTTGTCAAAATAAATGGATCAGTGTTTACGGTGAAAGTTACCATTGGGGAGAAAGTGGTTTCTTGCAGGGACTTATTTTGACCTGCAGGAAATTCAAGGTGCAAAAAAACTACACTAAACTTCATATGGCGCATATTTCTCTCACTTTCTTGCAGTTTCTTGCACCTCCCATTTCTCCCATTTTTTCCATCACACTGCCAGAAATGTAGCCAACCCGCACGAAATGAAGCACTCAAATTGATGTAGCAATTCACACCGAGAATCGAATCCTTCTTCTTCTACTTCTTCTAAATTGAATAAAACTTTGTACGTAACCGTGTGACGGGGGAATTTCTACCTGCTCTCGCTCAACACACTAACGAGATTGAGCAACAAAGTGAAAGCATCAACAAGTCAAGTGCTGCACAATTAGCGCCCCGATAACTTGATTAACCTCCATCCATCCATCCACCCACATGGCTTAACACATGTCCTTCCCCTTCTTTTCGCAGGTCTTGGACCTCCCCACGTGCCGGGACGACTCGATCTGCGGCTTTTTGCAGGCCAATTCGCACGGGATAAATGTCCAGCAGCGGTGCGCCTGTCCCGGCGTGGGGGCGAGGTGCCCCCTCACCTGGGACACCTTCGATGGACACTCCGTCACCATGGGGTCCGATCAGTATAAGGTGAGCCAGTCGCAATCTGCCCCCTTCTACGCATCGATGATCCATTGCGTCACCTGCTTTTTTTCCATGTGGGAACAATCCCATATTTCCGAGAAGAGAAAGTTGAGCTCGTTAAGAGCAGTAGAGAAAGTTTAAACTTTCCAATCATCAAAATACGTCCGTGTGTATCTATTATCGGCATCATTAGCACTTTTCCTACAAGGAAGTCATGCTTATCATGTCCTTGTCCTGTCCGGAATACGATATCGGAGTCCCGTTTTATGCTTGTATCAACCCACACACAGACAAGATCACGGCCGACTTTTCCTCCACGGGGACGACTTTTTCATGGGGTTGTCGTAGGTGGCTGGCTGGCTGGCGAATAATAATCGGGTGACACCCGACTAACTAATCAGGACACAGTTATAACGAGCCCACCTTTCCTAAAGTTGCCCAAGTTGACTGTCGTCACCACCACCAACTGTGTCCCATAAGAATATGTAAATACGTATAGCGATATCTAAATATACGCATTTATTGAGGCGAAATTGATTAAAACGTTGCCAAATATGGATCGAATTCTAGGCAAAGTTGAGAGAGAGAGCGAGTTATGGACATATTTTAATTGGGAAAATTCTCGACTTTCCCTCATTATTTAAGGTCGCGATTGATTGAGTAAATACTTTTCCACATGGCTGTATCGCTCGAGAGTATCGCTTTCTTCCCACGCCGTGTGTCAAACCTTGTCATGCATAATCCCTCCTTCGTCTCGGTAATTAATAGCATAAGCAGCTCTCAAGGACTTGTTATTGTCCTCGCGTGGGATAAAATTACACCACTCGATCCGATAACAACAGCCTGTTAAGAAATCATCCCGACTCCTCACAAATAATATCGTCACCCGGGTATCGTCTCACAAAACAGGGCTACTTTTGATTTATTTATGTTCCACAGCAATCACATTTACTTAAGAAGAAAATCCTCGTTAAAATGCAATTTATTTCGATCCCATTATCAAATTTAGGATTTCGTAACGATTATTTTCGTGACAATCACATTTATTTCCGAACCTGCCTGCCTGCGTCACTCGTTTGGTTAATAAAATCCAGAAATGAAAAGTTGCAGACGTGCTCATCTTCTCGTTCGTGTAATCCAATTTCTTCGGATTAGTTTGCTAAATAGTTGTGTATGTAGGTAGATAAGTAGATATGTGGATATGTAGATAAGTAGGCAGCCACGTGGGTTGGACCTCCAACTCGACTTCGTGGGGACGCCAAGCCAAGTGTTCTATTTTTTCGCAGATTTGGCGTCTGCTTGCCCTATAAAACCCACGCCATGCGAAAAGTAGTAAAATACTTATCCTCCAAAAAGCAGGGAACATAATAAAGTTTACTAAACTACTGTAGGATCCTGTTGGCATGATTAATTTGACCCACTTGCCGAGTCAGAGGATAAGTTTCCGAGAAAGTTAGTGGAATGGTAATAAATGCGAAAACAAAACAAAACCCACCACACCACGCCACACACTCCTCCACTCAATTCATCATCATCCGGAGAAAGTGTGAGTATAAGGGAATTAGGTAGGCAGACTTTTAGTCCTTATGCAGATCCTGTCGCTCTAATAATAACCAAACCACGATCACTACCCGGTTGAAATGATGATTAATGAACAAACTCGTGTGCGAGAGAAAGCCGTCAAAGGTGGTGATGATCATGTCTCTTTTCTCCGTCTCATCACGCCCCTCGTGTTAAGTGAGGGTGATAGGTCTTTATGAGAGCGTTATGTTCGTCCGTCTGTCTGTCCGTTTCGCAGAATTGAATGGTTAGGAAAATTGTTTAGGAAATTAATGTTTGTGAAAATTTAGCATCCTAAAATTTCCTAAACATTCAACTCTGTGGTCCGTCCGATAACTCTTGAATGAAAAGACATATAAGCTTGAAGCTCAACTTTCAACGTATAGTAATCTCCTAACTTCAAGGTACAGGGCGAGGTCGAAGATGTCTAAACACCCAATAAGGTCAAAAAGGTCAAAAAGGCCACAAATTGCATATATCTCAATTTAGTAGGAAATTTAACCCCGAATTCAATGATGACCTCCATTTTGACCCCAAAGATCACGAAAGGTGAACCAAACTTTCTATCAACAGGACAGTACGCTACACAAAAGCCTTCACTCCTTTGTTACGTAAGGGTTAACGATGTGGTCTTATTCTTGCAGTACTGTGGGGCGGCTCCGGAGTTGAAGGTTTGCGCCAACATGTACACCGCATACACCAGCCTCATGATGTACGCCAAGGTGAAGGAGGAGGACGAAAACATGCTCTCCGCCACTTCCGCCGAGAAGGACGACGAAAAACTCGTCCTCAGTTCCGACCACTTGAAATGCATTTGCCCAGAAACGCACAACTATGTCCTCGTCCACAAGGGGTTCTCCTCCCCCGAAGTCGACACGGAAGCCATTCATCTCTCCTACATCTGCTCCCCGGTACAAAATTACTACACATTTCCTCACATTGTTGCCACCCACACAATCGATGTCTCCCAGTCAATGCTCTCCCATTTTGACCAAACTAGTGTCAATCGATCACAAAATTTGAGACAAGTCGTTTGTCGACAAGTGTGAAACTTGTCGACTTTCTTCTCTTTGGGTGCCAATATCTTCGACAAACGTGCCCATTAAGAGATCGTGCTTTTCGTAAGTTTCATAGTAATTAAATTTGTGATCCATTAGCACTAATTTCGGGGAGCATACGCTAGGAGACCTCAGTTATCAATGATTCCTTTCATACCATTTTCCTACATTTCCTGCACTGAAACGCAAGCAATGCAAGAAATATGCGCCATCGTGCCCTATGAACTATTCATAGGGCACGATGGCGTAGTTTCTTCTTGTGCCTTGCATTTCTTGCTGGTCAAACCACTTTCTTGTTGTTACCGCTGATTACTAGCACCTGAAACACCGATTATTTCCTCACATTGTTATCCCCCTGTATTTTTCTAGTTGGGGACGTGCTCTGCAGGGGAGCCTTGTAAGACCTTGAGCTCTACACCGAGTCAGTTTCTGGTGCAGCGGAAATGCAACTGCCCCTCGGGACTGAGGTGCCCCACCGAGACGACCAAGGGGATCACGTCCACCTTGTGGAATAAGGGGTTCTCCTTCGAAATCCGGTGTCAGAAGTAGGCACCCATATCAAGCACAACTTCTTCACAAACAGATTTACATACACATAGCCCCTCCCCCCCAAAAAAATAAAAAGCTAAATAAGGTATAAGTACACGCCGAGATGGCAACTACATAAATAAGCATGAAATTTAAACTTTGTCGCAACGCTAGGTTGTCACGTTATGTACATATTTATAGCAGAATGCGTTATAAAACTCACCTCTTTTTCCGCATGAATGTCATGTCAGTGGGGATTTTCAGATAAATGCAGATTTACGTAAGAAGAGTAATTAACTAGTTAGTTACATAAATTTTAGGTCGTAAAATAGGTTGTGATACATAAGTAAGTAAATAAGTAGGTGGGGATGTGGGCTAAATTTTGGCGGAGGCCGTCAACAAGAAATGCTTGGCGTGGGTTACATATATTTCATTCGTTAATTAATTAAAGATTACTGCACATAATCTGTAACTACTAGTACATACTTAAATGACTACCACACATACATCTCTTACGGGGACGCACCAAATATTTGGCGTGGGTTAATTAAAGATAACTACATAACATAACTATAACACACACACATCTCTTACGGGGAGACACACATATGTAACTAGACAATTATAAACCGTAGAAGAGAAAAAAAAGTAGTGAATAGATGGAATTATTTATTGGAATGAATCCGAAGTCTAATCCTATTGAAATGAGTGAATGGCCAGCTTACTTATGGCTTCATTAGATTTACCATTAGCTAACCGAAGTTATCGTCGTCGTCACAACATCCTCGTCGTCCCACACATGGCAGCAAAAGTCTGAATTGGAATTGGATCGCCTACACCATAGGACGACGCTCTTCTTATCTAAGGAATAAATAAATATGTGTGTTTTCCTAATATCATCTGCTCCTCCCTCCCTCACTCTGCTTTCTCTGGTCGTCTTTAATAAAAAAAAATGTGTATGAAAAGCCTCTCAATGCCGCCTCCTCCTCCCCCTGCGTAATCCATTATCCAATCTCAAATACGATGGAAATCCTACACATTTCCAGTGATTCTGTGGTACGATGAGAATTCATAACATATTATGTCGGTCGTTGTGCGTGTGTGTGGATAAAACGTGTACCTGCTGCAAATATACTGGAAGAAGACATATGTAGAATTGTATCGGCGTGAATGGTTGATGATTTTGACAGCTGAATAAAAAAATTACCTTTCTTCCCCCCTTTTTCTCAACTATGTAAGCATCATGGCGTCTCTTTTTTCATAGCGAGTCAAAATCAGCATATTTTTAATCATTTTTCAGCTCTGGGAATTTATTTAAAAATTCTGAACGACTCAATGCCATTCTGTTAATCATCTTGCCGACTACAAATTCGTCGTCCAGAAATTTAAAATGAATTCCCAGAGCCGAAAAAATGCTTAAAATGTCCTGATTTTGACGATTCTTGTGATGCATCATCCAGTCTTATGTTACTTCATTCCATGCAAAAAGATGACCAAGAAGGGTGGCAGATTGATTAAAAACATGATCAAAAAAAGACCGACACATTACTTTCTTTTGACCTTTATTTATTTATTTAGATTTGCAAAATTAAGAAGAACAAGGACAACGAGGAAAAGGAACAGAGGGAAACATATCAACAACTCGATAAATATTTCGTATGCGGACATACGCATATAACATGAATGACAATTTACCTTAATTTGCACAAAATAATCAGCACACACAGGAATTCGTAATTCTACTCTAAATATGTATACACATCGAGATGTCATATAATAGGAATATACAATTGTACCCCTTTCAAGCAAGACAACTAGTTAACTAACAACGATCTACTAACTGAGAACAGTTAACTAATTGTATCTCAATACTAGTAATAATTTATAATGGACCTGGCACAACGAATGCTCTCAGATTTTGAACAAATAAGTCAACAATCGTATGTGAAATTTGCAAAGTGCACGATCTCACAATGAACACGTTTGGCAGAGATATTCAGAAGAGCAGCAAATTTGGTAAGTGGAAAATTTGTCAACTTTTGCGTTTCTCCAAATATGTCTGACAAACCTACCCATTTGGAGATCGTGTCTTTTCCAAATGTCACCATCCATTTATACTAGTTTAATCAAAGTCTGAGACTACACGCTCTCCGAGACCTCCATTTTTAGCATCCTCTCCTAACAAGTAAGAAATCTACTGCTGCTACATAAATACATAAAAATGGACAAAGGGAAAGATCAACGGGCTAAAAAATAAGAGAGAAGACGACGTTAAAGGAAAGTACAGTCAGAGTTTTGAATTGATCCACATATTCTTCATCCCATATCGTCTATAAAAATTTAGCCAAGTTGGAGAGAGAGATAGAGAGATAAAAATTAGAGGAAAATGGGGCAACAAATCCAGTATCATTTTACATATATGTATATATGCATATATAAGTATACAAATAATATAATAAGGTAATCCTCATGTCATTCCCGCGGCCGCATTCGAGTAGAATATGACTCACTGTCCTCAATAATAATATGTAGTTTTATCTTAACTAACCTAAGTAATAGTAGGAGGAGGAGGAGGAGCAGTGAAAACATCAAGTCTTATATATTGACAACAAGTAATGGTTGAATAATTAAATCGTAGTTAGCTTTCTTCAGGATTTTTTAGCATGCCCTCGCAGCATTGGTGGCATTTACGTTGATGATGATGATGAGAGTTTAGTTTTTTTTTATAATATTTTGAATATTTATCTATATCTTCGTCCCTCTCTTACTCGTCGTCGTCCTCTTCATCCTCTTCTTCTTCTTCGTCTTCCTCCTCCTCATCTTCTTCTTCGTCGTCATCGTCATCCTCACCACCTTCGGCGGCTGCTGATGGAGCTGCGACTTCTTCCACCGTCCCTTCGTCATCTTCTTCCTCCTCGTCGTCTTCCTCGACTTCTTCAACTTCATCGTCATCAGCTTCCTGCTCCTCACCGCCGCCTTCTTCCCCCTCGGCCTCGGCCTCATCCTCTTCTTGCTCTTGATCTTGTTCTTCTTCTTCTTCACCGTCACCTTCTTCTTCCTCCTCCTCGCCTTGCTCGTCCTCTTCTTCTTCGTCATCTTCCTCCTCCTCATCGTCGTCAGCCTTGGAACTTGCTTCATCCTGATTTTGGCGGAGGACGTCCTCATTCTCTTCGTCCTCTTCTTCATCATCTTCCTCATCGCGTTCGTCCTCCAACTGAGCGAGAATGTCGACCTCCTGTAAAGCAACAAGGAAAACATTAATTAGTATTGGTGGATTATAAATTCATTAAGGTACGACTCGATCACTCAGTCGTCGTCAAAATCACGACATTTTTAATCGTTTCTCGGCACTGGGAATTTTTAAAATTCTGAACGACGAATTTGTAGAGCAGGGAGTTGTCAAATTAAAAAATATGCACTTCAGATTTTGACACTTTTTGGAGGAGGAGATCTCAGGTTTAAGGAGCCTTCAAAAAAGTTGGAATTCATCGAAACTGGATTAAGAAACTCACCCCCATTCTATCAATCAACTTACTGGCTACAAATTTGTCGTCCAAAATTTTAAAATAAATTCCCAGAGTGGAGGAATGATTAAAAATGTGCTAATTTTGTCATCGAGTCCTGCGTTAACTATTCAAATGACGAATGAATATCCAACCCACCTGTTTCACAATGACGGTCTCTGCATCAATTTTCCTCTTTTTGGCAGCGGCAGCAGCCTTCTTTCCACCCCGTTTTGGAGACGCGGATGACGAAGCTTTGCGTTTTGGCGCAGTTTTCTTCTTGTTGGAGTACGTCTTCTTAGCAGACGTGGTGGTCATCGCACCGGCACCAGAAGATGCAGAAGGTCCCCCTCGAGTGGGAGACTTTGGCTCAGATTTTACCACAACAGCGGCAGTGGAATTGGAGCGCTTCTTCTTCTTCTTCTTGTTCGGCTTGGGAGAAGCTGGTGCCTCGAGAGGCATAGACCCATCGCCTAGTTAACAAAAACATCAGATTATTAAATTAATCATACAATTATTCGCATGGGTTTGACATGTTACAGTGGATTTGTAGAGAAGAGTTTAACATGTTTTTTATCAGTTTCCTAAATAAGTCGCTAGAAATTTTGTGCTTAAAAATCAGCCCAACCAATGAAGATTATTTCAAAAATTATTAAAAGCCAAAGTTTGATTGAAATGCTATACAAAAATCCGTGACTTTGATCTTTAAGAGAACTTTTGAACGGGCCAAGAGATACAGAGTTAATTTTACTTTTGAAATAATCCCAATTTCAGGATTGATTTTTAACCCAAAATACATATTTCTGAAACTGATAACACATCTTAAACCCTAGTCTAGTGGTCTACTATTTTACGAATGTGGTAGTGTTCTTATTTACCAATTCGGACGTCCGGATGGCGTTTGAGAAAGCCGTAATACCAGTCGTCACTCGCCATCCGCTTCTCTTGATTGAATTGATTTGGAATCCCGTTCGAGTCGCAGTACTCGAAACAGATCCGCTTTATGTCACTGGACGTGACAGTAAAGCCCTGTTCTCGCAAGTCCCGGATCGTTTTTTCCAATACGTCCTCTTCCACCTGCAAGTCAGATTTAATGATTTAATTAAATAACAAGCAATTATTAAGCCCAGGCCAGTTATCTCTGAAATAGAATTATCCTCACCTTCGTGAGGATCGGGTTCCCTCCGCAAGTTCGGAACTGGTTGACATCGCATTTCCCACCGGCCTGGAGAAATTTCTTGTATTGACGGTAGAGCGTCGCTCGAGAGATGCGATACTGCCGCGCCGCATCGTTGATTTTTATCTTGGCCTCCTTGATGTTCGTGAGCGCCTCGAGCAAGTCCTCCTTTGACCAGCGGTCCTCCGTCTTGCGTTTGTAGTTTCTCACCATCTTGGACTCCTGAGATAGAAAGAAAGGCAGCAAAGTATTAGTACTTTTACTTAATTGAGATTAATAATAAACAATGCCGAATGTAAGCCTCTAGCGCATCTCACACCTCTTTAGCGCCTCTTCTACCAACAATGAGCTCTATGCTCTTCGACTTTCATTAAATTCGTGTCAATCGATCACAAATTTACTAAACATAAAATTAGCAAAATACACTATCTTCCAATGCGCACTTTGGCATATATATTTGCATCCGAAGAGGAGAAAACGCACAGTAAATTTACAAAGTGTAAAATTTACTGCCCATTTTCTCCTCTTCGGATGCAAATATCTCTGCCAAACCTTTTCCAAATTTCAAACTAATTCAATTAAATTTGTCATCCAGCCTATCGGATATCAAGGTTTGAAATCTCAGACCCTTATCCCTTCTTGCTTATACAGGGAAACGATGATACTTGCAAAACTTTACCATCAATTCCAACCCAGGATTAACAACGGAGTTGAAAGCCTCATCGTTAACCACCATGCTGATGGTATGACTAACAACGTCGTTAATTAAAACGGTGACAACGTTGCCGACTTGTTTGACCACAAGTGACACGTCGTCGTACTCTTTCGACACCAGCTTCCATCGCCACTCCATCGGCATTCTCAAAGTATGACACTAGTAATATCCCAAAATCTGACTAAAAAAGATAAGCCCTCGATATCTATCTGACTCGAATCTGACTAGCCTTCCTGACCTGACGACTCCTACTACAAAACAGACTAAATTTCTACTCACCATAATTATTTCAAGCTGATTGTTTCCCTTGACGACGGACTTTTTTACTTACTTTTTCACTTACTTTTTCTGCCTTTGGTCGGTCTTTTGCCGCTACTTTGCCACCATGCCCACTTCGCTTGACCCGGGGCAGGGAGCCGCAAAAAATATACCGACCTCGCCACCAACACCACCGACCACACCCCCATCACCCCATCATCATTAATTAATTGATTACTAATTACTAATTACTTACACCTTACCAATTAATTACTCCCCACTAAACTAATTCCCAACCAAACCTGTCTCTCCTTATCCAAACTACCCAGCGACCTGTTGTCTTTACTCCTTATCACGTATACCTAAAAACGTTGCCAAGGAATAATCTTTAACTGACCTGGTGGTGGAGTGTGGGTGTGCCCTTGCTCTGCAGTGCGTCGCTCGGATCAAGAGATGCCTCGAAGGGTGGGCTTTTCCTCTTCTTCTCCGTTACCTTGTCCCCCTCGGTAATCAATTAATTGAATAAATTCCCCCCTCTCTCTCGTTCTTGACAAAGGTGTTGACAGCAGAAGTCGAGGCTGGACTGCGTGTATCAGGTGGATGAGTTCGGGAAGAAATGGAGGGTCCAGTCTCACCCCAGCCATCATCACCATCGCACCACCACCATCGTCCGCGTCGTCTCAATCTATCCCATACACGTCTCATGTCCTCCAGCACCCCTCGGGGGAGTGTCCACCGACACAAAGTTTTCCCCTGGGGGAGGGGGATTATCTAAAAAGCGAGAAATATGGGGGGAGCGAGTGGGGGTCTCTATTCGTCATTTATGGACGACCCTCTCTCAACCAGCCCCATCGCTCCATCCTCCGTCGGTGAGATGAGACACAAATTCTTGTCTCTCTGCACACACTCTGTCTCCCCCTCAAAAACCAATCTCATCTCGAGTCTCGCTTTTTTGAGACAAAGACAAAATCAGGCGAGGAGGAGGAGGAGAGAGACTCTTCGCACTTTTACATGCTCATGATTTACTCGACACCAGCAGCATCACGGGAAATTATGTGTCATCACGTCATCAGGTTTCAGAGAGAGTTGTATTTACTCATATCCTGCAATGAGAAGGGAAGAAGGATGTGGAGAGATTTGAAATACGGACCAATTGTGTATGAAAATGGGTTAGCTTGTCATTATTTGAGAGATGAGCGTATATTTCTGAGCAATTTTTTGGTATACATTTGCTTGTGAAAAGTGGTCATTTTTTGTGAAAAGTGGTCATTTTTTGTGAAATTTATTTATTGATACTCTAGCGATAGAGAAGATCTGGAATAGATGACCAATTTTTGCATGAAAACGAGCAGTTTGTGTCCTTATTTTAGAGATGAGCATATATTTCTGAGCAGTCACAAATTACCCTGAAAAGTGGACATTTTTTTATGAAATTTATTTATCTATTCGTTACTTTACTCGAGACTTGATTGGTTCCTTGTCTAATGTCTAATACTGTTTATTGTCAAAATCATCAGGTTTTTTCATCACACTGCTTTTCAGATTTGGACACAAAATATAGGAATTTGTAGTATTTGGAGAAATTTGTAATAAATAAGCTATCTATCCGATCATGAGCCGTTGGTTAGACGGCGTCCTTGCCGTCTTGGTAGGGTGGCGGACTGCTGGGGCTGTTAACACCGCCTTGCTCCATCTCCTCCATGGCACGCCTCTCCTCCGCCGCGGCGTCTATTTTGGCCAGGTCAGCTTTACTCATATGCGCCACAATTCCTGCTCCGATCGAGTCTCCCAGAACGTTCACCGCCGTTCGGAAACGTTCCAGTAGCCAGTCTACAATGTTCCAAATAAGGTTATCATCATCACAGGTCGCAGTTTGCAGTGTTTCGGGTGGGCAGGAAGTAAGGACAAGCAAGTAGTTTCTTGCAGATATAAATATTTTGACTTGGAAAATATGCAAGGCGCAAGAAACGACGCCCGCCGCGCATACTTCATACAGCGCTGGATGGCGCATATTTTTTGCACTTTCTTGCAGGTTTTGCACCTCGCATTTCTTGCATTTCTTACTTCCCATTAAAAAAATGTGGCAAACTGCACGAAACGAAACACTGGTAACCTCGCGATAATCTGGGTCAACCCCACTCACCTAACGGCATGATGAACCCCATGTAATCGACCGGCAGACCCACCGACCCCAGCACCGTCATCAATATGATCATCCCCACTTGTGGGATCCCTGCGTACACAGAAATTATGTAAATTGACAGGTCAAAGGTCACGAATCACTCTCTCCTCACCTGCTGCCCCCACACTTGTCGCGATACTGATCAAACTGCATACAAAACAAAATGTCAGTCACTCACTTTTTTCATGAATAAATCATCAATTCAATTCACCTTATCGTCACCAGTTCCCCAAACCCGAGCGTCCTCCCGCACAATTGGGCGATATATATCGCACCGACGGGCAGGTACAGCGCCGTTCCGTTCATATTCACCGTCGCGCCGATCGGAATGACAAATCTGGAGACGCGCACGTCCACCTTGTTCTTCTCTTCTAAACAGCGCATCGTGACGGGCAGCGTGGCAGAGCTGTACGTAAAAGAGGAAAATCATTATCATGATCGATGCGTCGCAATTTAGGGCTTGACCTCTGTCTGACCTTGACGCCGTTCCAAACGCTGTCGCCAAGGCTTCAAACATATTGGCGAAGAATGGCAGGGGGTTGGTGCGTGTCAGGAGGATGTAGAGACCGGGGAGGATGAGACACCCGTGAATCGCCAGTCCCCCCATCACCGTCGCAAAGTACCACGCAATGTTCTGAAAAACTGCTCCAATGTCGTCCTGCTTCACGAGCTGACCCGCAATTAGAAAACAGATCGCGAGTGGGGACACCCTGTCAAAATATGCAGATTTAGATATTAATTAATATGCAAAGTACTTATTCTCACAACGGAGGTCTCCCGACTTTGAGCAAAGTAGTGCCACACGATTACAAATTTAATTAGTATGAAATTTACGTAAGACACGATCTCCCACGTTTGGAAGACATCTTTGCATCCGAAGAGGAGAAAACGCACATTAAAATTGACAAATCTTTCACTTTACTACGCATTTTCTCCTCCTCGGATGCAAAAATATGTCCGCCAAACCTTTTCACACTTTGAGATTGTGTCTGTTGCAAATTTCAGCCTAATCAAATATGTGATCAATTGACACTAATTTGCTCAAAATTGGAGACCATCCGCTGGGGCTTTTGAGACTCACATGACCACTTTGCTCGTGATGAGGAGGGACGCTTCGCCCAGAGATTTGAAAAAGTAGAGCACGGGTTTCCCAGCCTCGCCCATGTTGCCGAGGACGACGCCCAGGACGAGGGAGAAGACCACCAGCCCCATCATGTTCTTCCCCGGGGTCATCGTCAACTCGAGGGGAGACTCGTCATAATCTAGAAAAAAAACATAGGTCAACATCTAGGACATCAACCACGGCAAAGAAAACAGTAAACTTCTCTTACTCAACGAGGCGTTTGACCTGTCGACGACGGTCGTAGTCTGCAAAACAAGTTAATTTGAATATATATCGCGGCATGCAAAACTTGAAGATTAAAAAAATAGCTTTTCTAGATTTGAGTAAACTTTCGTAAGACCGGTTTTCGATTTTACGGTTTTTGAAATTTTTGTAACATCGGATTTCAATTTTTACCCAAAACCTTCAAATGACTTTTGAACTGATGGGTTTAGATGGGTTTATACTTTATTCTAAATTACCGTAACTTCAATTTCGCCATAGTTAAATTATAGCATTGGCGCAAGTTACCAAGAAAGAAGTCATATATAAACCCACTTTTAATTTAATTTTGAAATAATCTCAATTTTTAAGTTAATTTCCGACAAAAAAAAATCGGTGTTATTTCACAAATTGAAAAAACACATGTTAAAAGACGTACCACTTCCATCGCCGCGCCGACTAAGTTGTCCGGGAAGACGTTTCTCACGAGGTCGAGGAGTACGTCGACGGTGGAGGATTCGGACGCGGTGCACTCGTCACCCGAATCGATGGAGGAGTGGTCACCGGGTCGAACGATCACGGCGAGGATGATTCCAAGAACGGCGGCCACGGCGGTGGTCGCGAGATAGAAGACCAGTGCCTGAGTCCCAATCTTCTTCGAGAGGGAGAGGTCCATCGACCCCACGGCGTCGATTAGCGAGGACACGATAAGCGGCAGAATAAGCGCGGATAAAGTGCGGATGAAAAGGTCACCCACAAAGGTTAAGTACATCACCTGAAACAAAGCAGTTTTTCATATGATAATAATTTGCATTTTGCACTTAATTAATTTAGAATATGCATTAACGAAAAATTGCGAAATATTACAAAAAATTAGAAATATGTATTTAATATTTACGAACAAAAAAAATATTTACGAATTATGTACGAAAAAAGAATCACAAAAATGCAAATTTTCCCCATACATTTCTCTGATGCCAGACGACATCCGTTTCCCTGAGCCCGAACCCCAGCCCGATTCCTATCGAGACTCCGATAATCGTCTGAATCGTGAAGAACGTGCCTCCAGCGAGGAACGCGGCGACACGTGGGTTCTTAATTAAGCCCATTTTACTCCTGAGATTGGGTGATACCTGACCTGCTGACCTTTGAGGTCGTGCGGGTATATTTTTCCTGCCGAGAAGTGGGGTACGCAAATTAGGCCGAGTAAGAGCCAGACCGAGGAGTGTGGACCTGATTAGTGTGATGATCGCCTTAATCCGCCCTGGCTTATCTGTCCCTCAGCAGACAAAGTGTATGATATGCACACTGGAGAGATGCTGATATCGGAATGCGACCCAGAGAGCGTAGTGGACCACGGTACTGCTCTTCTGTCCACGACGTAATGCTTCATCAATTCAGTGGATAAAGCACGTTAAATCGCGTTGACAAGTCAAACAAATAACACAATCGATTGATAACTTGTGAGCAATCGGGGATTTGCTTTGTGTGTGCTTTAACCTTATCTTACACACCTTACAGTTAGTCAGATAATAGGTTAGCGCCCATCTGAAGGGGCGAATTCCGGCTAATCTCTCGCTCAAATTGTCCACTTATTCGCAACTACTGGGATTTCACGCCGTGTAATCACTTTACAAGTACAGATATTTAGTCGTTGATAATTAATTATGTAAAACTGGATTTTTTTCTCAGCCTATTATCGCATCAATGTCACCAAACCAACAAGTGAGTCAGTTTATGGGCATCTGCTCCTGCGTAAGGTAAGTGGCGTCCGTCATGCAATTACGGCATTTTTATGGCATTTCACTTATGTCCCATCCATCACCGGGGGTTTGTGGCGAGTGAGAAAACGGTGGAGTAGTTCAGATTGAACTAGTTGGTCGTAGGGTACGCATGCATATTGTGGATTTGATTCGGCACGAGTTAATTTTGCATACTCCTTCATTAACAATTTGATAAAATGGCAAATTTGCGAATTTAGGATGGCGTCACTTCTGACCTGACCTGAAAGGAACAGTGGAAGGGTACGTGCATGTTGTCGAGTTATGAAAAAATGTAAATTGTGCAGATACTTTTGAGGACGAGCTAATTTTTTCAGCAGTTTTTCCAGACTTGTTTTAATCCTTCATACTTAACAACTTATCAACAATAAAATTGCATTATTGCGAATTTGTCATTTGAAAAATCGACTACTTCTTGTTCTTGTTCGCAATATGTGGCGGTACTTCAGCCCCGTCAAGATATCTGATAATTTTGGCAGGGTTCCCAGCTACGACGACATTGCTTGGAACGTCCTTCGTCACCACGGATCCCGCCCCCACGACGACATTGTCCCCAATCGTGACCCCCGGACAGATCACGGAGCGTCCCCCGATCCAACACGTGTTTCCGATTTTTATAGGAAATGCCAGCTCGTAGTATGTCGACGTACCAGCATCCCTGTCAAAATAATTCGTCATTAAGGTACCACAAGAGGTTGAATATTTCAATTTTTTCTGGACTTAGCAACATAATTTTTTAGAGAAAATGAGTCAAGACATGAAGTACGGCTCCGTATAGCAACAAGGGCATTGGGGTATTTTAAGAGCTCCCCGAGATGGAGGGGGTGGACTTTGAGGTCATAATGGTTGTTATTTGGAGTAACTATATATTTCTGCAGGGTGCATAATCGGTTGGTGGGCTCATTTGAGTCAGGTAATGAGATGTGAACCATTGTTGTCCTCAGAAATATAAAATAATAGGGAGGGGCAAGTATAGAAATGCTATTTGGAAAAGTATGGAAGACAATATGGAAATGAGACCCATTATGCTCCCCATGTAAAACTATTTCGCACAATGTGGGAGTCGTCCCACATTTGTGCTCCGTATGGTTTTGACGCTAGGAAGTTTTAAAAAAAATTCATCATGTTCGACTATTTTGGCTATAAATACGGAAGTATAAGTAACAGCAAAAGATGACATTTGCCAAAATTTAGAGCAGTATATTTTTTACAAAATTTGTATTTGAACCAAATTTGTACCTACTATAATTTCTGAGAAAATTACAATCAAAGTGGGTGGCATAATTCCTTGCCAACTCTCTTGTGGTACCTTAATTTACATAGCAAGATTTGAAAATGCAAAAATGGTACGCATTAAATACCTTCTCGGAAATGGGTCAAGCGGATGTGTCGCGGTGTACATGTGGACACCAGGCGCGAGCAGACAATCGTCGCCAATATCGACCATCGCCGAGTCCAGGATGGCGCAGTCCCAGTTCGCATAAAAGTTATTACCCACGCGGACATTGTAGCCGTAATCACAACGAAATGGTGGTTCTGTCCATGCACAAAATTATTTTATATAATCTTAGATAACCCCCTAGTCGCCAAGATTGAACGGCCCGACAGTGGTATTCGAGTGGCCAATAATGTCGGCCGAAGGTACCATCTTGTCCTCGTGTTTTAAGTCGGGCCGTGGGTGGCCAAAATTATCGGGCCGAAGGTTGGAAATGTTTTTCCCGACCTCGTGCCATCAGCCGCCCACCATCCTACCGATCCAATGCCATGGTTGGCCCCAACCATTCCCCAACGAATTTTAATAATCTCACACTGTTTATTTCTGATTTAGTTCATTTATTTGATATCATGTAGTAATGGAAAACAGACAAAGTTCTCTTTAAAGGGTAACAAAATACATCTATGTGCAATTTGTAAACAATTCAGCTCACAAGTTTTTTTCATTTCATTTCCTAAAATAAAAATTCCTAACTTACAACTACTTATAGGTTTTTCGTATAGTGATTTTTTGTTACTAAATGTTTCGTAATGAACTATTTTAACATTTTTAAATCTATTGTACGTAATTCTTCGAACTATAATAATTTGACCAGAATTCAGAGAATAACAGCTATTTACAATTATTTTGTTTGCTTGAAAATTTTCGCGTTTCTCGTCTAATTCTCTCTTAATAACGTTACACTTTTCGTTTTCTACGATTCTTTTTGCAACCTGTTGGAGATAAAATGTTTTTGTTCTTGTCATTTTCTTCAGTTGCTGCATGAAATTTTCAAAACCAAACGCACTAATATTATCTAATTGTCCGAAGTTTAGAGCGTCCTCATGAATATGTGATAAACCATGGACATTATAAACCATAAAATTACTGTCATATACGACTCTGCATTGTAAAATAAATTTTGTCAACAACCGCCTGGCTAAAGCGTTCCACTCGGGGTCATCAGCATTGGCCGATAAAAGAATAAACATAGCACAATGAAAATAAAGGAAATGAATGTAATACTTCTCCGGTAAGACATTTTTCAGTGCTACTGGACCTGTGTACAGCATTATCGTTCTAAATTCCGTGGCCTTAAAATTATCAATCTCATTCAAACTTCTTGGTCTTCGCTGAAAATCACGAGGCATAAACGTTTTGAAATTTATAAATCTGTCTGAAATTTCATTAATAATTTTACTCTGCATTCTATGAGGCAATTTCCCTTTTGCCCACTGTCGCAAAAGTTTTCTCATGACCCCTAAGCAACACATGTGCATATAGTCATATGGAATCTGCGAGACCAAGCCAATTTGCAATTTTGATAAAGAAGTAGAAAATTTATGATGATTCTCGTCTAATTGTGAACGAAACGATTCATCTGTACGCGAAGCTGAATTTAATTCAGTGTACACTACACTTTTTCCAAATTCGCCGTGTTGAACACATTTCTCACACCCTGAATAACTATTATGATTCTTAATTCCCTTAATGAAACTTCTAGCTGGAGCATCAGCAATAATACAGGAAATTCTGAAATGAAATTTCTTCCCTAAATGATTAAATCCATCCTTCTCTAGTGTAATTGTCTCAGCAATAAAATCATTTAGAAAATCTAAATTAGTAGGTTTTTGAACTCCGTAAAATAGCCCTATTACAAAAATTGAATTAATTTTAAGTTGATCAATTTTACCAAGAAGCGGCCAAAATTGGGATCTTGTACTCCTACTTAATGGAATACCATCCACACCTACAGATATTGTTACAAGATTTTCGCCAAAATCGTGATAAAATTTGCTAAAAATTGTTGATTTTGGCTGAACGAGGTGAGCGATATTTGAAATTGATCTCTTTAAATTTTTTTCTATTCCGAAATATACAAATTCTCCACCAGAAATAAAATCAGTTTCAACTACTCGGGGAGTTTCTAATAATGTTCGAGGATCTAGTGGAACTGTTAATTTGAGACTACTAGATAATAATGATAATAATTCTTTTAAAGCAACATGTGTAATATTATGGGACAAAGCCCATCCTCGAAGTTTTTGAGGAAATGGTGTTTGCTCTTCATTGAACGATTCGTTTTCACTGAAACTTGTAAAGCTATAACTATTATTCTCTGAATTTGACGAATATTCTACACTATCATGCAAACTACTAATTATTACTTGAGATTCTGAAACTGATTCACCATCCACACTTGATACTGGCGCTAGAATAGTAGAGGAGGAAGCTATATTTATATTATGAAGAAGGGTTGCCACTTCCGCCTTCCTTCTTCTTGCCTTTGTTCTGTTTGAGGTTAGCATTCTGTCGTCGTTTTTCTCGTCCGCCCTCTCTGTCTTCAGCACCCTTTAGCCACGATGCAACATAACTTCCAATTTCCTGGTCCGTAGATAAACTATAACCGTTTGTGGCACGCACGGAATCTAGATTAATCAATTCATTGAAATTCCAACTTCATTAAATTACAACTTTGGATCTGTACTGTCACTCAAGATCTTACCTCTTATAATTTGATAAATTGGCTCGTTGTTTAAAGCAATTTCAATATCCTTCCCTGCTCCAGTGACAGTAATGATTTTTGCGAGACTATTTGCAAAAAGTTTTTTCAGTATTCTGCTAACCAGGAGAGAGAGCCTTTTTGCGCCAATGAGTGCCAATTCCGTGACCTAAATAGAAGATTATTATTACACTAAACTTATTTAACTAATTTTATACCCTTACCAAACAGTCACGATTTTCCTGCACCTGAATCCACACGTTTAATGACTTAAACTCAGCAACAGTCACCACAGGAATTTTGTGCAATTTTATTTTAGTTGGGGGAGATATGTTAATCCCACCTGACCTTCTCAACAGTTCCGTGACAAGTTGTTCCAATTTAGCCAAACGATCAATAACGATTTTCTCAAATTCTACGAATAAATTTTAGATACATAAAGCAATGACTTTATGTATATCTGTACAAATATATATAAAATAGCTACCCGTGTCATTTTTGCCAACTAAATCCCCACTAAAGCCTGGAAGACTGTTAACACTTGGAGGGATATCACTTAAATCAAGGTTGGAATTTAATGCCACCGTTCCGTGATCAACCAATATCAACTTAGGACTTGATATAATTGGGCAACTATTCGGACCAACTAAAATCGTAAATAAGGAGGAAATCATATATAATTTTACATAATTGTGAACAGAACAGTCAATTTAAAAACACTTTAAATAAAAGAATGTTTAAATACCGTTGGACACACTCGGCGAGTGAATTTGATCGTGGTCAGAATCACTTGAATAATTCGGTTCGACTGGTTTTGACGTAGTAATTGAGGTAAATGACGTGCTTGGAATTTCGATGTCGCTATCAATTGGGTCCTTACTCGGCGACGACCCAGAAGATTCAGAGTTTACTTTTTTCTTTTGTTTATTTCGTCTTCGTCGCCTAGGACGACGACTTTCATCCTCATCCACGGTAGTTTCAAATGTCGACTGATTTGATTTCTCGGCTAAACGCAATACAACAAGTGCATCATCAAAAGTATCTGGAAATAAAAAAGATAAGAATTTTGCGTATTAGGAAATAAAATGATAAAATTATTATCTGATCTAAAATTATTATCGCTTTATTAACTCACCTTTAATTTTCAAAATTTTACAATTATGTCGTGCCCAACTCTCTTCTGGTGCCTTGTGTTTTTTCACCATAGAAGTGACGTTGGGTGATGATGGCCAGAGGACTGTGGATAAGTCTATGAGCCAACTTGTTGACACTATCGACACAGAGTTATCATCTTCTTTAAATTCGACGATGGCGAATTTATTTTTTGGAGGAAAAGTGATTTTAGCCATGCTGGCAGATTCTCGTGCTGGAAATGGACTTGAAAGTACGATTGGCGCTGTAGTGGATAGATGGCGCACTATGGTATTTTTGGCCACGGATGGTACGACCTCGTGCCGACAGTTTTTGTCAGATGCAATTTAAATATACTTTTGCCAACCTTGTCCCACCCTCGGTAGGAAGGAAGTAAATGTAAAAATTTCTACATGCACTTTTTGCTTAAAACTTGTCTGCAAAAATCGGGAGGGGAATGGTTGGCACAGTCGGCCAACCATCGCCCAACTATGCCACCCTTTAATATCCTTCGGCCCGATAGTCTTGGCTACTTGGGCCACCTTATCATCAGAGGGCGGATACACATTCCAAATTTTTCATTTGATGACGACCGATGGTCAAACTTTGTGGGTGTTACCTAACTCGCATAGATAAATAAAATTTCAAAATATTTTTACATATTGTCACACATCTCTAGGTTTTTAGACATAAATATTTCCGCTATTATTTCAAAAATATGAAACTCTTTTACATTTTTTAAATGCGTATATATTTTGTAAACATTTCAACGATGTGAGACTTGAAACTCGACCACAATAAATTCAGAACATAAAATTCTAAAGTTTTTTTTTCAAAATTCTGATTTTTTTCATACACATTTTCTAAACATTCTTGCATGTTTTCATAAATATTAAATAAATATTTCACCCATTTTTCGTAAATACATACCCGCCCTCTACTTATCATTGATAACCATCACTTACCTATGTGGATACTCGGCCTATCCTTACAATCTGGATGTAAGTACGAGTTAATAATTTCCCTCCTTTGCACCACCGCGTCGGACGGGGTCTCATTAAAGCGACGATTCATCTCGTGGGCGTTTCGACGTCCCTCAACCAACTCGGGATCCTGTCATATTACAGAAATTTACATACTAATTTGCATACTAATTACATGATAAGCAGTTATCTTACCCATGTTTGGTATGGATAACCCTGCATCATGCGTTCCTTCTCGCTCAGATGTTCCGGTGGGGGTGGAACGGCCGGAGTTCCAACTTGCGCGTTGGGAATCGGTTCCACAAACTTTTTCGGAGGAATATTAGCCATCCTGCTAAAGGTCAAGGTTAACAAAGGTTACAGGTCAAGGATTATAACTCTCAATATTCTGTTGCTGCTGCTGTTATACGACTGATAAATACGGGATGATGGTCGGCCTCCTTTTATACCCAGTGGTCAACGTGGACGAGCAATTGTTGTTTTCTGTACGGGACGTGTACCAAACAGGTTTTCGTCATTAAATTTTCTATCTCTCGAGTATGTACACTGATGGAAACACAACTGAGATCCAATTCAGCAGCTGGGAATTATCGGTCGTCTACCGGCTCGTTATTCATGCCGCGTTGTTACATGTGAACTCAGTCAAGGACGCGCAAGTCCCGTACCATGCAAGCAAGCACAGAAATTCAGACTCACAACTTGTCTCAAGACTCTTTGTCAGTAATGATCAATTTCATACATATGCAAATTTGTGTCTTGTCCACATATGCAAATAAATGCATAGAGTTTGCGAATCGTCGTCGCGTGTCACGTTGTTTATTGTCTCACAGAAAGAAAATGAATCCAATTCAATCAATCTCACATTCCCGGCCTAGATCAATAATAAGTATGTAAAGCAATCAATAATGACAATTTCGTGATACGAAAGTTAGTTGGCTGTACTTTACTGGGCCGATAAGCTAAAGGTTACCGTTTCTGTATGAAATGTGTCATATGTTTCTGCAGATGGGCAATTTTTTGCTGAAACTTTTGATGTAATATTTTATTATTATTTATTATTTTTAATTAATTATGTAAATAATAATTCTTTTCCGAGTTCTGGAGGAGTATTCTGTACGCAGAAAAATGGACCAATTTTCGACACCTCGATTTTCATATGGGTTTTGCATTGGCAATTTGATGTTTATTAGTTAGACATGCGTTTTCATACCGTGTGGGTCAGAGCGTCGGGTGAAATGTGAGAGCACCACAAGGATGTACTTACATACGTAGGAGAAAATTCCGTAAAACGTGCAAATACCGAGGAAGGGTACGAGCACGTGCATACATGCTGCTAAGGTATGAAAATTTCCATGCAAAATGTACATAAACTTGAGGACGAGTTAATTTTTAAACAATTTTTCCAACTTGTTTTACTCCTTCATATATAACAACTTATTAACAATAAAATTGCATTATTGGGAATTTATAATTTCCAAAATCGACTACTTCTTGTTCTTATTCGCAATATGTGGCGGTACTTCGGCCCCGTCGAGATATCTAATAATTTTGGCAGGGTTTCCAGCTACGACGACATTGCTTGGAACGTCCTTCGTCACCACGGATCCCGCCCCCACGACGACATTGTCCCCAATCGTGACCCCCGGACAGATCACGGAGCGTCCCCCGATCCAACAAGTGTTCCCGATTTTTATAGGAAATGCCAACTCGTAATAGGTCGGGGAATTTGGTTCCCTGTCAAAAATAATAATTCGCCATGAATTAATTTGCATAATGAGATTCGCACGTGCAAAAATGCATTACCTTCTCGGCACCGGGTCGACGGGATGTGTCGCGGTGTACATGTGGACACCAGGCGCGAGCAGACAATCGTCGCCAATATCGACCGGCGCCGAGTCCAGGATGACGCAGTCCCAGTTCGCATAAAAGTTGTTGCCCACGCGGACATTGTAGCCATAATCGCAACGAAATGGTGGTTCTGTCCATGTACAAAATTTGCATATAGTTTCAAGCCTAAGATAACCTTATTCATATCATTGATAACCACCTACCTATATAAATACTCGGCCTATCCTTGCAATCTGGGTGAAAGTATTCATTAATAATTTCCCTTCTTTGCGCCACCGCGTCGGATGGGGTGTCATTAAAGCGACGATTAATATCATGCGCGCGTCTCCGATGAGCAACCAATTCAGGGTCCTGCACATTAAGGATACCAATGCACATAATTACTTGTACATGATAAGTGGTTATCGTACCCAAGGGCGGTAAGGATAACCTTGCCATGAACGTTCCTTCTCGCTCAGATGTTCCTGTGGGGGTGGATCGACCGGTGTTCCAACTTGAACGTTGGGAATCGCCTCCACAAATTTTTTCGGAGGAATGTTAGCCATCCTGCTAAATAAATAGGTCAAAGGTCAAGGTTAACAAGGGATGGATGAAGGTTAAAGGTCAAAGTTGACACTCTCACACTGCTGCTGCTGCTGTTGCACGACTGACAAATACGGTGTGATGATCGTCCTCCTTTTATAGCCGTGTGGTCAACGTGGACGAGCGATTGTTGTGTACGGGACGTGTACCAAACAGGTTTTCGTCACGGAATCTCCTATCTCTCGAGTATGTAAACTGATGAAAATAGGAATGAAATCCAGCTGGGCATCATTGTCTGTCTACCCGTCCCGTCAATATATGCAGTTCAGTTCTTGCCTGTTACACCGAGTCAAGGACGCGCAGGTGCCATACATACGAAAAACATTGCAGAATGAAAATCAATCCGACGTCAGGCTTGGAGATGCTCAAGTGCAAAATCTACCTGGATCAATAGCAATACTATGCTCGCAAATTTTCCATACATATATGCAAATATACCTCAGCATGTATGTATTTATGTATGGGATTTCTGCCAGGGTCAATTCGTATGCAAAATAATGATGCAAATTTTTGTAAATATATCGTGTCGTATTTATTTATTTATCAAAGCAGTTTATTTTCTGGTGGTTTGGTTAATGAGTTTTTGATGTCTTCGTCACCCTGACGTCGTCCCGTCCACCCCAAAGGACACACTTATCCTCGGGATTCATCCTTGACCCGGCAGGACAGCTCCAGACACGAGCAAAATCTGGAAAGTTCGCGAGGGGACCGGTAATGCGAAATTTTGGTGGGCTGTACAGGTCAAAGGTCAGCCTTATGTATATAGAGATCATTCACTCAGGACTTATTTATTACCTGTGCACATTCGTTTCCACCATGTCGGTTAGCGCGGCGGGTGAAAGATAAGAGCACCACGACTATGCAAAAAGAGATTTATGTAATTACCGTGACCTCATTGACATTTGACCTCACCTGGGCGAACGAGAGAAAAAACAACTGCTCCGAAGAGTACTTTTCTAACCCTGGCAGCCTCGGTTCTGGGGACCCACGCGTCTCAACGTAGTACGCGTACGCTTGGAAAGCCTCTCGAATTCCGCCATTGTCCGCAATGTTCTCCGCCAACGTACGCTTCCCGTTCACCTGAGAGAATTCGCAAAATAATTGAGTTAAATATTGCGAAATTAATAGAGCCTAAAATTCGCAACAATTCAGCAAATTCTGGTTGTGCATTTATTCTTCAAAAAACTAATTATCAGTTTTTAATTGTGCTCAGTCGCTATTTATATAGTCCTATAGTTTATAGTCAGTCACTATAGTTTATAGTAACGATTGAGAATTGTTAACAAAAACGTGAAGCACATTAAAAATTTGAGATAGAGGGAAAGCTGCTGTTGCGAATTTATTGCAAATTTATTGCGAAATATATCTACCGTGTTATTAGGTCCTGGAACGACACCAAGCTCTGGGAGCCAGAAGGTGCTGTACTGGTCTTCAAAGCACTGGGCCTTGGAGACAAAGTGCTCCAGCGTGTCCAACGTCCACCACGCGTTCAATCGTCCATACTCGTCACTGTAGCGCCCTGCGAGAAGCAGCCAGGTTAAACAAAGCACACGTGTGCAAATTTCTTATCATGCATACCCATCGTGTCAAAGCCGTGGGTCAACTCGTGACCTAGCACTGACCCCAGGGCGCCATAGTCCACAGCTTTCAGTCCCATCCCGATGAACGGCTCTTGTAAAAACCCGGCTGGAAAGGCTGCACACAGGGTTTTCATAAACTGATCAAACATTCCGGCACATTTGTGCAAAAAATTGTATGCAAAATTTTGATGCACAATGATGACATGAATACAAAACGAGTACGCACGTCCAACTTCGAAATTGTTTACGACAAAATATATAAATTCTGAGGAAATTTGAGAATATCTATGTTAATTGAATTACAAAATTCATACTTAAATAAACTGTCATTTCATGTGAAATACCACTTAAAATTATGAAAAAATATTTTGAAATTGTAGAAAACCTACAGGTTTAAAAGGATGTCAGTTCCGCAATTTGGGGAAACCATTTTTCATAAATTATCTGCTTTAACGTATCAAAATTAGACTAAAACTACAAAAAAATTATTATTCCGTACTGATCGCGTTCCTCTCGTCGTCGTAAAATGCATCCGCTTCTGCTGGTGAGTCCGACGTCCATGAGCGATCCACGGGACCCACGTATTCTCGCAACGCCTTCTCCGCGATCCACTTCATCTACGGTAAGTAAATAACTAATAATGCTAAATAAGTTTCCGAAATTTGTTAAGATATATATTTTGGTTACCATGGTGAGTATATTTCTGAAAAATGAAGAGTTATTAAAGCGGAGAGCGGCGTAGAAGGCGTCCACAGCGACGGGGTCTTTCAGCCAGGCAGGAAATCCGATATAGCCCTCCACGCGGTTCGCCTTATCTAACGCGCGCTTCTTCGTCCTCACATCCATCCACTCCAAAAGCCCCACTTCCGCTTTAAACGCGCTCAAAATGTTGCGGTACATTTCGCGCGCCTAGGAAAATCAGGGTGCAATTAGACCGTTGAGGTTTCCCAGCTAAAACTTTCCGATTTTGAGCAAATTAGTGTCAGTCGATCAGAAATTTAATTAGAACGACATTTGCAAAGGACAGTTTGACAGAGATATTTGCATCCGAAGAGGAGAAAACTTATTCAAATATGACAAATATGATATTCAAATGTCGACAAATCTTATACTTTCCAAATTTAACGTAAAACAAACGCAAACGAGTAAACGTGTACATTGTAAAATCGTGTCTTTGCAAATTTCATATAAATTAATCAAATTTGCGATCGAGAGACACTAATTTACTCAAAATCTGAGAGCATACGCTGGGAGACCTCCATTTTCAATTTGCTGAGGGTGCTTCTCTCACCTCTTGAATTGTGGCGTCCTTGACATACTTGAGAACGTATTTGTGCGTGAGTGCGAAGGGGAGGGACTGATCGAGGAGCAGAATGCACTCTGTGTGTCGATTAGGCGTCGACTCGGTCCCCTCCGAGATGGCGGTAAAGGCGTTAAAAAGGTCACGAACCTCCTTCGTCACGTCCTTCCCAAACGTGTAGATCAACTCCCACGTGATGTACAGTTCTAAACAAACAAAAAAGCTTGCATGTCAAGGGTCAAATTTGAAATCGTATTCTTCTTCAAGACTAACTTAGCTGTTCCGGATCAGTCTTGGCGAGGAGTTGAGCAACCTTTCTGATATAGGCGACGTCATCAAGGTTTAAGATAAAGTCGTCGTTTACTTCAACATCCGCCAACCCGTTGAATAACGTGTCCACGTATTCCGTCCAGTTGAACTGACAAAAAAGAGACCAGTTTTCCTCATTACATTCTCAAGTTCTCATCCGATTAGCATGAAATTCGACATGCGCTACTCGGCGTTGTCAACATGTTCCAACACGACACGTCATCCATTGCTATGACCGTGTTTTTGACGAATTTTGTCGCAATGCCATAAATGTATCATTCCGCGCCCGATTTGCATGCATTTTCGACACAGTCTCCACATTAAACTAATCAAATTGTCGATGTACAATGCGGTCATAACGATGGGCGCCGTGTTGCAACATGTCGACAACAAGGAGAACGAGGGTGACTCAAAATTTCATGCAAATCAGTTGAACATTGGCATAAACTTACAAAGTTGTCACGACGAGTTGCAGGTTTGCTTTGGGTCACATTTCCAGTGGCATTTCCTTCACCAACGCCCCCATTTCGAAACAGAAGATTCAGCTCTTTTAACGTGATTAGGTTCGCGGTGGACGCTTTGCCACGATCGTCCTCGTCTGACATGGCCTAAAAATTGACATTAATCATCTCACTCTTATCATTTTATGGTGGTCGCTGCTCACCAAGGCGAAAAGCTGTTCGAACGCTGCGATCTTTTTCGCCGTCGTTTTGGCGTCTTTTTTCAGCGGAGGGAATCCTTTTTCCTTTCCCAAGCGGAGAAGAACCTTCTCAATGAGACGCTCATACGCTGCCACGACGGCCGGCGTGTAGAGGAAGTTGGCCTTCACGACGGGTAGTTCCGGCTGGTCGATCTGAATACCCAAACAAATCCAGTCATTTATTTATTTACACGTGGCGCAAGCATGGAGAAACTTCTTCCCACTCACGGAGAGCAAGTAGACCGAAGTATTTTGAAAGGAGGGTCCAATGCTCAGGTCGAAAACGTAGTCTTGCCCAGTTTCACGATGGATGAGACCCAGCGTCGCCCCCAGAGTGGCGTTCGGGCGGATAAGCCGGGTCACTAGGTCGACCAGTGGGGACAGACCGGCCTCCTCGATAGCCACTAAAAAATATATAAGAGAGCGATTACAGCACTTATCATTACTTATCTGCGAATAAAAATTGGTCCATTTTTCTGCTCAGAGTCTTCAAGGAAATGTATATGTAATTAATCCGCAGAAAATATCCTGCACGTTTATGTACGCATAAGTTTTTGCAAAAACATCATCCAGAATTCTACAAATTCTCGTCTACAGAACCTAATTCTGCAGAAAAATGTGCCAATTTCCGCCTTACCACCACCTTACCTAAATCGACGCATGTGTTGTACATGATCCTGACCTGTTGTAACGACTCGATATCTTCATTCGTTATATTTTCTGTGAGACCTAAAGATAAAAACTTTGTCACATTTTTTCTCCAATTTACCCTGAAATCTTACTTACTCCTCAGTCGTCCCACGATCCTGTCGCGCATGATGGTTGTGTGGTCGTAAACCGCCACGGAGACGACAGCCGCCGTGTCAGAAATCCAATTTCCGCCTTAGTTGATTAGTTAAATTTTATTTTGGATTAATCTTTCATTATTTATTATTCGTTAATTTTTATTATTAATTTTAAGTATAGTGATGGTTACGTTATTTTTTTAATACATGCAAACTTATGGAAATCATCACACGGATCGACCGTCTCGTCCATCGTTTTCATGAAGAGTGTCGCCGTCCGGGTGCACGTCCGGGTGCGACAAGTTTCAAAGCTGGCTGGAGATAAAAGGAAGGTCTAGATGACACATTATCTCTCATGATAAACTAGATGAATTACATCTACTCACGGAATGTCTGCATGTAGAGGACGCCCAGAATGGAGACGGCCGCGGCAAGGAGGAGGACGAGGATGCACATCACACCCACCAACCCCTTCAGCAACCTCCGCCTTGCCCAAAAGTCTCTGAAAATGTATAGCTTATCGAGCACTTAGTTTATCTTATTAGCGGTTTCCTACTTATCTTACCTGGCCGAAGTGTTGGAGTCATTTCCATTCGCGGAGATCGGGTAATCTGAAATGTCCGAGCGTGAGTCCTCCTCAATAATAAAGTTGGACGAGGACGGCGACCTGTTATGGGCGAAGGAGGGCGTTTCAAGAAAATGCATGGCGACAACGACGACGACAACGACGACACGACTCACAGATGTAAAGTGTCGAAAATCAAACCACAAGAATCATCACATACATATGTGCATTGCATCCGAGGTGGAGTTTCGCTAAATGAGACGTGATCATGTTAAATATTGACTACTTAAATGCATCCACGGGTGAGCAATTAACTAACCTCGCACACTAACTAGACTGACTGACCCATACGGGGCAGGGCACACCCAGGCATCAAGTCGACCTAGAGATATCTCACCGACGGTAAGATAACATCTCAACGGGTAAAAAACATCGCCCTACCCCCCAAAAATACTCATGCAACGTCCCCCCTTCCTCATTTGCATGCAAATTGCCATCATTATGCAACAACTACTGCTAAAATAATACTACCAACTGAAAAGAAGAAAACAGGTGGTGGTGGTGGTGATGGGATAACAACCATTAAAAAACTATAATAATATTGCTACTCATCTTCTTTAAATAAGTAATTCGTCTTGCGCCATGAAAAACGAATCCTACAAATTTGCAAGTGGTTCGTTGGTGGCTGTGACGTTGACGACTGATGCGTTTACCTCAGAGTAAATACGTACTTACGTACACATCAGCAGATTAGATAGAAAATGATGATTAGTTTCTTTTTCTCGTGGGTCTTAACTTTTTCGAGTATAATTGTTCTGCGAAGAGTACGATGATTAGTTCAATCAGGTTGATTGGCAAGATGCTGGGAAACTTTCTCGTCGTCGTCATTTCTTAATTCTCATCATTTCTTAAGTAATATTTCACATGTCTGATGTCTCTTCTTCGTAAATAAATAATATCGGATGATGCGGATCGAGAAGATGATGAGAAATCTATTCATTCCGAGATTATTGAGAAGATGAAAAAAATGGGATGATTGGTTTTCTTTTCACATTTCCTTCGGAAGCATCGACTCCCATCCCATCCCACGAACCACCCACTCATTCAGACGAACGAAACTATCCGAAATCCGGGCAGTTTGCGATAAAAAAAATCTCATAAAAACGGGTAAGTCGTCAATACCCCAGGCTCACTCGGCTGCACGGAGGCAAGTTGCTTGCAATCCAAACCACCTGTTCTCCCACACAGAAAACTAAAACCGAAAATTTCTGATTTTACAGATAAATTTTCCCCTGTGTGTGGTAGTTAATTAATTAACTAATTAATTATTTGGATAAGAAATTTATGCACTTTTGACCTCTCGAGATTCGAAACCACCTGTTCTCCTGCATAGAAAACTACAACGGAAAAATAATATCCAGTGAGAATTTCTGATTTTAAAAAACGTCCTCAGTCTCGAGTGTTTAAGTAATTAAACAATTACATCAGAAATTAATCCGCCTTTGACCTCCAAGGATTCGAAACTACTGAAGACTACCCGAAAATTTCAGGTTTTTAATTTTTATCCAAACTTTTACCAAATTTGTTCCACCAGAAACAATTAATTAATTCACCTTTGACCTTTTTTACCTATCAGGATGGTTGGGAAGATGAGTATCGTTTTCCGCATCATTGACGCCATTCTCCTCACGGGGGTATATCTCTTACAAAATGTGACCCTGAACCTTTTCCTCATTCGCAAGTGGGAGGGCAGCATCCTCCCATATTTTTGGTTCTTATCTGACTTTATCATTCTACTCAATTTCTACCTGACCTTGTACCTCGTTGGATGTCATCACCACCGTGAGAAAAAAGCGAATCGAAGAGAACTCGTCGTTCTACACCAAGTCCGACGTCCGAATAACTCGACTGGGGGAGAAACCTCGTCCAGTGTGGATGGTGAGATCGCTTATTGTCTGTTAAAATTAAGATTTTTTTGGTTAAAAATGCAACCAAAATTTTGTATTAGTCAAAAACAAAATTCAAAATTTTCCCAAAAATCAAAATTTTATGAACTTTGACTTCCACCGCCGCTGCCACTTTATTAATTATGCTACTTATTTACTAACTATTTATTTAATTAACAGGGAGTAGCGTGATAAGCGCGGTCCGACAGGAATCTCCTTCTCGTACCAGTAACAACCGGTCACAGCGGATTTCCGAGTACAACTTCACCGCAGGAATCCCATGGTTTCACACTCTGACCAAGAATTTCCCCATGGCGTACGTATCCTGGCTGCTCTACTCGGGAACACTCATCACCAAAATCGTCCTCCTCTTCAAGAACAATGTCCCCCAAGGGTTAAAACATGACGAATTCTTGGGACCTCAAATGTTTAGGTTTTCCATAGGTTTGAGTGCGATCGTCTTTTCGCTCATTGTCGCGGCGCACAAAAATGCGCGAGCAGACCCCTTAAGGAACAACTACTTGAACAACTTGTGTTATCGCATAGCCCTGGAAATTCTGGATTCGGTGAGTATTGAAATTTCGATATAAATTGTAAACAGTTTACAAAATTTGACACATTTTTTCAAACTGAAATTAGTTTTATCTTCCTAGAAATAAACGAAACAAAGTAATAATTAATTAATTTCGATTTCCAATTGTTTAAAAATTTGACACATTTTTTGTAATTTTAAATACATTTTTAGGAAAACGTAATTTACAGTTTAAATTGTATCAAGACAATTCACCCAGACCTTAGTAACATCGTAAAACCCATAAATTCCGTAAACTTGCAAACTTTGACTTATATGTCGAAGGAAAATTAACTCGCAAATTTTTATAAACTTACTCTGATCAATGGCGTCCTTTCATTTTGTCAAAGCTTGTAAAATTATTCTACAAAAAGCAAAGAATTTTCAAGTCGCCAATGACTGCTTGAATTGTCTCAGCATTAATTATTCCACGATTTTTTTAAATAATTAATTAATTTCAAATAAATTAACTCTGATTTCCAGGTAAGTTTCCTGACTATCATCACCCCTACCGAGTCCCATTTAATGTCCACGTACACGTTCGAGAACGAAATCCTCATCTTGGCATCAATCAACTTGTTCCTCCCGTCAATGACGCTCTACAAACTATGCGCCACAGACTTTGGACGTAACGTTGCGTATCCGATCGAGACTTGGTACAAGTTCATCCACTTGATCGTGGTGGACGGAGCCTTCATGGGGATTCGGATTTATTTCTGGTCCATGTTCCAGGCCGACACGGCCATCTTCTTGATCAAGAATATTTATGCCGTGGTCAACTTTGGGCGTGAACTTCCCTCAGAATTCAAGGATCTTAAGACGTATTGCTGCACGAGGAAAGCAGAGGACGAAGTGGAGTTGGGTGGCAGAGGGTTGCACGGGGACGGAGGGGATGACGAGGATGACGACTCCATTGGAGAAATGAGAATGCAGAGTTTAAATAAGGTAGGGGGTCAAGAAAGAGTATGATAAGTTTCTTATCTTGGATTATGATGATGAATGCTAAAAACGCAAGATTTCCATCAACACAAGAAACCAAATCAGTTTTTGATTTAACTTCTCCTTTATTTTAAAAATTACTTATGGCTTAATTCATAAAATGGAGAATTTTACCAGCGCATGCTCTCCGATTTTAACCAAACTAGGGGAAATTTGGAAAGTATAAAATTTGTCGGCTTAATAACGCGTGTTCTCCTCTTCGGATACAAATATCTCTGCGAAACGTGCGCATTTTGAGATGGTATCCTTTGCAAATGGCATATTAATTAAATTTGCAATCGATACATACGAATTTTCTCAAAATCGGTAAGCATAGGCTGGGCGACCTCCATTTTTAGTTGATATTCAGCAATTCTCAAAATTGATAAAAAATAAACCAAACCGTGGTTAAGCTTCATATTAAAATACTTCCCATATTTTAGGAACCTCTCGGAATCGGAGTCAACCTCAACGACGGAACCGGCTACAATTGGCGACGTGGCGACGGATCAATTTCAACCCGAGGCGTGCACGGTTCCGCACAATCGTCTCTCGTCCAAGTATACGCCATCAATTCGGAAGCGACAAATGGTCACGTTCCAACAAGTACGCAGGGCGGAGGAGCAGTCGACGACTCAAATTCTCAACTGGACGACGAGGACACCACAAATTTGGTAGAGGACGACGAAGAAGTTTCGGAATCTCAGTCAGGTCGCGATGTGGACTCGCTAGACCCGACCGTTACTCAATCAGAATCATCCTCCGTGCCGCCCGAATGGGACAAGAATAAAGAGTTGAGAGCGACACAGAGCCACCCATAAAAAAACTATCAAATTTTTCCTCTCTCTGTATCAAATCTAAAATGTAAATTTGTAACCTGCATTTAAAATTGTTGATGGCAAACGTGAATTTTTCATCTCAACAAAATTCCATCAACCCCAACGGCTCTTCATCTCATATAATATACTTACTTAAAAACTTGATGTCAACCAATGCACAAATATTGTAATTAATTAATTAATTACCGCTATTTATCAGTACAAATGGTATCCCCTACTTCTTAATGTATTAATTAATTAATTTTAGTAGAACCATATCCATCCAAAATTAGTATTGATGGAAATTAATTGTCCGCCTTTAGTGATCCTTGAACATCGAGGTATTTATTTATTTATTTATTTGTGAGAATCTCCAAAGAGAGTGAGAGAGCGGTATATTTTTTATTTTTACGGTTTATTACTTGTTACCTTGGGGGGATGGGAAGAAAAAATGGCTTAATTCCGCTCCATAATTATTGTAAACTATGAGCTAAATACATTCTATGTACAAGTATAGGTTAATTGTTACTCGGTGTGTGTGTGTCAGTAGCTTGGTCATGTATGTATGATCATGGATGTAGCTTTATGTGTAGATTTCCTCCTGTTAAATATTTTCTGTTGACGCCATTTTACGTACTAGAGCTTATGTAATACGTACACATACATATTTATGTTATAGATAAGGTACTTATTTATTCTTGAGACTGACTACTTTCGTGGGTGGATAATCAAGCTAATTTGGTGGTCACTTCAGTTGGCTGACTCCCAAAAAACAAAAAAAAACACAGATCTCACACCCAGAATCTCGTCCCACTTAAGAAGACGAGCCATTAAATATACTTAAGATGTGGCATTGCTGACTACTCCTGGTACCTTTTTACCCAAAATTAATTACGCACATTTACGTGATAACCTGTCCCTGTACGTACGTATGTACCTGTACCACCATTTTGCTACTTACTTCTATTTTACCTACAGATTTTTTTTACTCTTTTTCCGACCAAATTTTAACCAGCAATGCATCAATTCTCGTTGCTGTCTGTTATAGTTAGTTATTTAATTGTAAGATTTAAAAGTATTTAACGTATAAAAAATATATTTATGCAAATGTATGTACTCAGATTGGATGGAAATAAATAAATTAATGTACCCGTCTAATTCTGGTTGGTGGATACATAATTTACAAATATCTTGCATTTCGGTGGAGAAAGGGGTTTAATTAAACTGAGGCAATTTACGCAGTCCTTGGCAACTTTATAAAATCCGTGCACTAATTTTACAAATGAAAAAGACTTCCCCTTCATCTGAGCAAGTTTACAAAAATTTGTAACCTAATTTCCCTTTGAAATATGAGCACAATTTCGTACTCTTACATAATTCATGGATTTTACAATGTTACCAAAACCTGCGTGAAGAATTGCCTCACTGTATTTTCATTTGTGACGGGATTCCAATCCGTATACGTGGGTTTGCGGTTATCCTGAGAGAATAATCAGAGTGAGGCAGTGGGGCATGATTTCTGCACTAGGACGGATAACACGTGCCCTGCAGGAGACACGTCACGTCACTTTAGACTGTCCCACCTTCACAAAAACGCTGACATGCCTCCTGCAGGGCACCCACCGTGAGAAGAAGAAGAGCCACATTTTTTTCCTGACTAAATAGAATCATGTTCGGAAACGGTGTGTCCTGCAGAAGCCGTGTCACGTCACAACGTAGACTATCCCACCTGCCCAAAAAGGACGCCATCCCTTCCGCACACACACCGCCGATGACAGAAGAAGAACCACATTTTTGTTGTGACTAAATAGATTCGTGTTCGGAAATGGTGACGAGCTTTCTACTCTTGCTTGGCGTGGGTTACTAAGTAATCAACTCCTCGATCTCCCCCCGATCTGATTTCTTCTCCTCCGATTCGGGTTGACAATGGGGACGGTGGTGGTGGTTGCTTTTGTTCAATCAGAATTCGGATTTGATCGCCGCCTGGTCTATTTATAGGTGCTCCCAAGTAGGAAGAAGAACAAGATCGGGTCGGGGATTGTATTTAATTTCGAGAGATTCCATTCCATCCAAAGTACGCACAGTCAAACTCGTCTTCCCGTCGTCGTCGTCGTCTTTTGTCTTCTTCTCGTTTCTTGCAGCAGCAGCAGCAGCTCAGCGACATGGTCAGTAAAACAATAAACCCCACCCACAGATAAAAAAAATACACCCAATAATAATAATTTTAATCTGTTTGTTCTCCTTTTTTCAGGCGGATTTGGACAAGGAACAGATTGCGAGTGAGTCGTCTTAACTAGTTTATTAATTGCGTACTCATTTAGTTAATTGGTGCATAAATAAAACGTGACGGTATTTTTGCCCCCTTCTAGTTTTGAAGAAGGCGTTCGAAACGTTTGCCCAGGGGAAGGACTTCATCACGCCGGACATGGTCGCCTCCATCTTGAGAATGATGGGGACCGCCTTCACGGAAGAGACGCTGAAGGAAACCATCGCTGAGATCGATGAGGATGGTGAGTTTTCAATATCTCCCTTGGATAACCCGACAGAATGATAACCTTTCCTTATCTTAGGTTCTGGACAGATTGAATTCGAAGAGTTTACCATTCTCGCGTCCAAATTCATTATTGAAGAGGATGACGAAGACGTCCAGAAAGAGTTGAAGGAAGCGTTCCGTCTCTACGATAAGGATGGTGCGTACTTATTCCTGATAAGCACACTGATAACTTATCACTGATAAGTCTACTCTCTCTCCGTAGGTGCCGGCTACATCACGACCGCCGTGTTGAAACAGATTCTTCACGAGATTGACGACACTCTCACCAATGATGACTTGGACGGCATGATCACCGAGATTGATGAAGATGGCTCAGGAACCGTCGACTTTGACGAGTTCATGGAAATGTACGATTCAACATAATTAACTAACTAACTAACCATATGTAAATCAATAATTATTTATTTTTCATCCATCAACAGGATGACGGGTTAAGTTATTATTTCTCTACTACTGAAAAAAACGCCATAAAGAAGACGCCACATCCACAACAATCTTCCTCCTGTAGCTGCAAAATGCAAATGACCACCGCCGGACCACATCATTAATTTATTACGTATATACATAATTCCTACCCGTGTGTAACATGTACCTCATCCATTCCTTAAAACCTATACTACCTGAAATTATGTGATTATTATATAAATAGCCAGCCAGCCATCCATACCTTTGTCCATTCCTACCACCCCCATTCGACTGCTAGTCACCACCCACCCACCACTTCCTCCCTGCCTCACACACTATTCAGTCATTTCGAATAAACAAGTCTCTTTTTTTCGCCACCCTTTCTAAATACATACGAAAACCGAGTCTCTCACGCCATGTACGTATTTCTGCCGAGTTTCTTTTTTTCCTCTCTGCCTGGTTCATTTCGGTACGAAAAAGCAGTACGAAAGTGGTGGTGCTGCATTTAGCAGTCACTCACTCACTCGTTCGCTCTCATCCTCCGGAAGAAGAAGAAGAAGAAACACGCACACACGACGACCCAGAATATATTTCACGACCTATTTTTAGCCCATTTTTGTAGTGTGTAAACGGGGATTCAAAATGCCCGTCCGAGTGACGACATGGAGGACGCCATATTTATATCCATGTGTCCATCTCCGAGTATATCTAGTTGGCCCGTCTCCATCCCCACGTTGGCAGTTGGTGTCCTTGTTGCTTGCTGCTCCTGGTAGTGTATTGGCACCACTTGGCGTCGTCTATTTGGGGTTGCGAGTGAGTGACGTTGAGTCCATCCATCCTCCATCCACTCCTTCCCACATACTGAAATACGTGATACATTATCTGCATAATCTACTTAATCTGCATACACAACTAACTCACTCCTGCTCGAGTGGAAATCATAAGATTTTTTAGGAAAAAAAATTGCTCAGGCGAAAAGTCAAAGGTCAAGAAGAGGTCGTGTTTAAAGGACGATTATGGTGGAAGTAGGACCAGCAGTGACGAAGTCGTGACGTGACAGAGTCGTAGGACACAAAGTTGGACTTTTTCTGTGATACACGGATGATATGATGGGTGACGTGGAGAGTAGTACGACCAGGGACCAGGACGACCAGGGGAATAGTGGTCGATCAGGAAGTGGAAGTGGTGGGGGCAGCCCGGAAGACAATAGTTCTACGGATTCTTCCTCCGTTGGTGGAGGTGCGAGTGGTGATCTGCAACGACAAGGGACAGTGATACAGCGTAGCAAAAAAATGGGGGATGAGATCCCAGCGTCGTCGTCGTCACCACCACCACCGCCACAAATAGTGAACAATAGTAATCATAATCATGACGAGGATGGAGGAACAGGAGGCGGAGGAGGAGGGGTGGGTGTGGCTATTTTTCTGCCCTCGATTCGTATAATTGTAGACAAACTAGAATTGTGTCATCCGTTGTCGAAACGTGTCGCTAGAGATTTTATGGGGGAAATATCTACCAAAAAAATGGGATTATTTCAAAATTAAAATCAACTATACCCTTTAAAAGTTATTCAAAGTGAAGGTTTCCTAAAATTGGAAGACTTCAGACTTTGGAAACTTTGACCTTCAATAACTTTTGAACGGCTAGAGCTACACCCAGTTTTCGAAATATTTTTGAAACAATCCCACTATTATTTCCAAAATGGATTATTTCTTGCCAAAGGATCTCGAGCGACATACTTGCATATATTTCGGATAACACATGATAAACGTTGAGTATCCACCACGACGTGTGTACATACTTTTATTAATAGTAATCTTTAACTGCTAATTTTTGCCACAGGAGGAGGACGAGTCATCCTTGGCTGACAGTCGTATCGTGCCGTTCCGTTCGGCATCCTTTTCCCAAGTGGACACGACCCTGGAAGGAAACTACTTCACACTTCCGGCCCGATCCCCAAACAACATTACGCTGAAACCGTCCGCCTTCTGCCTCCTCCCACCCGCACCCGCCACCCTCCCGCGCACCACTAAACCCACCACCACCGCCACCACTACGCCACAAAACAGGGTCCAATTCCAAGTCGGCGACCCCACCTATGTCGACCCCGCCGTCGAAGAACTCAACGTAACAAGACCCCAACAAGTCGAGTCGCCTGACGAGAAAACTATGGACATGACGACGACAACACCAACCAGTGACAACGACCCTGACGAAGAGAAGGGTCACGTGAGAGGAGGAACGACCCCCGCCAAGGCTAAGATTGCTTTTAAAATGGGCCACCTCAACCCTAAATTGACCCCGCTTGACCTTTCTGGAGGTGCTGGTGGTCCTGCTGACGAAGAAATAATAGACTCGACCGCACAGCAGCAACAAGACCTCCTCGTTCGCCAGTCTTCCGGTCAGTCGGATGGTAGTGAGGGTGGTCTCAGTGACCCTTGTGCGTCACCCCCGGTGCCCATCACGGCAGACTCGGCGCCTTACACCACCACCACCACAACCACAACTGGCGCCACGACCACGACCAGCTCCGCGGCTACGACGACGACCACTTCACCACGTACGGCGCTACTCTTCCGGTCGAGCGGAGGTCTCTCTTCTCCACCACCGATGGGGCCATCATTCTACAATTACCGGGTAGTTAACTATAAATAACTAACTTGCCCTCCTAACTTTTTCCCTATGAAAATCGACTCCACAAAAGTACCACATGTACCACGCAGAATCAAAACTCTTACCAATCTTTGAATCCATTTCATACAAATTTTATGCAGAAACATGTCCAGAATTCTGCAGAAAATTTACACAAACTAAATTTTCATCTAAACTTACCAAATTTTTCTGCAAAATTCTGATCAATTTTCAATTTAAAATTGAAACATGCCCAAAATTCTGCACACAATTTGCAGCTCAATTTCCATTCCACACTTTTTCTACAGAATAAACTCTGCAGCAATTTTTAAATTAAAAATTTTACACAAAAACATGCCCAAATTTCTGCACAATTTTCATTCCTCCTTTCTTTCTTCTTCTCTCCCTCCAGTACAACTACCCCCGTTCCACAACATCTCCACCCCCACCATCCTCCGACTCGACGTGCTCTTCCCCCGTCTCACGGACAAATTCGATCGGCTCGTCATCCACCCCGAGTCCACGGCGCTACTACAAACGCCCCTTACGCGGTCCGTACGGCGAAATGTTGGAAGCCGAGATGAACCGCGTGTCCGCCTCGTCCATGCGAAACAAATCCCTCGCTCGCGACCTGGACGGTGGGCTGTCCGACTTTTGCCGTGAATCGAGGTCATCCTCCCCACCCCCAAACGTCACCAGCACGGCGACCCCCAGCAGTGCGGACCATCATCACCACCACCACCCAACCGACGGGAACCTTCTCCTTATCGGGACGTCGCCCAAATTGGGGAATTCTTTACACGAGCTGCGCACATCCTGGGCATCGTCGTCCTCCTCCTCCCCCTCATCCTCCAGCGGGATCGTGAGCAACGCTCCGAACAAGCATAACACCAACCCAAGGACGAGGAAGGTCAGTGCAATGTCATCCATGACGACGACAGGTGAGTGAAACGTCAACACGTGTCAGTCACTCAATCACAAAACGTGTTCTGGACTCTATCAAACTTATATTTTTTTAGGCAGCAGTGTTGAAACCGTTGGCGGCGTGCTGCACCAACGGACAGCCTCCTCCCCGTCGCAACTCCTCTCGTCACCACCACCACCACGACCCTCGCGACCCTTGGTAAGCAAACACTATAGGAGATACATCGTTATCTTCTTGTTTGTCCTTTTCGTGAATAATTTAGCACTCTGTTGAGTCGAGTGGATGTGAAGAGATCCGAGTGAATGTAAACATTTCACCACCACTCTAGAATACCCGGGTATTTTAGTGGTTCGTTCCTACGTAGAGTAAACTATAAGTGGTATGGAGAAAGTGGTTTTTCTCCTCGGAGGTGGCCGGACAAAGACAAGAGGGAAATTGCGAGAGACTACACATATGTACTAGAACACAATACTATTTAATGTGTCCAGCAGTGGCCGCGGAAGGCGTGGGGACATCGGGGGACGGTAACATTGTAGGATAGGGGAAGGGGATGGGTTTATATAAGATGGGGGGATGATCGAATAATTAAATGGTGGGGACAATGTCCCCCTGTCCCCCACGCTTCCGCGGCGCCTGCACCCCCATCCGGCCAGGACAGGACAGGGCAACAGGTTTTTTGCTCTGCATATCTCTCTCTCTCGAGTAGTAGTCGTTCTGGAGGAGCTGCGCCGTCTCCTCCACCACCAAAAATTTTACAAGCTCTTCTCCTCCTCTCCTCTGCCTTTTTTGGAGTGGAGGTAAAGAGAGCACGGGAAATATCCGAAAACCGAAATCCTCTCCTCCACCTCCACCTCCGCCATCACAATCCTCAGGGGGAGGAGTGCACAGGATGGACGAAAGTGGTCGTCCCCATCCCAACCACCACTACGACGACGACGAGGACGAGGACGACGATGACGACGACGAAGACGACGAGGAAGTCTTGGTCGTCGTCACGACCGAGGTGGACATCGACATGGTGACAGAGGCAGAATCGGGGCAGCACGAAGGAGGGGGACAGCATGAGGGGGAGGGCACTTGGATTGAAGCGCTCCTCGTGCATGGGGCACGTTTTAATATTAAGAGAGAAGAAATCTGAAGTAGTGCTAATTTCCCGGCTGTTTTTGTTTGTTTGTTTACAGGACTCCTCGCCGAGGGGGCACGTTCTCGCTGAGTTGGTTGAGACGGAGAGGTCTTATGTCGAGTCGTTGGGCAACCTGGTCAATGTAAGGATGAAATTTGCAAAAAAGCGATCTCCAAATGTTCACGTTTGGCGGAGATATTTGCATCTCAAATATCTCCACCAAACGTGACCATTGGGCGATTGTATCGGTTGCAAATGTCATATTAAATAAATTTGTGATCGCTTTACACTAATTTTCTCAAAATCTGAGAGCATACACATGGAGACATCCAATAATAATAATATAAGATCTCAAGTACTTTTATTTTTTTCAGAATTATATGACTCCACTCAAATTGGTCGACTACATTGAGGCCAGCCTCGTGGATGAGATTTTCTTCCAAGTAGAAAATAATAATAAGTGTTAATTTCTAATAAGCAAAAGAATGCAGCACTGTGAACTCTTCTAGATTCCCGACATTTTGAAGCACCACAAGAGATACCTGGCTGAGTTGGAACGCCGTGTCACGGACGATACGCAGTCCGTGGGAGACGTTCTCCTCGACATGGTACTTATTCTGCATACATAGCTAAACAGCCTTCGTGTACTTTATTGTCCGTAGTACTTTTTGTGGATAGGGTCCAAGCATGAATTAAAATTTTAATTCACGGGAATTTTACAACTCAATTTTGATTCACTTTCTCGCTTGACAACAACTTTTCACAAGTAGAATCATCAAAATTCACTGAGATTAAAATTTTAATCAATCTGAGTTTTGTAAATTTGCAACTTGCATAAAATCCTGTGTACAAAAAATTCCATGCAAAATAAAGTATAAGAAGCCTTCTAGCTAAAACCAATTTCTGCCAATTAATCAAAATTTCCAACTATTTATTAATCTCCTTTACATGACAATAATTCTTTTCTCATCTAATCTTTTACCCCCTCTCTTTTTCCTAGTTCCGTGACACCTCCCTCCTCGATTGTTACTCTCTCTTCGTGAACAATTGGAAGAATGCGAAGGGGTCGTTGAAAATGGCCGTGGCCTCGAAACCCCCACTCGGCCGGTTTCTCGAAGCCAAGGCACGCTCCCACAGGGGAAAACTCTCCATCGACTCGCTCCTCATCATGCCCATTCAACGCATCCCTCGCTACGAGCTACTTGTCAAGGTCAGCGCTAAAGGTCAAAGGTCACACCACTATCTAACTAATATAATTCCCTCCTTCCAGGAACTCCTCAAACACACGGACCCCACCCACGACGACCACTCCCGTCTAATCCTCGTCCTCGAAAAGATTAAAAAGTTTGCCGTCCACATCGACTGTGCCTCCGTGGACTCCAGTGACAACCGCGACCTGGAAATTGAAGGGTGGACTTCCGGTCTTGGCCATCTCGTCTCCGTGACCTTGGTCACCCTTCTCACGCCCAGCAACGTTCGCAAAGAGAGGGCCCTCTTCCTCTTCGCCGACTCCATTCTACTCGCTTCCATCAAGCGGAAATCATCCACCATGAGAAAAACGTCGTCCAACCAATTCTTCCAGAGTCAAGGGTCCTCCTCTCAAGGAGGTCAAGGGTCAATCATATCCGGCCCTGGAGGATCCTTGGACGGCTGCAAGTTCAAACTCTTACTAAAACTCGGACTATTGGATGTTCAACAGAGGACGAATTCTGACCAGGGGGGCAACAGTGACGAGTTCCATCACCACCACCACCACCACTTTCAGGACATCGAGGACATGAAAACGCTACAGAAAATGATGGATTTGGCCACCCTTCTGAGGTGCCCGCACGCCCCGTTGGATGACCTTTTAACCTCGATGTCAGCTGGGCTGAATAGAAGTTATACCTACAACGGGGATAACAATGGGGGCGATGTGGTCGAACTGGAGGTCAGGGAGGTCAGTGGGGGCAGCGGAGGGGGAGGAAATAGCGGTGACGCGTCCCCCGAAGTCTTGAAGATCATGTTTGGCTCGTGTGAGAGAAAGTCGGCCTGGTTGGAATCCTTTGCCGACACGGTGGCCAAATTTATTCGGTACGGGTTTGGTCGCCTCCCGCATATGAATTTCGTCGGCGCTTTGCCTATTCGCAAGACACGGGCGGGACTGCAACTCTCCTGCGCGGCGCCGGTCTGGCTGTGGCTGCACTCGAGGGAACAACGTGTCGATGTCTGGGTGGCCAATTCGGACGGATATGTGGGACAGATTTGTATCCTAACGTTACATCCGGAACCGGCCATTACGTCGTGTAATGGGGTGTGCAATAGGTACGTAGGTCACGCTTTTTACTTGGGGACACCTTTCCCGTGCCAAATTCTAAATCAGCTAGGTCATTGACATATGTATTTTTCGCCAAAATATGGCTCTGCAAAATTCTGTACAATTCTGAGAATTTTTCTGTACAAACTTTTCCGCAAAGTGTAAACGTGCAAGATATTTTTTTGCGGAATGAATTACATGGAAATTTTATGGGACCAATTTTCATTTTACGTCAGGTCAATTATTTTCATACAGGGTTGACCTTGACGTTGACTTTATTTTTCTTCACAGTCGGATCACCTGCATCCTTGCCGTGCCTCCGTTGGGTTATGATGCCAACACGCCTCCCAATTTCCACGATAGCAGCGAGGACGACGGGGTCGCAGGTTACAGTGGGCGGAGCAGAGGTCGCAGTTCGTCCAGTGAGCATTGGAGCGTATGGTTGGGCACGGAGGATTCCAAGTGAGCCCCCAAAATAATTATTTAGTAAATTGTTATCAGGTCATCCTTGACCGTATATTTTTTTGGCAGTCTCCAAATCTACGACTGTTCTGATAGCGTGCGAGTGAAGAAGAGCAAGCATAAAGTCCCACTCAAAGCTGCGCTCCTTTGCATGGCGTAAGTAAATTAAATTTATAATATTTTGCTAAAAAATTCGCAGTAAAATGAACAAAATTCTGCAGATTTTGCAATAAAATTCCCAAAATTCGTACACATTTTACTACAAATTCACAATAAAATTCCCAAGATTTGTGCACATTTTACTAAAAATTCAGAATAAAATCCACATAATTCATAAGCATTAACTGATTCCTTCCCCCCCCCCCCAGGTATTACGACTCTCGTGTCTTCGTCTCTCTCGGAAACGGCGAAGTCGCCATATACTCCCGTAACGCACGTGAGTTCCCATCAAACAAAAAATAAGTACCCTCCATCTAAATTCCCCTCATAAATATTTCCTCCTTTTCCTTCTAGAAGGCAGAGGCTGGATCGTCGAACCCAATTGGATGACGATCGGTTCCGTGATGAGTCCCGTCACCAAAATGACGACCACCTCGACCTGCCTCTGGTGCGTTACCAGCTCCCAAGTCAAACTCTACTCGAGCAGTGGAGACTGCGGAATGCTCGAGCTCGTCCAAACCCTCCCCATCTCCGGTGTCGTCACTTTGGCCGCCACCGAGGAAATGGTCTGGATCGCAACGGCCTCTTCCGTCATCAGATGCTACTCTACACCCAACTTCGAACTCATCTCGCATGTCGACGTGGGCCCGGAAGTTGCCAAAATTCTGTCCGGTTGTGACGACATAATTCGCCAACATAAATCTGCCTGTCTTCGCGTCACAGCCCTTCTTGTGGCGCCGGATAACACGTTATGGATCGGAACTAGTGCCGGTGTCATACTCACGTTGGCCAGTGGATCATCGTCATCATCGCCCCCCATCAGTCCAGGAGCGGGCGGAGGAGGAGGAGGATCAGGATCACCACGGAGGTGCACCCCACTCCCACACGGACACACCGGACAGGTCAGATTCCTCACGTCCTGTACGTCGCGAGACTCCACGACCGTCGTGATCAGTGGGGGCGACGGCTTTGAAGAGTTCAGACCGCCAGGATATCCCATCCTCTGTTCGACGGGGACAATGTCTGGGGGGACGCTGGTGGGCAGTTCCGGTGGTGGTGGGGGTAATGTGATGAGCAGCACTACCGGAAGTGGAGGATTAAGTAGAGAAGGAAGCTATTCAATGTCTTCGTCTTCAATGTCGTCAGCCTCGTCTTCGTCGACAGCGGGCGGAAGTGGCAGCGGTGGTGGTGGTGGTGGCGGTGGAGTTGGACTCACCTCGTCGAACAGCCTTGATAACAGTACCACCACGACCAGTACCAACACCGCGATCACGCCCACCACTGCAGCAACTACACCAACTGCAGGTGGTAGTAGTGGAGGAGGAAATAGTAGTGGCGCAAATAGTGATACTAAATCTAGCGCCGGGGGCGGAGGTAGCAGCAGCGTGGGCGACCTTTCTGGTCGTGAAGACTCCACGAATCACCTCCTCATTTGGAAAACCCCCTCAAAACCGAGCACCACCACGTCCACGGGGTCCTCCTCAAGCTAAAAACTCCACCATTATTATTTTTTAACTTTTTAATTGCACTTTAAAGAAAAAAGAAGTCGTCATCGTCGTCGTCACTCAGTCGTCAAACGTAGCGTTGCGTTGATGTATTTATTGGCAGTTTTAAATAAAAAAAATGGACATTTTTACTCATGGGCCAAGCGTTATGTAAACATATATGCATTTACTAAATTTATGTTACTAAATAATATCTCTGCTATATAAGAGACATGTGCTAAATATGTGCTACAGAAAACTGGTTGGTTGTGATGGAGAAGCCTCTTTAAAAATTTATCGTAGATTATCTATTTACTCTTAAAAAATATAAACACAAACTTTAACTTACAATGGAACCTTTTTTCAAGCTACACCGGGATTGACTAACGAATTATATCAAAAAATCAAGCCAAAAATTAGGAATCACATGGCGCTTATCGTTCCGTTGAATGGCCCCTTTGAAGAAAATTATTAGGGGTCAAAGTTCGCACGAGCGCCTTGGTTTTCGCCCCGTGGAGGAAAAAGCAAGGGAAAATTTGCTCAAAAATTGAACTTAACCGCCAATATTTTTCTTCAAAGGGGCCATTCAACGGAAAGAGAAGTGTCACGTGACTCCTAATTTTTGGCTTGATTTTTTGACATAACTCGCTAGTCGATCCCGGTGTAGCTTGAAAAAAGGTTCCATTGTTAGCCGTAAATAAAGAAAACTCGTTAATTAGGTAAATACGCAGCCTAAAATTGTTGGCGAGGAAAATTGTGTGGGAATAAAAATATATTTATTACATATTTACTCTCCAGAAGGATAATTAACAGAGGGCGGATATGCATTTATTGGCAACTTTTTCATTTGATAAAGACCGATGGTCAAACTTTTTGGGTGTGTTCCCTAATTCGCATAGATAACAAATATTTCTACATAGCTTTTGCACATAGGTTTTCATATATAAATATTTCCGCTATTTTGTCAAAAATACGGAAATCTTTTACATATTTTGTCAAAAATATGTCAAAGTCATATTTTGTAAATATGTCAACGAAACGAATTTGGTTAAAGAAATTCAAAAAAAGAAATACAAAAAATTCAGAGCGCATTTTCTTCAAAAAATACAAATTTTGCGAACACTTTTGTTTTTATGGATTTTTTCATACATATTTCAGCGATTCATCCTAAATACATCGCCGCCCTATGATAATAACGAAAATTGTTAATTGGACGGTGTTAGGTCAGATTTTCCGCACAACAATTTTGCCAATGCGTTTAATCCAGTCGGGCTGGATTTATTTACATATTTGCATTTTTCCTCCAGTCACGATTTATTTACATGTCATTCTTTTTTATTCCTTCTCTCTCCTTTATTATTGTTTGGATGGTAAATATTTGCATAATACCGGACAGCAAGTAGGTGACATGACATGATAATAATGGTTTGTGGCGAAGGTCGTCCACTTATTGAGCTTGGATTGCGTGATTTTCGTTTCCACATTTTTTCTCGTGTGAGTGACCAGACGACCTACATACTTTCTTCGTTTTATGACCAGAGGGCGGATATGTATTTACGAAAAATCGCTCAAATACGGGTTTAATATTTATGAAAAAACGCCAAAATATTTACAAAACCTGTACAAGGAGAACTATGAAACTAAAAATTGTAATTCTACATTAAATACTCTGGATTTTTTGTGGTCGAATTTCTTTGAGCAAAAAAATGCGGCTCACATCGTTGAAATGTCTACAAAATGCATACGCTTTTTTGACAAAGTATGTAAAAGATTTCGGCATTTTTGAAATAATAGCGAAAATATTTATATATATGAAAACCTAGAAATTTAAATTAAGGAACACAAAATATGCCCGTCTGTCGTCATTAAATGAAAAAGTTGAAAATAAATACATATCCGTCCTCTGTTCATGACTATATGCACGCTCACCGAGCAAAATACGACCTCACTTTACGTTCAACTCATCTCCGTGGCTGAATTATTTACATATTTGCGCAGAATTAAATATTTTCGTGTAAGTAAAATGTCCCAGGAGATTCCGCACTGGATCCCGGTCGTGGACTTGTCCCCGATTCGGGGCGAGTATGGCGATATCACGAAGGAAGCCTACGCCAAGGTGGTCACTCAACTGGGCGACGCCATGAGCGGGATCGGCTTCTGTTACTTGGTCAACCATGGGATCGAGACGGCCAAAGTGGACCACGTGTACGACGTGTCCCGAAAATTCTTCGCTAAACCCATCCAATACAAGAGGAAGTATTTGAAGGTCAATCCTCCCGAAAATTTCCATGGGTATACGGAACCTGGAGCGGAATTGTAAGTCGTCAGGGGGCATATTTTGTAGTGGGGGGGGGGAGTAAATGGAATTTAAACAAAGAATTTAATTTTGTAGGCTGAACGAGGCTGAAAAGAATTCCACCGAATTACGGGAAGTTTGGGATGTAAGTAGGGAGGAAGGAAGGAAGGAGTTTTTTTGCAAGGATTTTATTGCGCATTTGTGGCAATTTTTTTGCAACATGTTTATTTTTAGGTTTATTAATAATTTTCATACCATTTTTTGTTTAATATGACTTGACACATTTTTGAACATTTATCTGCCATATTCTTTCAGTTTATTTTCCCAGATTTTTTTTAGAAATTTTAATTTTAGAACTGAATATTTTTTTTGCAAATATAATTCATATCTAAATTATGCATTCGTATAAAAATTATGCATTTATTTTTTCTAAATTTTCACTTTTATTTTTATACTTGATTTTTATGGCTAAATAATTTTTAATAGAATTTTTATCAAAATGCACATACATAAGTATTTTATTTTGATTTTTCTTATCAATTTTCTAAACATTTTTAGACTCACTTGTGCCTAATTTTTGAACTACACATTTTGCGAAAATGTACTTACTTTCCAAATAATTTTATGGCTAAATATCTTTTTCCCCGATATCTAGATTTTTTATCAAAATTATTCATATCCAATTTTTCGAAATATTTTATTTTTTATTTTTCCTAGCAACTTTAAACTTCTTTTTACTAAAATAATATACCTATTTTTTCCACCATTATTTTGCAATAATTTATTTTCAATGTTTTTTTTCAAAATTTTATGCCTAAATAATTAAATTTTCTATATGCACATAGATGTGGGGTTGGTGGGGGCCGAATAAGTCGTGGGAAGAGGCGTGTCCTGACCCCGTCGAGTCGCCCGGATTCACGGAAGCGTTCGAAGCCCTTCGCCCCGAGATGGACAACGTGTCCAAAAAACTCTTCAAACTCCTCGCCCTCTACTTGCAACTGGATGACGAGGACTTTTTCATCAAACGTCACCGCAACCTGGGCGACCTCTCGATCCCGTGTCAGACGCAGATGAGGTCAATGTTCTACGACGTCGTCTCCCCGGATGCCAAACTCCCTCCGGGTGCCATCCGTTGCGGTGAACATTCCGACTGGGGTAGCATCACGCTCCTCTTCCAGGACAGTGTTGGTGGGCTCGAGGTATGCAAATTCATAATTTTACAGTAATTTATATATTACGCGAATTCGTATTTAGATTCATCTTATGAAAAATGTGTTACCAATTTTTTGCAGTTTTGCAGAATTATTTTGCAATAATTTTTATACATTTACATAATACGCAAATTGGTGTTTACATTGACTAATTTATGACAAAATGAGTGACAAATTTTGAAAGTGATGCATAATTATTTTGCAATAATTTGCATGCATTTATTACGCGAATTGGTTTCTTATGAAAAAGTGAGTCTTCAATTTTTTCAGTGATGGAGAATTTATTTGTGTGTATCTCTCGCCTTTAAACTCACCCCGTACAAATTTCAAAACTTTGTTCTCTCAATTTCCATATCAAGAAGAAATGCAATTGCGAAAATATTTGGGTATTCCATTTTTTTCGCATAGATATTTCACATGTTGTCATAATAATTTGCCAAATTCAGACTGACTTTGGTCTCATGAAACATGAAAATATTTTGTTGTTGCAAAATTCCCATATGCATGAGATGGACCATGTTTTTGCGGTTTGTAAGGTCGTCTAGACTGTCACCACTTTTATTGCGGTCACCTCACCTCGACCTCAAAATAGAGGAAAGCGTCATTAACTTTTTACGATGACCAAACAAAAGTTACACGGACAACATCGTATTTTTTGTCACGATGATGACTGTCACACATGCAAATGAACTCATTATTACAATACGCTACTTACCGACATGAATTAGCGAGCAGTTCGTTATCCAATCCACGCCGTAATCCAATCAGAGATGCAAATTATTAAGGAGTGAAACGAGGTTAAATCCCTTTATGGAAATGCTTGTCTGTCTGTCCGTCCGTCCTCCTGTATCCACAATAACTTCCTACATGCGGTGTTCACCAACGTATTTCTAATCTTTAGGGAAGAGTTAAGTTTAAAGGTGGGTATTATAGGTCATGAGGTCACGGCGCCACAGTGATGAGGTCAAAGGTCGAAAATCTCGAAATTTAGGTTTAAACGTAGTTTGGAGTGGGGATTTCAGAAATTTCGACAACATACTATGACCTTGCGACCCTGTGGACGCGGTCAAAGGTCGAAAAATTGAGTCTTGTAGCGTAGGGTGTCTATCGAAAGGTATATTCAAACTACGGGGGTGGCATGTCGAAATTAGGGCGAAATGAGACGATGTGGGTGTGCCACAAGGACAATTCCGTATCGTTTCACCTCCTTGCAGCATTTCGTTTGCAACCGTTTTTTAGGTCTTCAAATTAATAATTCTTCACCCCGGAATCAATCTCCTCCACAATTAAGCTCTTTTTGAATTTAAATGAGAACTTACTGCGATGCGAGGAAGGTGGTCTGTCCCCTCGCCTCGCGTAAAAAATGCTCCCCACGCGGAACTCATCACTTTTACGATCCAGCAAGAACAAAAATACACGCGGGTGACGTACATCTGTGCCTTTCCCAGCAAAGGATGACATTTTTCCACGCTTTTAGCGATACCTATGCACAATGTGGGCGAGCAAATGTCATTGGTGGGGGGACTACTATTTTTAGTCTTCGTTGTTTTACAATGTACAGAATCCACGCAAAAATTCGTGCGTCTGAAAATTAAGTTTATTTGTTTGTAAATACAAATGGGAACTAGATACTTTTCATTTTTTGCAATATTTATGTAGAATATGGGCCAGAACTTCTTTTTTGCACAAGTGGTGGGCCTACTATTTTTAGTGTTTGATTTCATATTCATTATTCGTTTATTTTTTTCAATGTACAAAATATACGCAAAAAATTGCCCGTTTGAAAATTGTGTCTATTTGTAAATACAAATACTCTTTCATGTTTCCATACAATATGTGTGGCAGAAAATGTGAGATTTGTGCACTTTTCAGGTTCAGAACGTGTTGGGTGAGTGGGTCCAGGCGACCCCCATTCCGGATTCGATCATCCTTAATTCCGGTCAATTGATGGAACTCTGGACTGGAGGACGTCTTCATGCCGCTGTAAATATTACCACATTTTGATGAAATTGTGATGAAATTTATGTCGTTTTTGTATGGAAGTGATGATTGAAGTTACAAATTTTTATCAACAATTTCATGAAAACGGGGTTGAAAAAATTATTTATTTAAATATTAAATCCTTACTTTAGACATTTTCAATTCTTAAAATTATCTCTGTTACATATTCTCCAAAAATTACGTCAAATTCATCATCACTTTTTTACCTAAAAAATCTGCCCGTCCTAAAATTCCCCTAAAAAAATGCGTAATTAACTTATCAACTAATTCTAATCAGGCTCTAACACATCCAATTTTTCTGAAATTTTAATTTTTACATACAAAAAAATCTAATTATTTTATCCTCTCCCTTTTTCACTAGCTCCACCGCGTCAAAATTCCCGAGAGCGCGGACTCCTCTGGCAAACTGTTCCAACAGCCGAGACAAAGTTTTATCTATTTCGTGAACCCGGACGGCCCCGAGCGCGTGTCCCCCGTCCTCCCGATCCGCGAGGGGAAAGAGGAACTCGCCACGAAACCCACCCTCGTCGCCTTCGACCACTACAAAGCACGCATCGTCGAAGCCACCATGCTCGGATATTGATCAAATCTCCTACATTTTTTCATCCTTGACACACTCGTGACCTTTGACACGATCCCTTCCACTGTAATTTGCATAAAGCCAAACTATCACCCGGTCGAATAAAAAACATTGATTAAAAGGATTGATCCCGAGAAACGATTCAGCCAAATGAGTTAATTTACTTGCACACACAAACACACAATTCTCCGACTCCTCGTTAAATATTTAGCACTAATCCCAAGCCTACTGGATATTATGGTGTGCAAAAAATTGCCACGTGCATAAAAAAGCAGGTGCCATTTTGGGTAATGAGATGCCTTCCAATGATTTTATACAGAGTTCCGATTACAATTTGATGATGAGGTTCGCGAAATAAACCGTTACAAACGAAAGTAAAGAAGTGGCGTGAGAGGGTTGTTTGGCATTTTTAATGTTTCTACATATTGACCTCGTTTACACGGACATCTGATATTTTTGAGATTAGACCTCGTTCTTGCGAACATGGGTTGGTCGGAAGTCAAAAATATGGAGGACATTGAATTCGTGGTGAAATTTCCTTTAAAATGACACATCGTACGAAAATAAAGGTCAAATTTGGCCTATGGCCTCACGCCAGGTTCACCGTGACCTTGACCCTCCCTCATTCTGAACTCGACCGAGAACTAAAAATTAGAAGTACACTAGCGAAAACTGAGTTTGACTATGTTATGGCGTTCTTGAGATATCCTGCCCACAAGCCAACGGACAGACAGACCGACAAAACAATGACAATACCTCCGCGTCATTTCACACTTCTCTCCTCTCGTTAATAAAGTGCATTATTCACCCTGATGACCACACCTGAGTAGCTTTACTGCACGGTCACGTAAAATTTAACCAATAATTCATCCCTACCACGACGAATAAGTCATGTCCACAATCCACCATAAATAGTCGCACCCGTAGCCACTCACGTCCACAAGAATCATGCAGGCCGCCGGTTCCCTCAAAAAAAAGCGTCGTCGCAACCTCGCCAAAGTCACGGGGCTCGGAGCCCTTGGCTACCAAGAGTCCAACGACGCCTTCGACATCCAACAACTTTACTCTGGCGGCGGCGGGGGTGGCGCCATCTGGGAAGACCAAGCCGACGGCTCTTCCACCCGCAGCGGGTCCATCACCCGACCCACCCGGGCGCCATATCCCCCCACCGGAAACGATCCCGAGTGGGGCGCCACCCGACAAAGTTCAGCGACCGGGTCGACCTCCTCCTACATCCCGTCGGGCTACCCGCCTCCCGCAGAACCCGGCTCCAGCAAAGCGGAACGTCCCTGTCTCCTCAGTAAAAATGCGGTCTCCCGACTAAAACAGGTCTGCATCGTGGGCGCCCTCGTGTGGGCGTTGCCATGGCGATATGACGCCAAGACGAGGCGTGTAGAACGATGGAGTCCGGGCTTGCACAGGGTGTGGTCCGCTATCTGGTGGGCGTTCGCGGTACAGAACACGGTCCTGCTCGGCTACCAGTTTTACTCGTTCTTCGCCCGCGTCCAGTTGGACAACGGGAGCTACCGGCCGGTCTTCATGAACTCGTTCTGCGTCTTCTGGTACCTCTACTCCATCTCGCTCAATACCACGATGCACATGTACAGGGACAAGTTCCGCATCTATATTAATACCTTGCTCGCCTTCAATGAGAAGAATGTCGGTGAGTTAATTACGGTTTTATACACAATTAAAAAAAAGTCTAGCAGAAATTTCCGAACTAGGTTTGGGGGAAGCTTTGGGGAAAGTCTCTTTGGGAAAGGCATTTGAAAGTCTCCGGGAACATTAGAAAATTCCCGAGAGCTTGGATGAAAATAATTTTTCAGTAGGGGAAAGTTTGAAAATTTTGCTATGAAACATGCACATGGCTATAAAATACTTGTATTTGTACATCACTTGTCTCGCCTAAGTTTCGCTTTTTCGGGGCGTGTTAAATGTCCCGTTTCTTGCGGGTTTGCGAAATTTCTTTCACTGCAAAGGAAGCCATGCAAGAACTGGGAGGTACAAGAAACTGCAAGAAAGTGCAAGAAATATGCGCCATCCAGCCACGCGCCGGGTGTGCGAAGTTTCTTGTTCTTTGCATTTCATGCAAGTCGAAATAGCTGCAAGAAATTACTTTCTTGCCATTATTTCTTATTAGTATTGCAAGTGGTTACTTCCACGCGAAGCACTGTTTGACGTAACCCTTTTTTAACTCTTAATGCAATAACGAGCCGGCACGCGCTCGTTGAAAATTCCTTGGGCCTCTTTAATTTTCAAATTAATGTAGTCACTGGTTAACCTTGAGTCTTTCTTAAAACTGACACGCGTTCATATACATATGTAGCACATGACATATTTCGTTAAAAATCGTCGTTTCTTCACTCGCTCATTCTCAACTTTTACTGTATTTGCATTTCATGATGCGATAATTCGATCCGAAGCTCTTCATGAATTTTTGCGAATCCTCTCATTTCGCCAAATTTACTGAATGAGTTGCTTGACTAAATGAGACATTGTCGTGACGAGTACATAGATCCAAGTTTCTCGTTATTTTAATCCTGCTAAAAAAATTGGAAACCTTTTCTATCAATAAAATTCGATATTCAATTCATGATAATTCGATCCAAAGTTTTTCATGAATTTATCCTCTCATTTTGCAAATTTGTTGAATGAGTTGCCTCTCTAAATAAACAGAGGGAAGATATGAATTTACGAAAAATTATTAAAATAGGTATGTATTTAACCCTTAGCCATGGGAGACCGTTTAAAAACGTTTTAGAGTTTTTGCTTTAATTCGTGATACCGTGAAAAGCCGTTCACAAAAAAAGTCTCTGCCTTCGGGGTCAACGGCTTTTCACGTTTTCACGTTTCCATGTCAGGTGCGGGACAACGGATATTTCCGTGGTAAAAATTATTTAGCTGATTTGGGAAACGGCAAAACACGTTGGCACCAAAAACTAAAATTATTAGGGCCTTGGTTCAGAATCGTCCGTGGTAACACTTGGTCACTTTCATATAACTTCGCCCCTGCTTTGCATAGGATGGGTTGCATGTAAAATTTTTGACTCTAGTTTACTAACTGCTAAAACTATTCAAGAAATTTATAACGAAAAGTTATTGAGGCCAAACCACACCCGTCTCGTGTAATCTTAGGACATGTTCATTTTTGCTAAATTTCAACGTTGATGAAAAACTAGTCGGAGAAATTAGTTTTATTTAATTCGTGGCTGCATTTAAAAATTAAAATATACCAATTGAATGCATATAGTTAGTCAGAACTCTTGATCCAAGTTAAAATAAACCCTTATGCAGATCCACAAACATGTGTGATTTCAAATCACTGATTTGGGACCAATAGCTCTATTTTACAAATGTCTTGAGTAGTTTTGCATAGTCATAATTTTGCACCATAGTCATAGTTGATAATTCTGTAGAGAATTCTCTAATTATCATGCAACTTTTCTTTACAATGTTACTTAAATTTTAATGCTCATCATTGTAAATATCATATTTATTGACGTTGTCCCGCAGCTAATTTTCTCCTAACGTGTTTTGCCGTTCTCCCGAATTGAGCATTTATAAAATCGTCCCGACTCTAAGCAACTCATATAATAAAAGCTTCCAGATTTAGAACTTGTCAGAGTTTAATTATTTTTTGGCTTCCCGAATGATCACAATTGTGGTCATCGAAACGCCCCGCAGCAACGCCAAACATAGTTACCGTTTCTCCTCGGCTAAGGGTTAATATTTATGAAAAAACTCCATAATATTTACGAAATATTTACGAAAAAACATAAAAGTAAAAATTTTTGCAAAATTTGTATTTCTGAATACGAATTCACCCACCTCTGAGTTTCACCCTATAAAAGTTCGAGTCGTTCCCTCTTTTCAGAACGGTACGTCTTGACCCTGGACGAATTGGGGGACCATGGCCAAGCCATTTTGAAGTGCGCCGTACCCGCAAACTTTATCCAGTTGTGCTTATCCTGTACCTTGTACCTTTTCATGCCCTACCAACCCTGGTACCTGACCAGCTACATTTACTCCCCCGATAACCCAAAGTGGTGGCTTATCCCGGGCGCTCTCCAGGTACATACCGATACCTATTGTTATCCACTTCCGGTATGCTAATTCATCCCAATTCATTTTCCCTTGTAAAAATAGGAGTGGGTCATGGCCGGTCAGACGGTCGCTGTTTTCTGCCTTCTCGCCTGGATCACCGTCTCCCATGGAAACTGTGTCGAATTCTGGTTAATGGAGGCCCAGTAAGGCAAAAACAATAATGCCCACTAATGAGTAATGGAGGTCTCCCAGAGGGTGCTCTCAGATTTTGAGCAAATTAGTCTCAATCGATAACAAGTTTGATTAGTATGAAATTTGCGACCTCCCAATATGCATCTGAAGAGGAGAAAACGCGCAGTAAATTTGAAAAGTGCAAAAAATTTTCAAGTTACAGCACTCTTTCTCCACTTTATATGCAAATATATCTGCCAAACCTGCGCATATTGGGAGATCGTTTGTTTCGCAAATTTCAGATCAATTAACTTTGTGATCGATTGATACAAATTTGCTCAAAACCAAAGATCCTGGGAGTTTTCAATTATAAGGCACATCCTAATTTGCATATAAATTTATTTTCCACAGTCAAGGAAACGACACGGGCTACACGATCGACTCTCTGCGCGAGTCACATACGGCGATCGAGCTATACCGCTCACTTCAAGTGCTCACCGGACTCCTGAATGAGTGCATCTCCCCACTCGCCTTTCCCATCATGAAGGTCAGCTTTTTATTCAGAATTTTAAAATAAATTCCCAGAGGAGAGAAATAATTTAAGATGTGCTGATTTTAACGACTTTGATAATGAGTTATCGAGTCCTACGGTAATAAAGGCTGGTCAAATCTATATCCTGATTATTTATACCCCTCCCTAATTATTTGTATCTCCCCCCTTTAGATGATCAACTGGACTGCCGTCGTTTCCTGTGGATACGTTCTTATCCGTTCCATGAATCAAAAGTTCATCGATGAGTTTCCCGCCATCATGACGTACCCGTTCGGCGTGATAGTGTGCGGCTCCTGTGGCTACGGCATGCTCCAAATCTCCGCGGAAATGTTTGACATTGCGACTTCATTTTTGAACTCGTGGTCACAAACGAGACATAAAAATTTGAGAAGGATCATGACCTCGTGCTCAATTCTGCGCATTTATGTCGGCAGATTCTACTTTGTCACCATTTCCACGACGATTACTTACTTTCAAAAAACATTTGACTACATTATCGATTGTATTGTGACGTTCCCGTAGAGAAAATGGGAGGTCAGAGGTCAAACGTAGTAACCGTTGACATATATTGACCTTTGACACAACTAGTACATGATGGACGATGAGTTTATAATTTTTGGGAAAAAATAAACGTAACTTGCTCACTAAATAATTCAGATAATAATGCAGAATTTAGTAATCCAATTAGATTTGACCTTTACAAATTTGACCTTTGACCTGATACGGGTCGCGACACGTTGTTACTGACGTTTGACAAATGTGTACATGACAGATTACGACATGACAAAAACTGCATTTTTATTAGTTTGCCTACCAAATAAGCAAGTTATTTAGGTAGCTCTCTTACAACAATTTGTAATCGGATACACGAGTGACCTGCCCTTTGACCTGATGGAGGTCATGACACGTTGTAACCTTTGACACATATTTATAACTACATATATCACAGATTACGATGGGCGTGAAAAAAACTGCATTTTTGTTCAATTGTTCCCTAAATAATCCAGATATTTTGTCCTTGGAAGAATAAATTGACCTTTGACCTGACGTTTTATAAATGGCTTAATTTTCATGACCTTTGACATACTTGACCTCAGTCACTGCTTACATAACGGCTTAACTTGCATGACTCAAAAAATTGTCCACTTCTTTTCTTCAGGGAGAAAGCGTATTTATTTTACTTTTAATCACATCTTATTCTTACAATTTTTATTTAAATAGTACATAAATTATGCAAATGAGCTGCCATTTGTGCATAACCTTTGATCCACGTGGTCCCCCGTTAAACTGTAATTAATTAGTAGTACCACTAATAACAATAAATCATGAAAAAGAAATATTTTCCCGTGAAATTCTTCTTCTTCCTTAATTACTAGTCATCCCAAAGAGTGACGCGACCCTCGGTGGAAACGTGTTTCTTACTAGCAGACCTTGACCTTTGACCTGGTCGTGGTGGTGGAGAACCTGGAGATCAAATGGACGAGATTAAAATCATGACCAGCTTTTTATAACGAGGATTTCGGATCATTGAAATAAATCATATTGTTAGAAAATCTAGCTTTCTTTTCATCTTTTATCATGTATATATTTTCAGATTGCGAAATGGCACGCTAGAATTTTTTGCATGAAATCAACCGTGTCTCAAGTTTGCGAATTAATACCCTGTAGACTTTTCGCATAAAAACCAATTTAAAAATGTGGAGCACTTGAAAATAAAATCAACTCTGATCAAAATTTATTGAAAATCAAAGTTTCCCAAACCCCAATTTTATTAATCTTTTTTCCACATGTCTTACCACTTTGCAAAATAATGCGAAATATCCTTTCAAAAATTACTCAACGTCAAAAAAATCCCCCAAATTTCAAATTTTATAAAGATTTTTTACCCGTGTTATAACTTTACAAAATAATGTGAAATACCACCCTGAAAATTTTCTTGAACAAAAACCAATCCAAAAATGTATATTATTCCAAGAATAAAATGAATTCCCCTCTCAAAACCTTATTAAACTACAAAAAAACCCCCCAAACCCCCAATTTCAATTAAACCCCGCCATTTCCATACCGGAAGCGCCATCCTCATCACAGTCGAACCGCACCATCGTTGTGGACGTCACGTTGGACGGTTTTCTGTCCTGGCCGCCCCACTCGTCATCATCATCGTCGTCATCCTCCTCCTCGTGACCACCTCGTCGACACGCCTTCCGATCACCAAAGTCCAACTTGTCCAAAACCAAGTCTTCACACCACACGTCGGACTTTTCCCCCTCCACCGAGAAACACGGGTTGGATCCGTTCGATCTTCCCCCACCACCACAACCGGAAGTTCCACCCCCTCCCCCACCACCCACGTTGTTTCGGTCTCCGCCAGCCTCATACCGGACGCTGGTGTTCGTATCCCGCTACAACAATAAAATTATGACGCGCACATATTAGTCAAGGTCAAGAAGATAACGGCAAAAATTTTGCCAGACTTGCAAATATTTGCTCACCTGGCGGTGTTGTACGTTTACATTACACAATAAAATTCATGGCCAAAAAACCAGCTTTAATTTACACATTTGGTTCTACCTACCCGACAATATGTAAATGCGCGGCTTTACACAATAAAATTTATGGCCAAAAAAAGAAAAAAAAATGTTCGGGAAATATTAGTTTACATACTAATTTCTGCCTAAAAACTTGTACATAAATATGTACAATGGCTGCCCGTGCGTGTAACATGTCGACGAAAAAGACCAACTTTTTCCACCAACAATAGGCCACCTCCATACCGAATGGAAGCCTCATTCTTTACAGGTATTAAGCAAATATTAAAGCAAATAAGGAACCACAGGGGTAAAAATGTCAATAAGTGTCGGTTACATATGTACTTATCTCTCGGGTATAAAAACCCGCTCGGACGCCACTACCAGCATCATCATCATCCCCACTACAAAAACTACCAAAAATATACCGATAAGCCACCGTCGAGATGAATACCCTCATCAAAATCTTTGCCCTTCTCGCCCTCTGCATGGCGATTGCCACCGTGTACGCTGCAAACGAGGCGCAGGACGCTGCTGCTGTTGAGGTAAGACTTTTATATATTTCCGGAGGAAAAATTTGAACGGCATTTTCCTGCAATTTGGCCCAATTTTCTGCATAAACTTTGCCTAACTTGTATACATTTTAATGAATTTTCTCCGGAAATTTGACCCAATTTTCTCCCCAAAAACTTTATGCAGGGCTAATTTTTGTGCAGAAAACAATACGGAACATATCTTTCTGCAGAATAAAACCTTGCAAAATTTTATCCAGGATTATGCAAATAAAAATAGACAGACTACAATATGCATTTTCGCTTTTGTCAAATCCTGCACAACTCAACGTACTGATTTCTACTCAGAAGTTCTAAAAAAATATATACATCTTGTCCACTAATTAACTCTCTCACTCTCTATTTTTGCAGAAAGAAGCCAAGTGGCGTAAGTGAAGAAGAATCCAATAAAATAACCATTTCGCTTGACTTTTATGTATCACGAGACAAAAAAAATGTTCCTAAACTTATCCCTCCAAAAAGTTTGGGACTCGTTTCTAGAAAACTTTTCTTTTGTTCTCGAGGGGTTCTCCATATGCTGAATTTCCCACATGAGAAAAAAATGGGAATTTTAAATATGGAGAGCCCCTCAAATTTAATGGAATGATGATTCAATTTTAATAATTTTATCTTTTTTCATGTCGTCAGTCTTCCCCGGATTTTGGATCCCACTCCCAAGCTTGAACCCACCAGCAGGAAATGGGTCCGGTTAATACAAATATGCATCAGGGGCATAGTTTGGTACAATTTGCACATCAAAATTATGGTAGAGGGACAGACAATTTGAAATAAATCGTACAAAAAGTATAGTAGCAGCATTTACATGTGTTCCAACCACGTGGTCATGCATATTCCATCCCTACATTTCTTGAGGGGTCAACACGAGTCTCAAGTTTCCCATTACGTACAAGGTCACATTAGACCGTTCCATCAATTATTCTCACCTTTCCCATCGCATCTTTCTCTTGCCACATCAATCGGCCTACTCACAACGCAAGGCTCGCAATAACTAGCAAAATTTGCCAAAATTTTATAAAAAAATTGGCTGCAAAACGATGCAATTTTTGTTCACAAATTTACCGAGACTGAGAATCTTGGATAAATTTAATCTACCGAAATGGTCTGTATGCTCAGAGAGCTATTTCGCAAAATTAATCCTCCCCATAGAAATTACAGGTAATTCGTGAAAGCTTAATCAAAATAGGGTATTACGACTATACGTGCTTATATCTTTGTGTGCAAAATCATGTTTTGCAAATCCCCTCATTTTTGGAGCTTTGCAAATTTCATAAATAAGACGTCGTCGAGTGAGTCCGCCGAATAATAAATATGTAAATTAATTAGTAAATTTTCCGAAAGCTTGTGGCCAATAAATAAATAAGATCATATTCATATGTTCAGAAAGAGTGTGGCTTAATAAATTCATACTACTTTGCTTACCCACGGGTACCCTTCATAGGCGGCGGACCCCCGTCCCGCGAGGTACTCTTGGTACTGCGACACCACGCAGAGGAAAGCGTACACCTGCACAAAAAAACTTGCAAATTACCAGTTTTTTACCCAACCGCATCACCACCACTACCCAATTTTCATTTGCGTCTTATTTATTATGACCAGAGGGTGGATACATATTTACGAAAAATCGCTGAAATGTGCTTCGTATTTGTGAAAAAAATCCAGAAAACTTCGTCCCAAATCGTTGAAATATTTACAAAATATATGTATTTTTTAAAAAATATGTAAAAGATTTCTATATTTCTAAAATAATAAAAGAAATATGTATACACCTGAAAGCCTAGAAATATGCTACAATATATAAAAATATTTTGAAATGTGTTTTTAAAATTTTCGAAAAAAGCCGAAATATTTATGAAATATGTAAGCAAAAAATATAAAAACAAGAATATTCACAAAATTTGTATTCTTGAATATAGTACTTTAAATATTTGGTGGTCCAATTTCTTTGAGCAAAAAATATCGCTCAAATTTTCAAATCGTTGAAATGCTTGCAAAATATATGCGCATTTTTGAAAAAAAATATATAAAATATTTCCGTATTTTCGAAATAATAGCGGAAATATTTACATGTCTGCAAATCTAGAAATATGTATTTAACAATACGTAAAAATATTTTGAAATTTTTGTGATCTAGAAAAGCTACACGTACAAAATTTGACCATCGGTCGTCATCAAATAAAAAAGTTGATCATAAATACATATCCGCCCTCTGATCATTACATAAGGAACCGTGCACATACATATTCCACGTTACAAATGCATATTTACTACAAATTCCTTCCCCGAAACAAGTGCATTTTTTTCAGCCCAAGTAAAATACCAGCGTAGCATCTGCATCAGCAACTCCCGGTCCCACACGAAATTCAAGGTTACGCTAGTCACCCATGCACGGGCACGAACGAACGAGTATGCAAATACACACATATTTCTAACAGCCGGTTTTCAGCAAATAGTCGGAATTCTTCCTCTCTCCAACAAACACCTCAACCTTTTTTGCACACATTATTATTTGCACATTATTCGCACATTTCGCCAAAGTCAAGGTAAGCCAAACTATTGTTTATTTATTTGTTTAGTCATTACGTTAATAAAGTTGAGGAGAAAGTCGAGTGTGATTGTGAGACTGGTGACGATACCCCACCAAGCGTCTTGCGAGGGGGCATGTTCCATGTACAGGATCTATAAATAGATACATAAATTCATGTAAATTGGCCCCACTTTGCATATTATGTAACTCTCTCTCTCTCTCACGATTATGTTAATCACGGTGAAAGTGTCGATCAAAGTGTGGAGTGGGACGAGGATGAGCCACGGGACGAGGTAGCCGCGCTTATCCTGAGAGAATAATTAAAATTCAGACAGAAAATGGGTGAAAGTATGCCCGAGTAAAAATTTGGGCTGATTTTCTGCACAAATTTGGTACTATTTTCTCCACAAATCTTATGTAGGATTAGTAGTATATAAAGGGTGTTAATAAAGTCCGATCCCATGAATTTTTTGGAGCGCGGTTGTTACAAATTCAGCTGGAACTTTTGAACCAGTGAAGTTATTTATTTCAAATTTTTACCATGGGAGGAACAACTAAACGTGTAAGTCATGAGCATCTTAGAGTTAAGATACAAACATTGCATCAGCAGGGGTTTAAACCTGCAGAAATTGTGCAAAAATTGGGCTGCAGCCGCAGAACTGTTTGTAAATGGAAGAACAAAAATTTTGTCCACGACAAAAAGCGACCCGGGCGACCCAGAAAGGTGTCACCTACCACAAAGAGAATGATTAAAAACAGACTTTACAAGAAAACCGGTAGTTCATTACGTAATTGTGCAAGGGAGTTAAATGACTCAAAACGCTATAAAGAGAAGAAGAACCAAATTAACTATGTGACCGTGCAAAAATTTGTGAAATCTACGAGGTGGGGTCACACAGCTTACAAACTAACCAAAAAACCTCTCATGTCACAAAAAAATATCGATGACCGTCTAAAATTTGGAGAACTCCTTCAGAAAAGTGGCCATTTGAGTGAAAAAAGACTTGGTGAAGAATTGCGCAGTCACATCCTTTGGACTGACGAATCTATTATTGAGCTATATCCAAAATTGAACCAACAAAATGTTCGTTACAGGACAGAAAACAAATCGGATGTACCATCAAGAGCAGTCCCAAAATTCGGGCTTAAAGTTATGGTAGCGGGTGGATTTTGTGCACGTGGCGTGACTCCTCTACATATCATACCAAAAGGCCAAACAGTCAATGCAAAGTATTATATGGAAAAAATATTACCTATCTATTTCGATAGCATGGGGAACAAGGAAATATTTCCGAATGAAAGAAAAATAGTTTTCATGCAGGATGGTGCTACAGCCCATACAGCAAAAGCGAGTTTGAGTCTCATCAAGACGCAAGTTTCAACGGTCTGGAGCAAGGGGGTGTGGCCCGGAAACAGCCCAGATTTGAATCCCCTGGAGAACCTGTGGTCCATACTTAAGGAAAATGTATACAAAGAACCACAACCCCGGACGAGGGAAGAGCTAGTAAAAAAAGTTCAAGATGTATGGAATTCGATTCCCACAGACACATTGGAAAAATTAGCACAGAGCCTTAAACAAAGAGTTGAGGGCATGGTTAAAGTAAATGGTAACAAGACCAAATACTAAGGTAAATATGTCGAACATTTTTTGTAAGTATCACGGGTAGTTTTTTTTATACTAGCCTTCACTTTTTTATAGGAAAAATGGGATCGGACTTTATTAACACCCTTTAGTATTTATTGATATATGGCCAGCAGCCCTCATCAACTTTAAATATTACAGAGTTAGATATGTAAATGTGAATGTAATCGTAAATGTAATGTAGAGAGTAGTCAGAGGAATAGTGGGAAAACCTAGCTAGGATGGAGAGCTAGGAAAACCACTATCACCTCTGGGAATGTGGCCCAGAGGTCCATTCGGCTCTGACTACAGAGACACCCAGGCAGGACAAATGAGTGATAGAGATCATAGGTAGATCTCACGGGAGAGTGGTGATATCCAAATGAGGACGGCACCGTGAAGGCGGAAGCAAGACGAATGAAGGTTGTTGGGCGGGGCGTCCACGGACCACAAAATACCCTAGCGCCCTTTCGGGCTCGGGCTAAGTGTCCCCATATGGCCTCAGCCGGGGCCGATCGACACTACCCACTTGCCCCTTCATCCCTTACAGCACAACCGGGTCATGGGACCCCCGTAGCCCCGACTACGCTGCCCACCGCCATGCACGACCCCGCTCCCACTCTTCCACCAACCACCCCCCATGGTCACCACCCCGACATATCAAACAATGACCTACCTGGGGGAGTCCTCCTGGCGTAGATCCTCCCGTGCACTGAGTCCGGCGAGATCCGTCTTCGCCTGATGGCTCAGCTTGTCGTTGCTGGGACGGGTGTGGCAGGGGGTGTTACCAGGCACGCAGGTGGGGGGTGTGAGTGGACGAGGCTCACATGGCGAAATGGCCTTGGGACACACTTTTTATGTAGGATTAAACTCAACTCAACTTAAACTCAACTTAAACTTTTGGGCTGAAATTATGCAGAATACAATACGCATCTAGCTTTTGTTGATTACTGCAGAATTCGATACAGTGATTTTTACTCGGGTAGATGAAAAAAAGAGTTAGCTTTTCTTACTACTTGTAGTCCTTTGAGGAGCACGATGGATGCCACAAAGCCGGCAATCTCGCAGAGAAAGTCCACACAAATGAGGACCATGTCGGCTGCGAAAAAAGGACCACGTATAAAAGAACATACCCGGGTATTTAACTTCCCAGTGGCCGCGGAAGCGTGAGAGGACAATGTCCCCACGATTGTTCGATGTCCCCATCATCTGCCCATGTTATGCAAACCCCTCCCTCCCCTATCCCACAATGTTAATGTCCCCAGACGTCCGCGGCCACTGAAATATTCTCCACTTAATTGTGTTATTTTCTCCTTCTTACTCGTGGGAATGGGTGCATCTGGTGGTGGAAGCGTTGAGGCAGTGGCATTCGTGGGGGTGGTGGTTTTCGTGGAATTTGACGAGGAAAAGAACTGTCGAGAGACCACCTCGTTGTAAGAAACGTTCCCAGTCAGCAAGGCGAAAAGGAGGAAGTAAACCTGCCAAAAAGGAGAAAGTTAAAAAGAGAGTACGAAAATATCTTCAAAGAAACACGGGTTGACATTTGATCGAAATATTGCCATTACTCATGACAAGTTGCAATAATTTTGCAATAATAACATAATAGTATTATTGCAAAATTTTCAAGTGACAATTTTGCAATAATAATGTTCATCTGGCAAAATGTTCATTTAACAATTATTATTGCAAAATTGTCACAAGACAATTCTTATTTTTTCACTGTAAAATTTTCAGGTGAAAATTTTACACTAATAATTTTCAGATGCATGTTTTGCAATAATAATTAACAAGATTTATTCTATAAGATAACAGGAAAAAATGGAAACTTTCAAGACAACTTTTATTTAGCGGCAGAAGTCATTTAATAAAATTTTTCCAAATTTGAATATTTAAAAATCGAGGAATTTGCAAAATATGAGTTATACACAAGGCTATAAAAATAATTGTGTTGTCCTATTTTGATTCCGTGGTCATGAATTATCTGTAATTTCGATTGATCCCCATGAAGAGGATGAGTTTACGAGATAATTTTGTGAAATGAAAGCATGCTCAGTAGCTGATGAGTAAATTTGGAAAAATCTCAAGGATTATGCGTAATCTCGTAAATTTCACAAAAACTTGACAAGTCATAATATTGTTATGAGAAGTTTGTCGTGAATACGCCCATTGTGACTCACTCTTTTTTCCCTACAAATTATTGCCTCTCGTTTCAACGCATTGTTACCACAGCTCGAATATATATCTACGAGAAGCAACTGAAGTGTGTATTCAATATTTATGATAGAAACACCAAAATATGCACAATAATATTTACAAATTTGAATTTTTGTATTTTATGCTCGGAATTTTTTGCGATCAAATTTCTTTCAGCAAAAAAATTTCGTCTTACATATTTACAATATTTACAATATATTTGAAAAATTCTCTGAAAGTTTCCGTATTTCTCAAATAATAACGGAAATAGTTATGTAAAACTATTTTGAAATTTTTGACGATCTATTCAAGTTAGGGAACACACCCAAGAAGTTTGTCGTCATCAAATGAAAAGCTTGAAAATAGATGCATAGCCGGACTCTGAGTATTACATACTTTGCCAAATAATAATACTTCCCATTTTTCACCATTACCAATTACAAGCCAGCCCTTTTTACGTCTATATTTATGGTAATGCTACATTATTTAGTGTGTAGCCTCGGTGTTTAGCTTCTTGCTGGTTTGCTACATTTCTTGCACTGCAAAGCAAGAAATGCAAGAAATGTGAGGTTCAAGAAACTGCAAGAAATATGCGCCATCCAAAGTTTCTTGCGCCTTGTATTTCTTGCAGGTCAAAATATTTAGCTTAAAAAACACTTAATTCTTGCAAGTGGTTGCTTTCCCCCGAAACCCTGCTCAGCTTGACTGCCTTTCCCAGAGGGGATTACACAAGAGATGTTATCCCATCAAAAAACAGGCAAAACAAAAACTTTCTTCTTCTTTGAGCCTTCTATCTCCTCCACCTATCCGCCTCCTGACACGGAACAAGGCACGCTCCAAAATTGTGGGCTCCACTTCCGCTACCAATAAAATACTTTGAACATTAAGAGAGAGGATAGATCGCATCATCAGCGAAATAAAGAGCAGGGCGGGCACATACACAGATACGTTGCTTCACCGACGAGGAGCCGTCAATCACGCCACGCCGCATTCCAGACTCAGGATGGAGGTCTCCCAGCGTGTGCGATCCAATTTTGAGCAAACTAGGGTCAATCGATCACAAATTGAATTAGCATAAAATTTGCTAAAGATGTGATCTCCTAATTCGCAAAATTGGCGAGATATTTGCATCCAAAGAGGAGAAAACGCGCCTTAAAGTCGACAAATTTTACACTTTCCAATTTTACCACGCGTTTTCTCCTCTTCGGATGCAAATATCTCCGCCAAATTTGCGCATAGGAAATCGTTTCAGTTGCAAATTTTATGCTAATTAAATTCGGACACTAGTTTGCCAAAAATCGGATCGAATACGCTGGGAGACCTCCCTTGTCAGACTGACTTTCTCCTCCACCACGAAACATCACTTTCTCCACCAGACGAGCCGGACCGCTATCGCCCTGTGTACACATATCTATGCAGATTATGCTCCCGTCCCCCATGGGGAGTCTTTAGGCTAAAGTTTTCCACAAAACTGAAAGCCACATAGTTTTCTCCTTAAACTTTCCAACCACGAAATAATGGCCGAAAAATCCTTCTTCGGTTCCATCATCATCGTCCCATTTAAAACTTTCAAGTGTCGCATGCATGCATATGTCAAATTCCAAGTTATAAGGAAACTTAAGAAATCTTGGAAATCTGCACCCACCAATTAAAACCTTCAAGTGTTCCATATATCAAACTCCACGTTATATTCGACTTCCTTAAAGAAATCTTGGAAATTTGTACCTAAAAACCACCAAATTCACGACATATCGTCCCATTTAAAACCTCAAATATTGCACATGTCAAATGCCATCTTTAAAGGAAGGAAATCTTGAAAATCTGCACCCACCAACCGCCAAACTTACGACATGCCCAATAAATATGCCACCAACCACCATCGACTCTCCGGGGCATGAAAATACCTACTGTTTGCCCATACTTTCTCCACTCATTTCAGCTTATCTCACCCTATTTTCTTATTTTTTAAAACCAATATCATCTCTCGAAAAAAATCCTCCCGTTTAAAACCTTCAAATGTCCCATCCCAAGGTACACATAATCGACTTCTTTACCTTAGAAACCTTTGAAATCTGCACCCACAAAACTCATACACGACGACATCCCCAATAGGCAAATATGCCACCAAAACGCCACCAGCCAGACCACCAACATCTCTCCAGGACACGAGGATGCCTCGTATCTGCCCATACTTTCTCCTCCACTCGACTCATCGCATCTCATCTCGTCCCATTTTCCTCTTTCTTAACCAACATCATCTCGAGACGAATCATCTCCGTTTAAGACCTTCAAGTGTTGCACATATCAAATTCCAAATTCGACCCCTTTAAAGGCAAGAAATCTTGAAAATCTGTACCTACCAACAGCCAAAATCACGACATATCGTCCCGTATGTCAAATTCCAAGGTATAATCGACTTCTTTAAAGAAATCTGTACCCACCAAAGTCATCCACGACATTCCCAATAGATAAATATGCCACCCAAAGGCTACCCACCAACCAGACCACCACCACCATCTCTCCCGGACACGAGGATGCCTGCCTGCCCATTCTTTCTCCTCTCCACTCGACTCATTTCATCTCATCTCATCCCATTTTTTAACCAACCGACATCATTTCTCCGACCGAAAAGGGATTCAGCAAAAGTGAAAGCATTCGAATTCCAGCCAACCACTAGACCAAATCAGTTCCAAATTACGCTCGCTTTCTCCTCCTCGTCGTCTCCCTCTTCCACTTGAAACCAGCGCATCAGAATCTCCGCAATCCAATTACACAACAACAACAACACAAAGAAGAACAAGAACAAGACGACGCTTTCGGTTTGCCTGCACAAATTCAATAAGCAAAAAAAGAGGAAAAAATTGGGGCTAAACTGTGCCGAAGGATGTGACTACGACTACTTTTACTTATCTCGCAGCCTCGAAAAGGAGGTGGATTGGATTTGCATGGGGGAAAGTAATTAAGGAAGTGGGATTCGACATGAGGGCGAAATTTATCACTTCGCACTCCCTCCCGTGACGAGGTGGTCGTCAGAGTCGTGGGCGAAAAGGCGAGCGAGGATGCAAATTCGGAGAGGAAACAAACACTCCAAAATTCAATTAGTACTTTGTCTCCGTATGGAGGCTAAAATCCAATCGAATCCTAGACCACCCAATCTTCTCCTATCTCCCGTGAACAGGGACACTCTAAAAAAGTATGGGGAATCTTGTCAGGAAGGTGCTTATAACTCGGCAGGTTCTAATTTGCACTCAATATAGGAATTAGTTTGTCGAATTTTGTGTTAATCTCAAAAGCTGGATGGTATCATGCATAATTGTTTTTGTATAATCGTCTTGAAAGTTTCTTAGATTTTCTCCGAACTGTGTCTGCATAATTATGCGCGTAGTTTTCTGCATACGTCCTGCTGCATAAAATTTTTATGCAGGAACTTATGTAAGCTGTTCAAATTTTTACTAGGATCCGAGTAGAAATTATGGTGTCAAATTCTGCAATCGACAAAAGCTGAACTCTGCATACATTTTTTAACAGATCCGAGTAGAATCACTGTGCCAAGTTCTGCAGTAATCAACAAATGACAAAAGCTGGATCATGCATACATTTTTTAACGTTATCCTCCAGAAAATCTTTATCCATTTTATTCTGTAGAACCTAATTCTTCCTATCTTGTTTTCTGCACAAATCGCTGTCTCTGCATACAGATTTTTGTAACAAAATCCGGCCAAATTTTCAAGTTTTTACTCGGGATCCCATTTGTCACAAAAAAACTACTCCCTTAAGTTATTTAGTGTTCCACATATTTACACCCGAAACCATGTCCCATTCGATACCCAAAAGTTTCTCCGCCACGCAGGGAGTGATTAGTGAGAACAGAGTCAACTTTTCCCAGAGGAAAAAAACTGTTGCTTTATCCCACTTTCCACGAGTGACACTTTGATGGGACCGTGTCGGACTTGTTGAGTAAAAGAAAGCAGCAGCAGCAGCCAATTCTGTCTCCTTTCCGACCCACACTTTCTCTCAGGAGGGAATCCGACCGAGCCACTTTTTGTCTCTTTTTGTCCCGAGGAGAAAGTCCGGGTCGCAAAATTATGACTGGTTTACCTGAGCAGCGTCCCACAACCATCTTCCCCTCCTCCTCCTCCTCTTCCTTTTACATGATTTATGTCAACTTCACCTTCACCACAACTTATTTTCAACTTTTGGTCAAAGAGAAAGCAGTGAATCAGCGAGCCAGGTGGGTTCGTTCTGACGTCTTCTTCTTCTCCACGTGAATATAGAATTATTATACCCACAAAAAAACTCGTCTCTCGAGCTATACGCGTCAGTGTTTCGTTTTAGGTTTCCGGAAATTTATTGTGATTCCCACTTTTTCCCACTGCAAAGTCCACTTTTTCCCTCCGAAAATCCCACTTTAAACAATGATTCGTTTCTTTCTTTTGCGGGTTTGCCACATTTTTTTCACTGTAAAGCAAGACCCGAACGAAATGCAAAGTGCAAGAAAATGCACGAAATATGCGCCATCTAACCACGCGCCCTATGAGCTATTTATAGCCGCGAGGCGGACATAATTTCTTGCGCGTTTCATGCAGGTCACAAAATTTAGCTGCAAACGACCACTTTCTTGCCCTAATTTCTAGCAAGTGGTTGCTCCTTGGAGGTGAAACCCTGGTGGCTCCCTTCCTCCAGCTGCCACTCAATTATGGCTTCAAAAGCTGAAAACTTTGCCCCACGAGAGCAGTGAGGCGAGGCAGGCAGGGCGAGGAGAAAGTTGCCTACTTTCTCTTCTCCCGGGGTCACTCAATTTATTGACTTGACCACCACGAGAGACGAAATCATCTCGTCATGACGTAATTATGACACGAATTTATCTCGAGGGGGTCTCTCCATAATTGCGAAAATACACATCATTAATCCTGCCACTTAATGGATCCATGGCGCTTGTGTGCAGTTAGTAGTACTGGCGCCGTTACACCAATTAGGCAGCCGGGATAAATGCGAGGGGCATGTGGTGCGAGAGGAGGCGTGCAGAAGGGATGGCATCCGTATGTTTTCATACCCGTGGGAAAATCCACGTGTGGAAATTTTCGGCACGTTTTTAGAGCGAGAGAAGTTTTCTAAAGAGAATTATAAGAAGTTTTGCGTGTCTCTTGTACAGAAAAATGTGTTCTGCAACATCTTCCAAAATGGGGTACATATTTCGCACAAAATATTTCTACATAACTCATTCCACACAAACATACGAATTTATTTCCACTCTGAAGAAAAAATTGGGCAGAAAAATTTTTAAGCCAAGAGTTTTGCATTTAAAAAGTTTTGCATTTAAACAGTTTTGCATATCTCGTGAGCAGAGAAATGCGTCAATTTTCTGCACAATCATCCAGTTCTCGACAGAAAATGTCAACATAGTTCATTCCATGCAAAAATATCTTGCACATTTACACCGACAATTTTAAGCAGAACGATTTAAGGATTTTTTTGCATGTCTCTTCTGCAGAAGAATGCGCAAATTTTCTGTATAGTCATCCAGAACTATTTTTTGCATAATTCTTATTCCACACAAAAATATTCCGCACATTTATTTACACTCTAAGGAAAAGTTTATGAAAAATTGTATAGAATTTGGCAGAAAAATGACCTAATTCTCTTTTCATAAACAAATATTTGTAAGATATTTTTAAAGACTTTTGAATGTCTCTTCTGCCGAAAAATATGTCAATTTTCAAAATTAACCCATATTATTCTAAAGAACCTCCCCAGAATGGGCATGCATATTTCGGCACAAAAGTTTCTACAAATTTAGTCTCAAACTACAAGTTTAGACTCAAATTTAGGCAGAGAAAGTGTGCAAAAAGTTTGCCGAAAAATGTGTCAATTCTCTGTTCATTCTGCCCCCTAATTGATGACACCTCGCCTGCACCACCCCCGAGAAGACGGAGACTCTCCGCTACTAATGGACCTCTCGGGATGGGTCTCACTCATATCCGTGTCTCCTCCTCGTCACTGATAATAATTCGCACGCTGGGGGAGGGGGCGCAGTCGGAGAAAGTGTTGGAGAGAGTGGTGTGTGTGAAGAGGTGTCAAATTAAATGGGTCGAGACAAGGATGCCTCATTTCCTCTGTAAACACATGCAGCGCTGGTAATTCCACGGCTGCAACGGGCAGATGTTGCTACATATTTCTCCCAAAAGAAGTTATGTCATTACGTACTCAACATGCATACGGAGCCATCCTTCATCACCCCAAATTCCAATCCTCTCTCTCCATTTCCTGGATTTATTCGGCTTCATTTCCTCTCCTACGACGAGATTCAATCCGCACGGAGCTATGCATGCATGCGAAATACGGCCTGTTACCCAGCAGAGAGAATTGGGTAAAAGTAGCAAGGTTAGTTCTTGGTCAGTTATACCCGAGTGAAAATTTGAACGGCTTTTTACTGCAGAAGTTTGACCCTGTTTTCTTTATGCAAAAAAAAGATTTTTGCAGAAAACTATGCAAATTATGACTATGAACATAACCAGAAATATGCACAAACAGTTATGCAGAATAAAACCGATAGAAATTTTGTGCAGGATTATGTACCAAAAATTATGCAAAATACAATATACATCTTGGCTTTTAGTGATTCCTGCAGAATTTTACACACCGATTTTTACCCGGGCTTTGCTTTTGGCACTATACTATTTCCACACGAGGCTGCATACATACGCATCCCAAATATGTTACCACCCTGGTAAAAACTTTCTCTCTAGCCACGGTCAGTCCGTTAACGGTTTTTTTGCCACTACATTACTCACCCCACAGTCTTTTCACTGGGCAATCATGCTAATCCGTTTTCTCCCTCGGAAATCTGAAAGTGTGGTGATTTCGTTGTCAAAGTGAAAGTTGGGTGGCAAGTGGAGGCTGGCTATTTAAATTCTGGTCAAATCTTTCTCCTCCTCATGCTGTCGAGAAAGTGTGAAACTGATTTCCCTCCGGGCTTTCGGAGCGCAGATTAGAAATGCAAATGCGATTAATTCCTCATTTGCTGGATATTTAAGGGACACCCAAATTCGCGTTTGTTTTGGGAGAGGAGCGAGGTGCAAGTGGGGAGCGAGTGAAAGTAGCGGCTGGGCTGTCAAAATGTCACAATTTCTCAGAATGTCATCCTCCTCCTCGTGTACGTACAACTTTATCCAAATCCAGACGAGGTAATTTATCCATCCGGCCTCATTTTCCGCCCGTCACTCACAAACAAGAACACCTCTGATCCCGCTCCGCCGACACGGATGGGTGGGTCTCTCAGAAGAAGAAGCAGGGAGGAGGACCGTGCATGACGGACGCGGGGATGAGGTCGGAGGACGTGACCTCTCGTGCAGTGCAAAAAATCCATGATATTTCCACCCTCCGTTTTACTTGGTCGCATAATTACGCTATGATTTCGATATCTAGCGGTGAGCTAGTAAAGTTTTTGGGTTTAAACCCTGTAGGAAAATCAACCAGTGGAAAATCGAATTTTGCTGTCCCGACGAAATTGTGCATCTTTTTCTCTAGATTTTTCTGCAAAAGTTTGTGCAGAAATATGTAAGAAATGTTTTGTGCAGAAATTCTGAGTTATTATGCAGAAATGTTCTCCCCAAACATAAAGTTCTGAGGGAAAATGTGCAGAAAATTGGCACATTACCGATTATACTCCGTTTTACTGGGTGGCAAAATAGTGAAACTAATTCAAGGCTTTTACTACATTTTATCGAAAATTGTACGAAATCAGTATCGCACCTAAAAATTTGTAGTCATTTACTAAAGTACCAGAATTTCTGAAACTCGTACCAAACAAAGGGAACCCTGAACCCCTCAAACCCAATAAAAACTCCGGGTAAAACCTAGTTCTTTTTCCCTAACCCACATCCATCCCGCACCACCCTTTCCCCGTCCATCCACCTGTACATTACATATTATACGTGTCTCGGTCTCGTGGCCATGTAGTAAATAATCCATCGCACGGACGCCATCCCACCCACCCACCCACTCGGATGGCAAGACCAATTTTCTCCAAAGAAGATGGAATAATTTTTCAACTTTCCCCATCTCCCCGTCTCCAGCGGATGGATACAATGACGACGATGATGAAAAGATGATCACAAATGCCATAAATCTCCGAGAGGGCATTCTCCTGATGAATTTTTCCCACTTTCTCCGCACCCAGTGAAAGTAAACAAGAGACCAACAACAACAATGCCGAGAGAAGAGCACAAGAAAAAGTACACACGCCCATTCCAACAAACCGTCCAAAAAAGTGGAGAAATCGTGTGTTTTCACTTTGCCAAATTTATTTTTTTGGGAAAAAAATCATCCCAAAAAGTGGAATTATTTCAGAAATATTGTCAAACTCTGTCCCGTTCAAAAGTTATGCAAGGTCAAAATAGTTTCCCAAATCCTACTTCATTTTTTATATAAAACTTTCACCTCTAATAACTTTTTAACTGGGAGACCTATACAAATTTGTGTAGCTCTCTCTCTTTCCATTAATCGGTTGACATGCCAACCGATAAATGGTCCCGTTTGTCACAGAAACTGTCCTACTGAATTATTTAGCATTGTCTTTTTATGTACACCGAAATTATGCATAAATCTGCATATTTTTCTGACTGTGCATGGTATATAAAGTGAAAATTTCTGCACAAAAGCCCTTCCAACTTTTACTCGTGGAGTTAATTCTATTTCTGAAATGCTTCCGATTTCTGGGTGCATAGATTTTGAACAAAAAAATAACGACGTAATATTTCGCGTGTTAGCAAATTCCATCTTAAAATTCCACCTTTTTTCCCACTGTGCACGAATCTCTCTCATATTCATCTCTCTCTCTCCCCTCATATTTCTCTCTCATCACGAAGAAGACCCAGAAATGAAATGAGACTCACAAATCAACCCGTCTCATGCAAATTGCTTTCTCCAAAACACGTTATCTATCTACTTTCCACTTACCAGCGTGTAACACCCCGCTCCGAAAGATCCTTGGCGAACGGAATACTTGCAACAACACGTGGTCAGCACGGCCATGATGATAAGCTCTCTAAGCTAAATCCAACAAAAAAAATACAAAATCCTTCTTCTCCACTCACTCTAAACTGAGACGACCACGAACCAAGTCTGCCGTGAGACTGGGCCGGGTAACCGTCTCCTACCCGGGTTTTATTCTCTCTATTTTCTCCTCTCTCTCTCTATCAAACCCCGTCTCAACTTGTCAGACCCAACAAATGCGTACATGAGTACATATGTGGAACGAGTGGTCGCAACAATGAGGACGAGATGGACACAAAAATCGAAACACATTTACTCCGATGACACTTCCGGTTGTCGTCCTGTTTGCCTTGTTGTTCAAATTCGGGAGGAGGTGGGCGTTTCGTTGTAAAATCATATCGTAGCGGATCAGATAATTCCTATTTTTGAGGGGGGAGAATCCAACCGGAAAAAATTGCGAGTCTCGACGAGTACTTATAATGGCAGGGTTTCGTCTTTTTTTGCGGGTTTGCGAAATCCATTTCTTGCAGTGGAAAACAAGCAATGCGAGGTGCAAGAAACTGCAAGAAAAGTGTAAAAAATATTCGCCATATGAACTATTTCGTTGTTTTTAGCACGTTGCATTTCTCCCAGGTCAAAATATTAACCTGCTAAAAAGCCCACTTTATTTCCCTTATTTCTTGCAAGTGGCTCCATTTCCACCCGGCACACTGCTAATAACTTATTACCTACAAGAGAACAGGGAGCCCATTATTTAGTCCGCATCGTCATCATCATCATCGTCTTGATTAGAAGGAGAGGAAAAAGAAGGATGAAAAGAACGAGCCAGAGTCAATTCGAGGGGTCCTGCGGGAATGGTGTCGCTCATTTTTGGCGCCACCAATGGTGTACCATGTCCCGTGACCTTGACAGGCGACATATCTTGTGCTGAACCCCCGTTTGTGATGAAATTGTGGTGAAAAGAGCAATTCACGGGGCCGTGCGGATAAGGTGTTTTGACATCGCGGGGTTTAGCGTGACCTTCATTGGGAGCATGACCTCTACCAAAGCGACGACATGTCTCGTGCCGAGCCCCCGATTGTAGTGAAATTGTGGTGAAAGGAGGAGGAGGAATGCTTCACAAAGCCACGCGCGCTGCGGGTGGCAATAAAGTGGAATATCCATCATTCTTTCCGATGGATACTTATTTATTGCGTATTTACATACATACGGGTACGGACATGGGACGCCACTCTAAATAATAATAAATATTGCGGGCATCCACCCACCACCAGATTTGAGGGGAAATAAGCCTCCATTTTTTACGTGCTTATTGCAAAACCCTGTTCATAACCGGATGAGTGGGTTCATTCGTGACACGTGCTTCGGTTAAAGGAAAAATGTGCTTAAATATAGAAGAGCAATTTTCGAGTGGAATAAGCTACAAGTTGTTCTTAACTAATGAAGTAGTGACAATGGAGGCCCCCCAATGTATGCTATCAGACTTTAAGCAAATTAGTGTCAATCCATCACAAATTTAATTAGTATGAAATTTGCAAAGGATCAATTCGCAGGTTTGGCGGAGATGTTTGCATCCGAAGAGGAGAAAGCGTGTCTTAAAGTCGGAAAATTTTACACTTTCCAACACGCGTTTTCTTCTATTTGGATGCAAATCTCCCAAAACGTATGCCCATCGGAAGATCGTGCTGTTCGCAAATTTTATACTAATTAAATTTGTGAATTAAATTATCACTAATTTGCCCAAAATCGGATCGCATGCGCTGAGAGACCTCCATTGAAATTTACTACTAATTAATTATCAACTACTTTCTTCTGCCCCTATCACGCAGAGTCATGCAGAGATTGATTTGCCATATTATTTAGAGTACAAAGCCAGGTGGATGGATGGATGGCTGGCAGAGTTGAATATGGGCAGCAAAATTGGTGACAAAAATGTGCCGTGATGGTCCAATTTTGATCAAAATTGGGGACCAAATGACCCCATAAATCCCGTACAAAAACACATAACGCGTCTTCTCTCCACACCAAAAAATGCGAAATGGGTGACAAAAAGTGATAATAAAGCGAGCCCAAAGAATGGGGCAAATCCGAGCAGGGAGAAGAGAGGTGACCAAAAGAGTGAGGTGATGGCTTTAAATAATGGAATTATAAATATTCTCCATCTCGTTTGTTTGCTTATTATGCTCCTCTGTCCTCTTTTACTACTCTCCACTTTGACTCCCTTCCAGGGGATGTGCGTAACGTATGGGGGAATTCTTTGATTTTTTTTGCTACCGCGAAATTCCGGTAGGATTACGGATTACAGATTAATCAGCTAATCTCTAATTTAAATGCATACCTGGGATTGGGAAATTTACCAGGTGGATTGGGTTTATAAAATTAGTATGTAGCGGATTGCGGATTACAGTGATCTGACTATTTTTCGGATTACAATAAATTATGCATTCCATTAACATCGAAAAATCAGATTAATTAAAATTTTAATCTACACACATTTTAATTATTCTGTCGGTGAAAAGATGTTGTCCAGCAAAATTGTGAAAACAAATTTAGCCGTAAAATCCCTGCAGATAGATTCAAATTTTAATTAACCTGCTTTTTGGAAATTTCAAACTTGCATTTTATACAAAAACGACAATAAAAATAAAACCCTGGTGCAGACTTTATTTTCGGTTTTTAATAAAAAATAATTTTCCTTCGGCAGTAAAATGCTGTCCAAAAAATCCAGAAATTTTGGATTACGAGTTGGCTCATGGACTACGGACTATCCGATATTTTACGGGTTGGGATTACTGGATTACGGCTTACTCCATGATATTCGCACATATTTTTACACACAACCTGCCTAAAAATATGTGCCTACGTCCCCAATGAACATCCCCTCAGCGAACAGGACACAAACAAATTGTGTCACACAATAGTTCTCGGTAGTGACGACGGCGATAAGAATAACAATAATGACAAGCATATCGTATTATATTCTCCTCTCAAGACTGGACACAGTTTCACCCATGCCTTCCACCGCTCTTCGTTTGCTTAACGTGATAAGGATGCCGGACCATGATGGCATTTCCTTATCTCCGACTTGAGCACACATTACATACCAGGCCCCAAACCAACCAAAATAGCATAACAAACACCATTATTATTGTTATTATTAAACCAGCAGCAGCAGCAGCAATAGTCATTTATACGTAAAAACCACCTGCTCAAGAATACGACCCGCATTAAATTTAGATATTAATCATGCCCTCTGACACAGCGGTACATACATAAATTTTCATAATTTTGGAAACAGTGTTTCGTTTTTTGCTACATACATTTCGGGTTTGCTACATTGCGTGTACTGAAAAACAAGCAGTGCAAGAAATTGGAGGTGCACGAAACTGCAAGAAAGTGCAAGAAATGCAAGATGCAAGAAACATGCGTCCTATGAACTTTTGCAGCGGGGCGTAATTTCTCACACCTTGCATTTCTTGCAGGTTAAAATACCCGTAAAAACCCACTTTCTACCCCTAATTTCTTACAAGTAGTTACTTACTTTCACTCGAAACACTGTCACAATCCTTGCAAAATCCTTGCAAAAATCAGTGCTAATCCATACCTTCTATCCCTTCCAGATGCCGGGCGAGTTAAAAGACGCCGTTCCCGTGGTTCCCCTCCACGAGTGGAAGGGTGCCGCCGGGCGCTTATCTAAACTGGGTGGGTCGACTGGACGACCGGATTTTGTGGTGCGTGTCCCCGGAAGGGTGAACCTGATTGGGGAGCATGTGGACTACTGTGGATACGGCGTCTTCCCCATGGCCATCGAGCAGGACGTGTTTGTCGCCGTCAGACTGGTGCAGTCGGGACGTGGCAGTGGTCCGCCTCGTCTCATCCTGACCAACACGGCCACCGACCAGTATCCGCCCTTCAGTTGTGCCATCAAGGACGTCAGGTGGGCTGAGAGCTAAACTTTCCCTTTGTGCATTTCTCCTCCGAATGTGTAGTCAAGTGGTGGTCGAGCGGGTTAAATGGCTGAGAGAGAGAGTCGAGGTACTCAAAAAGTGAAACCTTACCTGCTCAAGTATTTGTCAAGGACTTGTTGCCATGGTTACACGGGTGGTGGTGACTGCCTTTTATACGAACCGATTTTAATATGATAGCAAGCATTCATTGTCAAATTAGTCTGCGTATTTAAATTTTTGTCGGGCACGGTTTTACTTTGGTTTCCAGAAAGTTGTAAAGAATGGACTGTGCTGTTCATATTTGTCATCTGGTTACCCAATTATAAGCAGGATTTGTATGCAAATTCATTTTTTGTTAAGTGAAGGTGAAAGGTGGCTGCTTTCTCTGTCGTTGTCATGGTAACCTGCTCTGACCGCATGATTTGTATGAAAATTCGTGTTATTTAAAGCTCTACAACGTATGTATAATATGTCGTGGTTGCTTTCTCTTCTCTGTATCGTTTGGTTGTCATGTTGACCTCTGACCTCATGTAATATGCAAATTCGTTATTTCAAGTTTTACAAAGGATGTATGACTGCTCTCTCTTTCGTTGTCATGATGAACTGTGACCTCATCGTTTTGCAGGGAGCACCTCTCCCTCCGCCGCCCCGGTGAGTCTCCTCCTTGGCACCTTTACTACCTTTGCGGGGTCCTCGGTGTTTTGGAGAGTCTCGGTTTGGAGGGGAAATTAGAGGGTGACACGTCCTTCGAGGTCGTCGTTGATGGCAGAGTTCCACCCCGCGCGGGCCTCTCCTCCTCCTCCGCGCTCGTCTGTGCAGCCGCGCTCACCACGCTCGTCGCCAACAAGGGCGACATGACGCGATCGGACCTCGCCTCCCTTTGCGCCCAGAGTGAGAGACATATCGGAACTCAGGGTGGTGGGATGGATCAGGCCATCGCATTCCTTGCCACGGCAGGTAAACAGCACGTCTAATTTCCATATTCGTGAACATGGATGATATTTGCCAAAATTCACAGCAAACATAATTTGCATATTTATGTAACTTCCAGGGACGGCACAGAGGATCGAGTTTCTTCCCACGCTGTCCGGCGAGAAGGTGACGCTTCCTCCGAGCGCTGTCTTCGTCATAGCCAACAGTCTCGTCGAAGCCAACAAGGCCGCGTCAGACGGCTACAATGTCAGGGTGAGGTTATAGGTCATAGGTCACACTTTTAGCCTATATGAAAATTCACACATTTTTGTGCAGAATAAATACTCTCGAATTCTGCAATTTTTTTTCCCACGCTTTTCCGCAGACATAAATGTGCACAAATCAATTATGCCGAATTGTGTGCCACATTTTTCTTCCTAAACTTTTATATGTAAATGTGCAGGATATTTTTCTGCGGAGTTTCATGCGTTTTTTCATCTAAAGCTATTTAAAATTCTATCAAAAATGGACGAATTTTCGATTTTGATACATTCTTTCATGCAGAATTCTTTAAAAACTTTAAAGAAATGTCGACCAATTAGTCAACTTTCATGCATTTTATTCCCCGCGTAGGTGGCCGAGTGTCGCCTGGCCACGTGGGTGCTGGCCAAAGCCCTTGGTGTGGCGGACTTTCTCTCCCTGGAGAAAGTTAAAGAGCTCCAAGTCGCGCTGGGAGTATCGCTGGACGAGATGGTGGCTCTGGTGGAGAAACATGTGCGAAAAGAGGCCTACTCAGCAGCCGAGGTGAGTGAGTTCCTGAGTGGTCCTTTTGATGTTGGAAAATGGCTCAGATATCAAATGCATGTCTAGATCGCGGCCGTGCTCTGCCTCCCAGTCGCCACTCTGGCAGAGAAACCACTCATGAATAGGATTCCCTTGGAGAACTTGAAGCTCAAGTTGTACCACAGGATTACCCACGTGCTCAAAGGTGAGAGGCAAATTCATGCATAATCCTCAAATCTACAAAGTGTCACCAATTTCGTGTACGACACTTGACCAAAATCCTAAAATTTGTTTAATGTATGGTTCAAGACTTGTAACATATCCCGTGGAAAAATTTGAAAGGCTTTCATGCAGAAATTGTCCCCTATTTTCTGCAACAAGATTTTAGGTAGAATTATGCACATCCCTTTATGCTGAATAAACCCGATATAAATTTTGTACAGGGTTATAAATATACAAAAAAATTAAGCAGAATACAACATGCATCGAGCTCTTGTCCATTACTGCAGAATTCGACACACCGATTTCTACTCGGGATGGCTCAAAAATTTGCAAAATCTGCAAACTTACCTTGATACTACAAAAATACATACATACAAATAGCTCTTGAACTTTCATACCCACCGAAAAAATCTGAAATTTCTTCTCACAAAATCGCCAACTTTATTAATTCCTACTTTTTTCAGAGGCCGCCCGTGTCGCCGAGTTTCATACTGCGTGCTGCTCCCCATCCGTGGATCTCGCCCGTTTGGGAGGACTCATGAATGCGTCGCACACTTCGTTGCGCGACCTGTACGAGTGTTCGCACCCCAGATTGGACGAGCTGGTGGGGTTGGCGCAGGGGATGGCGTACGGCGCGAGGTTGACGGGGGCAGGGTGAGTGAGCAGAATTACTCGATAAATACATTCCCCTGCCATGCATTGATTGAGCGACTCATCCATCTCGATCCGACCCCCGCTTTTCCGGCGGAGAATCATTTATCTTATTTTTTTACCCGCTGGACTGACACGGGAAAAAATATGCGGTGGCAATGTGTGTTTGACCACTCAGTCAAAGTCGCCTCTAAGTACGAGGAGTCATGTAAGTGAGAGAAAGAAAGAGGGAGAAAGTGACTCTGATAAAATAAAGAAAGCAGACAGAACTAGGCGAGGTTCAGGGTTCCTAAAAAAACAAGGGGCACAATTTTTTAAAGTTTTACCCGTATGAAAAGTGGTCCATTTTTCTGCCCAAGAAAGATAGGACAAAAATCCTCCAGAAAATTTTGGCATGATTCATTTCACAGAAAAATATCCTTCTATCCATTTATTTATGTACACTGTGGAAGCGTTTGGGCAGAAAAACTGTCAACTGTGCAAAATTATACAGAGTTTCTGAGATTTTGTAGAAGAATGTGTCGGTTTTCGTACATTTTAAGATAATCGACAGACAGGTGGGGAAAATGTTGTCAAGTGCTTCAATCTCGTTTTGAGCATGTGTCGATAAATTTGTCTGTCAAAGACAAGAGAAAAATTGTACAGATATTGAAGAAAAATGTGTGAAATTTCACCTGGATTTCGTCGATTTTCGTACGTATGACACACAGGTGGGAAAAATAGGGACGGAAATTTTTGCCCAATAATCCAATCTCATTTTGAGCACGTGTCCATAATTGGACGGGTGGGAAGAACCCTAGTTTTTGTGGGGAGAAAGGAGTTTGGGAGTCAAACGTGAGGAGAAGAGAAGGAGTGATTTTCTACAAATGAGCACTTTCTCTCTCTCAGAATCCGAGTCCAACCACTCAATGAAATCAGATCCCGGCTGACTTTCTCTTTGATGATAAACACGCTTTCAGTCATACCAAAATAGCTTCTGGTTTCCTATATGCTCCCTTTTTTGTGGCTATTATAGCACATTTTTCCCCACTATGGGTATCTGTATTGTGGTATTTTGTACCTATTTTGGCTACATTTTTTGCCACCATTTGGCATTTTTGTATCTATTTTGACCACAGTTTTTACCAAGTGGGTATCTGTATTTTGGCATTTTTTACTTATTTTGGCTACATTTTTCCACTATTTTGCTACTTTTATACCTATATTTTGACACATTTTTGCAATTGTGTTGTGTATCTGTATTTTGGCTACATTTTTTTCCCGCTAAATATATTTATTTGGATAAAAGTTTCATTTTTTGTTAATTGTGTACGTCGCAGGTGGGGCGGGTGCATGGTTGCGTTGTGCGACGAGGGTCAGTTGGCCCCATTTCTGGAGGGGTTGAAGAACAAGTACTACTCTTCCGAGGGGGACGAGGGGATTCAAAAACACGTCTTCGTTACACAGCCTGGCGCTGGAGCCTCAATTTTGGAGTGATCAGCTAATAATCAAGCTATTTCTACGATTGTTGAGATGCTAAATTTTTTGGGGGATTACAAACGTTGACAAATTTTTATGGTGCAATTAATTCATCAATTTTTGAATTTTTTCGAAATTGAGAAATATCTTTAAATAAAAAAGTATTTTCTAACAATAATGATTCCATTCTGTTAAGATTTGTAATTATAAATCTGTCAGTATTTTAAATATATTAGGTAATTAATTTTATTCCCATGCATAATTAAACTATGTCATACTAATGTGAAATATGTGAATGTGCAATATTTCTTAATTGTAAATAAATACAAATTCCTAAAAATAGCGTATTAAAATTCTTACATGTTCCTTAAATTTCACAAATTTTTTGGATGATTTTTTGGATGACAAAACGGAGTATAAATCTGCACTTGAAATCAATTTGGGGTTATTCACGTGAGTCAGATAAAAAATCCCATTATTTCGAACCATACCTAATTTTCGTATATTTTTTTCAAAATGAGTTATAGCCATACAAAAAATCGGTATGATTTGAGGTGAGTGCGCCCAGTACAGTATTTTGTTCAGCAGCTTCTTAAAATTTTCATGTATGATGAAGCAATGCACGCAGTCCTTGGTAACTTTGCAAAATTATTTTACAAACTTGTACAAAATAAGAAATCGCCCTTGATCTGAACAAGTTTACAAAAATTTGAGAGCTAATTTTCCTTCGAAATATGAGTAAATGTTCGTAAAATTATTTAAGTTACGGATTTTATAAAGTTACCAAGGACTGCTCGAATTGCGTAGATATCTCAAAATTTACATAATTTTTAATAATTACATAATCACTCATAATATTGCATGCTTTTCCAAGTTTTTTTATGCAAATTTTATGCAAATTTTTTTAAAGAAAATTTAAGCGAACACTTCTTTCCAAAAACGATACCAATTGAGGAATAAATTTGAGCACGTGCTACTTTTAATAAATTATTTCCACATCAAGTTATTTACTATCACAGAAAAATGGTAATATTACAAAAATCTTATTGCGTTTAATCGAGTCCGAAGGGTTTGGAGGCGCGTGTGGTCAAGTAGTAGATTCCTCTGGTGGCGCGGGGGGTGGCCCAGCCCATGGGGACGCGGGACGTACAGTCGCACGTGTTCACGAAATCCTCGTAGCTCGTGCAGACGCACCCGTTGAACGAGTTTCGACGGTGGACGGACTCACCAAAATATTCATGGGCGCGGCTGTGCGAACAGGCTCCTACAAGAAGATATGAAACCACACTCATCAAGATTGTTTATAGAGAAGGAAATTTGCATTATCTTATAAAACCCTCAAAACAGAGTCATTTTAAAGCATTAATTGCGAAATTGAATATGAAAGCTTGTCAAATCAAAAGTCATTTTTTAGAAATTTGTAACTCAAAACTTTGCAGCTTTGAAAATTCATTTTTAATAGTCTGGTATCAATAGAGATTTTTAGGTATTAAATAGTTGTATCAAAGGGAAGCTTTAATTTTTTTTAGAAATTTTCAATAAAAACAATTCCAAATGAACTTACTATTTCTGATGCAAAAATGATGCAAAAAATATACAAATTCGTATCACTCACCGAAATAATCAGTTCCACACCCTGGCTGATTTTTGCCCGTGTTTGGATAGAAGTCGACATCACCACGCGGCTCCGTGAAAGCGAGGCCACCATCCAACAAAGTTCCGGACGCGGTGTGGATCACATTCACGAAAGCAGCGTCACTCGGGTCGATCCTCTTATCGTCCGTTCGCTCCCCAAAGAGCGGCAGTGCAGGGTCAAGGGCTACACATTGAGATAAATGGGATCAGATAAGCCTCCAAAATGTGATAACCCACTACCTTACCATGAATAACCGGAAGTTGACCGGATGTAATGTTGTGGGCGATAAAGTTTGCAACATGGGAGCCAAGACTGTGTCCTGCAAAGACAAAGTCGGATAAGGGCGCGGCGCCGGACGAGACGATAAAGTCGATCAACATCCCAGTCCATTTTCCCACTGGTTCGACACTGTTGGCAGCAAGTTCTGCAAAAAGTAATATGCAATTTTTTAGCAACACGACTAAATAGCTAAATGTTTTACTGTCTATAATTTATGCAAATGAGTCTCCCTCCTGTTTAACCCGTGGCGCAAATGAGGTCCCCGCTTAATTTAGTACAAATATATTGCACTTACCATACCACGGCGCAGCGGCTAGCTTTCCCCAATTGATAAAGATCAGGTTCATCGTTTCCGGAGCTTGTTCGAAATCTAACAACACAAAATTTTAGCTTGTGAGAAATCTGAGAACACAAACTTCGTTCTTAATCTAAAACCCAAAAATCTAGATGATAAGCAATTTACATACTTTCTCTCAGCCCAGTCCCAAATCCACCGAGATGATCGGAACTAAATCCATGGGCAAGAATGACCACGGGCGCACCACGGACGAGCGACGCCAAACAGTTGTTCGTACATCCTGGCATAATTTCCACCGAAGACGAGGGTGTTTTGCTAGTTAATAAATACCATAAATAAAGTCTAAGGACAAAACGCAGTATCAGTAAACTTGGAAAGTACAAAATTTGTCAATTTTAAAGAGCGTTTTCTTCTCCTTCGATGCAAATATCTTCGCAAAACCTTTTCGCATTTGGAGATCGTGTCGTTTGCAAATTACACATTAATTAAATTTGCGATCGATTGACCCTAATTTGCCCAAAATCGGAGAGCATACGCTGGGATGCTTCCATTCCAAGTTAATTAATAATTACTTAATTAACTTACCTGTTATACAAGTGGAACTGGACATCCTCCGCGATCCCTTGAGGAGAATAGTTTTCCGGAAGACCATGCAGTAACGCAGGGACGACGACGCCACGGTCATTTTGCACCCAAAAGACCTCCGGCGACTGTCCACCCGTTTTCGTCGGGAGGAACGGCGACGCCACGGAGGTTCCCACCAACAACAAAATCATGAGTTTCGTCCGTAACAACGCCATGGTTTCGATTTCTGGTTGGTTGGTTGGATGCACAAATGAGAGGCGTGGTGGGAGCGAGGTCTTTTATAACTGGACAATCGCGTGGGATGATTTCTTCCTTATCTAACATCTATTTTTTGACATTGTCATTGCCACTGATTTCATGGGCATTCCCCACGACGAGAGGCTGACACGAGGGGGCTGTGCATGCATTATTTGATCGAGAACTAAATAATACCATTAAATAACGTAGGACTCGACAACTCATCGCCACAAGGGTCAAAATCTACACATTTTAAATCATTTCTCGACTGTGGGAATTTATTTGGGAGATATATTTGTAGTCAATCAGTTAATTAATAGAATGGGCGAGGTTTTTAAGCCAGCTTCGATGAGGTTCCATTTTTCTGAAGGCATCTTAAACTTGAGATCTCCACCTTCAGCAAGTATCAAAATCTGGAGTGCACAATTTAAAGAAATTGTCAACTCCCTGCTCTTCAAATTTTTCCTCCAGCATTTTAAAATAAAATTCCCAGAGGTAAGAAATGGTTAAAAAATGTAATGATTTTGGTGACGAGTTATCAAGTCCTACATTAAGATTTACACAACCGATTGTATGACTTATGCACATCCCTGGAATGCTGATGGTGACAGATAATAAAAACGCTTATACGTACAAATCGTATTGTCCTCACTTAACGTCATGGTTAATTCTATAATTGACAATTCAGTCGCATGTATCGCACTGATAACAAGAAATCAATCCGTTTCATGAGACCGACATGTGCAAAATATTTAACAAACGTGTCATGCATCCACTTGAGAACAGTTGTGTAATAAAAGTCGCCTCTTATCGCATCGATTGCTTTTTAATTAAAATCTGTTATGTAAGTTTTATTCGGATATGCATAATAAAATAACTAAACTAATAACAAACAAAGCTATTCCCAACTTATGTAAATTCTGGTAAAATAAAATTATGCATTTCCTCGACTAAAATCTGCTACCCTTGCAACTTCTGGGACTAAATTTGCCACAAAAACTGATCAAAATTAAACCATGTACCAGATATAGTGACGAAATTGTGGGTGGTGTCAATGACCACGGAAGAATGGTTTGGACCGTGGGAGCATTTATTATATAGGGGCTCGTGAAAATTTTCTTTGCCTGTTTTGAAGCTTATGAAATTTGAAAAAAAATCCAGTTTAAAAAAAATTAATTTTGAGTACCTATGATAAAACAGTAATTTGGAAGTTGAAAAATGTCAAATTTTCATGAAAATTAAAAAACATTACTAAACTTTGAATCTAGCTGTTACAAATTAAATTGCATATTGAATGGCACTACTTATAAACTTAATCAATTATCATGAAATTGGATTGGAACAAGGCAGGATAAATTATACGTATAATTACCATATTCTAATCAGTGACGGTGGAAGATGGGGGGACAGTAGTATTGTGTGTGAGATAGGGGGAGGGGGGTGGCTGGCGGACGGCTGTTCAATTAGGGCGGACTCCGGGAATGGCGGGCAGGAGCTCGCGCACCAAACGTTGGTGGAAAGCCTTCACTCCACCCTCGTCGTCAGCAAGGCTGCTGGTTAGTCGAGTGAGATGACCCTTCATCTCTGCCACACACTTTGACACCTTGTCCGCTACGTCATCCCGAGCTAAGAATTAGAGAAATGTATATTTATAATGGGGACGCAAACCGTGTTCAATCCAGATTATTTTTTAAGCCGCTCAGATGGAGAGACCAACCTTATAGAAACAACGTTTAACGCGATATTGCACAAAATTAAGAGAATTATGGGCGCGCTGCAAGGTCTCGAAAACGCTCAGACTTTTCGCGTATTGATTCCCCGTGAAAACTGAGAATTTTGAGGACTCTGCGACGCCCATAATTATCTTTATAACGCTCTTAATTAGGTGCACTAAATGTTGTTTCTAACGAGTTGATCTTTTATACCGAGGAGATCAAAAAATAATTTCGGTTGAACATGGTTTGCCCCCATTGTTAGAAGAAGTTTAAATTTTCGCCCTCACAATGCAATGGTTTGACTTGGAAATACTTACCGTGGTCGTCATGCTCCTCTATTTCACCACCCTGTTCATCATTTCCCATTCCAATAGCACCGGCAGCCATCCGAGCTGAAATACAATCAAGACAATTTTTTAGAAAGATTTACTTTCGGATGCTAACCGTTGTCAAAAACCTTCAATCGTGCCTTCCATGCTCGCGATATCCTGGGGTTTCTCGCCTGGAAGAAGATCATCACGATTAAAACTCAAATTAATTGCGGGTGACGAAAACGAATTTGACAAAAGAAAAATATCTACTCACTCTCACTGCTGACATCCAGCGCTGTTTCGACTTTCTTCAAGGCACCTCTTTTCTTCAAAGCGGTGACGGGACTCGAATTCTCCTTGTGAACAGGTGATCTTGACCGAATGTTGTCATCCTTCTTCTTTTCCACACTCTTTACTCGAGGTCGGCCACGGGTTCGATTTCCATATCTTGGACTGGCCGTTGAAGAAGCGGCAGCCTCCCCCTCGCTTTTTTCTGCGGTCCCCCTCGGAGATTTATTTCGACGAGAACTCCTTGTTCTGGCTGCCACTGCCGAGCTGGTTGAAGGTGAGCACCTTTTCACCGGGGTAGGTTTCTTTACTTCCACAAGCAGGAAGTCCTCTTCATCGTCACTGGGTGGGAGTGATCCAGGCGGATGAGCTAGAACGACCTCCTCCTCGTTCTCCACTCGTCTTGGTTCATCTTCAATGTACTCGTGTGGGCGTGGAAGGACTATGGGAGCCATGGGAGGACTCACGGCTTCTTCATAAACTGGTGGTGGAAGTGGGGTTGGCACGAAGACCTCTCCTGCTTCCGCCAGTTTCCTACCAACTTTTCGCCCAACCCAGGCATCTAACTTCCTTCTTAACGACCGGGGAGAAAGTGGAATGTATGCCATGTCCTCTGTTTTTTTTATACCAACTCAAGTGTCGCGCAGTTCCTTTTGCACTAATCAAATAAATAACCATAATTTTCCTTTAGTAACCTTTTCGATATAAAGGATTCTATTCTTGATTCAGACTAAAAAACTTACCAAATTAACTTGGAAAGTGACGGATAAACGCCGAGAAGTTATTAATTACAAATTGTTTGTCTGGTGAGGGATGAAGTGGGCTGGCAACTTGGACTACGCAGTGTTTTCCAAAATCGTGAGATTTTAAAATTGGAATCAGCCTGAATCTCATCAGTCGAGCAGAAGGAGAGAGATTTTGCGACGAGATGCGATTTGCCGAGTTGAACTTCCTTGCAGATTGGTAACACGATTTGCATACTCTTCAACAAATTCCTCGTCACTTTTTACGTGACAAGAAGACATAACATCCCTGATGGCTCACTTATTACGTCGTGCGGGTTGTCCAGCATGGGCAGAGTTTGAACTTGGAAGGAGTCGATAGGTCGCTCCACGTCCTTCACCGGCTCTTGAGAAAGTTGAGAATTCTGCTCTTGGATGGAAGCCATTTGACGAGTTCGATTGTCCTGCAGATTTTGAAGAATGGTTGCAACAGGTTCGTCACTCAGGTCTGGCAAGTCAAACAATACATACAAGACCAATGCAAAGCATGTGACAATCTTTATTTCGCCAAACGTTGGCCATTTCTTGCCCGATTTGCCCCATTTTTGGACACAATTTCCTCCATGGTTTTGTCGACATGTGGGTTTACTCGGCATATCGCTATGACTTCAAATCGGATGAGAATCATTGGAAAAGAGGACCCGGTTTGAAGGTGGTCACGTTTCCAATAAAAATAGAGCATACTTCCACTCACACGTTTTACAGGAACTTATACTATTCAAGCAATTTTTGACAATTTATCCAATGTTTCGAATTAAGATTTTAAAAGTAGTAGGAAATGTGTGAGTGGAAGTGTGTATTCTTTTTGTTGGAAATGTGGCCCACAACAAGGACAAAGGACACAATGTCTATTTTAGGGTTGGCAACTTTACGAAGTGATGTGATATCTCGTCCTGGAGTAGTACTTATCTGGTCGCTATCCTAATAAAAGGGATCGTGCTCGCTGAATACGAAACACGCATCAAGATTCCTACATTCCGTTCCTGTGGTGAGATAAGAAAGGTCATCTTCGAGTTGGCAATTATTTTTCGTCCTTATCATCTCATAATCTTCCCATTTTTATTGAATTTGCAGTCAAACATGGCAAAGGGCGCGGTGTACATGTCGGCGACAGAGTAGTTTTCCAAAAAAATTAGTTAAAACTAGGTAAGATTTGATTTGATCATTTTAACACAAACTTTGATGAAGGGCCAAGTAATTGTTTTTAGCATAAGAAAGAAACCCAACCCGCTTTCCTCGTCTCAAAATGTACATAAAATCTCAACCTGACTGACGAATCATCATCATCATCTCCACCACCAGATTTTTAACTCACTTCGTTCTCATGTGCCAAAATATTTAAGTCTCTCGTCACGCCAAATTAATAAATATGCAACCAATTAGTCAACAAGCTGACTGTCATTAATTTGTGAGTAATCAGGCAACGAACTTATCAAGCTTATCAATTCAATCCAAAGTGTAAGTATTTCTTCACAATTAAAGTTAATGGTTTGTTTGTCGACATAATGAGAGTTGATCCTTCATTGAGGAAGTATAGTTTAAATTAGTTGTGATTGATTGAGTTGTCCGGTTGGGGAATTAGTCACTTGATATTGTGACATGTGTATCCGGCCTGGAATGTATTTCTCATGTGCAACAGGTGTTAAAAAGCTCGGAAATTGACAAATTTTTATATTTTTATTGCAGATTTATCTTCCTCCTTCTGATCAAGTGTCTTATCATAAAGTTTTGTCATCCTCTTCGTGCCATAGGTCTCTTCAACCTCGCAATAACTGATGTTGTGAAAGTTAATTAAAATATGGTCTAATTTTTGAACAAGAAGAACAAGAAAGTTCTACTTAAACCCAGCGACTAGTTTGAAATCAGCGACTACTTTATCTACTAATGACTTCACAACCACACTAAATAATACAGTCATCATGACCGAGGTTAATGGGGCCAGGATACTCTGCGGTGATTGCAATGCTCCAGGTACTTTGAATAATTGATTAACGAATTAAGAATTTACATATAGAAACTTAATTAAATTAATTCATCCCTAGACCCTGAATGGGCCTCCGTTAACCGCGGCCTGCTTCTTTGCAACGACTGCTGCTTCGTCCATCGCAGCCTCGGCCCGCAATACTCCACCATCAAATCTCTCAAGGATTCCGACTGGCAGGGGTCACAGTTAGCTGTATGAAAATTTTTATAAAATTGCGCAAGTTATCTTCTTACAATGGAGGTCTCCCAGCGTATATGCTCTTCGATATTGAGCAAACTAGTGTCACTCGATCGCAAATTTAATTAGTATGAAATTTGCAAAAGAGACTACCTCCAAATGCACACGTTTCACGTTTGGCAGAGATATTTGCATCCAGAGAGGAGAAAATGCTTCTCAAAGTTGACAAGTTTTACAAAATTTGCCAAATTTACTTCGCGTTTTCTCCACTTCCGATGCAAATAGTTCCGACAAACCTTTCCGCATTGGGAAATGGTGTCCCATTCTAATTGAATTTGTGATCAATTGCCACTAATTTCCAAAAATCTGAGAGCTTATACGGTGGGAGACCTCCAATGTTAGTTCCACTTCCACCATGGTTAAAAGCATGATCTTGGCCATAATGATTATGTAATTTCCTGTTTTCAGATGGTGACCACTCTCGCCGCCGGGTCAGCCAACCACGTCTGGGAACATTTGCTACTCGACCGGTCAAAAACTGAGCGGGGAGACGTCCTAGTCAAAAAACCTTTGCCATACGACACCCTCGAGTAAGGTCAAAATAGAGGTCAATTAGTTCATCTAACAAATCATCGTATTAATCAACTTCCTTTTTTTGTTCGCAGAACGAAGCGGAAATTTATCTACATGAAACACTTTCTCTTTAAATTCGTCCCCAAAACGACGTCCGATCAGGTCGAGGTCAAAAGTCAAGAGCTCCACTCCACAGTGCGCACGGGTTCTGTGGACACGACCCTTCGCCTCCTCGCGGGTGGGGCGGACCCCAACTATTTCCATCCGGAGAAAGGAACCCGACCCATCCATGTCGCGGCCAGAAATGGACAAGCCTTTCAAGTCGAGTTGCTCCACTTGTATGGCGCCCACTCGGCAGGACCGGACTACTTGGGTCAGACTGGGGTCGAATATGCCCTGTAAGTCGAAAATACATTTTTCCCATATGAAAAGCTGAAAATCTGCACATTTTTGTGTAAAATCATGCACAATGTTTATGCCTAGACTAGACCTTTCCTCAAAATGTTCATGATATTTTTTTACGAGTGAATTGTAGAAAGTTTCGGCAAAAATATTTTTGCAGGATTTATGCACACACAAAAATGGACCAATTTTCAGCTCATTGATTTTGTCATTTTACAAGATTATCACATTTTCTACTTTTTTCTAAGGGCTGCCGGCCATAAGGATCTTGCTCAACGAATTGTTCAACTTCGATACTCCCTCACCGATCAGTTGACCCAGTTCGTCTGCCACGAGGCGCCCGATCACTCATCGTCCAAACACATTATCGTCCCCAGCGTCAAAGCAAAGAACCCCAGACATGAGATTGACGTGGGAAAAGTGAGGGCGTACCGTTTAAGAGAAAATTGTTTAAATAATTCTTAACTAATGACCCGCTTTCTATCACAGTTGACCCCTTACCTCTTGGAACAATTAAGTGCCGATCTGCTCGACGAAGTTGGGCGACGCCAAATCGAAAATAGTACGTTATCCGAATATATTTCTAGCATTCGATTTCTTCACTTCCACTTAAAACGGAGGTCTTCCAGCGTATGCTCTCAGATTTCATGCAAATTAGTGTCAATCCGTCACAAATTTAATTAGTATGAACTCTGCAAACGAGACGATCTCCCAATGGGCACATTTGGCAAAGATATTTGCATCCGAAGAGAAGAAAAAAGGCACAGTAAAGGCGGAAATTGTAAAATTTGTCAGCTTTACTGCGCGTTTTCCCCTCTTCGAATGCAAATATCTCTGTCAAACGTGCTTATTGGTAGTTCGTGTCCTTTGCAAAGTTCATACTTATTAAATTTTTCATCGATTCGGACAAAATCGCAGAGCGCACGCTGGGAGACTCCATCGTAAGTTAACTAGTTCATTACCCTAATTAACTAAATTATTTATTTTCCAGTAATCTACAAAAAGTTTGGGGCAGAATCTCCCAAGTTTTCGATCGCCTTTCTCCCCGTGAATCCACACTATCCTCCTGTACGAAACCAAGCTCGCCAAAAATTCGCCCGCCTAACGGACTCTGAACTCTGTTCCATGATCTCCCTAGTCCTATCCGACTCTGAGAAACGCCACTGGCACGGCTCGTCACAGGATGAGGCGGAAAACATCTTCAGCAAGAGTGCAGTCCTCAATGGCAACAATAATAATAATAATAATAATAACACCAACAACAATAACAATGTCAACAAGACGACCCCCATTAATTTTCCCGGTGTTACTGACGACGATTTTCCCCTCTACGACAGCGTCGCGTCGGACGAAGACCTCATTTTGGCAGAACAACAAGCCATCCTCGCAGAAGAGGTGGGACGACAAATTTCTATTAAAAGATCAGACATGATCTCTGTCACGTTGCGGCGCTTTCGTTAATTCATACAGAAGCCGTGTGCTTTTAGTTTACGAAATATGTCTATCCAGATTATTTGGCTAAAAGTCAACTAAAAATTGAGATTATTTCAAAAATAAAATCAAATTCGCATGTCAACCCGTTGAAAAGTTATTGATGGTCAAAGTCTCCCAAATCCCAGTGTTATATAACTTTAACCGTCAATAACTTCTGAAAGGGTATACGTACGAAATTGATTTTATTTTTGAAATAACTCTATTTTTGGGTCGAATCTCGACACACAGATTTCGCAAACGGGTAACATATGTTAAATACGATTATACGAATCCACCGCAATATGGATCATTTCTCAAGTTAAACTTTGCATCGTAAAATGGGGCCGTCAAACTGAGATCGCATCCTTCATTCAGCAATTTATTCCTTTACAGAAATTAAAATTGAGCCCTGATCCTGCCACGCTGGTCACACCGCCCACTCCCGCTCCCACCAAACCAGTCCTCCTCCCCACCACAGCCACAGCTATCGACATGGGTGATGACGAGTCCATCTTGAAGGAGAGAATGCTCGTGTCCAAACTCTTCAAGGCAGAAACCAAGTTGGAAAAGGCACTCAAAAAGCAAACCAATGATGAATTGTATCAAGTCATCCTTTCTAAAATGGTAATATAACTAACTAACTAGTTATCCTTCGAGATACCAGATACATAAATCTTAATTTCAGGTACGGACCCTGATTGAGGAAAAGACGAGAATTTCATCCAGCAAGAGAGACAGCTCGTCTATGTCATGCCAATCCTCCTCCTCTTCGAGGTGTAGATGCTCATGCAAAGCAAATCTGGCTCGAAATCAGCAGCAGCTTCATCAACCAGCACGACCCTCCTCCATGGTCGAATTTCCACCCCGGCCCCCCACTGTAATTCATTCAATCTAGTAACTTTAGGACTCCATGACTCATCACCAAAATCAGCACATTTTTAATCATTTCTCCCATAGAATAAGATACTATATATGATTCCTCCGCTCTGGGAGTTTATTTCAAAATTATAGACGACGAATATGTAGAGCAGGGAGTTGCCAATTTAAAAAAATATGAACTCCAGATTTTGACGGTTTTTGAAGAAGGAGATCTCAAGTTTAAGAAGCTTTCATAAAAGTTGGCTTAAAAAACTCACTGGCATTATATCAATCAACTCTCTGACTACAAATTTGTCTTCCAGAATTTTAAAATAAATTCCCAGACGTTAGAAATGATTAAAAATGTGGTGATTTTGACAACTCGTCGTGTCCTACTTTAAACACCATTTGTATATCTATTTATTTTTCATGTCAGATCCACGCCGAGGATGACGACGTTGCCTCTTCATCCCCAACATCACCTCCTCACTTCACTCCGTTGTCACCTCCTACGTCGCGATACAAGGAGGACGACATGCCCCCAATCCTCTACGCCAACGAGGTCACCGGCCACATTGTCCGACTCATCAAGAAAATCATAGGTTATGCCGACACCCTCAATTTGGACGGGCTAGAACTCACTGTCGGAGAAATTCACGCTATTGTGACAACATTTGTCCAAAAGTTGCAGGAAAATGTGAGTAAACATTTTTAATCATTTCTCGCCTTCAAGAATGTATTTTAATTTTTGAAGGCCTCTTAACCTTGAGTTCCACTACTTCAAAAAGTGTCAAAATCTGGAGTTTATATTTTTTTTAATTGGCAACTCCCTGGTCTACAAATTTTCGTCCAGCATTTTAAAGTAAACTTCCAGAACGGAGTTATGATTAAACATGATTTTGGCGATTAGTCATCAAGTGTTTCGCTAAGCAAATTTATAACCCTAAAAATAGCTCCTTAACTAATCAATTAAAAAACATTCTGTAATTAAACAACTTGTTTTTTCTAGCCGGACATCCAGGATTCCATGGTGCGCGTGTCCCTTGGAAAGTTGGAATCGGACGTGCTTTTCATCAAGACTGGTGTCCCCGTGTTAATCTCCATGTTCCGCGATCCGACCCGAAATCGTCGCGACGCCGTCCCTTCGACCGTTCCCTTCACAGCCGCCGATATCTTGTCCCACTGCTCCGATTGGTGTTTGCGAGTCGGCGAAGGGATGAAGGAGCTCGTCGGTGCGTTACACACTCTGGAAAAACAAGCTTGCCAAGACCTTTAGAAATTGAAAAGTCAATTTGAACGGAATCAATCAACAGTTAAAGAAATATCTTGAAAATTATGCAGCTTTTAATTTTACGGAACTTTTATAATTTAAGACTTTTAATCTTATTGCATGGTTAGTGTGACAGATTTTATAAATTTTATCCCTCAGACTTAACAACGGTGAAATTTCCTCTGTCGTTTAATTTTATTACCGAGGCAATTAAGAAGGCATATACGTTGAAAAAATCTCATAACTAAAAGACAGAGACGACGGTTGCGTCTCCTTGTGTGCCGAGAGATTTATTGCTAATGAGGGGGGGGGGCGGGGCGAAGAGAGCAGCTGATTTTCATGTAAACAATGCAGGCAGTTGCATGTAAAAAGTTGCTTTGGGTTTTGAGAGTGACCGTTCCCACTCTCCAAACGGGGCATCGCGAACCAGAAAAGGAGAAAAATTTCGACTAAAACTTCTAATTTGCAGCTAATACAAAATGGATTGATTTCGTTTTGGTGGCAATAAATTCCCAAGTTTGTGCTTTACAATTGCCATGTTGCATAAATTCCATAATAAATCTCAGAGAAAAGTATTGAACTGAAACATGGACTCATATCATGTTTCAGTCCAATACTTTTCACCGAGATTTATTATGGAATTTATGCAACATGGCAATTGTAAAGCACAAACTTGGGAATTTATTGCCACCAAAACGAAATCAATCCATTTTGTATTAGCTGCAAATTAGAAGTCTTAGTGACAAAAATCATTTACATTACTGGTAAGTGGCGAGGAGAAAAAGTCAACTCGCTCACTAGGATGCCCAGACTGTTCCCTAACTCAAACTTTAACCCAGTCATTGGTAACTTGTGAAATCCGTGCGTTTTGTAGCGTAATTTTACAAACTTTTACAAAATAAAAAGACGCATTGATCTGAGCAAGTTCACAAAATGTAGGAGCTGATTTTCCTTCAAAATTTTTACAAAAGTTTTTAAGTTTACAGAATTTATGGATTTTAAAATGTTACCAAGATATAATTTGATCTGTCAAGCAGTGCTCCGATCGGTATCGGTATGTCCCGATACCGTACCGTCGGGAATCGGAACGGTACGGTATTAAATGATCCGCTGTCCCGAAAAAAAATTCGGGAAATCCCGATTTCGGAACGGTACAAGCCAAAGTCCCGATAAGTTCGGTACGGTATCGGGATCGGTATTCCCGATTCCGTTCCGAAATTTTCGGTATATCCCGAAATTTTTTTTATTTTGGTTTTGACGTAGGAATTCTTTAAGTAAACTCTTAGTACTGCGAGTTAAATTCTGCATTAATGAAACCAGTTCAGCCTATTTTAGCCTGAGTGTCCCTGCTCAACTATACGTCAATTGCAAATTGCCATTTTCAAACTTGTGTAACTTGAAATTAATTTTGTCACAAAATTCAAATAAATTCAAACTCATGGCATCTACAACTTCTTAAGAAGAACAAGTTTGAACACTTTATTAATTTTAATTAGCAATATCAAAACGTATTTATTTAAGGGCTAGGTTCGAAAGCTTGCCTGGTCACGATTTAGTGATCTCGGATGGGTTTTACTAGGATTTCGTTGAATTCAAAATTCGACTCGATAGCATTAGTGCAAAGCAAAATTAACCTCGTGAAATATTCATTTTTTAAAGCATTTGCCATTTTAAAACAGTTTAGGCCAAATCACTTAATTATTTTATCAAAAACCACTTATAGGATGGCAAACAGATTTTGTCAAAAAATGGAGAAAAATATCACACAGTATCATATTTTACAATTTTACGTATTTTGAATGCACAAAATGTCAGATCAATAAGACAACTTTTACAAGAGTTGTCAATAGGCGGATAACGAGGAAGTCCTCTCTTGACTAAAAATTGATGTTGGTGTAACAAAATGTGTGCTATAGTATAACCCGACACTAATTAATCTTTTTTGTCAAAAAAAAATCGGGACATTCCGTCCCGAACCGTCGGTTTTCGGTACGGTACGGTATCGGTTCGGAAAAATCATCGGGACAGTTCGGTACGGGATAAGAACCTGGCTTCGGGAATCGGTACGGAACGGGAAGACCCAATCGGTACAGCGTTCCGATCGGGTCGTCCCGATACCGTACCGTTCGGAGCACTGCTGTCAAGTATCTCTTGTCCACCCCCATTATTTTCTACCTTATCCTCAGACTAGGAATTAATAACTTAGGAATAAACGTCTCTTTTTTTAGGGGAGCCCTGATAACCCAATCATGTCAAGCTTGACTTTATAATGACAAGTACCATAGATATCCTTTCTTTATTTACATTACATAATTATTTACTTGTAATTTTTTCTCGTGCGAATTACTCCTTTTATGTCAAGTATGCAAAAAGGCAATAAAATTATTGTATCTTTAAGATCGTAAAAATGTGGCGTGTATTGTTTTCTGGGATTAAGGACTATTCATCCGTTAATCACGATGGATTAATCCCCTACCTGTTCCATAATTAATTAGTATTTAATTGTTAAAGTTTCTCTGCATACAAATTTCCATGAAATTTCTCAAACCACCCTTCATACATTTCTTTTTCTTCTTCTGCTGCCCCAAAGTAAACCATCCAGCGGAAGGAGGGCACACATTTCCATTCCAGTCAAAATAAATTGGGAAACTAATCTAAATTTTTAGGAAATTTAATCCATCCCAATTTAAATAAGTGGTACATTTCCATTCTCATCCGTTAAGGTAATGCCAGTCAGTCATGCAGGAATAAAAATTTGTGAGGCGTGAACATAATTAATTTACATATTATGTAAATAAATAAATAGTTCACATTTTTTTCTCAGTTTCTCGTCTAGAACGGATCGTCACTTCCTCTCCAATAATTTGTCACTCTCACCTGACTTCCGGTGCTGGTGGTGGTGGTGACTTCATCCGTGCAAATATTTCATTTTGAAGGTGACAAAACTAGCAAATTTTCGCCCAGTTACCATTAAATCAAACTAACTAGATCTTTAAGTCAAGTCAAGTAAACCTTTATTCAACAAATGTCAGTTAATACAACAAACTGGTTTCTAATCCAATTCATGACAGAAATAATATAATTTACAAGCAACTAACTAATCTAAGCTTTAATTGTTCCACAGTCTGTGTCCTCTCCCTGGTGCTAAACACGATGAAAATTAACGACAAGAATTTGGCCGCATTCGCCTCCTCGTCCTCCCAAGTGGATCGGGAAGGTTACTTAATGAAGAAGGGGGAGTCGTCCTCGTCGTCGTCTTCCTCATCGAAAAGTTTCTCCAAACGTTGGTTCGTCCTCAAAGGGAACCTTCTCTTCTACTTTGACAAGAAATCGGATCGTGACCCGGTCGGCGTTATCATCCTCGAAGGCAGCACCATCGAACTGGCGGAGAGTGAGGGCGAGCAACATTTCTGCTTCAAAGTGACCTTCCCCACAAAGTCATACGTTCTCAGTGCCGATTCTCAGGCGTCGATGGAACTCTGGATGAAATCCCTCGCCTGCGCCAGCTATGATTATGTTAAACTCATGGCGGACGAGTTGCAGAGACAGTTGGACGAATTGTGCAAAAGTGAGTGGTCAGAATGAGTAATTTATTTGGAAACAAAGATATAATTTTATTTTCCTATATGTGAAACTCATTCAGAAAATTTGCAACGCTATACAAGTTTGGCAAGATAAGATTTCGCAAAGCTATAAAAACGTTTCTGTTACCATACCTTGTTTGATTTAGGTTCCATGAATTTTCTGAAGTTCGCAACCCTTCTCATGGACCTGAGGAGTTTGTGAAATAAAAACATGCCAAAGTAGCTGCTGGATAAATTTCCACCATTTTACCAAGTTTTAACAAAAGCAGTTCTAATAAAGCATAAAATGCTCAATTTTCGTGATGTGCAAAAGTTGTCTCGGAATGAGTATGCCCATTGTACTAAATTTTAGCTAAAAGTTTCCATTTTTACTAAATTTGATAAGCCCTTAAATCAGAGTTTGTCTTAACATGGTCAAATCCTCCAGAATTTCAATTGCAAAAGTAACTAATTTTGTTTGAATTTCAGGTGACACCAATTCCACCATGAGCGGAGACGCGAACAGGAACACGGCTCCAACTCCCACACCACCACCAAGAATTAAATCTTCAATCAAGGGCGCTCAGCAACCCCGACCACGGAAAACGTTCGCAGCCCTGCACTCCGAATTTGGGTCGAAAATCGTTCAAGATTCAAAGTCCAGATGGGACGAAAATGTCACTACGACGACGACGAAAGCTATACCAAACGTCAACATTCCTCTCTCTTCTCCTCCAGGTCATCAGCATCAGGACTTGATGAATTTCTAAAATCCTTCATATTTTCACTTTTACAAACAACAGCAAAACTTTCTTGCGGCATTACGACACATATAAATTATTGTACTAATGATTAATTAACCTGCTCACGACTAGAGTTAACTGAGTCACTTGTAAGTCACTTTTTCCTACAAATTTATTCACTATTAATCTCACATGCATAACTAACTACAAACATATATATGTATTCCTGTTACTTATTACACCACAAAGCAGCATAATAAATTACAATCAGTATTATTACGTATCACAGACACAAATGTTTAATTTGGCATTATTTAAATAGCATCAACATATAACAATTTTGATATAGTTCTTGGATTCAGCGTGACAAATCCAGTCTTTTTCGGATCGGGTGAGTACTGAGGTTCCACAGTGATCTATCCCCAACCTAATAAAGCTTTAGGTTAATGATATCATTAGTTTATCATTAGTGTTAATGATAGGAATAAATATGCGAATTGAATTTGCTTAACCGCTCTAATGCAAATGAAAAATGAAAAAAAAACTGAAAACTTAATGAAAATTCTGCTACATAGCTTAATTTTAATCAGTTTTGTAGCAAATTTAGTAGCAGAAGTGGTAACAGTAGGAAATTTTAGTCGAGGAAATGCAGTTTTACACAGAAGTAAAAAATAGTGAAAGTTGCGAATAGCTTTTTTATTATTTTAGTTAATACATATGTCCGAAAAAAAAGTTTTGTCATATTTTTTGCATTTGCTATTATTTGTTATACATATAAGTAAGCAATGATCAGTTTCATACATACATACACATGTATTTCAACGGGTAAAATAAATTTCATTAAGTATGTAATTATATTATTGATTAATTTATAAATTTAATTAACAATATAAATAATATTACAACTTAAAGTTGGATGACGGGAAAGGTGGATTAAAAGATATTTAAAAGGTACTACAAAACTTAAGAAAACGCCACCAACTAACTTCATTTCTTCTCCGTGCAAATCTTACATGCTGACGAAGTGCATTTCTTCTTCTGAACTGGTCCTCGTTCACGGAGATAATCCCCAAATCCATCGCTGTCAGCATCTGGCACGGTTCCATCCTGATAGATCCCCAAGCTTAATATCTCCTCCTCCTTTACTGGCTTCAGAGTCTTCAAGAGGACCCCACTAGCATTCACTTCCTTCGTAAGGATCATATTTGGAATACATGCAAAGTGGAGCTTGACCCCAAGCAGGACACACTTGTTAATAATAACGCTGAAATATTATATTTACATAATGAGCACGATTATTATGACAGACTTATGAATGAACGACAATAGTAAATAAAATATCTCACCCCACACGTGCACCTGGCCAAGAAATGCTAGCCGTATGCACACGGTAGTACATAAGCGCATCCATGATGCGCTTTATTTCCAGACCACTCCAGAGCGGCAAAGTAAGAAAATGCTTCTGAAATTCTTTCAAGAACTCGTCGTAATATATCTTATCATCCCGCGTAAGTTCAAAGGAACTGGAATCCCTCTCCTTCATAAGAAGCTCAAACTTCCGAAACAGATCCTTGTTCCTCTGTTCCAGGGTGGATAACCGCATTAGTCCCAGCATCCAGCAGGCACTGGCTCGGTTCAGAAGCATGGGATGTGGAAGTCTTCGTGCTTCAAATAAACGCGTGAAACTGGCCAAGTCTTTGCATTCTTTGTGATGTAGCTAAAAACATATTAGAATTCACTCTGAGACTCATTCCAGGATTTTTGTACCCGCGTTTGCAAACCAGGAATGAAATAGGTGGAGCATTTCTCTCAAAAATACCTTTTTGCAATCAGGACACACGGGCCATTTGCACTTTTTGCAGTCAGTGGTATTGACTATACCATACTCTTGTTCAGCTTTTTCGACCAACTTTTCCTGATTTACGACGCCACATTGAATGCACGGGACGACATCGATGACGGATCCGATAGACTTGGGATTCTTGTAAAAGGCGACGCTGCAAAAATAATTGGCAAATAAAGTAATATGATAATGTTCTACAAGAAGAAAAAATGTCAGCAATACTGATTAACTAACGTACCATGGGATTTCGACGATTATTGACATATCAGCCAAGACGCTGTTTTCAGGAATGTCGACTTCGCATCTCCGCAACCATTCGATCTTCCTTAGTCGCCCGATACTCATAAGGCTCGCAGTTGTGGCCATCTTCCTTTTTGCATTTTTCCGAACAGAAGACGAAATTCTGAGGACAAATAAAGTGACAGAACACTCCCCCAACATAATCTTCGTTCTCCACGTTCTGCCGGCATCTCTGGCAGACTGAACGATCCTTTCCACAAGGGCCAGATGCTCCCTCCTCGGCTGTAATTTGCTTCAACGATTGGCAAAGATCATCAATTCCCCGGTCCTGCAATTAATACAGCAAACCTCATTCATTCATCCAGGTAAGGTAAGCGAATAAAATGTCTTAAATGTAGTAAAAGAGTGATGCTGTATTTTTTCCACATCTCGTCGTTGCAGAGAGCAATGAAGGAAATCAATAAGCTGCTTGCCCTCTTTATTCTGCAACGACGATTTTATAAGAAAAAGAATGGGTAAACTCACGGACCCTTGTCAATACTACCACGGGCGTTTGAATTTGAAAATTGGATACTCTTTGCCGTGCCATTGGAGATTCGTCACTTGGAAGTTTTTCATCTCCGTCGACAACTTCTTTTTTCTTCTTCCTAAACCCGGTCTTCTTGCTTGCCTTTGTCTTCAACATTTTTCTAAATTCTTGCTAATAACTTTAAAAAGTTAAACAAAAACAAAAAATCAAAAAAAAAAGGACGAGCGAAAACGATGCCGAGCCAGGCGAGGAGCGAAGTTGACAGAAGAGCCTCACTCGGAGTAGCGCCAAGGTTCTGGCCATGCTTTTTTGGCTGCTCACTCTCCCGATAGGGCGAGCAGGCAGGGCCCTACGGATTTTGAGGGTCGTAAAAAACTAAAAAGTATTAAAAAAATGATGCACTGGCGGCGGAAATCGGGGGGAACATATCAGGACATTACCATTGTGAGATTGTAGGACGAGGGCTTATTATTATAGTGGATTTTTCTGAATTTCTGAGATGATGCCCCTTTTCTGGAATCTTCCAGAAAGAAACCAATGTGGAGAAGAAGGTTGTCTCATTTTCACCGTAACCGGCTCATTTTTGAGAATGTTGATTGCGCAAAGAGGAAAGGTTTTTTTCGTTTGTGAATTAATTATGATGACGAGAAATTAAATTCGGAAATCGGAATGACTCACAATTTGTAAAATTTATTAATTGGTTAGTTTAGACGTCATATGATGAATTTGTGTCCAAAAAGGATGCAATGTAAGGCGGGTGATGGCCAAATTTTGTTTTGCATTGGTCTTGTATCGTTTGACTTGCCAGCCGAATGACGGACGACCTGTCACGACCTGTCACGACATTCCTGAAAATCTGCAGGGCAATCGAACTCATCAAATCGCTTCCAAGAGTAGAATTCTCAACTTCTCGAGAGCCGGTGAAGTGACGTGGAGCGCTCTATCGACTCCTTCCAAGTTCAAAACTCTGCCCATGCATGCTGGACAACACGACGTAATAAAGTGAGTGTCGTCGAGATTTACATAATTATTTTAAATGATATTTGACATGATAATGAAAAAAAATCTGAATGTATTTGCTGTGATATGAAAATGACTTTGGTGGATGTATGTATGTACCTTTGAGACAGAGACCAGTTTGGTAAATTTGAATGGTGCCATTCTGTCGTCCTTTTTCCTGGAACTTGTCCAGTTTTTAATCTTTTTCTTTAAAGTTTTTTGAACCTTTCGTGACCTCCTCAACCCCACCTCCAATAATTGTGTGGCCATCAGCCATTGGCTGGTGAGGTTGAGGAGACCTTCCCTTTGCCAGAAGTTGGCTTCGGTTTTGGCAGTGAATATGCCCTTTTTAAGTGAAGTTCAAGTTGAAATAATTTTAGTGTCGACTCACCACTACGAGGAAGAACATCGTAGCCTCTAAATTGTCCCTCGTCTCATTTTACACTCTAAATTTGTAATAGTTGGCTTATGTGTAAAATAAATGACACCACCAAGTAATTGATTGTGACCACACCGCCGCCTTATTTACGCCTCACACGGTCACATTTCGCCCATCGCCCAGTCCATTTTTAAAAGTTGATGACGAACAATTTATGCCGATTGCCGTTATGTCGATAGCCTCTGAGTCGAGCCATAAGCCGACAAAATTTAAAATAGGAGACTATGTTATCACATTATCCCGTATGACACGTAAGCCGAAATGGATAGGTCCTTTTCGGGTAATCAACAAACATGATACAGAATATGGGTTAAAAGACCTACGGAAAGAAAACCCTGATTATGACTGCCCAATTATAGTAGTTCAGGGTACTGACCTTAAACCTTACCCACCTGAACAGTACAGGGGTGACATCTCAGAATACGAGTCAGATGACCAAGACGACTACGAGTCTGTCGATTCGGTTGATGACTTTGAATTTTCTATTGACTTGAATGTACACTCTAAAAGCAACTACAGATTAACTAAGAAACCTATTTTTCGAGCCCCAAACAGGTCAAACTCTTCCGTTGGAGTCCCGCCACCTTCGAGACAGAGTTCCCGACCTTCTTCACACACAAATTCCCACAACTCTAACCCCCCAATGGATAATAATGATGATGCCCGTAGTTCAGAGAAGTCGAATTCACATAATTCTCAATATTTTAATACTTGTAGTTCAGGTTCTTCGTCGCTTGAATCTGCTTATTCTGTTTATAGTACTTCGCCAAGCGTTTCTGTCGCCAGTGGGACCTCCCAAAACGAACCCCGTATCGATTTTGACCCCACTCCGTCTGAAGAGTCTTCAGTATTCGAATCTGAACGAGAACAAACAATTTTGCGTCGTAGCACACGAACGCGTTATCCTCGATCTCGCTACTCTCCAGGCGATTTTAGACGTTAAAAATGAAAAAAGCCGAAATTTTGCCGAATTTTTACATAAAAAACTTCCTATATTTTTATTATTGACTTGTTTTTCAATTTTAAACCAATTTCTGTTAATTTTGTTGTTTTTTTAAATTTTTTTTTTACTGTAAAATCCCAGATTTTACCTTAATTTTTTTTACTCAATACCACAAAATGTATTGTATTTTACTCCTCAATTTTTTAACACACACACTACTTTTATCTACACAGACTAACTTTCCAATTTTTATACACACAAAATGTGTTTGCAAGTATACACACGTATTTTCACTCAAACAGTCAATTTTTAAATCATTCCCGTAAATTTTGGTGTGTATACATAATAATCTTGTCACACAGATATGCCGAATTTTTTTTATTTTTTTTCCGTACATGTCAATTTTACAAACAAACTGCCGAAGAGACGAAAAATCTGTGTGAAAATTACTAACCCCTACAATTTTTTATATTTTGACCATAATACATATTAATTTGGTCGTCCAATCTTGTTTAATTTTTACAGCTAACTCCCACACCAAGAAGAGGACGATCTCCTCAAGTCGGATGACGACGACTCCGACAACACAATCTTCCCCGCATCCCTATCTACCACGATGGTGACACTGGCCATCCAGCCGCCCCAAGACGACAACTCCACATGGACACGTCCGATTTTTTCGCCCCGTTCCTCTCAACTTTGGCCCCACTCCACGGTAGGGACTACCGCTACTTTCCCGGGGGGTCCTGAGGGAACTATGCATATCATATGCATCCTCCCCTCCTATCTCTTCCTCGTCTCCATATTCATACATTGATGTCTCGACCGGCCACTCACTCCTAAATTATCCATACATCGACTGAAGGACATCGTCTCCTTCAGCAAGGACATATACTGTCCTCCATCCAAGAATCCTGGCAGACGGAGTTCCGGCGTCTACCAAGACGTATCTCCTCTCTCCACCACTGCCATCCTAAAGTCCCCCATAATTCTACAGTTTCCACAACCTCTAAATATCTTTTGGTTTCTTGATACATAAATGTAAAATCCTCCGGCTACGTAAAATAAATTGATAACCAGTTGCTCTGTAAAAACTATAACTCTCGGGGGACGCGTATTACATTTTGGTGACTTATTTCGAGTGCTAAATTCCGATAAAACATTAACTTTCGTGTATCTCACATCATAAGTGGGGCTGCCGATCGCACATACGGCCTTACGCCTCCAAACTGTGTGGTGTCCTTCCGGAACATTCATCCCAGTCCGTCCCGACTGCACTCACCTCTGACCTACCAAGCGCCCACCGGAAGACCAACGCCCACAGACGCATGTGGGATTTTTGGTAGTTGTAATACGCGAAAGAGAGCAAAAATATGTTTTGAAGAGTGGTGCGAGGAATCGAACCCCGCGTCTCCCGTTTGCCGGACGAGCGCCCTACCACTAGGCTAACTGCCCTTCTTCACATCTATTACTCTCTTTACAACCACCAAATTCCACGTATTCTCTCCTACAGTTGCCCGGAAATAGTTTAGAGTGGTCCCCACTCTATAAGGGGATATGGGAGAGAATATACTTGCACCACCGACTGCTCAGCTGAGGCAACGCATGCTGATCTAGCGGTGGTGGACAGAAAGGGGATGACGTCTCATGCCCTGCGCGAGGAGCTCACTGCATGGACGGAAATTGGGGTTTGGGGATTTTTGGGGGTTGGGCTTCCGTTTAACTTTGAGAGGGATCGAGATCGAACAGCTGTTCCACCACATGTGGGATTTTTGGTAGTTGTAATACGCGAAAGAGAGCAAAAATATGTTTTGAAGAGTGGTGCGAGGAATCGAACCCCGCGTCTCCCGTTTGCCGGACGAGCGCCCTACCACTAGGCTAACTGCCCTTCTTCACATCTATTACTCTCTTTACAACCACCAAATTCCACGTATTCTCTCCTACATTTTTAATTGGATTCGCAGTCAAACACGGTCATTCCAAAGAACGATGTGTAGTGGGACTTGTCAACAACGCCAAGGAGGTGATTGGTCGAAATTCTAAGCATCTGGGGGGGGGGTTACCTTGGGGACTTTGTGCTTTGCATTGCATTGCTTTGCATTCATGTTACATGAATCCATTGAAATGTCACAATTTGCAAACTACAAAGTCCCCAAGGTAACCCCCCCCCCCAGATGCTTAGAATTTCGACCAATCACCTCCATTGGCGTTGTTGACAAGTCCCACTACACATCGTTCTTTGGAATGACCGTGTTTGACTGCGAATCCAATTAAAAATGACAAAGTTCTGAGATGGCGAATGATTGGCGACTCGAAGACCACGTCTGATCTCACGACGGTCACGGAATATGATAATTTTAATCCGTTTTTCGGATTCAGCGGGCAAGCTACCTATGCGATATCGACACAGATAAGCCACAAGATTTCAGGAGGAAGAGATATCACGTTCCAAAGTTGCCAACTCCCAAGTATACATTCCTTGTTATGGGGAATCATTGGAATTGGGGTCAAGCTGGTCACATTTCCAATAAAAAATGTACATAGGTCCACTCCCACATTTCCCAGGAACATTTAACATCTCCATTTTTGATAATTTATTTACAATTAGTACCAATTTTTCGAATGTTTCCAATTCACATACTACTTTTTGTTATAATGCGAATTCGAAACATTCGAAAACTTGGTACTAATTGAAAATCTGTTGACAAAAATGGAGCTATTTTATGCTCATGGGAATTGAGGGAGAGGACTTGTACACATTTTTCTTAGAAATGTGACCACCTTGGCCCCATTCCAATGATTCCCCTCAACGAAGAATGTGTAATTGGGTATTGGCAACTTTGGGATGCAATATCTCAGCCCTCTGAAGGATTTTGCATATCTGCATCGATAACCTGCAGGTAGTTAGGTCGTGAATCCGAAAAACAGGTAACAAGTTTTATATCTTGTGATCGTGGGGCGATAAGCTGGTCACATTTGTAACAAAAAATGTTCTTCAGAATCCACTGTTAAAAATAATCATGATATGATCTGCCAATGATGTATGTCAATTATGTGCATAGCATCAAATATTAGACCACCAACTATTATGGGTGGATTTGCATCAGTTTATTAACCTGCTAGGTTATGCATGCATTATGAATGCATTAATTGTACTTGCTTATATACGACATGACTTGATCTTAAATAAAGTAGTCGCTAAATGTACTCGTTGAGCAGATGAGCTAAACCCTTATTTTGAACATCCACGACCTAATTACCTGCAAGTTATCGATGCAGATATGCAAAATCCTTCAGAGGGCTGAAATATTGCATCCCAACTTCTAATCACACATAATGTGTGACACATTGCTTGTTATGGGGAATCATTGGAATTGGGGTCAAGGTTGTCACATTTCCAATAAAAACAACGCGTACTGCCATTCACGCATTTCCCAGGAACATGAAAATTTTAGACTGATAGATTTACAACTCGTACCATTTTATTGAATGTTTCGAATTCACAAGTTCATTAAAGGGACTCAAACGCTTAATAATATCAAATGAATCCCCCATCCCCAGAGCAAAAAAAATGAGATGATGATTATCATTATTATGCGCATTGATTTAATCGAAATAATAAAATACTATAGAAAGTTAACCAAATTAATTGAATATTTATCTGTTGTTTACTAGACTTTATTTATTTACTTTTTACACCAAATAAAAATTTCGCGTATGAACAATTTATCTCATCCTCTCGTAAAGACAATGTATCTGCCTATAATTATCGAGCATAGGACTAATTTCACCCACTAACTATCAATTAAACAACGCAGTAGCGAAGACTAGGATTTACATAATTTAAAATTGATTTCCGTGGATTCTTGGGTAATTATTTTGGTGTGGGTGTCGTTGGTGCTGCCTTCTGCTCAGTGGTCGTGCCCTTTGCGCCGATGAAGAAGCCTCCCAAAATGGCGGCGACGGTAAGGCCTTGCGCCCCGATTCTGGCTCGCATCATGTACTGTGAGTGTTGTGAGCGACCTTGGCGAAAGCACCAGAGTCCGTACGTCAAAGCAGCCAGAGTGGCGACAGCACCTGTAAAAATAAGGGGAAAAGTTATTAGGCCGGTGGTACAAAAAAGTGGGACTTTGTCGTGACATAATTGTGGACAATTAGATTTAAATCAGATAAAACAGTGCTTCGCCAAAGACAAAGTCTGTTAATTAATAATGTGTTCCCCGGTTTTGGAAATATCACCCTCTAGATTTTTGGGTTAAAAACCAATTATGGATTATCACAAAAATTAGGTAGGTCAAAGTTTGATTGAGTTGGTGTATAGAATTGTGACTTGGGAACCTTTGACATTCAATAATTATTGAAATAATGGTAATTTTTTGTTGATTTTTAACCTCACTCCGCAAATTGATAACACATGTTAAAGGTTTGTCCACAATAAACGGCTTTCAATTTCACTGGAAATAGCTTACCCAAGGGGACGAAGGGGTTTTCCTTAATTTTTCGACTCAGCTTTCCCGTCGTGCCCTCGACGGGGAAGGCATATTCGCCCAACGCGTCTTCACGAAATCGAATCCACTCCAACTCCGAGTTGAAGTGGGGATCCTTTCCCCCGCCGCTCCCCATCCTTCTGAAAGACCAAGTTTAATTAATCCACGTTAACTAAATAAGTAAGTATTAAATGTTACACATTCAAATGTCAATTAAAGTCTTCTCACCTTTGGAGGAAAAAAACTGTCAAATTATTTAAATCAGATCGAGTACAACGTCAACCCCGCAAAACTAGCCAATTAAGTTAACTGAGGTCACCAGGATGTGATAACTTTATTTAATCTTTCAATTTAAAATGTGACGACGACCACTACATTTTTTTCAACTTTAAATTCTACCCATTGGCCGAGTCGTAGAAAAACAAAGGCTTTGAGATTTTAGTCTCCCGCAAGCAATGTGAGATTCCAAACTGCATTTCCATGAGAACTGGACTTTATGAGAAAAAAGTAACTAAATTTCCAAAATTAAGTAATGAAAAGGATGTCATTTTTTATTTAAATATTAATTTTCGGCATAAAATTATTTAACACAATTAAGATAAAATTTAGCACATTAATTATTAAAAGAGCCCTTCGTTCGAATAATCGACTAAACATTCTATCCTCGTGACAGTCTTGAACATGCTGTCTCGAATGATTCCTACGTCTCTAGATACTTTCTCCATCGGCTCTTTGAACACCTTACTGCTCTTCAATTGTTTTCGATAAATCTGGAAATCAAATTATATTTTTTTAAATGATGGAACATTTGCATAAAGAATATTATACTAAATTAATTATGAGTAGTTTTGGTCACCTTAAAGAACAAGGCAAGACAGGTCATGACGATTTGTAAGTGTTGTTTCCTCCCCACCGCGAAGGTGACGAGCTCCAAGAAATTCATGAGGAGTTTTTTCGATCCACCACAATCCGGATCCCATGACCAAATTTCCAAGTCTATCTGCGACGGACCCATCCCAGCCAGTTCGGATATCAGGGTGGTCGCTAAAAGAAAAATGAAACGGTGAAAATCAAATCAGTAACTGTGAAATTAGCGTTAAAACTTAAGAGAACAAGATAATTTTGCCGTTATATTTTGCAAGCTAGGAAAAATCTAAGTCAATGAAACTGTAAAAGTTATATCTGCTCCTGAATTTGACAAAAGTTTGAAGAGGAAAGAATCGTTTAAAAAATCCAATTTATGCTGTTTTTTTGGGCATTTTTGGCTTTATCCCTATGGTAAATCATATGTTAAATTTCTCGTTCATAAGGGTTTCCCCTTCAAAGTTTTGGAAAATTCAGTTTTCAAGTTTCTCCCATTGACTATAAATGCCATAAATTTGCAAAGTTTGCCACAAAATTAACACAATTAATAACTCTCAACTTTAATTTAAACCTTTCCTACCAATCTGATTAAACTGGAATGGATCTCGCCCCAGTTCGCTCAACTTTTTAGAAAATGCCGTAAAGGGGACGGCATCCAGGGTTTGGAGAGGTTTCGACACGATGAGGGAGGTGGACATTCCGCTGAGCACCTTTTCCAAATCCAGGTCGACGAGATTTCGCGTCTTCTCCTTTTCCAGATCGGACAAGATGAAGGGAATATTTCTCTCCGGTTTGAAAGCTGGAGCGGGTTTGTTGCGGGCCTAAAAAATCGTCAGTGATTCATTTAATAAATTATAATAAAACTTAAGTACTTAATTGATGCTTTAATTTAATTCATGACGCAAATTTTTCTCACTTTAATCGTCTTCAAATTGAGTAGCTCTTTCCAATGGAATTTTGGCAATGTTCCCAATTCAATGGCATTTTGAGTTGGGTCCGTGGAATTCAATATTTCCGAGTCTATCTGTATTTTGACGAGTTCTGAAATTAAAAAAATGAGCAGGAGTGGTTTTATTTAATTCTGAGGATTTTATTTTAGTTTTTAAATTTACTAATTGAGGGTGTGTAAATGAATTTCATAATTAATTAACTTGAATATTGAAACGTTACCTTGGCCTTTGACTGGAGGCATTTGCGGTATGACGTCTTCCAACCGTTTCGGAATATAGTCATCCGGCACCTTTGTGAATGGTGGGAGTGGCGCAAAGACAGCCAAATTGACCCACAATCGAATCCCAACCTCGTCTGCGTGCGTCGTGACGAGAAAGTCGCCCCTCGGAGTGTAATCCAACGAGGTAATCGCGGTCGGGAAGTTGCGAAAAATGTCGACCAAATTTCCCGTGGGGACGTCCCACGTGAACACGCATCCGTCCGTGGTGGCCACGGTGACCCACTTCATATCGGGGGAAAAGGCACCATCCGTCACGGGGGAGCAGCAGTGGTCCAGAATTCGCATCATGGACTGCGTGCTCACGTCGCAGATCGTCAGGCTGAAATCGGCGCGGACCAGACAGGCCAAATTTGACGTGCGGCGAGAGAACACGGAGCGAAATGGGGCCACCGATGTCTCTTTAGTGATCTCGGCTAAAGACGGGAACTTGTGGTAGGACAGCGTCACGCCGGCCGCGATGAGAACCGTGGACTCTGAGGCGCTTAGAGCAATCCCGGCGATGTCGGAGGTATTTGTCCCCCTGGAATAAAAGTGATGGTTAAATAACTTAGGATGGAGGTCTCTCCGGGTATTAGTGTCCATCGATCATAAATTTGATTAGTATGAAATTTGCGAAAGACACGATCTCCAAATGTGCACGTTTGCTGGAGATATTTACCTCCGAAGAGGAGAAAACGCGTAGTAATTTTGGAAAGTGTAAAATTTGTCGACTTTAAGACGTGCTTTCTCCTCTTCGGATGCAAATATCTCCAGCAAACGTGCACATTTGGAGATCGTGTCTTTCGAAAATTTCATACTAATTAAATTTGCGAATTAAATATCACTAATTTGCTAAAAATTGAAGGGCATACATAGGATTGGAGACTTCCACTGTTACTTGGTAACCAAAACAATGTACGCAAATTAAATTTTGCAAATTTAAAACCATCCTTACGAGCTGACGACGGCCGTTGACTTGAGTCTCTTCGATTGTAAGTTGTACACGTGGACTTTGCCCTCCTTAAAACCGACTAAGGCCCACTGGATGTCTGTCGTAATTGCGACGCAAGTGATGGCGAGGGTGTCATTTCCGGGAAGAATGGGTTTCCCTCGTTTGGAATTTTCAAAGGAGAATGTGTACAACTCGGAGGCGTTGTACTTGTCGAAGGCTAGGATATCTTCACCGATGGGTTGGTGGTGTCCGCCAACTGGAAAAATTGCCAAAAACTCTATTGTATTTCAAAGGTAAAACATGGCGAGGATTTGAGTTGGAGAATAAAAATTAAAAATTTGCCAAATATAAAGTTTCCTGGAAACTCTTGAGCTAACAAGACTGACAATTTGTGACTAGAAATTGCAAAATAAATCCTCTCCAGAATTTTTAAAATTAAATTGCCTAATCTTATTTTATCGTAAAGCTAATCGAGGAACTGATTTGATAAATGAATATAAACTGCATTTCCAACTTGTCTAAGCAAAATTTCTTTAGACTTTCTACTCACAATTTGTAAACGAGTTGACGCTGAGGGGCTTATGTGTGCTGCTAGTGGACGGAAAATTGGTAATTATTCTGTTATAAGTTTCATTATAAAGATGGAAACTTCTGAGCGTGTTGTCCTCTCCGGTCGTGACGATGGTGGGACAGTCTTCGCCGTGAAAACGGGCCATCGTTGGAGGCGAACTGTGTCCTGCGCGTGTGTTCAAGAGACGAAATCCGCCATCAGGTCGGTCAAATATCCAGACACGGATCGCATTATCAGCCCCGCTCGAGACAAAGATTGGTTCGCCCATGAACCCAACAAGACCGGAAACGGGACATTTGTGAGCCTCATTGACGAACGAGATGACCTCTCGAGTATCCAAATCCCACGCGGTGAGTGACCCTTTAACCCCACCGACGAGGAGGACGTGACGTCCATCCGTCATAAAGGCGAGACTCACGGGTTCCTCGAGGCATGTCAAGTGCATTAAGATTTTATCGTACTCGAGGTTGAATAAGGAAACGTGACCGGATGCTAAGGCGACGGCGAGGACACCACGTGCAGGGGACTGGAAGAGAAGAAATGTGAAAATTTGAGTTTTTTTTAATTAGGAGCTTTTCTAGATTGTGATAACTCTGCATATTTTTAAATCTTATTTAAACGTTTTTATGTCGTCGTAAATAATGAGGCAACTCACGCAGGCCTTGGTAAAAGTGTGAAATCTGTAAATTCTGTAAACCTACAAATTTTTACAAAGTTTTATTCATATCTCGAAGAAAATTAGATCCTAAATTTTTAAAATTACTGAAATCAAGGGTTTCCTTTTATTTTGTAAACGTTTGGAAAATTATGGCACAAAACGCGCAGATTTTACAAAAAACTGCGTGAATTGCCTCAATCAAGGTGGTTTTAATGAGCTAAATTTGTCGCGATTTTGTATGCAAATCGTGTCAATTTGTATGATAAATCCTTTTCTATTAATTTCTCACCTGCATTAAACTATTGATCCTGGTTCCTTTGAAGGTATCAAACTTATAAATTAACTGATTGGTATTGATGTTCCACAGGTAGATGAATCCCTCCGAGTCGGAGAAGATGACCTTGTTCTGGAACGTGAGCGGATGCAGGATCGACGTCACGTCAGCGTCCCCCACAGGCAGTGAGACGGATCGAACCAGTTCTGAAATTTAAAAAAAACAAGTATTGAGAGTACAACGTGGTATTTAGCATCTCAATTCATTAAGGAAACTTGCGAAGATCAAAATTCACAAATCTGTGCAAACCTATTTTTATTTGGTTTGCATAGATTATATGAAAATTATAAAGCATTTAATAGAGCAGATGAATTTGTGAAATAATAAAAACATGCCAAATTGCTGGGTAAATTTGCGAAAAAAGTTCATGGTTAAAAGTTTTGCGAAATCTCACAAATTCATAAACTTTTCCTCATAAAAATTATACATCTTCTAATCGTACGACTTGCCTTCCGTCTTGATGTTAAAGATGCACATGACACCTTTAGAATCCACGGAGATAAGGTTTTCCGCGAACGGGAGGAGATGCGTGATATCAGAGGCATGTTCACTCGTTGGATACTCGTGGGTCAACTGGAAAATATAAAATAAATGGACAGTTAGATTTAAAGCAGATAAAAAACAGAGAAAAAAGTTTTTACTCAGTTTTGGAAACATCACCCTCGAGATTTTTGGGGTAAAAATCAATTCAAGAAATGGGATTATTTCAAAAATAAAATCAACTCGCCCGTTATTCAACATTCATAGTTTAATTTGAATTGTATAATAAAGAAGGTGATGCTTGGAAACTTTCACCTTTTGAACGAGTTAATTGTATTTTAAAATAATCCTACTTTTAATAGATTTTTAACCCAAAAATCTCAAAGATAATATTATTTCACAAAAGTGATTGTGTTCTTCACCTCTGTTCCACGACGCCACGCCGATATAAATTTCGCCCCTGGTCCCACCGTGTAGACGTGATACGTGTCCCCAGCCATGCAGCCGATCTCACCCCCCTCCTCGGACGAAGAAATGTGACGTAGTTGCTGGCTCTGTAATATCGTACAACAATTTTAATAATGTCTAAATACCATCTTAGTCTTAATTTTAAATTCCTTAACTCACCACATATGTCGAGATTGACCTGCCGGCACACGTAATCACAAAATTCTCCCTTCTCTTATGAATATATCGGAGGATAAGGGGCACCTGGGAAGAAACGAGGCCGATATTCTTGTACGGGTTAAAAATACGGCTTTGTGTGACACCAGATAACAAAACTGCACCACCCCCATGATCACCACCACCACCCTCCTCGTCATCCCGGGACACCACCACCTCCACCTTCTTCAAACTATTATTTTTATTCTTCTTCTTCATAACGGATAAAATTATATGACAATTAATTAACTAATTACTCCGTTAAATAAAAAATAACTACAATCTGCAAAAATTTATGTCTCGTGTCTCAAAACTGATCGCACATGCATCGCAAAATTCACTTGGCGCTGGTAAACTCGATGTTCCAGCGGAACGACGACGGCTTTCCCGGCCGCGGTTTTTCCCTGCCGGGTTGCCCATTGGTTCTTTTCCGTGTGGGGAGGATCCATCCCGTGCTTGGGTGGGGGGCTTATCCGTCAAAAAGTGGGGGGAAGGGTGACCCCGATAAGAAAAAGGGTGACCTGGGTTGACCTCATGACCCAACGCGGTGTGTGGATGGCCTTTGGAAGCCGTGTCCAGCGAGATAACCACCACCGCCGCCGCCACCACCACCACGACGAAAAGAAGAAGACGAAGACAAGTGACGATTTGATCATCATTCGAGAAGTGAAGCCAGAGGACACGCTGCTTGTGCTGCTGCTGCTGCTGCTGAGGAAAGTGCGAAAATCTCGTGCAGAATTTCTGGAGGAAGGATCTTTTTCTACATTTTGGAAACATCAGAGGTGAGTAAATTTTGAATTTCTTGTTGCATGAGAGCATCCTGGTACGGGGGATTTGGGGGGGGGGGTGAGGGAAAAAAGACGGGAAAAAAAGAGTTCTCTCCCCGTAACATGTAGTGGATGGAGGAGAGGAGAGGAGATTTTTCCTGGTGTGAAATTTGAGCTGATGTGAAATAATGTGAATCATGGGCATTTGTTTGTTGTGAGTGATGGTTAGTTTGATAAGGAAGGGGAAAGATAAGGTGGTGGTGGAGGGAGATAAGTGGGTTTAGACTTGGAGGGAATTTTTGGTGGTGGGTTGGATGATAAGTTTTCCTAAAGTTGGAAGGAAAAGAGGGTTCAGCCGTTATAGAAATAAAAATAAATCCGTTTTCTTATTAATTTGAACCCTCTAACATACTTATTTCTGCATTAAAATTGTGCTTCATCATATTTTATGCCGGGTTTGTACTTACAATTGAGAGTGTATGACTCAGATTTTGAGCAAGTTCGTGTCAATCAAGGACAAATTTAATTAATATGATGTTTGCAAAAGACAATGGTCACGTTTGGCAGATATATTTGCATGTGAAGAGGAGTAAAGTTGAGAAATTGTACATTTTCCAATTTTACTGCGTGTTCTTCTGATGCAAATATCTCTGTCGAACGTGCCCATTGGGAGATGGTGTCTTTCGCAAATCTCGTACTAATTAAATTTGTGACCGAAAATGTAGTCAAAATTTTAGATCGTATGCTGGGAGACCTCCATTGTTAGAAGAAGGGTCTCTAAATAAATAAACACTACCGAGTTACACTTTTTCGAACTTGTTTTTATTTACGATTCCCCATTATTCCAAGGTCTTAGCAGAAATGTCCCAGAACTCGTCCCCATCCCGCTCCGGGATGACTAAGGAACAACTCAAGTCGATGTTGATCGAACATGGGATTTCACCCCCGCCAAACTCTGCTAAAAAGGTTGGTAAATTTGTCACATCAATTTTTCTAGTAATGAACGAAAGAACAAACTAAAATATCGGGTCTCCTTTGCAGGAAGAGTTTCAGCGGGTGTTCGACCAGAATTTTGGTGTAGGTTACGTTAAGAGACAAGGGGGAGAATTCTCTTCTGACGATGAGGAAGTTGACCCCGAGGCTGAGACGGAGGAAGAAGATATCCTCGATGATGACGACGAAATGGGGAGCATGACTTATGAAAAGCTTGCTAAACTTAGCAACTCTGAATTGTATACGGCATGTGTCGGGGCCTTCGGCAAGGATAACGTTGGCCCGGTTATGGGTAAGTGTCAATTATACATATATTCACAATTTGACAATTTCGCGTGATAATTTACCTGCGATTTTTTTTTTTTTTTTTACTAAATTTCATGCCAAAAAGTCACACTTTCTCTAGTCTAAATCTCTCTCGACGGGAAATTAGTCAAATATATTTAGCACATTTTACGAGGGAACCTTTTATAGTGCCCGGAGCTCCCAGCATATCCACTATATACATTAGACGCAGTTTTTAATACTAGTCCTATGATGTGACAAAATCTCCGTGTCAAAATGACATTTGGTCACGTGGTGACGACTTTAGTGACGCGCGGAACGGTCACGGTCTCCATGCTTTTAGTAGTGCAGGTACCCTTTCACCTCTTCACTACACGCTCCACACTCATCTCACCGATGAGACTGGCATCTAATTTAACTATGTATATTTACAATATCATTACAATTTATTTACCATTTACAAGTTTTCAATATTGTTTTTTCTCTAAAATATTGGAGTTTAAAAACTATTCGGAAAAATATAGCAACTGGATTTGTTCTTCAAAAAGTGCTCGTGAAAATTTTGCAACTTTCAAATTCGAACGCAAAATAATATTGATAAGCTATGAATAGTAAATTGTAATGATATCGTAAATATAGTTAAATTAAGTACCAGTGTGCTCAGTGAGTTAAGAATTCAGTAGCAAGATGAGGAGCGTGTGGCGAAAAGTAGCTGGGCTATTGAAATCATTGGAGAAAATGACCGTTCGGCGCGTCACTAAAATCGTCACCGCTTGACCAAATGTCATTTTGACACGGAGATTTTGTCACATCATAGGACTAGTATTAAAAACTGCGTCTAATGTATATAGTGGATATGCTGGGAGCTCCGGGCACTATAAAAGGTTCCCTCGTTAGTATGATGCACACTTTATTATAAGCGAGAAACCCTGGCCTCTTGACAAAATAGTTAAGGAGGCCGTTGGTTTCTAGCTTATTTTGCTCTACCCGCACAGGGACTAACTAAATCACTTTGAGTATAATTAAATTTTATATACGAAATTAGTTGCGAATCTTGATTAAATTTCATGGAAACAATGAACACTTTCTTTGTTTCAAGAGACATGAATTATGGAAATAATTATGTTTTTTATAGATAATACAAGGTCACTGTATTTACAAAAGTTTGCCACGCATATGGGCCTCTCGCCCAAGGCTTCGGCTTCATCAACCGTGAATGGTAATGGAATCACAAATGGAGCGTCCAACGGATATTCTGACTCGGACGAGTAAGTCAAAGATATGTTCATATAAATCAATTGAAATTGTAATAATTAATTTAATTAACTAAAATTATAGCGATGCTGAAGTTGCTGAAAACGCTTCTCAAACGAGCAGCCGCGCTAGTGGGGCTTCATCTCGCAGCAGGGGAGCGGGTCGAGAAGGAAGTTCATTGCCAGAGGCAGATGAAAGCGTGCGAGCACGCGGTGGATATCGGCGCTCGGGTAAGTAGTTCAGATTATTTAGGCAATTCACCCAGTCCTTGGTAACTTTGTAAGTTACCAAGGCCTGTGTGAATTGCATTATAGTTTAATTTGCGAGTATTAATTGGTTTCAAAAGTAGTATTTACTTTTGCTAAAAAATTATGAACCAATGAATTCTTTTAACATCCCAGACTCGTTAAATTCAAGTTATAGCTAAATTTCCACTTGTGTTTTTTAAAATAGAAACGCCAAATACTGCTACTACTACTACGGCTTCCCCAAGAAACCACTCTCCCATGTAAGTGAAAGGAAATATGAGTATTTTACTGACGAATAAGTGAACTAGCGAATAATTCAAAATTAATAAATAAACTAATTTATAATTCTAGCTTGGGCGGTGGTGGGTTGACCATGAGCGCGCGTGTGAAACAGGAGGTCGAAGGAGTATCATACTTCAAAGAAAGGCCAGGTTACGTGTCGATGACGACATCCAAGTTCCTGCCTATCAAACCCATTAAACGGAAGGCAAAGACGCCAGAGAAAGAGCCGGAACCTTGGTCTCCAGCTGTGCAAAAGATTGCAATGGTCTTCGCCATTATCGCCGTCCTACTCGCCCTCTACTGCACTCGGGTATGTATATAAAAAGTAGAAATTTCATGGGGGTACTCGTGAATGAGTTACATGTAGCAAATTTGTGACGCTAAAAAATGAAGGGGTTTGCAAAACATGATTTAGCAAAGCTATTAAAACAATTGTGTTCTCCTATTTTGATCTGGTTTCGATAATTTATCTGTAATTTCGTTTCTCTTCGTTTTCGAGGAAAACTTTTGCGAAAGCTTGGCAAGTTATGTTGTTATCCTCAATTTGCGAAGGTTGCCACGAGTACGTTTTATATGAATGTGCAAATTAAGCCTAAATATCGAGTTTGTGCTTAATTTGATATCCAATTTAGCACCGAAATGAAATTTTCTTTTTCTCTTTCTTTCTCCAGGGCACCATTTTCGCTCTCTTTGAGCACCATGCGGACGATGATGTAGGCAACGGGGACGAACTCGACGATTACTTGGAGTCATTAACCAAGGAGGATGCCGTTTAAAGAAGTCAAAGTATCAAGCTTACCCTCACCTGTTCGAACGCGGAAGCCTAATTAAAAAAAAATATTTATCTTTTTTAAGTCCTATTACATATAACGTAGCTATTGCCAAGTAACGTTTTGTATTTTGTACTTACTTGTTGTAGTTTTACTAGAAATAAGTAATTTTAAATGTGTAAGTACCCACCTGATCTGATATTCAGAACGATATGTCATCATTCCCTGTACGTTTGTTTAGTCCATGTCCATTTTTGGGTAAAAAAGACTCACTTTTTATACGGTTGTGTTCATCATCCTTCAATCAGATACTCATCGCCACAACCGCCGCCACAATTTTGTAAACTGAATATTTTCAGAGTAGGTTAGTCAATTTGTTTACTAGGAAGATTTTTCTATGCAATTTTTTTGCCGTCCCAAAAAAGTTTCTTATATGTATTCATGTCAATGTAAATCTCGTCATGTTGTATGTTTTTATACATAGTTGGAAAACGGTGCAATTTTTTGGAGATATAATTTATTAAGAAATCGGATGATTGATACAGATTTTCAGTTTTTATTTGAATGATAGTTCCACCGAATGTTTTTACATTTATTTATGTTGATACGTCTGTTTTTTTGAAAATGTATGTATTGATTTTAATTTTAAAAATTGATTTGTTTTCGAAATTTTTGTGCATTATTGTCGTTCACTTTTAGAAATGTTTTGTTTTTGCAAGTAATTTTTTATGCGTGTTACTGGATTTGTTTAAATTTAGAGAGAAAAAATGTACTTGTCTTGTACTTGGAAAGATGAAGAAAGAAATAAAAAGGGTATTAATATTATATATCTTGTGTTTAATTAATAATTTATTTAAAGCATTGTTAACCATGAAACGATTTAATGGGTTAATATTTAAAATAAACCAGATTTGAATAAACATCGACAGTTTACATACAGAAGAACGAACTAAAATTGTTGGTTATCTATCAATATTACATATTTTCTTGTTTAGGTAACAATTTATTTAAGGTATGTAGAACTCATCGCAAAAAATCATCAAAATCAGTACTTAAATAAATTATTTATCTTCTGTGGGAATTTATTTTAAAATTCTGAACGACAAATTTGTAGTTAGTATAAATTGATTAATGGAATAGGAATTAGGTTTTTAAGCCAGTTTCGATAAGTTCCAATTTTCTGAGGGCTTCTTCAACTTGAAATCTAATCCTACAAAAAACTATAAATCCGGAGTGTATTATTAGGAACGGTGGCCAGAATTTTAAAATATTTAAATCCCCTCAAAGTCGAGAAATTATTTAAAATGTTCTGCTCTCTTTTTCTCGTAGTTTTGAAACGCTGGGAGAAAGTTGGTTGCGTCCATTGCACGAGTTCGACATCAAGCGTGGACTGTGCATCATAATAACTGCAGATTTATTCACCTTGGTCCGTTTGGATATGCAACCAGAAATCTGAGCCCCGTGTGATTTAAGTGTGATGGACAAATTGGCCTTCCTTCTCGTCATGGCGAAGTCGTCGTCACTGTTCGAGCGTTGCATTTATGTTGGCAGAAGGGAAAATAGGAGAGAGACGCGAACAGAGTTTTATATAAAACAGAATGACTTTACCAACTAAAATTCGTCGTGGTCAACAAGGCAACATAAATTGTGTCATGTTTATTACTTAATAAGTCAGTTATGGCATTATTATCAGCTTTTGTACAAATTAGAATCTCATTATGATCCATTTAGGAACTTAGAAGCTGTCTCATTCTTTTCAGGAGATAGAAACATTATTGTATATTGTGCTTATCAAAAAATTGTTAATTTTGGTTTACTACTGAAACCTTCAACTTAACTAGTAATTACTATTTAATTATTATTTAGTATTTATATATTTTTAAACACTATGTATTAATAGTAGTATGTCATACTAATATATCTCATTCTCATTTAATTCTCATTCACTCCTTCCGATAAAATGGATGGGCGCACCACTGGCTTCACCGATGAGTTGTAGTCGTTCTACTATTTCCGGTGCCTGAATTATTAGAAAATTTAGCGTAAGAAAATATTTATGCTTGTAAATTATTTTATTGAGCGAGTTACCAACTCATTTATCGTAATTCCTACGCTTTTGAATGATCCAATGTGCAAGATGACATCTTGAAAGATGTCAAAAATGTTATCCATCGTGTTGTGAATGTACGGAACGCCGAACTGGACTTTTTTAACTCCTGAAATTATTACGACCCATTATTAATATTAATTAATTAGTAGAATTGAAAATAATTATTCACGGGCTGATTTTAACTTAACTCCTACCTTTCAAAACAGAAATAGCTTGGAGGGCATCAATCAACAAGGCGGATTCCTTCACTTCCACAGAGACGTTGACCCGTTCCAAATCCCACATTTCGAACGGTTTCATAAACCGATTGATGGCGGCAGACGTCCACAAAGGCATCCAATCGAGAACCGTTGTCGTTATGTCGCAAGTGAAAAAAAAAATGTTATATTCAGCCTCAAATCCAATTCCTTAACGGCGGGAAATAAATCGATCATTGTTCTTCCGAATTCTTGCACCATCCAAGCGGGTGAATCCATGGTCAATGCGAGAGAGTGGACTCCTCTATGTCGGCTCCACAATTTTAGATGGGAGAACAACGACGACTTCTCTACTCCGTTTCGGACAGAGAAAGATCTTAATTTTGGCAAGTGCTTCTCATTAAAAAAGTCACCAATTTTGTAAACATCTACGGCATGGATGGCGAGAGAGGTCAGTTCAGACATCACTGGAACCTCCTCAGCAGTTTGGATCTACGATGCATACAAAAGATATTTAGTACTGATCAGCAACATCGAGTATATTCAATATGTGCATATTTCGAGTATTGGGCCGACTCATGACAACGTTCCCACGTATTTCGCAAATTGTTGCGAAATTTTTCAAAACTTTACCCAGCTTACTTTACAGCAACTTTACTTTGGACGTTTTTTATTTGATAAAAAAATTACTTCCGAAACTTATTGCCTACATCATAAACGAAAGAAATTGTAGAAATCCTCGGAAACTAAATTAAAACAAGCTAGCACATCAGTTTGCATAGATTTGCGAAATAAGATTTTGTGCATCCCCTAACAACGCAAATTTGTTGAGCTTGGTAAATTTCACATGAGTTGCTTGCTTGCGACGCTAAAGAAGACGTTGTAGTGAGTACGCCCATTGTAAAATGCTTATTAAATCTTTACCTGCTCCGAGGCAACATAGTTATGCATAGAATGGTCCAATTCCAGCTTGATTAAGGAGTTCTTAACTTGTGACAACATCATGGTCACATTGAGGTGACGGTAATGCTCATTGTAACACTTAACTAATTTAAATTTCAGCACTTTGAGACTGGTGCAGCCGTCCAAATTAGGATAGAAAGTCGTCGCGATGTCTAAACTGGTCAAATTGGGGGCACAATCGAGCCAGATTTGGATCAGGGGTCGAAATTCATTGCCGTCATGTTGAAAGTCTGAGAGGGCTTCGAACTTGAGGGATGTCAAGCTAGATTGAGGAGGGAGTTTTTGATATTCCTGGGCTGGAATTGTGTTGACGCTATGGCCTCGCCAGAAGCGGAAGATCCCCACGTGTTCGATTTTGGTGGATCCTAAAAGCCTAATTCCTTCAAGGAAAGCGGAGATAAATTCCTTCTGGGTGACGAGGAATTTAATTTCACTAGTTAGTTCGGACACTTTTTCTACATGGGTGAGAGCTCTTATCATTACTTCTGTCTTCTTATTTGTCGGAATGGACGAGTCAAATTTCTCCGATATGAGGAGCCGCCGGATCAGTTTTTCGTTGACAGTGGTCATCTTGGCTGGTTCGGACCCCTCGTAGGAAAACAGCTTGTTCACCTGCAGAAGAGCCCGTTTTCCTAAGAAAGTAGCGCCGACGTCGTTCCACTCTCGACACACTAGCCGAGACGTCTTCAGGTCGGGGAGGCCGAGATTGCCGAAGATAAGGTCGAGTACCTGGTGCAAATTCAAAATTGTTGGATTAAGCGGGACAGTGCAATGAATTATTAGATATTTGAAAAGCAATTAACCAACCAACGGATTCGTCAGGGCTTTAGACATAGCGGAGTTGGGGTCAACAGGCACTTCTTGAGAGTCTGTAATTAAACACAAAAAATTAACATCTAGAAAACTTTAATTTCTACGACAAAAGCAGCATTTACTATTTTGAAAACTCTTACCCTTTCGTGAAGAAGCTGACCGCAAAGTCATGTGGTCCCGATTTTTATAAGTCAAATCCACAATTTTCGCCATATTGTCAAATAAGTGTGTCGTTCCTGGAATTAGTACAATATATTACATTAACACAACACCTTCTTAAATTAAGAATCTTAATCAAAAAATAAGAAATGTGAAATGATGAAACAGTAAAAAAAAATTAGTAATATTTATTTACGTATCCAACCTTACACAACTTTCAAGAAGATGACGGCGTGCTTCTAACTTTGTCGATTTTACGATGTGGCGTAAAATATAAAGTGTATTGATGATTTATTTTGAATTGTACGAGTAGTGAGTAGTTATAATTAATTGGGTGCCACGTTTTCAATTATCTGCCGTTGGACTTTTTAAGTTTGTCTTCGTGGAGTTGCATTGCTCTTCATTGGTTCTCCGTCTGTCCGTTGGTCCGCACCATAGATCTGCACTTTGTTAGATGCGTTCTGAATTTAGTTCCATGAATTTTTGCTTATGGATTTGCATGAATTGTAAGTAATTCTAATTGCAATTGTATTGTTCCGATTCATTCTTAATTAAATCGGTGATATAATCAGCGGACTAATATGTATTTATGACAAAAACTAGATACGAAATGTGTAAAAATAATATGAATTTTAATATTCACTTTAAAATGGGGACAGATCTTTAAACAAACTATTCTTATAAACTATTGATTAACATGCGAAATGAAAATAATGAAATTTTAATAAAAATTTTCAATTTTATCATCAGAATAAAATTAACATTATTTAGAACGAATTTCTAGGACAACTAAATATTAAACTGGTATCGATTAAGACTTGAAATGTAGTTTTAATAAAAAATTTCCTGTTTAAGACTAATTAAAGTTTGACACGTGAGTGAATTATCTAATCTGATCTATCGTGTCGAGCTTGGCGGGATAGACGGTGCAGGCTGGGTAAGAAAGGTGTTGACACGGTCGACGATTTGGGTCGCATTGTGAGCAGAAATGCCCAATTTTAGGAACCACTCGCCCACTTGAGTCAGATTTTGGTGACGTTCCATCGCAGCCTGAGTCGTGTTGGGGTTCAGTTTCTGGTTGGGGGCGCGGCTGCGGACGATGCGCTCCATCTTGAAGAAGAAATTTAAATATTAGAGCGTGTAATTAATTGTCATAGGGCGGATATGTATTTATTTTCAAATTTTTCATTTGATAACGAACGATGGTAAAACTTTGTGCGTGTGTTCCTAAACTCGAATAGATTACACAAATTTCAAAATATTTTTGCATATTGTCACATATTTCTAGGTTTTCAGACATAGTTCTAAATATTTCCGCTAATATACGGAAATCTTTTGCATATTTTTTTAAAAAAATACGTATATATTTATTTTGTAAATATTTCAAAGGTGTGAAACGAAATTTGTTTCTCGTAGAAAGTGGACTACAAAAAATCCAAGGTATTAAATTCAAATTTACACATTTTGTGAAAAGAAAATTCTGATTTTGTGTGCATATATTGTGAATATTTTGCCGTGTTTTTCCAAAATATTTTAAATACATCTTTCATCGATTTTTCCTAAATACATAACCGTCCTCTGTAAATTAAAGTTGACTTGAGTGTTACGTTACGTTACCTCAGCGCTTCGATGAATCAGGTTACTCGGAAGGCCGATTTCTTGTGCCACTTGGCGTGCAAAACTGGACACGGAGACGCCATCAGTCAACTCGTAGAGGTAAGTTATTCCCCCCGTGGCACCGGCGTCTTGCTGGAGATACTTCATCCTCTGCAACTTGAGGACGTTCGAGTCATCGAGATAGTTCATCATCGTGTTGAAGTGTGTCGACACGAAGGTAACGGGACACTGGTTTTTCCTGTTGAGAAGATCGTTCACACTGGCGACAAGCAAACAGAGTCCGTCGGTTTCGGCGGTCCCCTTGCCAAACTCGTCAATGAGGAGGAGCGACCTATAATTCAAGTGTCCAACGTTTTACACACCATGATTTACATGCATACGTAAACTAGTTGCACCAACCGGTATGTAAATTATTAGATGTGCAAATAATTGTGAGCAAGCAATAGATGGTGTGTAAATGTATTGGTGTGCAAATCATAGTGTGAAATTCATGGTGTATAAATTAACGGGAATCACCTATCCGTGGAGGTCCGTAGAGCGAGTGACATTTGATTCAGGTCCATCATGAAGCTAGAAATTCCTGTGGAAATAGATTCCGGGGCGTGAATTCGGGTACAAATCCGGTCGAAAGTGGGGATCTTGACGGACTTGGCGGGGACGAAGGATCCACTCAACGCCATGATGCAAATGACGCCGACCTGCTTTAAATAGACACTTTTCCCACTAGCATTCGGCCCGGTTAGCACTACGACACGCTCCGCTTCGAGAAATTTTGTAGTGTTGGGGACACATCCGCCAATCACGTCGACGAGCGGGTGTCGTCCCGCGATGATTTCGAATCTCCCAGGCGTCGTGATGATGCTGGGTCGGACATAGCTACTGTTTTTCGCCAAGGTGGACATCGAAATTAAACAATCTAGGTCAGCCGCGAGCCTGCCAATTCTTAAGATGACGGTAGCCTCGGATAAGATGCGTTCCGAGAGGTAGATCATAATTCCGGTTTCCAGTTCTAAAATTGCGACTTGACAATCGCCCAAGATAACGTCGAGTTCCCGGGTTCGTGGCGTTTTGTAATACGCGGAATCTCCGGAGATGAAGGTGAAGTCAAAGTTGTCGATTTGAAGGTCATCCTCAGTCAAGTTTTCACGCCAGAGGCCGATGCTGAGGAGATATCCGACTTCCGGGATGTAGACGACTTGACACCGGGAAACATAGCCGGGGAGAGAATTGAGTTCTTCACGGGCGACGAGGGCCAAAATGTCAGGAAGGCAGGAGAGTTGGTGCTTCTTGGTGTCGATCCTGTCGTCTATTCCGGCCCGCGCGACGATCCGTCCGACACGGATGGATTCTTCGAAGTCGATGATTTGCATCATTTCGCCGGTCAAGGTGCGTAAAATGGATAAATGGGCGGGATTCCCGATTTCGGCGAAGGCTGTGACCTAATGGAGGATTTGATTTATTTTTAAATTCTGGACTACAAATTTTTAGAGCAGATCGTTCCCAATTTAAAAAAAATATACACTCCAGATTTTGACACTTTTTGAAGGATGAGATTCAAGTTTAGGAAAGCCCTAACAAAAATTGGGGCTCATCTAAACTGGCTTCCATTAATCAACTTACTGACTACAAATTTGTCGTCCAGGATTTTAAAATAAAATCCCAAAGCTGAGAAATGATTAAAAATGTGCTGATTTTGCTGATGAGAGATCGAGTCCTACCTCGCTGGGCTGAGCGGCGCAGATTTCTCCGAGTGTAATGCAGCTGAACATGGTGCTGTAGAGCTCTTTCCATTCCGCGACGGAGGCGTGGAGAAGGGTCAAGTGATACAAAAGTTTGGGGAGATTTTTCATGGTTTTTAAGCAGTCTTTCGCTGCCTTGGTGAACTCAAGGTTTCTGAGCTGGTTGCAGTACTCGATCACGTCGTAGCGTCGGCGGAGTAGGGAGACATCGCGGGAAGGGCGGAGTAGCATGAGGCGCAAGGCGCGTGCCCCCATTCCGGTGGAGCAGCCTTGTTTGAGACAGCTGAATATGCTGAGACCCTCCTTTGCGCCGATGTGCATGCCTTGTTTGACGGAGGAGGGGTGCAAGTCAAGCGAGAAGATTTGTAATGATTTCCACGCAGTGTCGTCGACCATGACGATGTCGTCCCTGTAAATAGAAAAGGCATATTTACAATGGAGGTCTCACAGCGTATGCTCTCCTATTTTGGCGAAATTAGTGTCAATCTATCACAAATTTAATTCGTATGAAATTTGGGAAAGACACGATCTCCCAATGGGCACGTTTGGCGGAGATATTTGCATCCGAAGAGGAGAAAACTCACAGAAAATTGGAAAGCATAACATTTGTCAACTTTTCTCGTCTTCTGATTTAAATACAATCTCTACAAAACCTGCGTGTTGGGAGATCGTGCATTTTGAAAATTTCAGATTAATTTAAGTTGTGATCGATTGACACTAATATGGTCAAAATCTGTGAGCATACATTGGGAGACCTCCATTGTCAGTAGGATTCACGTTATCAGTTTGGGAAATATGATTTTTTGGTTAAAAATCATTTCATAAATTAGTCTTATTATTTCAAAATAAAACTAACTCGATAGCTCTGCCCGTTCAAAAGTTATCCATGGTCAAATTTTTATATTTTTGTGACACTTCTGCATTCAGTAACTTTTGAAAGAGTAATTTTATTTTTGAAATAATCCTAATTTTTTGGCGTATTCTTGTGCAAAAAGGTTTCAGGTTGTTATTTCGCAAAGTGAAAATGCATGGGCGAAATCATGTATATAAATACTCACATTCCACACGGGCTAACGCTCAAGACGGGGACTATTCCTTGTACCAATTCGATCTGGAAGAGTTCTCTCCCTCGCTTATCCAAATATTGGAGAAGTGCGCCCGCAGCGCGGACCGCTTTTTCATTCCCCAACGGGAGGAGAGACGAGATGAAGAGGTTGTGCTCCTCGTCACTGCTGTCTTTTGGCTCGTACGGGACTTTGATGGCGAGCAAGCGATTCTTGCAGCCTTCCGGAGAGAACAGTTTCGACTGGAGGAGGATAAGCTGGGTGTGTGCTTTAGGTTCCTGTGGGTTATGGGGTGGTGGTGCAGATGATTCCGATAATAAGGGCCGTGTCACTTCCTCTTCTCCACAAAGATCGTCAGCAAGCTTCCGAAAGTCGTCGTCTTGTCCGCCATTGATGAGGAGGCATCTAAGGAGAAGAATTTACATAATGTAAAATTGATCCAATTTGGGTTTATGAAAGTACCAGTGTTTTGGGTGCAAGAAAGCTACTTTCTTGGATCGTAAGTGAAATGGATGGTAAATTGGCAAAATGAATGTATAGGAACCAGAATTTAACCTCACAAACCTGGGGACAATTTGACGATATAAAGATCGAAATACGTAAAAATCTGGCCCCGCTTCCGCAGTATCGGCTAAAACGAGGAGCTAAATAAAAAAAGACTAATTTAAAAAATTCATATTTAAAAAATTTTATCAAATTGTGTGCCCCTTTAAATTCCTTACCTCCGATGTATCCAGATGATAACAAGCCGCCCCAAGTTTCCCACCAGCATAAATGACGGACATTACGGTCTACAATAAAATAAAATAATTAATTTTAAATTGAAACTAATTGCAAAACTCACATCACTTAACGTATCCTCATCGTCCTCATCTCTCCCTTCACCACGGAGTCGTTGCCGTCGCAAGACATTGCTTAACTCTGTGCTACTAATATTCGTCAAGTGGACGACGGATTCGGGCACGTCGTCGACATCGTCGCCCTCCAGTACGAGACGGGACATGGAGATGTCCCCCTCTAAAAGTGAGGCCACTCCGTCGTCATCAGCATTGCTGGTGTATGAGCGATCTTGGTCAACTTCTTGCTGCTGCTCATCTTCCTCCTCGTCTTCTTCTTCTGATGACGATAAATCTGGAAACTGGAGAGAAAAGTTTGACACTGCCGGGGTCAACGGAGGTCGTCGAGGCGTGATGTCAGGGGTCAGAGGAGGTCGTCGAGGCGTGCTGTCAGGGGTCAGGGGAGGTCGTAGAGGCGTGCTGTCAGGGGTTAGGGGAGGTCGTCGAGACGTGATGTCAGGGGTCGGGGGAGGTCGTCGAGGCTTAACGTCGGACGTGGCGACAATGTCGTCGTCGTCGTCACTTCTGGTGATGGTGGGGGTGGACGGAATGGTGGGGGTGGGGGTGGACGGGATGGATTGGGACATTGTGACGATGGACTGGAAGATTTAATCTTGAAGATTATTTATGTAGCGTTACGTTAATTAGGATTTAATTTACCTACAACACCTTCATGAAGAGACTCTGGAGAATAAATTAAGTTTTAATTAATTAATTAATTAGAAATTAATTAACGAAGAGAGAGTAGAGTTGAAAAGGCAATTGATTTTTTTTGTTTTTTTTTTGCAGATGAACTGTGAACTGAAAAAGTGAAAACCCAGGCAGCCTTCTCTCCTGACCTGACCTGACTAAAATACCATACAATTGGTAAAAATCAATATTTTTCATTTTTCTACTGGTAATATTTTGAAAGTTAAATATTAATTACGCCATTATTTTATTATTTTCTATAGCACATTATCCGACGCATGATGATAAGTATACATAAATCGGAATGCATGCGGGGTATTATTGTACACTCGGTTCTCCTTATTTACTCCTTTCTTGCCCCAACCCAGTCAACAAAAATATCAAGTTTGTGCTTTAATTTAATTAATCAAGAAGTGAAGACAATTTTATTTACAAACAGTGAAAAGTGAATTTGTTAGAGTATGTAATTAATTAAGGTAAGTAAAAATTTACTCGGGTTTATTAATAGTTACTTATTTGTGCGAATTTCTGAGCGAATTCATCATTTTGTATTTATTATACACTTTGATATCATTTTTCGCAATTTTTTCACGGTTTACATATTTTAAGGGATCTCAGTCCTTTATGGTTAAGATGAATAATTGCAAAAAGGTACACACAGAATAAAGTAGATTAAGCTATTTAAAACGACGGTGGAATTTCAATTGAAAATAAAATGAAGTTAGTATTGGGCGTAGGTTTAGTAATTGCTCAATTTAATTAGTAGAATTTCATAATTGGATAATCCAATTTGGATTTATAGCAGAGAAATAGTTCCGTGAGAGATCTCCACTGTATTTGCACATATCATAGTTTAGAATCTGGCTAAGTTTTTACTGGAGGAGAGGAAACAATTATTATCTCCCCAAACTAGCAGCCTTTGTTAGATTTTTGGTCTGAAAGTAAGTATACAACAAGGATTTCGCGATAATTAACAGCAACAACAACAAGAACTGGAACTGAGTTATATAATTAGTACAAAAAAACTTTGTTCGTTAGTCATCATCATTCATCACGGTTGGCCTGAGGATGCATAGGTTAAGCGTGACGAAATGGTGACGTCCATCGGCCGTCCAGTATTTATTGTTATGCATGCATTATCAACTTGAATATTGCATTGCATGTGCATGGATGTGAACTACAGTAAAAATATTTACACTCCAGTCCAGCAACAGAGATAATTAAGTAGAGGAAGCGACGTGATTAAGATTTTGGAGAGAATAATATGTTACAAAATGTAAAATTAGATAAATAGTTGGACATATCTTTTAGGCGTTATTCCAAATTAAAATTGTGATCTTTCACCTCTCGTCCCCAGGGTTATCACAGATCAAAATCGTAACCTACCCCGTCTAACAAACCAAACTACCGATGATAACAGATATCTGCCTCCACGAGACAAAACTTAAATACCTTGAAAAATACTATCGAGATTTCACTCATATATGATTCATTTGTCACTTATGACCTGGCGCCGTGACCTATTGGCCTACATGGTAGGATAGCGAACTCCCTTTAGATATCAAATATCCGGAAACTAAATAAGCATTAAAAAGGTTGGCGAGACTTATCATCGTTCTCACACAGACAGACATATCGATCACAAAAATAGCTTCACCATTCCTTCCTCTAAAGTTGTACATGCCCTTCAGAATTTTATCCATCAAGCTCCTAAGGATACCATGCAAGCAAACTATTTTTTGCACACACTTTAGCCCGTGCAGAAACGATGTGCGTCATTCTTTAAGTACTTTTGGTCCTCGCACAGTTGTTCGTTAGTCATTGACGACGACCGTCCCATTCCTCCTGTCCGATCCCCCATTTACTTATCATAATATCGCCAAGAAGAGTGAGTGAGGTGAAGTGAACACGAAGCAATGAGATCACAGCTAGCGTTCATTTTCGGCGAGTGAGACCTTGGTTACTGAGATTGTATTGCAGGTAGTCGAGTAATTTGGTTTGGTTGGTGAGCAAAAAATAAATACATAAATTCCTTCCCATCCATGCCACACTGTAATAAGCAGACTATTAGTTTAGTCATCCATCCATCCTAAGTATCTACACACTCTTTTGTTATATATGTATTCCGGTCAATTTTTATTAGTGTCTGCTAAAAAGAGGAAAATATTTTGAGTCAGATACCTAGATCAGAGACGTGTAGCTTTGTTAGTCATCATCATTACTTATGGAGTGAGAGTGATCCCCTGATCTGATTAAGAAATTAGTTTTGCATACTTGCAAAAATTTGTGCTAAATTTTCACTAAAAATGACCAGCAAAGTGCGAGTTTTTAATTTTTAAAGGAGCTTGTGTGTCATTGAGGAGACGGCATTATTACCGCGAGCGAGGCCAGTAGTTTGTTTGCTCGATAAACAAATAATAAGCAGGACGGAAAATTATTTTGTTTTTGAACAGCTGGAAATTATTTAATAATTTTGCGTGTAGTTAAATAAGTTAGGTAAGTCGAGAGAAGAAAACAGTTTAAAGAAAATCATCTATTTCATCTGTCCAATTAGTAATATTGGTATTGCGCCGCAATAATGTTAGTGATTGTTATGATGGTTAAATTGTTAATGGTGTAATTTAATTTTTTCATTTGGATTTTTACAGAACGAAGTTTACATTTGATGATGGATATTTAACCGTATTTTTTGGGGAGACAGAGAATGCCCAAAATTGGTGGATTTTTCCATGAATATTTAGTAAAATAGGTGAGTGAGTGAAAGTTAAATGTTTATTCAGTTTAACTTTGTATTGAAGCAATTCACACAGGCCTTGGTAACATCGTAAAATCCGTAAATTGTGTAAATCTACAAGCTTTTACTCATGTTTGGAAGGACAATTAGCTTACAAACTTTTGTAAACTTGCTCAGATCAAGCTCGTTATTTTGTTAAAGTTTGTAAATTATTTTACAAAATTCACGGATTTACGAGTTACCAATGACTGCGTTAATTGTCTCATTGATTTTTACGAATTTTTATTATCTAGATTTGAAGTACTTTTATCAAAGATGGGTGAGAAACGATCCCGTCAAACATTTTCGATAGACGACGCGTTTGAGGAAGAACACACCGATGCGATTCGTGTTTACGGGGCGACAACGACGACGGAGAGGTCTCCACTGCGCCCACCTTCGAGTTCGTCGGGTCGTGTCAGTTTGCCATCGTCCATGAGTGTGGCTGGGGCGGACGCGGTCTCCGTCCACATTCACGACCCTCCTACCTCGCTCTCGGTCAAACCGATTATCCGCGGCCTTACAAAGTTGAAGGGAGGAGATGATGTAAGTGCTAATTAGCTGTTGAGGCAATTTAAGGAGGCATTTTTAACCTTGTAAAATCTGAAAACTTCAAAGTTTTTCGAAATTTTACAAATATTTCGAAGGAAAGTTAGCTTACAAGTTTTTGGAAACGTATTTAAATCAAGGGTGGCTCTTTATTTGGTAAAAGTTTGTAAAATTATTCTGCACAACGCACGGGTTTTACAAGTTTTCAACGACTGTGTGAATTGCCTCAATTATTGTAAAGTTTATTAAAATTTCATATTAATTTTGTCCCTGTTATGTTAATAAATCTCATCCTGTATTGCAGTCTGTATCGAAGGATAGTGATTCTTTAATCACGGAAGAACTAGAATCTTCCTACGACCCAGCAATGCCTTGGTTTTACCACCCTAAAGTTAGAGAAAATTGGAAAATGGTTCTCGCCGCTTTCTTCTTGCTTGTTATCGGTCTCGGTAAGAGAAGCAGTAATGAATATTCATTCATTAATATACATCATTAGTTATGATTTGGCTAATTTCTTTCTCTAGGCCTCACCATTGGTGGCATTGTAATCGTAAGTCTGCCAATAAACGGGATTCAAGGCGCTGTATTTATCTTCGCTGGAATTATCTGCCTCACGCCTGGCGCCTACCATTTGTTTTACATTTACTGTGCAGTGAAAGGAAAGCGAGGCTATGACTTTTACCATCTCCCTCTCTTCAACTGACGTCAAGAAATTAAAAAAAGTGACAAAGTTAGCAATTTTACGTGTTGTGAACGAAGATGTTAAATACCTGCGAAATTCCAGTGAAAATTTATAAGGAGTCAAAATTCAAGAAATATACGTAATTAATTGAATAGCTTGTTAAAATTAGTTTACGCAGCAGGTTGTGGTTCCTACCCAAATTGAAATTATTAATTAGTTAGGTAATTAATTAATTAATTAATAGCATGCCTCGAATTATTTAATCTCCTCGTTCAATTAATTATAATGAATTGTTCAACTTTCTCGGGTTTCTGTCACGGTGGGTACTAAAATCCGTAATAATTTGTACGCAATATGTACTAATTAATGATATCTTTCACGACTCACGTGTGACTTTGTTTTTGTAGGAAAGAAAAAAAAACGTGTTTGGTTTTAAGTAATAAAAATATGCAAATACGTAACACAGCACAATCGAATAATAATAATAATGAGAATACCGTCCGACACTGTGTGGATGGATGGAAGTATGTTTATACTGCGAAAATTAGTTAATTAATTAAATCTTGTACAATTAGGTTAATTTGCAGTTAAAAATCTGTTGCATTACTGCTGCTGCTACTACTCGTCTTTGTTAGCCAAATGAATTGAGATATTATAATTAGTCTGAAAACACAGAAATCCGAATTCAATCTACGTACGTGTAAACCGATGATAATAATAATGTTTCAAAGTAATGAGGCATTTCACGTCCGCTTCCGGAAGTCCGTAAGTTTGATGAAACTTAGAACAGTTCGAGCGTAACTTTTTCTTGCGAACTTACAAAAAGTTGCGAAGATGAAAGGCACTTTTTTGGCTCGTAAACTTACTGATTACGAACTTCCGAAGCCTGACGTTAAATGCCTCAATAGTTGCTAATACAGAGCGTGAATCAAGATACAAAACTCACTTTTGTTTTTGAGATAACAAGTGTTAGAGACATCTGGGATTACTGAAATTTGTATGTACCGTACCCAGATAGTCAGGGAACAGTTTGCAAAATAACTCTTAGTTCTGTGCATCAACATGCCCCCACTCCCCCCCACGGAGTGCGAGGTAGCCGTAAAAGAGTTTTCCAATGATGAATTGTACCATAAAAAATTGTTAAGAAAATGGCGACAATTGAATTCAATGCCAGTTGAAGCCATAAGTCCAGTGTATTAAATGACACTAGCATAAAGAAGCAGGGATCATTGGCTGGAGTTCCACCTCCACCGAAGTGGCGTCCAAGATCAGCTAGGATCGAGGATGTGTTGTACTATATCGCAAATTTCATCAATAAGGAAAATCCGTCATGACAGAAAAGTATCCAAAATGTTGGGGATGAGTCAGGCAATAGTTTTTAGGGTCAGTCACTCTGACCTAAATAGATTAAAGCGGAGGAGGACCATGTGTACGCCCCCACGCAGTCTTACATCATGTTTTTCAAAGCAACTTCGCGATAACTGAATGAAAACTTAATTTCCAGAAATAAATTTTGTACTGAAATTACTCTTGACGAGTCGCATGACATTATTCAGATAGATTATTTTTGATTTTGGTACTTTAAGCAGAGATTTTCAAGCGGACTGCTCGGGCGCTGAGTGGGTTTTGGAAAACTTTTCAAAACGAGTGGAACAAAATAATAATAATAGATTTATTTCAGCACACAAATTTTGTCAAATAATTTACAAAAATGATCAAACCCTATCTAGTAGGAAATATCTTGATCATCTACGTCGCTTAAACAATATCAAGCTCATCTTGATTTAACATAAATATATTGTTTTACAAATAATAGTTCGAGTTGATTAAATTATTTCATCAATAAATACCTTAACTTATTTCATCAATAAATAGGTCCTTAACTTATTTTTGAACGTAACATAACTCAGTTCATCCTTAATGTCATTAGGTAGTGAATTCCATAATAATATTCCCCTAAAGTTAAAAGAGTTTCTCCCAAATTCTGTCCTTGGCTTCATGGTACTACGAAAATTATTGTTGCTCGAGCCCCGAGTCATATGATTGTGAAACTCAGATAGTTTACAAAAATAACCGTCAAAAAATGGAACATTATTGAGCTTAACAATTTTATACATAATACAGAGTGTACGAAAAATTGACATATCCTTTGGGAATAACCAATTTAAATCTAACTTTATATCGGACGACACTGGATCAAACTTTCTTTTGCGCAACACTAATCGAGCCAATGACCGAATAACTCTTTCTGCAACAATAAGGTTTCTCTGTGAGGCGACACCCCAGACACAAGACATGTAATTTAAAATTGAGATTGCTACAGCCACTCCAATAGTTATAAGTGATTTTTGTGTAAAATATTGCCTTACAGTGTACAAGCTTCTTATTCTAAAATAAGCCCTTTTAGCCATGTCATCAATATGATACCTCCAGCTTAAACGAGAATCAATAGTTAAACCCACACATTTTAACCTGTCACACGGAACAATAGTAACACCACTAACAGTAACATTAAAATTGGACATTAAACTGAGATGTGAACGAGACCCGAGTAACAACATTTTTGTTTTACGGTCATGAAGTGACAGGCTATTATCCGAAGTGTACCGTACAATATTATTCATGTCTTCATTTACACAATTTTGTAACTCTGCTAGTCTTCTGATGTGTCCAAAATAAGCAAAAGTTGAGTCATCTGCAAAGTAGTTAGGTAATGCATATTTTAACGCTTTCGGCATGTCATTAATATACAAAGAAAACAATCTAGGACCGAGAATACTACCAGCTGGAACACCCGCCATAGTTTTTAATACTTTTGACTTTTTACCATCTACATCAACAAATTGTTTTCTGTCTGACAGATAATCACGTAGCCAGTGGTCAGATATACCATACAAATCATGTAACTTTTGTAACAATTTTCCTCTATGAACAGAATCAAAAGCCTTCTTAAAATCAACAGTGATCAAAACGCACACCATTCCCTTATCCAAATTCAGACGAATCAAGTCCGTGAGTCCTAGTCCTAAGTGCTCTGTACTGTGATATTTACGGAAACCGAACTGAGAACGGCACAATATTTTATTTTCGTCTAGATATTTTTCAAGTCTATTGCTGAAGACTTTCTCCATCAACAGCAAAAGATAGGGCGTTAGAGTTATTGGCCTAAATTCGTCTGGCTTCGTAGCATTACTAATTTTGGGAATGGGGACAACACGCGAACACTTTAATTGGTCAGGGACTCTACCAGAGGAAAATGACTTTTTGAAAACTGAAACAAGAGAATCCCTAAAATGAGGAATGGGAAGAGCAAGCCCTAACATGTACATTGACATGCCTACAGTATCTGGAAATTTGGAAGATTTGTGCTTGAGGCCTTTCCATGCAGAAACTATCTCAAACGTTGAAACGGATTTCACCAAAAATTTTGCTGACTTGGAAATATCAATTGGGCTAAAATTTCCAACAGTATCAAAAGGTGCCACCCCTTCTGGAAAGCCCATTGAGCAATAATATTGATTAATTTGATCTGGACTAATGTTGGCACCTATTTCTCCCTGGATTTTGCCAAAGCGCAAGCCAAATAACTTGAGAGTATCCCAAGGGCCTATCTTGTTTACTAAGCGTTGAGTGTTATCAAAAGTATCTACCTTCAAAGAGTTGCGAATTGACTTATTCAAAATCTTAAACTCACAAAAATCATAAGTACTACGTGATTTCTTCCACAAATTATAATGAAAGTCTCTTCTCTGTATAAGTTCTTGTGTGCGCTTTGATACACGAGTTGAAGTTCTATCCAGCTTGACTGTAGTTGTTTCAATTGGAGCATGTCTATCAAAAACAGAAAGAATATTATTGGTTAGTGCGTGACACAAAATATTACAATTACCATCAAATGGTAACTTCTTGACACTTTCAACCATATCATTTACAAATAGTTCAAAATTTATACTTTTATAGTTACGCTTCTTTATCTGTTTTGATCTATTTATCTCGTTACATACTTTGACTTTACAAAAGCAGAAACGATGGTCAGATATACCCTCCTCTGAAACATTGATCTCAATAATTTTTGAAACTTGATTATCTTTAACAATAACAAAATCTAATAGACTGTCGTCTCTGGTAGGCATTTTAATTAGCTGAACATAATTATGTCGATCAATTAAGCTTATCATTTTCTTTGACTCGGAAGAATTAACCAGCATATTTACATTAAAGTCACCAAGTATAAAGCTTTGATTCGACATCGTGTTGAGAAAAGAAAGAATTGCTTGGATATTACGCAAATCATTTAGACACGGATCAGGTTTATAAATTACGCAAACAATAATTGACTGCCTATGATTAATTTGAACCTTAAGAATAAGATATTCCACACAACTTCGATCCAACCACTTTATATCATAATTCATTACCCTTACTTTGAAATATTTTCTTACAATTATCGCAACTCCTCCACCTCTTGTTAATCGATCCTTTCTGTACATTTTATAACCATCCGGCACGCAATACTCACTGTCCTCCTTGAACCAAGTCTCAGTCAAACAAAATACATCTAGATTATAATCAGTAACGAGTTTTAAAACCATTGGAAATTTATCATTATACGACCGTAAATTTTGATGACCGATACAAATAACCTTCTTACGATACATTAGTCAATCAACAACCATATTTCCATCCTCTATTGACACTTCAACCCTATTTTCTTTGGGTCGCGGCTGTGAAATATGTTCCTGATCACTTTTCCTCTTTAGCGACGCCCGTGTTTCTCTCCCACCGTTTGATGATCTTGACGCCACCTTTGCCTTCCATTCCTCCTGCTCCTTGTGAGTAAGATCCTTCCGAACTGAGATCGATCTAAATTCCTCCCGTCCAGCCAGTAATTTGCGATTGTTCAGGGCAGTAGACTTCTCTGCTGCAGATGGGAATACGATTCGGAGTGGTCTCGGCTTCCTTCCATTAGGGTCACCAATTCTTGTGTCGTGCAGAGTGTGGTTCCAGGCGGGAGCAATTACACTCAATATTTGTTTTGCTGCCTGTAACCCGGCTGCAGTCTCTGGGACTCCCATCATAACAATGTTCGACATCCGAAGAATACGTCGCTTTTGCTCATGAATTTCTTCCCTCAGTGACAATAGGTCTTGTTTGACGCCTGACTCCATCGCATCAACCTTCTTCTCTAAAACATCTTGGCGCTTTTCAACTCTTTCGACTTTATCCCAGGTTTCCGATTTTGTCCAAAACATCGGCTGTGAATGTTGCAAGTTCAGCTCTGACTGCACTTCCGACTTCAGCTCTGACTGCACTTCCTACAGCTGCTGTTATCTTTTGCTCAAACGTTATTGCCGCCTCATCATGTGATTGTTCTTGACCCCCTTTACTTCCTCCCAGCCCCAGTGCTCCAAACATTTTGTGTAAATAAATTTCTTTTAGTATGTTGTAACAAATTTGAAAAAGATCAAATAATCAATAAATTCTTGCCTGGGACTGAGCCCAGCCAAGGTCAGTGCGTTTTAGTTGCCTCCAGAGTGCATTAAAACTCGACCATGACCGGGACCGATGGGACGACCAGAAAAGTTAATCAAAACAAGTCTGTATGCTGCGAATGGAGTGATGATTGAATAATTGAGAAAAGGTTAGAGTCGTCGTCGTTGAATTACTCGACTTCAAAATGTAAGAAATTTAGAGTTCACAGTTTTATATAAGTTTATACATGGGCTAGCATTAGAAGCTACACAGTGAATAAGATTTAATGTTAGCTGGCACTGTCGCGATTAATTTGTCAAACTTTTAAATGGCTTAAGATGTGATGTAACAGCGAAATTAGCTTTAAATTTAGCTTTACCAAGTAGCAGATTTGATGCTAAGTTAAGTGAAACAATTTTTAGTTTGGGTGGGGCAGTTGCACATCCAAAATTTTGGATTATTATAAAATTCTAAAATGGAGGAGCAAGGAATGTGCACACCACCACCACCATCACTCCAAATCACTCCAAAAAAGTGTCAAAGGTGATAATAGCGTGGAAAAAGCGACTGCACCTCGTTAGACAAACTAATGGGCTACACATTGAAGCAATTTACAAAATTCACAAACGAAAAATGAAGCTGTAGAAAAATAAACTAAAGTGAGTTTTGTATCTTGATTCACCCTCTGTAGTAAAAAAAGTGCTGGTTTCATTTTACTTTCAGGATCTGTAAATCACTTAAAAATTAAGTGCATGTTTTTTTACTACTTGTGTCGTGATTTTTGTACATTTAGATACATACGTACTTTGAAATTGTTTCAATATTGAAGAAATACACATTAACAGTTAAATAAGTTAAATGATGACGGGTTTAAGTAAGAAAAATAGAACCTGAGAAATGAACAGTGTAACAGTTTAATTAAGATTCGAAACATTTTAACAATTATTGTGCTTTGTCCAACGTCTTCTGTTTTATCATACACGCGTATAACTTGCCAGAGAAGAAGGAAGAAAATGATTTAGTTCTCGCCTTGGTTGAATTATTATGATGTAATTAATTATAAATCGTATCCACGAAGGGAAGAAGAAGAAAGAAAGATAATCGCATTTTAACTATTATTACATTTAGATTATTAGTGTTTTAATTAATTCGTCCGTACTGTCCACAGCTAAAATATGAAGCAATCACTACACGCAATGTATTATGTATTAATTAAGAATTAATCTCTTTTTTTGTCACACTGCTGCTGAATCATGTCGTCTTTAAAATCCTCCGTTACCTATGAAATTATTTATGTATGTCCTGTCCTGTCGCAATTATTAACAAATTCTGTCGAAATTATGTAATTTATGGTGATACGATTGAATACGGTATCAAATAATGATTAGGATAATTTCTCGTGGTAGAAAAGAAAGGCTTAAATATTTTCTTTTCGTGACTAATTATTAATTTTCATTTAGTTTAGTTATGAATTTCAAGACCGAATTTTGTGTGAAATGGAAATCCGATTTTTTTTTCATGTTGATGTTTTATATGAGCTAAAACTAGCTGTTATTAAACGCCTCTGAGAATTAAAATCGAATTAGTAAACGCTATAGATTTTCGTTTTCATTCGTCCCTTTGAAAGAAACCTTTTGTCCCCAGCTCGATCTGTACTTATTACACAATTGTATTGTTATTTTCCATTAATTATTTTAAAAAGACTGATTTGTTAGTGCTTAATTTTTCATGATGCATAATTTACTACACGGATAATACATACATAATTTTTAATAAGAAAGAGGAGATGGAGAGAGGCAAGATTTATACGTAAATGTATGTCTTACTATTTAATTACTGATTAATTATTCCTCTTTTGATTAATTTCGCATGGTAAATATTTAATAATATTGCAAGCACGTGGTAGTTAGTTCTACTAAATTGGAAACTCTTAATTATAGTAGAGATGTATTATTTAGTAAATAATACGGTTGTCGCGTTGTCAATACTTGGTAAAGAAAAAAGAAACGAAAATAAAAACAATGAAAACGATTTGTATTGTAACGACATGTTTTTTGCACCTTAATAAATTTGCACCCTGGTCAAAATTAAGTAGTTAATTCACACAGTCCTTGATAATTTTGTAAATCTGTAAATTCTTTAAATTTGCAAAATTTTACTCATATTTCTAAAGAAACTTAGCTTACAAAGTTTTGTAAACTTGCTCCGATCAAAGGTGTATTTTGAATATTTTGCAAAAATTTGCAAAATTATTATACAAATGCATGGTTTTCGCAAAGTTACCAATGACTTCGTGAATTGCCTTAATAAGTTAAATACAGATTTTTGTTTAATATGTCGGCAAAATGCTTTACGTTGCGAATTTTGCATTCCTTAAATTCAATGACACTGACGATATCAGACTTATCATGGATATGATACATATCTATGAAAAAAACCTCGTGAATGGTAATATTTGATGGGTGTTTGCTTTACGAGGTGGCAAAATCGTGTTACATACACTTTTTGAATGGAAAACATGAAAGTAAATACATAGATATTTTAGTTTATGTAAGTAATGCGTCAAGATCAATTTCGCCTTCTGGGCACAAAGAGCAGGTCGTGTCTGTAAATAAATCTCACATTGCGTAATGGCAATAAATACATAAATGTCTCACGTACGTGCATGTAAATATGTAGAAGGACGTCAAGTACAAGTCAAAACCAAAACGAAATCATGTTCAATTTGTTAGCAAATCTGATAAGAAAATACGTCTACGTACTAACAAGGCGCCTTCCCAAGAAAGCCAAGTGGAAGGGATCGTACGGAAAGGATGTGACCTGTGTTGGGTCGAGAGGTCATCTCAAAAAAATAGATCACGTGTCCCCTACAAGTAATCGTGTTTCGTTTCTTGCAGATTTGCTAAATTTCTGGCATTGAAAAGCAAACAGTGCAAGAAATCTGCGCCATTTAGCGTATGAAGTATAGGTTAGAAGGGCATAATTTCTTGCGTCGTGCATTTCTTGCAGGTCAAATAGCTGCAAGAAACCACTTTTTTGCAGCTATTTCTTGCAAGTGCCTATAAACACTGCCTACAAGTCTACTACAAGGTTTTTGCACTTCAGAGGTTTTGCTTGTGGATTAACTTAATGTCCAAGAAATCCTCACTTGGAGAATTAAACCCTCGAACTTACTCATTAAAAATTACGTGTCAAGTCTGGATTTTTTGGAAATTCTAGCATCGAATGAATCCCCAAGTGACACAAACCTTGCCAAAATTTGTCTCGATTTCCATTCTTCTTCTTCTCTAGAGAAAAAAATGCAATACATACGAATCGAACAAATGGTGAAACTGCATGGAGACGTGATTTAATAATAAAAACTTGGTCTATTTTATTTCACGCTGCATGAATGACTGCGACACAAACAAAGTTATATAATGGTGAATAACAACAACAACAATGTGCCATAGTTGGAAAGAAGGCGATCGAGATTGATGTATAACGAGACAGGACTAAATAATAATGGGAAGAAATAGATCTGTATTTATGAGATCTGTCTCACTTTGCTTACTTCATTCGTCGTGTCGCGTTGAATGGGAAGAAATCCATTGAACATTCATCCATCATCTTTTTGCGATTTGTGCCTTGTTCAAGTCATCATTTGTGACAGATGTATGTATTTGTAGGAGGCGATGTAGGGATGGGTGCGATATGGTGAAAATTTGTAGGGTTCACAAAAAGTAAAATGTGGTAGACTTTTATGTAAGCAATTCATTCGGTCTATTAACACCGTGTTTTTGCAAATGTGCAAAAATTGGGAATTTGATAAAATTCGGGGTTTGTAAAAAAAAATCTCACTGTTTTTAGAAAGAAGTTGGGGTCTATTAACACCGTGTTTTTTGTAAATGTGCAAAAATTTGCAAAAGTGGGAAAATTCAGGGTGTTTATTTAATAAAAGAAATTGGGTTTATTAACAACGAGTGTTTTTGAAAACGTGCCGGTTAAGAAGTAAATTAGATATTGTGCAAAAAATTGCGAAACTGGAAAATTTGCAGGGATTACAAAAAATGCACCGTTTTTTCTACAAATTCGGTCTATTACCACCGTATTTTTGAAAATATATATGTATGCAATATGCATCTCCTATTAAAAAATGTAGCAAATATTGTGCAAAAATTGCGAAAATACATACATACCTCACACCCTCTAACTTTACGGCTCCTGGATTAAATTGAATTTTGCATACATACGAATGTACACGCACTCTCTCTCTCAGAGGAGATAAGTAAGTACAAGATCCGACATAATAGGTGGGACGGATAAGCGGACTTTTGTCATCTCTGAAAATATGAAAGAGCTTCTGGGAGAAATTATTAATCCCTTTTCATTCTCCTTCCGATTGTGTACAAATTGATCCCCATTGAATTCGCGATATTGCTCTTTTAGCCAGAATTAATTTGCTCATTCAAATCTTCCCAAGCAGCGAGAAGCCTCCTTCGTGTAATGATTTCGTTTCATCTCCAAGTCTGAAAATGTGTATAATAAGTGAGTAATGTTATTATTATTATTATTGTGCGGGGACACTCTCACTTTACATGCGTACGTATTTATTAACGGCAAGGGGAGACTAGTTAGTTCGTTAGTTAGTTAGTGAAAAATAGTGTAATTGACGTCCCATTTACATATTTTTGATGGTTGTGGTCTGGTGGTGGTTGCTGCTGAGATAATCTTAACTTTTGACACTTTTCGATATTTTTGATTGCATTGAAAATGCATGAAGATATTTTGTATGGTATAAATTATAGCACAGGAAAAAATCGCCCCTTTTTAGGAAATATTGGGCCGAAATTTGTCACCGATTTTATTTGTGCCAGTTTTTAACAAAATAATTTTTTTACTGACATCGGTATTTTGCATTTTACAAGTTTCATAAAGAAGGTAGAAATTTTTAAAATATTTCAAAACCAATATTTTTCTCAAAGTTGCTACTACCGGATTTGGACAGTTTATAGCAAAATTTTCCATATTTGCACTACTTGTCAAATTCGCAAATTTTCATGAATATACGATAGAAATTTTTGAACATTAAAAACTACCATAAAATCAATGTTTGTTGGAAATATCCTGCCAAAATTTGTCACAAATTTTTACCGAAGAACTACAAAAATTAAATGAGATTACATTTAATGGTATGAAACGACCGTGAATTTTTTGTTTAAGTATTTACAATTCTCATTCCCATTAAAATATAAACAATCTCATCTCACTTATCCGCAAATTTATTTATTTTTTTCCGCCTGTAATGTACTTTTTGTTGTTGTTTTTATTTCACTTGTGAGGGAGGCAGATAAAATAAAATGCGATAAAATTGGCAAGGACTTCTGAATTATGATTAATTCTAAAAGTAATCATCCTCCAAATGGGCGAGCTAATCTCTCAGCGTCATCGTTAAGATGGGGACCCTGCATAAAAAGTACTAGCGGTATATAATTCTAGATAGGGCTTTTAATAAACTTTGCGAAATATGTGTGTTGAGATTTTTAGGTTAAAAATTAATCTAAAAAATTGGAATCATTTCAAAAATAAACTGAACTGGGTAGCTCCATCCGTTCAAAAGTTATTAAAGATCAAAGTTTCCCAAAATTCCATTTTTTCATACCATCTCAAGCAAACTTTGACCTTGAATAACTTTTCAACGGGCAAAACTACCCAGTTAATTTTATTTTTGAAATAATCCCAATTTTTGGGCGAATTTAAAAGGAAACTTCAATTTTAGGTGATATTTCTTCTAATTATAATATTTAGGGGGTCAGAATTATGTACGTTAAATGCTGCATGCACGGTCCTACATATGTAAAATGTGATAAGTAATGTAATTTGTACAGAAAAATACAGCGTACAGAAAATCTTCCCTCATTTTACTATTAGTCAGGGTGACAATGTATTCTTGAAAAAAATGTGTATGCACTTGTGTACGCAGAAGAGACGATCATTTTACACGCAATAAAATAAAATCAACAAGTCACACTACTTATCTTGGGAAGAAAGTCAATAACTAATTTGTACAAGCTTATATATGTAAATAAGTGCATAAGCTTATACGCATTAAGGGTGACATTACTAATTTGTACAAGCTTATGTACATACATATGTACATACATACATAAGCCTATGTGCACTTTAAGGGTGACATTACGTCAACCTCGTTCACTTTGAAAAGAGAATTATGTATGTTGTAATAGTTTTTTTTACAATTTTATATTTCCATAAATGAAGATATTTTTAGAAGATGCAGGTTTAGAGGAAAATTCAAATTTTTACGATATCTCACGTGGCATACAGATTAGAGTTAGGACTTTAACTACATACGTATACCTTATTTAACTGATAATTTTTTTAGGTTTCTCAAGAAAAAATCAAATTTAAAAAAAATACAATTTCAGAATTTGAGTCTTGCGAGTTTGTTACATTTCTTGCAATGTATAGCAAGCAACGCAAGAAATGCGAGGTGCAAGAAACTGCAAGAAAGTGGGAGAAATATGCGCCATCCAGCCACGCGCCCCGTGAAGCGCCAGGGTCGTAATTTCTTGCAGGTCAAAATAGTTACCTGCATAAAACCACTTTCTTGCCGTTACATATTTCTTGCAGTGGTAACTCGCACCCAAACCACTATAGTTGACATTTTATCATCGAAAAGATAATAATTTCCCATGAATTGACATTTTATTATGCATTTTCTTGGCACCTTTTTCTCCCTTTTACTACAGAGCATAGGGAAAAAAGCGTTGGATTTATTTATTTACTTCCCGAGGTCGTGCAACGTAACCCAAAGGGTGAGACATTTATGCTTTTTGTTAATGAATTTATGCAAATTAGCGCAACACCACATTCATTTGCTTATTTATATAGGGCTAGGTCACTCAAATTGCATTTTGCTGCCGCATATTACTCAACAATTTGTACCGCTGGCTGGCTGTGTATGATTATTGCAGAGATAGGAAATTTACTTGTGTATCTGCGTACCTGTTATGAAATGAAGGTTATTTATGAATTTATTTATAGGTACACGGGTTGCCTCCCTTTTTCCACATTTTGCTGTCATTTACTTAAAGCATCACATTTCCTGATAATAAATAGATGACCGACAAAGCAGCAAACTGGTTAACTTGACACATTTTCTCAAGTGGATCGAGCAGGATTGAGTATGACGAGACTAACTGCCTTGCCTGGCCTGGTTTTCACCTACCTGCAGACTGCAGACCCCAGCTTTTAGGTTACTTGACTCTAGGAAACGGTTAACTTGACCAAGACCAACCAACCACCGGGGCTTGGGTGGAAAGGATGGGATCGAAGTTTGTGAGATTTTTGAAGGAAGCAGGAGATAGAAGGTGATGCAAAAAAAATGTTCGTCAATGTGTCAAGTGATGCAAGTTTTGCACCGGAAATACGACAGTTTGTCATAATTTGTGGATTTTTCGGGGCAAGGGCGCAGATGAGATATTGTTGATGGTGTGATTTTGATGGTGATTTTTTCATGTAGATGTGTAATATTTACGATTATTACGATATCGATTTGAGTTACCCGTTATTTTTATGATAAACTGTTTTATCAAAGAAAAATCATGCTCAAAATGCTCTGGAAAATTGGGAAATTGTATGCTTTCCTTACATATACAGCGCGTTTTGTCCTCTTCGGATGCAAATATCTCTGCCAAACGTACCCATTCAGAGATCGTGCCGTTTGGTAAATTTCATATTAAATAAATCTGTGATCGATTGACACTAGTGTGTCTCAAAATCTATGAGTGTACGTTGACGCAATTCCATTGCGATGGTGTGTTAAATTTGTGTAAGAATTTTTATAAAATGTGATTAGAAATTGGACTTCTACAGACGCTTTCTTGTCCATGTTAAAGCCGTGGATGTTCTCTAACTTGACTTCTCGTACCTCATTTTAACGTCCAGAGTGTGAATTATACAGGTGGGAGAAATATATGTGTACATGGAAATGTAAATTATGTGCACCCTTCATTTTTCCCTTGATACTCTTAATTTTGAAAAAATTGTCATAAATAATTGCACACATGCTATTATTATAAGATTGTGTACTTTGGTATGAAATTAATTTTATATTTCGAAAATGTATTTTGCATTTTGAAAATCAAGTGCAAAATTGAATCCCTTATTCTACACAAGCCTTATTTTATCAGCATTATTCATTTTTTAATAAATCTGACTCTTACATATTTACGTAACTAAATAAGAGGCAGCACTCCTGCATTTTCTTTTGGTTGGATCCACCCATCCATGTAAGAGCACCACCTGCAAACGTCTTGGATTTGTGTGTGTGTGAGAGAGAAAGAAATTGCGAATTATTACATAGTACAAGAAGATGAATTAATATGCTCCATCCACATCCACCCTTTCGCCAGGGTTGGGAAAATCACGGCACAGTGAGTAAAATCATATTGTGATGTGATTTCTGGGAAATATGTGATTTGCGGGATTATGTATATGTCAAAATGGAGAAACTTTCTTTAATATGCTTATTAGATTAAGACTAGACATTGGATCAGCACCAAATTCTAAGTATTTTCAGACCTGTTTTTTATCAACTTTCATCTTTAAGATACAAATCAAACGCAAAATGCGACATCGTCTAAATCGGATCAACTCGGATAGAAGAGTGCTCAGAATTGCAATCAAACCTGGATATCGGTCGGTTGGTCTCGTCTTTGAATGTATTTTAAACAATTTGTCTCACTTTGCCTCAGTAATATCACAGAAATTATAGGATGTGAAAGTCACAAAAATCACAATTGGCGAAGAAATCACAGGGTGCAAAAATCACAGAAATCACACACCTAAACCCCACCGTGTGATTATCACAGTTCGACCCAACCCTGGCACCTGCAAGATATTAAATAAATAAGTAACCAGGCATACTTCCTCCTCGTCTGTACGGATTAAAAAAGTGCAAACCATGATGATTATGACTTTCTCATTCATTAAATAATGCACAGTTCCGACAGTGGCTGAAAATTTGTAAGACGAAGTTGCAAAGGAAATTACATGTCATACACATTGCGAATAATTAATATATGCGTAACGAACTTATGGAAAATTTATTTATGAAATTTCGTAAAAATTCGACAGAATTGAATTTTGTACAAATTTGTGTTAATTTTTTTCCCATCCGAGCAAAATTTAGATCATTTATTTATTGCCCAATAAATTTCATAAACGAAGACATATTTCTCAATATAACAGTTTTGCAAAAAAATCGCATTAATATTGCGAATAATTAAAATACGTATGCACAACGAACTAATCGGTAGAATTTTGAAAAACTTGAGAGCAAAATTTTCCAAAAGTGTGCGTACAATTTTGTTGAAAAGTTTGCCTTAATTTTTCTCATTTTTCGAACAACAAAACCTCGTAATTTTATTTCGAAGCACGTCAAAATTCAAGCCTTGGTCTTCAAATCTTTGTAAATTTACCCAACCAGAAATTTTTCTGTCGGTTTTTTTCTTAAATTAAGTAAAACGCTAGGAAAGGAAATTATGTCACGAATTGGAACTTGACTTATTTAAATGGCGTCACAATCCGGCGGAAGCATCTTCTCACTCTCATTCCTCAAATTCCACTCGGCGTACAATACACAAGTCTGTAGCCCAGTTTCGAGTGGAATGATCGTCAATGGAAAAATATGTCAGTCGGCAAATCGCCACATAGGAAAACAAGGCACATGTATTTGATTAAGATTTAAAAGACGACTGATTTTGTGATTTCAAGTATAAAATGAGGCCTTTAAAACCAAACGATACATAAATGCAACCAGCTACGAGTAAACCTGTTCTTTTCGTCTCTCTCTTTTCTCGAGGGCTGTGCAGAGGGGATGTTCATGCCAATTTTATTTATTTGTAGTTCAGTTTAGATTAGGAAAAACATTAATTTGCAGTTAGGCGTTTCCGAAAGCGAGAGCATTGTTGTAATAAAAAACGATGTAAATTTAGGAATAGTGGGGATCAAATTGAGAAAATCCATTATATTGGATATTTCCAAATCGATCAGTCGAAAATTTGTAATTTTTCTGCAAAATCAAGTCCTACGATGACTTTATGGACAATTATCAGAGAGCGGATATGTATTTATTCGTAAATAGCTGAAATATGTACTTAATATTTAATATGAAAAAACGACAAAATATTTACCAAATGTGAGTATGTTAAAAAACATAAATAGATAAGAAGTTTTTAAAAACTTGTACTTTTGAATTTAATACTCTGAATTTTTTATTGTCTAATTTCTTTGAGCAAAAAAACCCCCAACATTCTTGAAATATTTACTATTTTGAAATATTTTTCCGCAGAGTGTACATAAACGTGCAAGATATTTTTCTTTAGCATGCCGAGAAGAAAAACTTACCGATTTCATCAGATTTTCCTACCAATACTAGCCTCAAAACTTGACCTCATCCATACCGCTGAGCCCCTGCCGCACGTTATAATGTAAACTATAAACTACTTGTTGGTTGTCGTCCTTTGTTAAATCATATGCCAGGCAGGCTTCGTTCGTGGTATCATTCACTTGTTATTTTATTATTGTTATCCCTGCAGTGCATTGAATTGCATTTGATGTACTTCATGTAAGCAGTCGACTCCTTCGTACGTGGAACCATCATCACTGCAATATTTGGTTCAGTTCTTCTCTGAAGTTGATCCACAGCGGAACGCAACGTTGACTCAATTCTACTCGTGGCGTCTAGCGAAAAGTTGAAAATACTGAGAAATCGAAATTTGGAAGAAAAAAAAACAAATCGATTTTTTGCGATTATTATTTTTTGAAATATTTCGAGAGTGGCGTTTTGTTTGTGGGGAGTGGCATTTTATCGGCGAAGGAGTGGGTGTGGTCGTTACTTTACTTCCTGATAAAAAAACATGCAAATTATTTCCGTGGAAATAATGTGAATTGTGGAAATAATAAATAATTCTGTTTGCAAAGCGTGACGCGTTTCTTTTTACTTTTGCAAATTGTGAAGCGTTTTAAATTTTTGCAAATTGATGGTTTGAAATATTGTGAATTTGAAGAAGTCCCTTCCCACAAAAAAATATAAACGGAGTGGAGGAATCGTAAGACAGGTTGGTTACCTATTTCGGCATTTTTGTCACCTCTGCATCCTCGATAAGTTGGTCATATTTTGAGAAATGGATGTAGTCCATTTTTTGTATGTTTTAATTTCCGAGTGTAAATTTCCTAGTAATTTGCAATGTAAATTTTGCACGCCGTGTTAAACTGTGGGCTTGCTTAATACCTTGTGTATCTAAATGCAATTAGCAAATGAAGATGAAAAAATGTAATGATTTTTGGGGTTTAAACCGTGTCAAATTTCTGCACTTTTAATATTTTTGTTTTGGTACGCATGCAGGAACAGTAATTGATTTATGTGGCACGATTCAGTGGGTGTGTAAATCAGAGATGGACGCTGCTAATAGAGTGCTAATTTCGAAATTAAATTAATTAGCGTGTATGCGTCCCCGTTTTCGGCGAAATATTAGCGAAAAAATATTAGTGATAAGGTTGAAGTTATTTTATTAAGGAGAAATATTTGCAAAAACTGGCCCGATTTTATATTTTTGACTGGCAATTTTTTATTTTCGATTTTTTTGTGTACAAATTTCTAAACAATATATTCAATTTTTTGTTGATTTTGTTTAAAGATGGGAAAATTTTTGGAATATAAATCCATTTCGAGAAAATGATTTGGACTTGTCTTATTAAGACGATTATTGCAAAAATTGCTAATTTTTTGTGCAAAATTTCTTAACAAATGTGTACACGGTAAAAAGATTACAGTGTAATTTTTTTCTGGGAAGTTTTTTTAAAAAATGGAGAGATTTGCAAGTAATCCAGATTTTGTGGGGGAAAGGTCCCTCGTCTAATCAGTCTTAATCTGTGTGTACGAAAATTGTTGAATCATTGCTCTCTCACAAGTATTTGACCCATTAGTCTCGCTCACGATATGTGCATGTATGTCTGCATACATGGCTATTCACATGTGTGTGTGTGTGGAAGGAAGGAATTTAAGTCTGGTAAAATCTCACATTGTTGGTTCATCTTCATTACGAGGAAATGACGAGAGGGCGGATATGTAGTTAGGAAGAAGGCCTGAAATATGTATTTAATATGAATGCCCAAATATTTACGAAATATTTACGAAAAAAAATTTCACAAACTTTGTACTTTCCCATGAAGTTTTCTGGATTTTTTGTGGTCCAATTTCTTTGTGGAAGAAAATTTCTTCTCACATCGTTAGAATATTGAAATATTTGTACGTATTTTTGAAACAAATGTGTAAAAGATTTCCGTATTTCTGAAATAATAGGGGAAATATTTATATGTCCGAAAACCTGGAAATATGTGATGATATTCAGAAATATTTAGAAATTTTTGTAATCTATGCGAGTTAGGGAATACACTTACAAAGTTTCACCGTCGGTGGTTATCAAATTAAAATTGAGCATAAATACATATCCGCCCTCTGCACGTGACTCGAGGATTCTCTTTTGTTGGGATTTTCGTACCCCTGAATTTTCAGTAGTATGTACATGCGTATTACAATTCTACTACTCTTCCGGTTATATCGTAAATAATTTCCTTACGGAATTTGCTGTGTATTAGACGTAAATAAAATATGTAATTTTTCTAAATATATTCTCCATGAGAAAATGCGTAAAGAATAAGAAATTAGCAATTAATTTTCTTCTCATGGAACCTAATATTTCCTTGGAAATATAAAAATCACTTGTTCCCAGGGTTTCTTCACAGGAAAATAAATACATACATGTAAAACACGGTGTAAGATACAGAGTGATTTTGTTTCAACAAAAGATTTTTTGGGTCGTAAATTTTTATTAGAATGAAAATTTACAAAATTGTAAATACAAATTTGTGCTTGTCTTCTTTTCTGAAACAAATATGTAACATTTCAAAACAGAATTTGTCAAAATACTTAAATACATTGTTTCCAGACTTTTCATGAATTTTTTTCAGAAATATGTCCCCCCTTTGAATTAAACATTTTCTCTAAGACAAATAATATCTGTGTAAAAAAGTGCATTTTCTTTTACAGAAAACCGGTGTTTTATGAAGCTTTTGTAGTAAAAAAGTGGTAGTGGTTGAATACATAATTTTCATGGCCAAATGATTTCCGATTCCCACGTTGCAAGTGGCTTTTGGTGGAATAATTCTATACCACACACACACACACACAATTCGCATAATCTTACGTTCCTGCAGTCGAGATATGTGGTCATGTCACGTTACTTAGTTTCCAAGCAAAACCATGCATAACGAAGAAGAAGAAGAAGAAATGCTGTCAGGTGGGGAGCGACGACGAAACAATGCCGTTGGTTTTTTTTGCATGGAAAAAATCCTAAATTATTTTTCGTCATTGAAATTCGTATGTAAACTTACTCGACCACCTTGTCTCAATTTTATGTAGGGATTAATTTCTGTGGATACGTATGTATGTGGCAGGTGGCAAATGGATATTATGCAAAATTTTGGCATACATTGCGCCACGCACACACATTTTATTTATTAGCATAACAGACATTCTCAAACAAAGCAGTTTTTGAGAATATCGTAAATTCGAGGCTGGGTTAGGTTTGTAAAAATTTTGGACATCGGTGTGCATTGAATTATTTTGTAGATGTGTGTCCGTTTACTGTCTCGAGTTGCATGTTATCGAAATTTTAAAATTTTTGGAAATTAAAAATCGAAAATAAAAAAAAATAAAAATTAGAAACTGAAATTGGAGACTAAATGTAAAAATATGTGATTGTCTCTTCCATAAAATTATTGGTTATACTTTTTCGAAATCACCTTCTTCTTCGCAATTTTATAAAAATTCTAAAACTTTACAAAGAAATTCGATATATTTGTGTTTTAATATTAAATTATTTCATTAATAAAAAAGAAACTGTATGAAATTTAATATTTATCACTGGTAAACCATATGGGTCATTTATGACCAACCAAGTTTATGTTTATGAAGTAAGTTAAGTAAGCACTTAAATAAAATTTATGTGTGTCTGCATACTTTTTGAAGAGTTATGTATCTTGTTTCATAAGCTGCCCATTGTCCGGTGAGGTGTGTGTGTGTAGATAACTTACGCAAATGAGCTCTTGAAAATAGTGTTATTTTATCCCCTATTTCTTTGCTACTTGAGTTATGAATAGAGGGCGGATATGTATTTGTTTTCAGCTTTTTCATTCCATAACGACCGACGGTAAAACTTTGGGCGTGTGTCGCCTAACTCGCATAGAGCACAGAAATTTCAAAATATTTTTTACATATTTATAGGTTTTCAGATACGTAAATATTTCCGCTATTACTTCAAAAATACGAAATCTTGTTCATATTTTTTTAACCCGTAAATATTTCAACGATGTGAGACGAAATTTTTTCCTGAAAGAAATTTGACCAGAATAAATCCAGAGAATTATATTCAAAAGTACAAATTTTGTGAAAATTAATTTTATGTTTTTTCGTACGTATTTTATAAATATTTTGACGTTTTTACATAAATATTGAATCTATATTTCATCGATTTTTCTTGCATGCATATCCGCCCTCTGGTAATAATAATAAAAGGTCAATAAATACGTAGATAAAGTGACGGGGCACATTTAACTATTCGTGATTTTTTTACGAATAAAATTAGAGCTTAGGAATTAAATAACAGGACTTTGGCAGAAATGGGCAGATTATGAAGAAATGAGATCGTCCACCGTGTCCACATGCGTTGTCAGCTCGTACATAGTTTTGTTCTCCACGGTTGAGTGTCTTTGTTGGCGAATATTTTTTTGCAAAGTCACCCAAAATAGTTATACGTACATATTTTGGAATTTCATTGTCATTTTTTTTCAAGAGACAATTTAGTTATTCTTTTCCTGGCGTGAAGATATTTCCTGGAACGTTTTTTAGAACAAATAATTGCGAAAAAATAATAAATTTGAAAGGTTAAAAGGTGATGAAATTAAGGTACAAAAATTGAAGTGGTAAAAATAGAAGTTAAATAAATTTAGCAAAATTTTCTCCTGGGAATTTATTACTTATTCTTTTCTTGTTCTCTGGAATTGAAATATTTCCTGAATAATTTTTTCTCCTTATGGCTGAAGGCAAGAGAATAAAAAATTGTGAAAAATAAGCCAATTTTAAAATTTGTTGAAATTAGGGTAAAAAAAATTTACGATAAAATACAATACAATATAATTTTGTCATCTTCTTTCTGCTCGTAAAATTGCAATTGAGACAACGAGATCCTGTCCTCTTTAGGATTTAGATTTGAAATAAGAGACCCTTTTTTAGCGTATGTATATCGTTCAGAGCTGTGCAGGATGAATATGGTCGTTTTGTTTGAGGGGGGTTAAGGGTAAAAAAAATTGGATCACCAATTGACACGTGGCGTGACACGTGATAGGTCAAAAAATCGAAATTTCACATCCATTCTGCAACTCCCTTCTTAAAAGTTTGTGTTTTTCTTTGGTGGAAGATGTGACTCGAGCGAGGTGCATAAAATGCATGCAAGTCGGAGTTGGTTGACTAACTGTTTATAATCATTGTAGAATAAAAACTTGATGTGTAATTCGAAACGCAATTATTCAAGGGATTTTAACTCGAGACGTGTACGTATGCGAAAACAAATAAGAACGTCGACTACAAATCACTGAATCGAATTCTGCACTAATCGCCAAAAGTAGGGCACAAATTGGGCAAAAATCTATTCCTGGAAATTAAATGGGGATCAGTTTGCATAGTTTTTGAGTGACAAGTACATAACTTTGGCTTGTTAATGTGCATACATTTTTGCACACATGAATTTCGTAACGTTATTTATTTCAAATATTGATCCGCATGCAAAAGGTCAACTGTGCAAAAAATGGTATCTTCATGCCAAATAATTCTTGCTAAAAAGTTGACAAAAGTTTTCGCCCTATGAATTTCAATGGTGGAATATTTGCAGTCCGTCACGTTTAATCGACAGATTTTTGGTACCACCCAAATTGGAGGGTAAGAAAAAATCTGGCATAACGAGGCCTACGAGAACACCACACTTATTAAGAGAGTCGCGTC